GTTAAAAGTTAACTAACTAACCAGAATTGCTTGACATTTAGTTTTGATTCATTCATAGGTTTTTCGAGTTTGCCTGTCGAATGTCCTTGTGGCCAGCACCTTTCCCAGAATCTTGCCTTCCCATCCAGACATTGGCATTTTCTCCGATGGTCCTTGGCTCAATAAAAGGCGAGCTACTGCTAACCCAGTGAACCGGAGCCGAAACGAAAATCGAATTAAATGTCAGGCGGCGACGTGTGGAGCAATGGGGCACGCAAAGTTGCCAATTTGAACGTGGGTTTTCCCGAAGGCTTCCCGCATCCAAATGAAAGTAGGTCGAGGACAGGATGCGTGATCCAGGAGGAGGTCCGGCACTTGGACGGCTTCTTGCTTCTTGCGGCAATTATGAATGAATTCCTTTCAGGAGCGAAGTCCGTTCCGCCGGCAGTCGCCCCCAAGGTCGCTCCGGCTCTCTCCCTGTCTCCTTCCCGCATCCTCGCTCTCTCTCTATCTCTGGAGCCGCCCAAGGATTCCTGGCCCGGCTGAAACGAGCTCAGCTCGGTTCAGCTCCCGTTGCGGTAAACGTCATCGTCATCGGACGACCTCCACGGCAGGCGTTAACCTTCGACCGGCGGTGGTGACGACGACTTCGACGCCTGCATCACTCGAATAGTGAATGAAAACTGGGCTAAAGATCACAGTTTTTACTCCCTAATTTATTTAAAAGAAAAGCTTTAAGGGAGTTAAGCTTTAAGACTATTTAAAAATGAAAAACATCAGCACATTAAACCTAATTCTATAGGTTTAAGCAACGAGTGCTTTTTAAAAATCGATGAGATAAAAACCATTGAATTTTTTATCATTCCGATTAAAATTTCAATACATGGACATTCCGATTTAATTTAAATTATTTTTGAAATAAATTAATTTTATCCTAAGAAGTTTCCCTCTTGGTTTTTAAACTGCAAGCTTAAAATAGCTGCTATCTTTAATTTTTAAAATTATTTAGATTTTTGAAAGAAGTCAAAAGTTATGATGTAATTAATACTTGACATATTTTTAAAAAAAATTATTACAACATATAAATTATTTATTTATTATAAACTTTACGTTCATTGAATTAAAGCAAGAAAACAAAAAACTGCACTTTCTTATTTAAATACTGTACTACTTTAACTACCTCAGACATCAGACATTTTTGTGACTACATTATGTCTATATGGGACAACAACTTCGTCCACATATCTCCTTTAGGCCTTTTTTCGGCCTGACAAATTACACGTGCATTGGCCCAGTTAGCTGTGCGGTCTATTACCATCCTTTTGGCCGCTCGACTGCGTTCAGAATAAATGTTTTGTTTATTTTTTTGGTCGGGCCAGGCACGTAGTTTGCTTAGCTCGTTATTCCCGGGAACTGACTGCAGATGTCAGCTTATGCATTCGTTTTAGGTCACTTCTTATAAATAATTGAATTCCCCTGGGAAGAGGCCTAAAGAGCCTGACTACACGGCTAATTACTGAAAGATAACTGAATAGGGGGAAGTTGTAATTTATGTTCATGGGTAGATAGGCACTTAAAAGGACCTCGAACTCAAAATGTTAGAGTGTCCGAAAAAGCTGTGCATAATTTATGGAATGTTTCCTTTCACCTTTGCAAAATGAGAGATAATATTTAGACTTTATGAATGCAGGAGCTAACTTTTTGCTGTTATTAAAAACATTACCCAAACGAATACATCTGCTTAATTTCATTTAGCTCGCTATCAGAGCTAAGTTAAGAAGTATTCATTTAATTAAGCATTTATTCATCTCAGATAGTATAGATTTGCCAATTTGTTTTGCGTCTGGCGTATCAATTTTCCTTTCATCAATCACCAAACAACCTACTCGATTTTGCGTTGCCTACTTTTTCGGGACTCCTTGTCATCTGTCGCTCTATGAAATGTAGACATTTTGTTTACATATTGAGTTCAATTACCGGCACACAGGCTGCATATCTAATGAGAATCAGATCCACATCCAGTTCGAGTGGCACTCCGCCCAATTTTACGCCATATTTGCCAGGCTGCCACTTGATTGTTCTCACGTAGCTCGATATTTGGGTCAAAGTGCGAATTAGCATAAGTGATGCCTCCCCGAAAATTCTCCCACGCTTGTGGGATTATTTGCCAATTGCCAAAGATTTAATTCAAACTAAAAATAGAAGCTCGTGTTGCTCTTGAAAATTTTTGATTAAATTTTCCCCCAAATGTTCTGGCTTGAAAAATGAAATTACAGGCGGAGTGCCATTAAGAAGCGGCAGAAACAACAAAGATAACAAGCAGGAAACATGAGCAATAAAAATACACAATAAAAATGTGTACAAGCGCAAAAAGATGGAGGGGAAAGGCCATGCCGATGTTGATGATGAGATGGCAAAGGTAAACAAGATACAAGTAAATATTGACATGGAAGTCAGCAGTCATATAAGCGGGGAATGTAATGGAAATAAAAATGAAAACGATGCAGGGCTCCTGTCTTCCCTTCACTTCGTGGCGAAAAGTGAAGGCCGCCACTAAAAGACAGCCAGAAAGTTGACAAAGTAGGCCGCAAGTTGAGTTTGTTCTTTAAGTTGTTGCGCTTGAGTTTTGCCACATTTTTTCTCACCCCCACGTGTGGCAAGCCCAAAAGAAGATTAATTATTTGGCTACTTTTTGTTTACAGCTGTTTGTACACTGTGAGTACACTAAATTTGATTAGTATGACTAAAAGGAAATTAAAGATTTAATTTTTAAATAATTAAAAATGAGAGCGGCATTTAAATAAACATAAACAGATTTACCTTAAAATTATTGAGATACATTACTTCAGCTTTTTGTGAAAAATTATTTAACACAAAGTGTTATTTGTAACTTATTTATAAATATTTATACCAATAATGTTTTAATTGTTTAATCCAATAAAAATTCTTTTGGCAATTTCCCTAAAACAATCAATTCAAATCACTACAGTGGCAACAAGTTGACCACATCCTTGGTCTCCTTCGTTGCCCTAACTTTTCATGCCCGGCGCGTGCAGCAAATTAACACGGCCTGTCTCATAAAGAGTCCCCATTCCGATGAGCAAGAAAAGGGAATGGGGCAGGAAAAACAAGGAGGAAGTGGCAGCCAAACTGCCTGCGTGAAGTTAATGCCGCGTAACCTGTTAAAAGGAAGCCCGTATTCGATTCCATTCAGGAAATCCTTGCGTTACCTTGTGGGACCCATAAAGCGAGCAACTCGAGACTCCGCCGCAGAAACGAATGTAAAGATTACTTCCGTTTATTATTAATAAGCAGAAAGGAATTTTCGGTGCGTTTATAGCTGCCATACATACGAGTATATGGAGATGAAACTTTAACCGGAGGTTTGGGGTGGAAATGCGAGCGAAGCCCGCATGAAAATAGCAAAGAAACGCTAAAAATATTCACCCCAAGATAGGCACTTAATTAAATGCTTAAAAATAGCTATTCTCATGGTCGGTAGAAGAGACAGCTGCTGGTGAATGGGAATATTAAAGGCAGTCGACCGCAGAGGATGAAAACGAAGGAGGAAACTAGTCCTGAATGCTGTCGAAATGATTACGTGACTGCGGTTGCCGGGCTGAAAACGCTCACTTTATTGTTACGGCGTTTGCAATTTCCACTGAAATTGGCAAAGCGAACGAAAGAGCAGCCAACGCGTCGTATGAGCAACAATCACAGCTGTAAAAATCACACATACGCCCCCTGGTCCGCCCACAAATTGGCTGCTTTCCTTTTTATCTCACTTTAATGCCCCCACATTTGTCGACTGTCATCGAGAATTAGGTCAAAGGATATTTTTAGCTCTCAGACTAGTGGGCATGCCAATTTCTATCATGGGCCGTGTTGCGAAAATATTTAGATTCTGACATTTTTCATCAACTTTTCTGTCACGTCACGCAACGGCAGCAGCCCAAGTGGTTGCGTGTGTGAGTGCGGTGTTGGCCGCCAGTCATTTGTGTTTTGGGCCACAACAAATCAGCAGGAACCTCAAGTGCGTGACTGTGGCGACCATTTAGCGGCCCAAAAACTTCGATGGGCCATTAAAACAGCAACGGGGGGAAACTCAATGCTCAGTGGTTTCCAACAGTTTATGCCCAATATCACTGCTAATTTCGTTAATTTTATTTGTCAAGCAGATGGATTTTTATGATGATTGTTTGGTTTCAATTTCCCCAGCGGGAGCTGGAGCCCGCTATTAATTTAAAATCTGTCGCTCAGTCACAAATCAATCAATGCAAAATTCAAACCCATTCCCGCCCGATACGGTGTCAAATCAAACTGTCAGCTTGCTGCGGTTGGGCGTCGGGTTATTCGATATTTATTGTCTGCCAGTTCGGTTGGAATCGTATTAATCAAATGCCTTCAGACATCCTCCGACTCATTATAAATTCAGCCCGAATCCCCCGTCAAGATACAAAGATACAAAGCGTATTCTTGACAACCGAATACGAGTAGTAACGAAGCAACAGAGAAATCTTGATGGCAATTCAATCGTTGACCTACTTTTTTTGGACACAACACATTACTTTCCACCAACGACGACGGGTTGAGTATAGATTCGATTTTGGGACCATTATAGGAGATTCACCCGAGCGTTAGGGATTTCTTTGCCACGCCAGACTCTCCTAATTGCAGTTTCCACATAATCATCATAATGTGTATGTGTCATTGGGTTGTAGCTATTTTTGGCCAACTTTTTTATGGAAAAACTTTTCGATTGGGGTCACCAGAAGATGAAGTGGACATAAAGAAAACAGTATATGAGTTGGTAAGTTATGTTGATTTGGCAACGATAAGTATGACGACTTAATGTTGAATTTGATACAGAAATTGCGATATTCTGAAATGAAAGATGGACTCATTAGAAGCAATTAGGTCGGCTTGTTCCCAAATACAAATAAAAACACTTTGGTTTTGGTGTAAATTATTTCACTTTTATTGAACTCTCTTTGCATTGTGGCTATGGGCCTTTCAGATGATTACAATTTTTGGCTGCTTTTGCTGCTGCTTAGGTAAATAGTTATTAATAAGTAGATGCTGCTGTATATACGTGTATATTGATGCTGATATTGTTCTGTATAATCCTTCAACTTTTATTGCTTTGGCTTGCGATTCAATGCGTTTGCATTTATATATAGTTAGGCCTTGGTTTGCATTTCATATTTAATATTTTCTCTATAAACTGTAAATGTGTATAACGGCTAAAGTAATGTATATGTTGAATACTTTTTAAGTCAGTTTCGCGGCTTTTTAGATTTGCTATATATATCATCTACTTCTGAACTCTACTTACTTGAGTGCTGGGCTTATTATATCTTCGGAATGTGGTTAATCTCTTTGGCAAATTATTTGTATTTGAATAGAAGTTCTTAAAGTAAATAATTTAATTTAATTATCTTAGGAGAGTTTTTGGCTGATTCTGTTAGGACTGCGAAACATACATAAATGCCTGACAAATTTTGATCCCATTTAACATTTAAAAAGGAAATTTACTTAAACTTATCATATATACTTATTAAGTGGTTTTTCTTGGAACTAATGTTTATTATGTGAATCTTTGTTTGCTTTGACTTTTTGATAAAGGCACGAATTGTATAATAATTTATACAAAAAGGAAATCTATTGTGACTTTTCCAATCGATTGAATCAAACATCTTAATTTCATCTCAATTTTCAATTTTCTTCGCGTTTACAGTCTTTGGTATGCGTGGAATGATCTTGATCTAGCGTCAAAGCGGTGACAAATGTGTGTATATAGGCTCTATGTCTGACAAATTCTACGCATCTACGATTTAATTATATATATATTAAGTGCAAAAGTTATTCAAATTTTTATAAAATTTATCATGTAAGTTTGTTAGATCATTACCAATTCTGCCGATGTTGTTTTGAAGACTTTCGGATATGATGGACTTGGATGGGAGGGTTTTAATGGGAGGGCAGGGAAAGGTTTACGATTGTTGTATCACAGATTTTGAAATGAATTTCAGGGAGCGGGGAATTTAAATGGACGATGAAAAAATTTTAAGCGCCTTTGGTGAGAAATAATTTTGTTTCCTTTTAGGTTTTTTATACGACTTATCTAAGAAGTGTTGAGGACTTAAAATATAATTTTCTTTTTACTACTATATCCAAAAAAGTAAGGAACAAATTAAAAACCTTTTGAATTATTATTCAAGGGTTGGTACTTGGTTTAAATTTAATAAATTTTAATAGAAATGTAGATTAAAATGAGTTAACTTTTACTAAAAATTTTCACGAGAGTAAGGAAGGAATTGGTATTGTTCAAGAAGAACATTTCAATTAACAGGATTTAAAACGATTTTTGAAAATTAAAATGTTAAATAATATATACATACATCTTCAATAAAAAAAAAATAATAATTCGGTTCCGTTTAATGTTACCATTCAATTCAAATTCAAAAAAAAAGAATCTGTGTGATCAAAACAACAATTTTAAGATGATTGCTTATTATGCTGATTAGTGGTTCCTGATACTTCTCTTAGTTCTCTTACTGCCTTGTTATCCTGGCTGTCTTGGGTCCTTAGCGCCTGGCATACTGGCAGCAGACGGAGCTGCGCGGCACCCGCTGCGTCGGCAGACCGGACATGCCCTTGAGATATGTGTAGGAGACGGGCTGCCGCAGGATCCGCTGCGGCGGCGGCTTCACCTTGCCTTTGGACACTGAACTGCAGGACGACGATGATGACCTGCCCGACAGTTGATGTTGATGCTGATGCTGATGAAGGTGCTGCTGCTGCCTGTGCAGCTCGGCATTCGAGGCGGATTTGAGAGCCGACTTCAGGGGCAATGCAGCTGCTGGCTGTCCGCTGCCGTTCGAGGGTGGTGGAGGCGGCGGGGGGGAGGGACCGCTGCAGGACAGCGAACGCGAGGTGAGCGAGAGGCTCTCGAAGGCGCGACGCAACGAGGATGTGGAGCGTCGATGGAGACGCGAGAAACTGGCCCGATTGATCGGCTTCTTCTTCGATTGCACGGACTGCTGTTGCAATTGCTGTTGTTGTTGCTGCAGCTGTTCCTGCTGCTCCTCGATGTCCAGGGTGCTGCTCGTCTCGCTGGAGGCGCACGACATGGACATTAGCTCCAGTCGCGACTGGTGAGCGTTGAGGCCACGCCCCGAGGAGCACGAGTCGGTCGATGAACTGTGCGCGTCCTCCTCTTGGAGCGTGACCACCCCCGATGCTCCACCGCCGCCGCCGCTGCCTCTTGATGTTGCAACACTGGCTGCGTCATCCGACTGAACTAGGTCATCCTGCGACCTCAGGCCGAAGCGGCGGCTCAGCTGCCGAAAGAAGCCCAGATTGCGTTCGTAGCGGGGCGTCGGCGAAACGCTCAGGCTTCCGCCCGGCGATGTGCTGTTGTTGTACGAGCCCACCTCCAATTTGGACTGGCTGCCGCTGCCACTGCTGCTGTTGTTGTTGTTGTTCAGGCTGCCATTGCTGGCGGTCTTGTGTTGCAACTGCTCCTGCTCATCGGCGAAGCAGACATGAGGGGTACCCATCGTTTTCTGTGCTTTTTATTTAATAGTCTACCTCATGAAAAGCCACCCTGGCGTATGAGTAATTTCCTTATTAGACAGGCAGCTGGCACCCGTGCGTATGCGTAATTTCCGTATTACGAGTGCAGCCGGTGCGTATGGGATAATTTTGAACTTCCCTTCCAGCCAACCGTGCGTATGCGTAATTTCGCTGGTGCTTATGAGTAATCTCCTTTGTTTTTTGGGGTACACTGCAAATGGCTGCACTTCCGCTGCTCTTCCGCTTCCGGCGCAAATACTCTCTACACTTCCTTTGTTATTCCAACCGGTGTCTTTGTCCACTGTTTACCTATGGCTTGTCCTGCGAGAGCGAGAGAGAACCGACTGGGCACGTTGTCCTGCCGCTTGTGAGTCGGCAAATCGGAAGCCGCTCGCTTTTATAGACTCGCCCGGCACTCTGCAAACGGCACTTAGAGAGAGAGAGAGCGGAATAGAGAGAGCGAAAGCAGAGAGAATTAGTGCTCCTGCAAAGCAACTCCCCCTCCACCCACCTTCTCCCCTCTTCTCCACATCCTTTGTTCTTGCATTGTTGCCTAATAATAAAACGGGAAGCGAATTTTGTTTACCGCCGTTCGTTTGTTTTGTTTTTTGTTTGCTCTGCCCCGGCAGCTTGCGCCGCTGGCCGCCAGGTGGTGTCAATGCACGCAACTTCGAGGTGGTCAAATACCTGGTACTTCGCGGGGGTTAATATGCATTCGTGTGCAAATGGCCTCCCAGCTTTCTTTTGAAAGCAATTCTTCTAGTGTCATTGTGCTGAAATCACAATTCGAAAATAATTTTACATTTCTATTAACCCACCAAAAGCATATAAGTTCCATTAAAATACAGTTACAAGTTTTGGTTTACAAAGTGCAAAGTGCAAATTTTATTTGTACTTAATATTTTACAATCTTAACTTTAGTTTTTGATACTTAGATACCAAATAATTATAAACACAAAAATATTTTTCTTAACTGAAGTAGATTATAAATCCACACGGGTATTATAAATTAATTTATTCCCAATTTTTTATTTATTATAAAACTATTGTTTTATTATTTTTTTTAATACATAGATACAACAAAAAAGTCCTGACTTTCCTATTTATTTTGATTCCTATTTAATGGTTGCAAATTTTCCGTGCTCATCCAAATTAAAATACAGAACACGGGCAGTATTATCCCTTCAAATGCAGGATTAGGCATCTGTTATTCGATACACAATCCCAAGCTGGTCTTCTTCGCCCTTTAATTGTTTTCGTTCCCTCCCCAAGGAGCCATCAATTATTAATCAGCTAGACGTTTTCATTTCACTTTGTTCCGTTTGACTTTCTCGGTTGATTTAATTTGCTGTTGTCGAAAATAGCACTGAGTGGTTTGTTGTTTCTTATTTTTGGGAGACCTGTGCCTGATTTGCCTAAAAAATCTTTGGCTATGACAGATTTCAAGGACCCTAGGCTGTCCTGCTTAAGAAACCAAGAGGCTTTTTGGGCCAAGCCATGTTTTATCAAAATTTCACCTCACTTAAGTTAAGGGCCGAAAATAGATTCAGTCCGCCTTCCATTCTGTTTTTGTTGTTTTTTAATTGCGCCTAAAATTGATTTTAATGCGCTATAAATAAACCGAATGCCAATTTTGTGAGAACGCATTTTAAGGCAGGCTAAGACGGCGGCGGCTTAATGAAGTCCTTTGTTTTGACTTTTAGATAATAAAATGGGAGGCCCTGAAAATCCAAAGGATGGGGGCTATTAAAAGCTAGGAATCAGGAGGTGTCGACAGCGATGAGATTTTCCCACTCCCCCCTAGAAAAGCCATGAACATCTAATTAGAGGCGCAATTGTTGACATCGAATGACGTCAGAGCGGCCAGTGATTCTGTTTCGGCCGAAATTATTCAACTTGGAACTCAGTTTGGCCGATGGGTCGGGAGTTGGGGACCCATTGTCAGCGCCTTGTTAAGCGCTTGTCGCATCCATTTAGCGGCGCATTAACTCGTTGCGACTTAATCAAGTAAGTCAACAGATTAATGAATAAGCTCAACGGTTGTCCTGCCGACGATTGACTCGAGTTTCGAAAGAAACTTTTTAATTGATTTTGCCTACTGATCCACGATTCGGAAATAGAAATACAAAGTTTTGTTTCTAATGATGTCTTCAAATAAAAAGGAATGTATCTTTTATAAGGATTACAAAAATAAGAACATGTAAGAACATAAAATTCAAAACGGGTTGTATATTTGTTTTCCTTTAATAAGTAACATAAACCTAAACAAGTAATTTAACAAAATCTAAGCTAAAATATTTCTCTAAACTTAAAATTTCTCTCGAAGCTGGTGAGCTTCACCCATTTAATTAACTTGGCTATTTGACTAGCTTATTGTGGTTTCAACCCTCACATTCTGCATGTTGTCTTTTGTTTTGATGGACTTTCGCAGAATAACCACAGGGAAAACTCAAACCCATTTCCCACGACAGATTCCTGGAACATATTTATTAAATCGCAGTTTTCAGACGAATAAAAACAATCTATTCAAACACATGAAATTCTCAAACTGCGTCACATAACTATTTGGAAGAGCAGTACAATTTGTCTCCCGTTGTTTACAGAATTTTGGGTTAAAGGCTCTTGTTTGTTTGCAGATAAATCATGCATTTTAATTTGATTTTTTAGGACAAACTGTGCCAAGGATATCCTGCCCTTTGAGCTTAAGGCTTGTTTATCAAAGGTTTGCTATTATAAAAAAAGGGTTCAAAGATACAATGACCTCGAAATGATGACTCGGCATGGGACCTTCGGTGTCCTTGGTTTGAGGCACCTAAATTATTGAGGTGTCATCAAAATTTAAACGATTTTACTTGTCATGCCCGCCAAGTGCAGCGGCGTCGATTAACGTCACACGGACATGATATGCGCCAGTCAAAACTATAAGGTCGAGTCCTTCGGCGACTTGATTTTGAGGACTTTGCCTACATCATCGCCAGCACCAAAGAGTCTCTCTGTTCCCAGGGAACAGAGTGCCGCAGACTGTTACCCAAACAAAAGGAGGCCACGTGCAGAATGGGCTCTCGCTCTCTCTCTCTCCCTCTCTCTCTCGAAGGATGTGCTGGCTCTCTTTCGGAGGGAGCTTTTGCCTACGTTAACGGTGTCCTTAAGCTTTCGCTAAACCGTTACGAATCGAATCGCCTTGGCCAATGAATTTCGGTTCATTCCCTTTGTTTTCCCTTCACCTTGAATGCAATTAAAATCGGTTTTTTTTTGTTTTCAATTCATGTATATTTTATTTTATTGACAGCTAGACTTAATTGTTAGGTTATCTCTGTTCAGTTAGGATCTAAAAATATATAGGCTCTAAACATTTTCGCTAGGTTCTCATTATTATCTACTATACCATTTACATTTCATCATGATATATTTTGTTATTCAGAATAATTAGTTTGGTTTTAAAAAAGTTTCAATTTATTGGAATGTGAATTATTGTAAAATGTTCCTCTATTAGTGTGTTCTTAAAGAATTTAGTTTCTGTGTTTTTCATTTCGTTTGTATAAATTCGTCAAATTTTGTTTTGGTTTTAATAGTCGTTGAAATCAGTGCAAAGTATAGTTTAAACTAGTTCAAAAGTGCAAAAATTTTTTTTTTAAAGCAGAACTGAAAGGTTTAACTTAAGGTCTCAAAAATTGTATTTTTAAGAGCTACGTTTCGAAAGATATGTGGGGTTTCTAAATAACATTTGGTTTTACTTTAAGCTAAGCTAAATTTTGTTTCCGTTTGTAAACTGAAAGTCCCTAAATTAGCCGTAGACAATTAGATCATCTAAGGTGTATATCGTAGCACATGTATAGTGTTGTTTTTGATTTTCGGGGCTTGGATTTAGGTACACTTATTGGGCCCAGTTCGCGGGCTGTTTGCGAACTCAGCTTCGACACATTTATAAAATATGCTCGCAACTGCTCGTTGTAAACCCCCGATTCCTCCGTTTTCTCTACTCAAATCTCTGTTTTTTTCAGGCACTACTCGTACATCACTAGAAAATCCTATGTATATTGTTCAAAACCCCCAACCAGCTTGCAGCTTTCTCTCGACTTCTCCCCCTAAATTTTAACCATTTTTTTTTTAGTACATATGCTGAAGAGTGTAGGGATAGCAGACCGCGTAGCTGGGCACTCGGGAATAAAGCCCCGACATGCCCTTCATGTAGACGTATTGGACCGGCGGTCGCAGGATGCTCTGCTGCTTCTTGTCCTTCTTGGAGGCGGGACCACCGCCGGAGGAGGACTTGGAGCTGGAGCCGGAGTGGCTGCTGCTGCTGCTGCTGTTGGAGTTGTTCGGCGAGAGGGACTTCTTCGGCTGCCGCAGGGGAGTGCTGCTGCAGGACAGCGAGCGAATGGAGACGTTTCCCGTGGGACTGGAGAAGTGCTGCAGCATGCGGCTCACCGAGGAGGAGATGGAAATCCGGCTGAGATGCAGTCCCGACGACTTGGCTGAGGCAGCGGATGCGGATCTTGGCTTGCTGTTCTCGTTCTCATCGTTTTCGTTGTCATTGTGGTGAGACAGTTCCACCTCGTCCTCCGCCTCGTTGCCGCTGCCCTCCTCGCTGGTGTCCTCCTCGAAGTGCAGCTGCGGATGCAGTTGCTCCATGGCGCTGCCGGGTCGGTAGACGGCCTCCACATAGATGTGCCCCTGCTGGTCGTAGTAATCCAACCCCGGCGAGTATCTCGAACAGGCCGAGGCACTCGAGGTGCGGGAGGTGTGCTCCAAATCCAACGAGGATCCATTAATGGGACACTCGTGGCTCCCTCTTTCATAACTCAAGCTGAAGGAGTCCGTGGAGCTGCTGCGAATGTCATCCTGGCTGCTGTAGACCGTATCGTTCTGGTGATTCTGATGGTGAAAGTGCCTGCCCAAATGCTTGCTGAGCAACTGCAGCAAACTCCGCGAGCGGGATAGTTTTTTGGGGCCATTTCTGGGATGGCGATGCAGCTTCTCCTTCTGCTGCTGCTTGCCGAGATCCATGGAGGAACTGGCCGCCGAACTGCCGCTGGAGCTCGACTTGGAGCCATTGTTGGGTGACAGGGTATCCATGGCGTGGTTTTGAATTTTTTTAAAGATTTTTCTTTAAAGTTTTTTTTAATGTTCACTTTCTGGCACTGGCACAGTATTCAAGTTCTCTTGCGAGTTTTGGTTTTTCAGTTTTAGATTTCTTGCTTTTCAATGGAACTTTTCTTTTGGGCTAACGCGAACCGTTGAAGTCTCGATGAAGACTGCAGTGGCAGGCGCTGGGCACCTGCTTTTATACCACTCCTCAATGTCGTGGCAGCTTCGGTCTTAACCTTCGCCCTCACGAGGACACTTCCATTCATTCGGCTGTGGCTTCGGGTGGCCGAGTTCATGTCGTCTGCCATACTGACACACACCCGTCGGAAATCAGTGCCCTGTGTGCCGTCGAGAAGGACACTTCACTTCATGCACGACACCCGCAGGAGTTGCGCTCCTCCTTCGAGAAGGTGGAAGGAAAACCTGTTGCTCGCCACGGGCTTTTCCACTCAACGTGACTGCTGATGCTTCCCCTTTTGGCCGGGCCAACAATGCCAGCTAACAACACTTCGGGCGTCGCTGGTTGCACTTTTGAGTTTTTAGCATTGTTGTGCGTGATTGGGAACGTGATCCGTGCACGTCATTCAAACGGGCGACGACTTTCCTGATAAACTCAGAGAAACACCTGAATCTTAAGTCAGAAATTGCTGGGCGCGATTTCGGTTAGTTGAAAAATTAATAAATGAAATAACATAATGAAAATATAAGGCATTTTGTTTTTTTTTACAATTTACCTATTTATTATACTTACATGATTGACAACATAAAGGATATTTTACAATTAGATATAATATAGTATGATATGGCTACAATTTAAAATATACGCATAATAATATTATATTATCAATATTATAAATATACGTATATTATTTTCAAGAAAATTGAACTTTTAATTTAATTTACTTTTAACTTGGGTTAACAAAAATGGTTAAGGTGGTAAAACAACCAAATAAAGTTTTGTCCCTTAATAATACATTTAGTAAAATTTTGTTGAAAATATGTAACTTTTCCTAAGAGTTTTGTTTTTTTTTCAGTGCTGCACGTCTAACACCTTCACATGACCACGTCAGACGCACAAGTCAACAGTTAACTTAAAACCAAGAAAAGGCTAAAATTGCCACATGCTCAACGTGCAACAGCCAGCAGCACTTGCAACTGCAACGCATGTGTCCAGAAATCACGAGTCGCCCAGTAGAAAAAAGCATGCGGCAAACTGCCAAGGGATCCTTTACTCCGAGATAGCTCCTGCAATTATGTTCCGAACAGGTTGCATCTCCACGGAACTCAAGCGGCGTTTGCACGTTTTGCAAAACGCATTTCGGTTATGCAGAATCCCCCGAAGACACAAGTTCTATAAATAAGAGAAGCGCCGGCCGCGATATTAACATAATCGGTAAATCGAAAAGGTCTCAGCTTAAAATACTTTCCCTTATTCACTGAAATAGGTCGATTTGTCTACTGATATTGCTTCTGTGGTTCTATGCTTTGATTATTGTTCTTAAAGAGCTTGAAATAAGTTCATTTGAAAATAACATTTAAATAAGCTCAAATAAATTTGGGTGATTGAAATGTGTTAAACATTTAGCCAAGAATTAATGTTATCTTATCTATCATGTATATTTATTTATTTTTCTTTTATGTATTTTATTCAATTTAATATATTGTTTTTTATTTTATTTTTTTGTATTTGTTTGTCCTAATTCCTTAAACAAATAAAGGCATCCACTTGAGCTTCCCGTCGAGAACTCTACTGTCCAAACCAATCAAAGGGTTTTGTGACAGGAAATCGAAAATCCGGAAATTCAGTCACTGGGTCACCAGATCCCCCAGGGATATGACACGTAGTCAGTGTAGGCCCACCTCCCACAATAATGGCATACATACATTATAGTATATATATATCAACCTGACCTGGTCAGGAAAATAGAGCTTAGCAGTGCGTGCCTAGGAAAATAGTGAAACGACTTTTGTGTGATTTGTGCATCTATTTGCTGTGGCTTTTGCTTTTGACTGGCAATCAGAGCAGAAATGCAGATAGCGAAAGGGCACCGAGTCCGACGTCGAGGGCTCCGTAGCGATTCGCATAGGGATAGGGGTATCCATAGGGACCTGGACTGCTGTGGTAGTTGTGGTAGTAGCTTCCTGGCTGGTAGGGTCCTCCGTAGTAGTAGGCTCCTGGCTGGGGGCCCACGAAGGGCTGCTGATAGCCAAGGCCGAAGGAGACCACTGGCTTGGCATCCGAACAGGTGGTGGCCACCAACAGGAGCACTGCTAACTGGAAGAGAAGAAGTTACCCTTCGTTGAGTGGATCTGCTTCTGAGAGGAAAGGAATTCGCTGCCTACCCAAAGATAATTGCGCATTTTATGTTTAGTTTGCCTTCTACGCCGTCCAGTGTCGTTTTAACTTTGAGCTCTTTTTTGCACTTCCCTGGACCTTTTATAGACCAAGCTGGGACCCAAAGCCTGTTTTCGCATTGGGTAAACAACTGGTAGGGGGTCCCATTCTAAATTCGTTTCATTCTTTTGCTAGCTCACTCAAAATAAAAACTCAAGAGCTTTATCACCTTTTAAATATTTGAATTTAAAGTTAGTTTGTAAAGTAAAAATCTTTAAAGTGGATGTAATGATGAAAAATTTGTAAAATAAACCTCAATAAGGTTTGTTTAAAGACGAGTTTATTTTTTGGTGAAACTAAATGAAATCAAAAAAAAAAATGAATTTGTTGTAAATATTTCCTTAAGTTTTTTATTCTTTAATTTCAATGAGGCAATTGCTTAAATTTTATTTCAAGTGCTTTGCTTTCGTTTGGTAGTGCTAGCTGTTGTTCGCATAGATTTACTTGCTTTCGTGGCTGGGACTTCTTTACCATTAATTGGACATTGTAAAACCTTGAACTTCCCGAGGACCGGATCAGATGCCGATGCTGATGCAGATAGATGCAGATGCAGCTGATGATGCTGATGAAGGTGCTTCTGCTCCTGCTCCTTCTGCACCAACAGGTTTTCCAGTCTGCTAGTCCAAGCAGACGATGGTAAGTAAGCTGATATTGATGCCACCTTCCCTCGACATTCCTCTCAATCAGAGGTATCAGTTCGCAAGAAGAGTGGCTTCTAATTAGCTTTGCATAATGAACACGGGCTCAATCTGGTTTCGTAATCATCAATCACGTCTGCTGATGGCCAGCAAAGTACGCTGTAAATATGATGAGATCAAGCATTATTCGGAGATAATTTTAAAATATTTTTTTAGGCAATAAAGCTAAGAAATTAGAGGTATTTAATTTATTGTGAAAGAAAGCTGCAGCTTGTTATTTCCTTCTTCTTCCATGGAAAGTCATATAAGCTTATCTGTTTTATTTTAACTTAAATTAATGATTTTATTAGTATGTATTTTTTTTATGTATATTTATTTTTATTGCATTTTCATTGTTAACATATAGTTTTAATGCCACGTTTTGTTCATCGAAGTTTTAATTTAAAATAATACGTGCCCATTTTAAAACAACATTTAAAATGTAATTAGTAAAATAAGACACATTAAATTTATTTTATATTTTAAGGTTCAAACAAAAAAAAAAGGGTAAGTAACATTTAATATAAGCGGTATTTATTGAATAATAGTGTCTCTTACATCAGCCAATTCTTGTTCCTGGTTTAACGAAGTTATCTATGCAAATCTAATTAAATAACTGTTTATTTATATAGACTACCGGCAGATTACAATATGTTCCAAGGACATCGAAGTGTTATCAAAGCTGTTGGGGCGTTCATTATTAGCCGAAACGAAAGCGCCGGCAGAGTATCAGTCGCCATCGAGCAATCAAATGTTAATTAATATGAGCGATTCGATTAGCATTCGGTTTCCGTTCTACGCATTTGCGTATTTCCCATGGGTGGATTCTTGGGTGGGCCATGTGACAGCCGCGGGTCACGTTTCCAAGTCCTTTTCAGGATCCACAAACCTGCCATCAAAGGACGAGAATCGTGGAATCAAACGGTGGCAGGTGAATTCCCCGCAGTCACATTGCATCCAGCAAATGAAATTCTACGGCTTCTTTTTGCTCCAGTGACGTACAACATGATTCTCGATTTGTTTGCCACTTTTTGTTAACGATTTTGTTAAATTTAGACAGGCCTCCTATGGCATAGGTGAATAACTCTAAACAGGGATGGGAATTCAAGCGGGGTCATTCGATATAGTCAGCCATTGTCGGGGCTTTATATCTGAACAATAGGAGGCCGAGTTCAACAGACACCGGGTGACCTAGGTCACTGGGTTTTCCTCTTCGGGGGAAGTAGGAAAGTTGTTTTCACAGACACCGCCAAACAATAGGGGTTATCCAGAGTTAAACCGAACTTTATTCAAATTTCACATGGTTACAATCGACGCAATGTTGCCCTCTGAGAGGGTTTCTTGCTCCCCGGGATCTAGTAGATGTACTCATAGGTCAGGGGCTTGTAGTCGCTGCGATATTGCTGCTGGAAGGAGTTCGGGGTCTCCACGCTGTGATAAAGATGCGATTCGGCTGCTGCAGGAGCAATCAATCGGGAATATGCCAATGGAAGGACTGGTAAGGTCCTGGCAAAAGTTCCAGGATAATACCCATAGGTTGGGGTATAATAATACAGCTCGTGGCTCAAAGCCAAACCAAGCAAGCAAGCGAAGATTATCTGTAGATATAATAATATAGCAAGAAACGAGATGCAAAAAGCAAACGATCTCACCAGCTTCATTGCTTTCTCGTTGCAGTTCCTTGGAGATCTCCTATCCAACTGAATAGCAATTCTCCTGATTTTCCTGCTTTTATAGCTGCTCACTCGGAGTCAGACCTTCACTTCCACTGGTGGCCAAGGTCAAAGGCAGTTGCCCATCAGGCGGCAAATGAAAGAAGCCCTTAACTCACTTTGAATGGGCCAGTTGCAATTGCAATTGCCAGCATTCTCGTTCCCTGCCACTCAGAATCCAGAATCCAGATGCGAATCGGATGGTCGTGAGTCCGCTGACAAGACATTGCATCCAGCATTGCCGTTTCATTCTGGCCAAGGAACATTCTTAATGTCCCCTTCTTTACACTTTTACATCTTGGCACCCAAGGCTTAGTAGCACTAAGAAAAAGTCGGGAGTATATTGGAAAATAAATTAAATCTAACAATTTATCAAGTTTTTTTTAACGTATATAAATATTTTATGGCTAAATTTCTACTTGTCTTCATATCAAGTTAAAATCTATAAGAACTCTGTTTTTGTAGGTACAAAGATAACATATTAAAAAAATAAGATGAAATGAATTCAATAATTTATATAAATTTAATTTTTAATAAAATAAGATTTTTGACTAATTTTTTAATTCTGGTTTCTTGCTACACATTTCAGATTCTTTTGTACTGTGGTACTTGGAAATAATTATAATTATAATGAATATCTACTTTAAATAATTGTTAAGAATATATATTTTCCTTTATTTTTACTTTTTTTAAAACATAATTCATAAACTAAATTATTATGCAACACAGTAATAAATGTCTAATCATTTACATATTTTATTTGCTAGTTATTTTCTAATATAAATCAATCTGAATGTTATACACTCCCAATAAATTGGCTCCACCATTATTCCTCTGAGTGTAGCTTCCACTCCTTGCTTTTTGCCAAGTCGCAAATGTTCTGCCCGCCGTTTGTTTACTCCGCTCGATTTGGTTTGGGCCTCGCTCCCGGGAACCCAAAATAAACAATTAAGTGCGTCCGGAATTGAGACGCACTTCCGGTGTTTTCCCGCCTCCTCTCGAGAGGCTTTCAAGGTCACAGTGTGGGGGCCGCCCAGAAATGGCCAGCTTTCCCTTTGTCTTCGGACCAATGAAAACAAACTCCCACGCCGAAATCAATTAAATGAGTTTATTGTTTGTATTATGTATAAATTCATTGAATGTTTTCGTATTTTTGCGGGTTGTTGATTTGTTTTTCGCCGGAATATTTGCGCAGTTTCCGCAGAGTTATTTTTATTTGGCCAATGCGGTGCGTATTTGGCAATATTAAAATCGGATCTGTGGTGCAACTTTCGGTGGGTTGGGTGGGCAATTGCAAACCAAAGTCAACCACTCAACCACTGAGCTCGCGAGCTGGGAAATCTGAGCACTCCGCGTCCTCTAAGATTTCAAAGAGTCTTTTGGGGTCTTGTGTGGCGGACCAAGGTCGAAACAATTGCTGGGGCTTCTCGCCATCATGGGCTGAGTTATAAAAGCCCGCCTCGCATTCAGCCAGCCATCAAACCATCTTTTGGCAGCTTCTCAACGAGATCCACTTCGAGTTTCGAGTTCAAGAAGTTCTCCAGTAATCAAAAACCCTCTCAAGATGTTCAAGCTGGTAAGGATTTCCTGGATTGAAGCTGAAATGAAAGGAGTTAATTAACAGAGTAACTTTTCCATTCCCCCAGTTCGTTTTCCTCACCTTTTGCCTGGCTTTGAGCTGTGCCGCTCCTGGTCTGCTGCACTCGTCGCCCATCCTGACCCACTCGTACCACAGTCTGCCCTCGGTGCGTGTGATCCAGCCCATCTACAGCTCCTACTCCTCGCACGGCTACGGCGGCTATGGACATGGCCATGGCATTGGCCATGGATATGGTCATGGGTATGGCTGGATCTAGAGGAGCCATCTCACAAAGAGGCGTCCTCTTGGCAGCCGACAGAGCACCTGTCGCCCGAAGGAAGCTACTCCTCGGAGTTTAGCCTTTTATCCTTTGACGGACATGCCTCAAATAAACCTCTGAAATTGGTCTGAAATAAATGTGTTATAATTTACTGCTTTTAGGTGGGATGGGCTTACTCCATCGTGAGTAATTGAGTATTTAAGCCTCTGTTGTTGACTCAATTTGACTTAGTTAACGTTCAGATGCAGTTGAGAAATGTTTGCTGTAAGTACACTCAAGAAAAATAGGTTTTTATTAGGACAAAACAAATTAGTATTTAGTATGAGGATATATTATTGATATATCAAAAAACCCTAATATTTTAGAGTTGATTGAAATACTTATTAAAATATTTTAAATATTTTTTTTTTAGCAAAATCAACATTTGATATATACCTTTTAAAGTTCTTTCATATTCAAATTAATTTGTATACTTCTATTTTTAATACAAACATAATTAAAGGCAACTACAAATGCTCCTAAAAACAAAAAATTCAGCTTTAAAATTATATTTATATTTTTATTTATATTTATATTTACAATAATTTTTTTTTCAGTTTATTTTTATTTTTCTACTTCTTATTAATGTGAAATGCAGTCAGTCAATGTATATAGTGATACCGACCAATTTGGGCAGAAGTTTTGAGTTAAGAGAGGAAACCCTTTACCAGGAAACAATACCAGCAATTGAAATTATGGAAGACCCTGCCAAATTATACACCCCAAACGATTTCTTTGGAGATGCTCAAAAGTTAATCGTTGCCGTGCAAAAATTCTTGCAACATCCGCCGACCTCGCTGCACAGTGCGTTCAACCAACTGCAGAGCAACGCGAAAAAAAACCACCAGAAACAGAAGCCCGTGAAAAACAAGGTGGTTCTTGACCCCTTCGGAAACATTTCATTCACCCTGGGCTGGTCAGCCAACCTGCAGGTGTTCAATAGCATCGCTTTCACCAAAAATCGAAGTCTGGTCAACTACAATGGACGGACTAAGGGTTAACACAACAACTTGTCTAACACAATACAAAAATTCTCACATACTTTACGGCGGCTCCATGTTAGTATAGAACTTAAACTGAACTTTATGTAACACTAAAATAAAGGAATGCCCTATGCACAATTCGGTTTGGTTCTGTTTGTGATTTGCGCTGATTACGTATACGCCACGGTGTCTAATTTTAAACGCCGCACGTTGCATTGTCTCACCGTTGTGTTTTGTTTCCTGTCTGGAAATGGCTGCACGCCTGTCAACATGTGGATTTGCCAAGGATAATTATCCTTAATTGTTATTAGTTTGCGACTGCAGGTGCAACTCCCACTCAACTACTTTCTTTCTTTTGCTTCTTTAACAGATGAAAATACTTTAATTGGTTGTCAAGAACATCCATTAAAAAAGAGTAAGCACAGTTGGCTTTATAGGCATGAACTTTAGCATATTAAAATTTCTTTTTATATAGCAAATGCAACAAAGTTAACTTAAACATGGCATTTAAAAGTGATCGAAAGTCTAAAACGCTTGTACGCATTAAAGTTTGCCACATCAAGTTTAAAAGAATTTCAATTGTTCTTTTAATCATCTTTATTTTTTTGCAAATCAAATCCCTTTGAATATTTATATACATATTTTCAAAATATAAATTCTGTGAGTAGCCTATTTTTTTGGTTTTTAGTTTTCAACATACTTAATATGTTGTTGCCACACAAATTCTCCCAAATATAGAACCCGCTATTTCCCCGATTCAAAGACAAATGAGTTCGTTGTTGTGCGAGTTTATTTCAATTTAGTGCCAAGTGTCCATCTGTTGTCTTCCGAAGTTATTCACGTCCTCCCGGGAACCTACTTCTTGAGCAGAAGAGGAGCGGAGTAGGCGGCGGCATAGGGAGCGGTGTAGGCAGCGGTGTAGGGAGCGGCGTAGGCGGCGGTGTAGGCAGCGGTGTAGGGGGCAGCCACGTAGGGGGATGCCACATACGGAGACGCCACGTAGGGGGAGGCTGCCACGTAGGGGGCGGAGTAGGCCAGAGGAGCCACAATACCCGGCTTGGCAGCGGCGCAGGCGAACAGAGCGAAGATGACGGCGGCGACGAACTTGAACATCTTGGAAGGATTGGTTTTTTTGGTTGGTTTTACTTGTCGAATTGAACAAATGCAACTGATGTCTGAAACAGTCAAGAGCCGTGGCTTTTATAGCCGCCGTCAGTCGAATGCCCAACGACCTTGCAAGGCCTCCGTCCGAATAACTAAATTATGTTGCTTAGCCAAGTCACGTACTTATGCGCAGTTGGCTTCAGCGAACGGTTTTAGGTTTGAGTGAGGCTCGTACTTTGGCTAATTAAATAGTGGGCTAAGAAATATACAAGTGGTGAGCTTAAGTGCCAAGGCTAATTGTGGGTGGTCTTGCGGGTATAAAACGGCGTGTTCATCCAGCAGTTGTCATCAGTTTCGTTTGCCAGCAAATCAAAACAGCCCAATCCACCAAGATGTTCAAGTTCCTCGCCGTCGCTCTATTCGCTCTGCTTGCCTGCGTGGCTGCCAAGCCCGGAATCGTGGCTCCTCTGGCCTACTCCGCTCCTCTGGTGGCAGCTGCTCCCGCGGCGGCAGTCTACAGCCGGGAGTACCACGGCAACTTCGCCGCTCCCTACGTGGCAGCCTCCCCCTACGTGGCGTCTCCCTATGTGGCGTCTCCCTACGTGGCGTCTCCCTACGTGGCTTCCCCCTATGTGGCTGCTCCCTACACCGCTCCTCTGCTCCTGAAGAAGTAGGATGGATGATGAGGACTTGACCACACCTGATAGAAAAACGGAAACCGAATTAGAAAACAAAATAAACAATCTATAAAAAACGAAAACAACTTTTGTATTCTGCTATTGGGGTTTGTTTCAGGAAATATCAAAGTTTATTGCTGTTTAACAGCGTGCCATTGAAATGTATTTTACTTTATATTTTGGTTGCTCAAAAAAAAAAAAAAATGAGGCAAACTGATTTTATTTTTATTTTAGTTCGCCAAATTAATTTTGTTCATAGTTGTTTTGTTTATATTTGTATTCAAATACAATTATATTGTCACATTCTGTTTACATTGCCGATCTCGTTGGGGTTTTCAAGGTCTGACGGTTCGAAGTTATCAGGGCTCAATGGCATACAGGAAGTTGGATCTCTGGTGCAACGTCACTTCTGATAAACCCACAAGTGCTTCTCCTCTTCCTATATTGACACTTTATCATCTGCTTTCTTTATTTTGCAATATTTGTTTATATAGAGTATAACACTTATTCTTTTAGTCTAAAATCTTCTTTTGTTATTTTACATTTAGTTCCTGTTTTAATTTTATGTTTTCCCTGATTGATTATAAAAAAAAAATACATTTCAAGATATAGTTTTTTTTTATTATTTCTTTATTCCCTTTAAATTTGTTATTTTTCAGTGCGGAATTAGTTTTTTTTGGTAAACAAAGGTTTGATTTTATTTATTCTTATTTTAAAGATCTTTGGAAACTACAAATTATTTATTTACTACGTTTGTCTTAAAATTGTAGATTTTTCACTAACACATAAAATGAATATATATATGAAGAGACAAAAAAAATTTAATTGGCTGACGAATTTTTTTAAAACTTATTTAGCAAAAGTTTGTAATGCAAACATCAGAAAAAAACCTTTAGTTTCTCAGAAAATAAATGCATGTTACTCCAAGTTGAGGTTAGCTTCCATTGTGGCATTGGAGCGGAAGACAATGCTGCTGCGATCGTATCGCCCCGACCGACGATTCTTCAGATATCGGAGGGCTATCACCGTCACCACGCCCACCAGAACCAGGGCACCCACCACGTAGGCGAAAACCTGCATGAAGGCCAAGTGGAGTTCCAGATTCCTCGAATGCGATCCCACAACTTCCAGCTGCTTCGACAACATCTTGATCTGCGATTCCAGACGGGATTCCTCTTCGGCGAAGGAGGCATTTACCACTCGTTGCGATTGACTGATGCAGGATACATCTCGGATGTGGGGGGTCTCCTCCAGATTGGAGTCCGGTTCGATATTCAGAACCACCGATTCGGGCAACGAAGGTGGAATGAGCAGGCGGTGCAAGTAGGAGCAGTTGAAATGATTCTTTGAGACTCCCAATTTCTGGAGCTGCGGAAAGGCATCGGAAAAGGACCGATTTCCCTGCAGCTCACTCAACCCATTTCCATCGATCAGGAACTTTTTCAGATTGGTCAGATACGGCACAAACATATCCAGATTAAGGCTGGTCATGTTGTTAAAGGACAGGTCCAGCTCCTCCAAGTATTTCTGCTTCGAAAACATTCCAAACTTGAGCTCTCGAATTCCAGTTCCCCGCAGATTTAATCCCCTCAATCTTTTGAGTTGCGAAAAAGTGCTGACATTTAAAGGACCAATGGGATTTTCCGAAATATCCAGATAGAGTAGGTAGGTGATATTAGTTATATTGGATATGCTGGTTAAGTTATTGGCACTCAAATCCAGGGTTTCGATGTGCAAACTCTGGTGCAAGTATAGCTCCGAAATTTGATTGTGACTTGCCCTCACAAATCTCGTGGCATTAATGGTCAAATTCGTGAGGTTGTTGTTATCCAAGTGAAGCTGGTGCACAATGTTTTTCTCCGTCAACTGAAAGTTCTTCAACTGATTGTACGACAGCACAAGATTTTCCAAGCTCGCAGCATCAGCAAAAGTATCCGGGTGAATGAAAACCAGTCGATTGTTGGACAGATTCACTTCCTTGATGCGCCGCATATTTCGAAATACCTCCGATTGAATGGTGGTCAGTAGATTCCCCTCGAAGGATACCTTCTCCAAGTACTCGTTGTCCTTGAAAATGTCCTTGTCCAGCTCCTTTAGCAGATTGCCAGTTAGAAAAATTTGACTAATTGTGTGCAGCCCACAAAAGGCATTAACACTCAGCGAGGATATATCGTTGTAGGACAGATCCAATCGCATCAGGACATTGGCTCCTATAAAAACCGATGTCTGAATGGTGGTCAAATTATTATAGGCCAGATTCAGATAGGTTAGATTACTGGCCGCACTGAAAGCGTTTCTGGTTAGTTCCAAAATATTCGTGTTCGACACGTCCAGGGTTTTCAGATACGGAAACGTCTCGAAAAGGTGGAAGGGCATATAGAGCAGCGTCGATTCGTAGAACTTCATGAACTTGACCATATTTCCCGGCGGTATGTTTTTTATCACGACATTCTGGCTGTGGGTGACCGTGAATCCGGTGACCGTGCAAAAGGCCTCGTTCTCGTCCATATATCCCATCGAATCGTACTCGTCGCATCGCAAGGGAATATCTCCACCGTTCGCCGTGATTCCCGATATCGTTAGCAAAAGGATAAGGATCCTCAGGAGGATCCTGCGCGACTTATTCATTTTATCCACGAACCGCTCGCCGTCAGTAAACATTGCAAACTGCAGCTTTGCAAATTCGCAGACTGCACTTCCAGCTTCCCCAATCAGTTTGCATTTCTGCATATGTATATTTATATAGTGGAATTTATCTGGCTCCTCACAAGATTGAAGTTCTCAGTAGTCCAGCCGTACGGTGATAAGAATTGTCGGTCTGCACTTTGTTTTGTTTTATTTATACTCTTAAAAGGGATATATAACATTTTTAATGTAAATAAAAAGTGTTTGCATATATTATAAAACTTTATTTGTTTGTGATACTCTTAATCAGGGAACATATGAATGAATTCCTTACAACTCATTTACAAAGCTGGTAATTTGTTGCAGCGTAACGAATAAAAAATATAAGACTTATTTCATTAATTAAGTGCCAATCTGGTGTTCTTTTTTTAGGCTTAGGTTGCAAATATTTACCCTCACGAACATTTGTATTATTTATTTACTGACTTATGTACACTTTTGCCGCCATAAGAAGTGCGCCCACACAATCCGGGCAATGGATTTGTTTTGGGTTCACCAAATACCAGAAGTATCGGTTGTGTAAAGGGTGTTGGCCCCTTCATCCTCGGCACATAACCGCTCTTCTTTTAGAGCCTTTATCTGTCTGGTGTCTTTTTCGCAAGAGATACATAACCACATAGGCTGTGAATGGCTGGTAAGTTGAGCTTGGCTCCTAATGAAAGCCGTCTGCCAACTATAGTTGCACAGATAGCCGTCGACCCCCGCGCAATTGCATTGCTCTCCGTTTGGTTTATTGACCTTTTTCGATGCGAAAGCGCGCATAACTGCCATTCTGGCCGTAAAGCAGATTAGATTTTGATCTGGAATGGGATTGCATAAAGGGAATGGGATTGCACTCGTCGGATGCGTAACCCTGAACCAATGCACTCGCAATCGGATTAGAAGGGGGGAATATTTCAACGATTGCCGGTTATGGTAGCTCTTTAACCCAAGGGGTTACTCATCATCATCGGCAATTAGCTTTGTCTGGTGGCATCAATCACATTCAGCTACTGGTTACCTTCGCGGCGACAACTTTAATGGGCCCACAATGCGGACGTGCCCGAAATACCTCGATCATGATTGTCTTGTGTTGTGTGGCTTCGAATCGGATTCGAATCGGATTCGAATTGAATCGACCTCCCCGTTCGATGGGCACGTAGCCAAAACGGCAAATCGAGTTAACCAAAGGCCGCTCTGCATTCCCCATGCAGGTGGTATATACTATATAGAATCATTTCATTGTACCGATCATCGTGTGTGCCCAGAAATTCAAGCACCTCCTGCCAGTTTCAGTTGCTATAAAAGTTGCCTGGCCGATCGAATCAAATCGTAGTCCAATTTGCTAGCTCAAATCAAACTAAACAAACCAACATGTTCAAGCTGGTGGGTGTCCGGTGTTCTATATCCCCGCGATATCTTTCGGAGATTTAATTGAATATCTTACTTTCAGTCCGCTCTCGTTGTCCTGTGCGCCCTGGTGGCCTCTTCTCTGGCTGAGCCCAAGCCAGCTGTCCTGGCTGCTGCTCCTCTGGTCGCCGCTGCTCCGGCGGGTGTGGTCACTGCCACCAGTTCGCAGTACGTGGCTCGCAACTTCAACGGCGTGGCTGCTGCTCCAGTTGTTGCCGCCGCTTATACCGCTCCCGTTGCCGCTGCCTATACCGCTCCAGTTGCCGCTGCTTATACCGCTCCCGTTGCCGCTGCCTATACCGCTCCAGTGGCCGCCGCCTACTCCGCTTACCCCTATGCCGCCTACCCGTACGCCGCCGGCTACACCACTGTGTTGTAAGGAGGATTTAAAAAGACACTAAACGGATTCGAAATGGATATTAATGCAACCGAACTGGAATAAAATAAATTCAAAACAAAGCTAAAAACCTTTTTATTGAAATGGGGATATTAAATGGGGATATTATTTAGGCTTGTAGGAAAAAATGGAATATTCGATTCTCAATGAATCCTTGGAGTTTACCTTCTCCACGCATTCATCTTTTTTTTATACCTACCCAAAAATTTGTAAATAATGAAGAAGGAAAAATAGTTAATATTAGAATATGTATATGCTCGATTTTATTTTGATTTTGTTTTTACTTTATTGAAAACAAGTATAAGCGGGTTCGTACAGTACTTTTTCTTTCTTTTAATTTTGCAAAAAATTAGAAAATTGAAAATTAGCTTAATACGGTTTTTTTTTTTTAATTTTGCAAAAAATTAGAAATTCGAAAATTAGCTTATTAACATTCTGTAAACGAAAAAAAAACGCTTCGGCGATTGACTGATGCAGGATACATTTCGGATGTGGGGGGTCTCCTCCAGATTGGAGTCCGGTTCGATATTCAGAACCACCCATTCGGGCAGCGAAGGTGGATTGAGCAGGCGATGCAAATAGGAGCAATTGAAGTAATTCCTGGAAACTCCCAATTTCTGGAGCTGCGGAAAGGCATCGGAAAACGAGCGACTTCCCTGGAGCTCATTTAGTTCATTGCCGTCTATTAGGAACTTTTTCAATTTCGACTGATACGGCACAAACATATCCAGATTAAGGCTGGACATGTAATTGAAAGATAGGTCCAGCTCCTCCAAGTGTTTCTGCTCCGAAAACATTCCAAATTCAAGCTCTTGAATTCCAGTTCCCCGCAGATTTAATCCCCTCAATCTCTTGAGTTGCGAAAAAGTGCTGACATTTAAAGGACCAATGGGGTTTTCCGAAATATCCAGATAGAGTAGGTAGGTTATATTAGTTATATTGGATATACTCGTCAAGTTATTGGCACTCAAATCAAGTGTTTCGATGTGAAAACTCTGGTGGAAGTAAAGCTCCGAAATTTGATTATGACTCGCTCTTACAATCCTCGTGGCATTAATGGTCAAATTAGTTAGGTTGTTGTTATCCAAGTGCAGCTGGATCACAATGTTTTTCTCCGTCAACTGAAAGTTCTTCAACTGATTGTTCGACAGAAAAAGATATTCCAAGCTCGCAGCATCAGCAAAAGTATCCGGGTGAATGAAAACCAGTCGATTGTTGGACAGATTCACTTCCTTAATGCGCCGCATATTTCGAAATACCTCCGATTTAATGGTGGTCAGTAAATTCCCGTCGAAGTATACCTGCTCCAAGTACTCATTGTCCTTGAAAATATCCTTGTCCAGCTCCTTCAGCAGGTTGCCAGATAGATAAAGCTGGGCCATGGTGCGCAGCCCACAAAAGGCATAAACACTTAGCGAGGATATTTTATTGTAGGACAGATTCAATCGCATCAGGACATTAGCTCCTATAAAAACCGATCTCTGAATTGTGGTGAGGTTGTTATAGGCCAAATTCAAATGAGTTAGATTACTGGCCGCACTGAAAGCGTTTCTGGTTAGTTCCAAAATACTCTTATTCCTCACATCCAGGGATTTCAAATACGGAAAGGTCTCGAAAAGGTGGAAGGGCATATACAATAGCGTCGATCCGTAGAACTTCATGACCTTGACCATATTTCCCGGTGGTATGTTTTTAATCACGACATTCTGGCTGTGGGTGACCGTCAATCCCCTGACCCTGCAAAAGGCATCGTTCTCGTCCATGTATCCCTTCGAATCGTACCCGTCGCATCGCAAGGGAACATCTGTACCATTCGCCGTGATTCCCGATATCGTTAGCAAAAGCATAAGGATCCTTAGGAGGATCCTGCGCGACTTATTCATTTTATCCACGAACCGCTCGCCGTCAGTAAACATTGCAAACTGCAGCTTTGCAAATTCGCAGACTGCACTTCCAGCTTCGCCAATCAGTTCGCATTTCTGTATATAGTGGTATACGGTTATCTGGCTCCTCACAAGATTAAAAGTTCTCAGTTCTCTTTCTTACAATACTTTTTATTATTATTTTTTTTTTTTTAATTTTGCAAAACAAAAGAAAAGTTATAAATAACCATATTAACATTCTGTACCTCCACATACATGTAAATGTTTTTGATTTTTTTATTTACAATAACTAACTGTGCCTCTCTCCCATCCCCTTAAATCTTTAGTTCCGCCTTCTCTAAAAACTTAAAAATGCGGAACTAAACTCCCAAAATACCCGAATTGCGTCACATTCCATTGACAAATTGACAAATTGCGAATAGACACAAGACAGATTCCTCTCGTAGGAGAATCACGTGTTGGCCATTTAAAAAGTGCCGGCAGAAAGTTGCGTCAGCCATGAGTAGACACTTACGTATCCAACTGATTTAAAAATATATTATGGTGTATATATTTCATTCAAGTGGGAGGTAACAACAACAAAACGAGTAACAAGTAACAGGAAAATCAATCAATTCAACAGGAAGGACAGCAGGGTCCTTCGGCCATCCTTTTTCGAGTGGCAGGAGGATGCGGAGCCCTTAGGTGACTATTATCTGGACGGGAATGCTGGTGGAGGCGCTGTAGCGTCCGAATGGCAGCCACGCAGCTGGGTAGAACAAAGGATAGCTCGGCGGCGGTGCACCACCGACAGGTGGTGGTGGCCCCCGTGGTGGTGGGGGAGCAGCAGCTCCAGCTGCCAGCGGTGGTGGTGCTGGTGGTGCAGCGCGGTGGGCAGGCGGCACATCGATCTCCTCGGCGGCATCCTGGATCTGACCCGCTATAGTCTGGTGGTGGATCAGCTGGATCAGGAGCAGCAGTGCCACCTGAAATGGCCACCGGTGATGGTGAGGCCTCTTCTTCATTTGCGAGCAAGTGCATCGACTTCTCCGCGGAGAAACGCTTCAGACTTACTAATTTCCTGTACATAGCCGATAAGATCTGATTGCTCAACGTTCTAAAAACGAAATAAACACAAGTCTGGTGGAAGAACCCAGCTTTATAAACTTCTGATCGGAAGCCGGCAGTTTTTGTGGGTCACTTCGATACTAACCGATCGGTAGATCAATATCCCAACCGATTTTAGTATGCAAATCACGGCGAAAACATCGATTTGTTTTTCGCTTTTCGTCACGCTTTTAAAAATACCAAACGAAACCAAAAGTGCAAAGCCATAATGCTCGCAGATTCTCCTTGGCTGGCTTCGAAATGGACTTGGAACCGATCTGAGAATGGATCGTGAATACCAATAGCCATTCATCACCTTCGTTGCTTTTGGCGCTTGGAATTTTCTCGACCGATTCTGCTATATATACTCGAGTGTGGTCGGTCTAGGAGATATCAGTCTAGTACTTGAGAACCAACAGTTCACAACCAACCAACCAATCAACATGTTCAAATACGTAAGGATCGAAGGATTATTGGATTTTCATCGATCAAAGGAATACTTATAGAGGTTACTAAATATATTTTTTTGTAAATAATTACAGTTCGCTCTGTGCCTGTTCGCCATTGTGGCTTGTGTGGCTGCCAAGCCGGCGGTGATCGCTGCTCCATTGGCCTACAGTGCCTACTCCTCTCCTTATGTGGCAGCAGCCCCTTACTCGGCTGCCTACACCGCTGCTTACACCGCACCAGTGGCCGCCGCCTACTCCGCCTACTCGTATCCCTACGCCTCCGCCTACTCGGCCTACCCCTATGCCGCCTACTACCGTTAAGACTGGATAAGGGATAAGGATAAAGGATACTCTATCACCTGACTGCTGAACTGGAACCTGAGAAACCCATATATATATTGCAACAAGGATACTTCCACTCCAAATATGATATAACCACCCACTTAAATCCAAAGCTGTCCGCTTAAATCCTGGTATTAGTTCGGCTTATTACCCATTTTTCCACCTCTGCCGAATGATGAATGTAAATTCAAGGGAACAGGACCTGCAAACATAAAAGGAATATTGTTGTTGAAATAAATAATGCAATTTGCGTAAAACGTATACGATTTATCTGTTTTTTATCTTATTACTAAATAAGTTTTGATGTGTGGTTTTATCTACCATCACATACTTTCGGGCTGTAAACATTTAAGTTAAATTAATACTTACAATTTTATTGCAGAGATGACGATATCACATCTTTTTGTAATTTGTAAATTGGCAGCCGTAACACGTACCTATTAATGGTTATGAGGACAACCGACAATTAAAATATTAAGTTGGTTGACGTGATAAATAATTTCGTTATAAAATTGGCACACTTTAAATTTACGGGCACTTGGGCAATGTCTTTTATTGGTATGATTTTGATTTACACAAATTCATTTAAAATAGTAAATAAAGAAAGTAATTATTTTTAATAACAAATCACAAACATTATTAATAAAATTTAACTGAATTTATTTATAAATGCAATTTAGAAAACTCCTTATTGTTTGTTCAATAGAAATAGATAATGCAAACGAAACCACAACTTGTTATTTATGATGGCCATGTTTACTTTGGAATAAAAGGGTCAACTAGTCCGCCGGTTTACTGAACTCCAAAGCCCTTGATGCGATGTTAACGATTCCCTGCATTGGATGTCCTCCACCTTCAGCCGAGGGTTCAACTCGATGACGTCCTTCGAGACTGGATAAACCACTTCTATTTTTATTTGCATCTCCGATTAGAATGCAAAGCGGCGCCTTCGAGTGGCTGACAATTGAAACGCAGAGAGTGAGTCGAACTCCGAAGATGGCCAACCGTCGATGGTTGGAATGATACGCACGTCTATAGCCCACAAAACGCACTGAGTGCTAAATTATGATAATTCAATCCGCAATTCAGGCAGCTGCTGACGCCACTCGCGGAAATGCTCAACTGGGGAGCTGTAAAAAAAGCATTTATTGAAAATAAATTCACAAGAAATGCGTACTATCTGCAAGCATATCAAGCACTGAGCTGCAAATTTTAAATGGGCTACTAAAACCGGCCGAATTGTTGGCCATGATTTGACCATGGTACGTGATGGAAATGTTTTAAGCTCTGTGGATTTTTGTTTTCAGCTGGGTTTTATCAAGGATGAAACGGAGGTTTGACTATATAAACCACTTCAAACTGAACTATAGACATCAATCAGAAGTCTAACTTCGAAGTTAACACAACAATCCCAAGCAAAATGATGAAATTCGTAAGTAAAAAAAATATAAGACTTAAGGATTAGAAGAACAGATGCAGATCTAACCAAGCCAGGATGCTTCTGGTTTAAATTAAAAACTCAATTAGAAAAATTAAATAAAATGCCATTAAGCAAAATAATAATTATATCCATTAAAAAAATTGTAAAAAATTGATTTGTAAGAACTTGTATTTTAAGAAAAAGTACAATAATTTTTTAAGTACAATTATTTTTCAATTAATCTTTGAATCTGAGTGATTGTTGTACTAAATGTAAATTTTTTGTATTAATTTTTTAATTGAACTGATTTTTAATTTTCTTATATGAATAAGACCCACCTAAATTTATGGTTATTTTAATGGTATTTTTTGCAAACTTTTTATCCTCCAGTTCGCTGTCGTCCTTTGCGCTCTGTTCGCCGCCGCTGCTGCCAGTCCCGGTTTGTTGGCCTACAACGCTCCTTTGGCTTACTCCACCCCGCTGGCCTACAGCTCCCTCCCTGCTGCCGCCCCCCTCACCTACACCGCCGCCTACACCTCTGCCTACGCCCCCTACGTGGCTCCCTACGCCAGCAGCTTCTCTGCCCACAGTGTGGCCCACAGCGCCGCCATCCCCGCCGTTTATGCCGCCGCCCCCGTGGCCACCATCCTGAAGAAGTGAGAGGTCCTGGCGGCACAAGGGATCCTGCCAGCGATGCTGCACGTGTCTCCCAGCCGAAGATAGCAGATACAGGCTAGAGATACAGATACAGATACAGAAGCAAGCGCAGATGGAGATACACGCTCGCAGGCAAACACAAATAAAAACGCATTGCATCAGGCCCACGCACTGACTAACTCAGAAGAGAAAAGGAAAACGAGTTTTATTCTTTCCGCTTGGAATTAATCTTGCAGTGGGCAGTGGGAAATGTGCACGAGGGAAACTCTGAAATTCAGAATGTTTGTTGGGAACTAAAAATACATCTAGGAGTATATTTAGGAATACTCCAAAGGGTTAACCATAAAATGGAAATGGTTTAAGTTTAAAAACGATGTGAAGTGATGCAAAAATTGTGTTCAATTAGAAGAATAAGAACATAGTAATGGTCTGCCCAAAATTAAAAATGAAAAGCTTAACTTCAGCCAAACACATATGGAATTAACACATAAAAACAATATGTATACAGATTTTTTTTTGTTACAATTTGAATGCAATTCGAATATTAGTGGTTACTAAATTGAATTTAGTAATTTCATGTTTATATAGCTTTTTCTAGTTCAAAATTGGCACGGATTTAAGCCACATTATACAATTAATACTCAAACGTCTTAGACCACTATTGTTTTAAAATTGTCCCCATAAGAGAGTGTGTCCTCGAAGGGCGCTTCAACTCTTGGCTGTTTGTGTGCTCATTCCGGTTCATCGACACGGTTCCACGTTTCTTGGCATAATCCTTGGGCTTTGTTTACCCAGCTCGTATCCTTTTACTGCCCTGACCCTCATGGTTTACGAGTATATATGGCAAGCCAGCCAGCGGCATTGTTTATCATTTTGATTGCGAGTTGCGTGTGTGCCGGCTCAGAGGTCGTTGGTTTGCTACAGTCGCCACTTCTACAGCAAATGTTGCACTCAATTAAAATGCGCCGCTTAAACTGCACTTTGCTAATCACAAACAATCAATAAGCCAAACGGAACCACGCCTAAAATCAAATAGCCTCGCCAACTTTGGCATTAATCACACACCGCATGCATCTGGCACAAAAAAATATGAAAATCAAATCAACAGAGCGACATTTAACTAAAACTAAATTTTGCAAATTAATTCAGGCCTTTCAGTCGCTAACTTCAATGTTTTCAACGCCTTAGTCATGCCCCCAAATGAGAAGCCCCGCCCCCCTTCACGTGTAGTTTCGCTTCTTGCAACTAATTTACTTGTTTGTGGCCGCAGTCGGAAAATTAAATTACAATTTTAACGCTGCCTTTTGTCTTGATGGGCACGCCCCACTAATAAAGTGGCCCCCTCGCCAAAACACGCGGCGATTTGTAATTACCGAAGCCCCAGAAGTTGCACTTAAACGCTCCGTTTCCCAGGCTACAGGTGGGGTTACTATTTAAGTTTTTTGCTTAAAAGAAGGTACGTGGGTTGAGAAAGGTGACAAATATTAAACAATAAACAGGTTACACTGAGAAAATTATGAAATCATATAAGTGAAATTGAAAGAAATTGTAGAAAGTATAAACACATGTGAATATATACTTAATAGTATTAAGTGTGCACATACTATTATGTTATGCATTGTATTATAGTGTGTACTTTACATTAAGCTTTAATAAGACAACCGATATCGATAACATTAATCAAGGTTTCCCTGTGCTTCTACAATTTATTCTGTTCCATATAGAATTATAAGTGTCCGATATTATCAGTTTTGTAATTAAAAAGTGTTTCCCACCTCCCTCCAATTAACTCTACGCATATCAACTTTGCAAACAAGGCAACTTTTGGGCCCATATGCTATAATTACCCCCCGCTGTTAACCGATTACAACAATCTTGTCTAATTGACAGTTGTACACTGTCATTCGAGAGCATTGAAGCGATAATGCGAGGCGAGTCTGCGGCGATTAGAACTTGCTGCGATCAATTTGCGGAGACATCAATAAAAAAAAACCCGATCCGTGAGCGCTCGCATTTCAGCTGAGGTGCGCAATAAATTGCATTTTGATTTAATCGCTGTGTTGCACAAGTGCCACAAAATTAATTGCCAGCAATTTTTCGCACTGTGTAGATATCAGCCAAGGCAGCAACTGTGAGTCCGAGCCGGATCTCGGGAGGCTCTTAATTGAAATGCTTGGCCAGTTTGATTTACAACCCAAAAGCGCCAATCGGCTGGAGAACTTCGGCAAGTCGAGAGGCAATCGCCCACACGGCGTATGCGTATGCAAATCCCCTTCGAGTTACGCACTGGTAACATAGGCCCCTTAATCTCCTTCCCCCTCCCCCTTCTGACCACCTTGTTATTGTCACCAGTGGCTTGCCTTTCCATTAGCCCGCAGGCTTTTCTGGACGGGATTAGGCCTTCTCCTTAACCCTTTGATGGCAGTAATTCAGTAAAAGTTTGAGTGTACAGGTCAACAGACTAAAACGACGCAAATATGCATACTTACATACCTACATTAATATCTCAGTAAAAACCTTTTAAATTTTAATTAAACGTATTTTCCATATTTGGAAATAATTAAATTGTAAATTGTATGTAAATACTTACATACATTAATATCTCAGTAAAAACCTTTTAATTATTTTACTAAACATATTTTTCATATTTCCAAATCAATTAAATTTTTAATTTTCCTAAAAGTTTTTTATTGTTTTCATTAACTTTTAATTAGTTTAAATAAGTTATAGTTAAGAAATTTTCTTTTTTAAGGCGTAGTATGTTCCGTTGACTATTTTATAATCTCTGGCAAAAAGAGTTAAACTCACGCATGTGTTTATGGGTTTGACAATCGCCTGCAGGTCGGGGATTTCAGCAAGTGCTGCAGTGGGTCTCCTGGCCCCCACAACCCCTCCTTGGCCACGCCCCCTTCATAAGTGTTAAGTGCTCTGGGCTTGCGTAAAACGCTGTCTCAAAATTATGCATCGAGTGGGTCGCTGGCAATTAACTGGCAGCGGCGGTTCCTTCGGCATTGTTGCTGCTGTCACATGAGTTATGGCTGCACCAGTTCATAAGTTAACTCCGCCAGAGGCGTAGTTTGGCCCAGGATCCCCTCCCACTTCATAAAGAACGACCTTGCCCACGCCCCTGCCTCCGATCGGTTATTGTTCTAATCGCACACGAGTGTCTCGTCGATTGGCTTTGCCCCACATAAAAAATAAAAACGATCTCGAAACGGGTCCGGTTTTTGCCACGGTTTTACGCACAGGTGTGTAGCTGCCACGCCCCATTCATTGCCGGTCTACGATATGTTGTAATTAAGACTTTGGCTCTGAATGCTCGAGCATTTACTGCGAAAATTTCTACCAGCGAAATAGACGCACGCATTCGCAGCGGCTTATTTAAATGATTTTAAACGGCGGAATAAGCGAAACTTGTTGACTGCCCGAAAATAAATGCATAAAAGAACCGAATAAGGCAAGCTACAAAATGCAATTTAAGTTTTTCTCACACACACCTTGTCGCCGCTGCTGCGGCATAAGGTAAATAGACCAAAAACAAATTTATCAGAAATTATTCAAAATCAAAAATCAAATGGGTGATTGCAAGTAGATGGGGAAATACCCTTAAATTGATTTTATTTGCAAGTCATATTGATATACTGAGTTCTTTTAAGGTCAAATAGTAATAATTTAAAGAAGTGTTTAGTTGGATAAAGTAAAACTAAGTTATAAAATTTCGAAACTTACGGATAAGTCATTTTAAAGTGCTAGGTAGTAATTTTTGGTATATACGAGTATATGAATATTCTAATTCAATTTTGCAATTCGTATTAAGGAAGTTAGGACATCACTGAGAAAGAATTATATTAGTTTACGATTTTAAGGAGAGTAAAGTAAATTAAAGTTTGGATATGGAATTTTATATGCTCAAGTTTCTGGATTTACTGAACTGGTAAGTAATTGATGGAGTCTGCTGCTTGTAACAATTAAAATAAGTCCTAAGATATTTGGTACATGTCAGGATTAGCTATTTAAGTTTTGAACAAACTGACATATCTACTTGAAAGATATGGATACTAAATACTTTATGATAATATTCCAATACTGTGTTCTTACTCTAAAGCGAATCGCTATATTTGCTTGCTTCTTTGAGTGGTAAGACCATTTTGGTCAGCATCACCCACTGGAAGGGTATGACCAATCTCAGCCCAGGCAAACATCCGCGTTGTCTGGGGCGGGGCAAGGTGGTTCTCCAGCAGCCTCTATCTGCATCTCGATACCCAGCCGGGCAGCTTTACATATCGCTCTCTTGGATTCGGTTTTGGGCCGGGTCTCTCCGCCGAACAAAAGTAAAAGTCTCTGGGCCTGGTCTTGGGTGTCTGGGTGCCCAGCTTGGATCCGTTCTCGTGCAACATTTTGGCCAGGTCTTTGGGCTATAAAAGCATTTGGGCCTTAGACAGCGGCATTATTCAGCTTTGTGTTCTTGCCACGAGTTCAACTTGCAACAAAACCTAAAATGTTCAAATACGTAAGTGGAGTTAAGATCCTTTAAAGCCATAATTTGAATTAATTATTATTTTCCTGGAACAAATAGTTTGTGTTTGCCGCTTTCTGCCTGGCGAGTGCTGCTGCCGCTCCAGGATATTTGGGAGGATTGGCTGCTCCTGCCTTGCCGCTGGCTGCAGCTGCTCCGGCCATCTCCTATGGCCACGCCCTGGCGGCTCCTTCGATTGCCTCCTATGGACTGGCCCCCAGGATTAGCTATGCCTCCCCTGCATTGGCCCACGCTCCTCTGGCTGCTCCGGCTATCTCCACTTACGGATTGGGATTGGGTCATGGACCCCTTGGCCTGGCCCATGGTCCTCTGGGCTTGGCTCATGGCTCCCTGGGCCTGGCTCCTGCTCCCCTGAGCCTGGCTCATGCTCCTCTGGCCGCTCCCCTGGGACTCGGCTACAAGTCGGCCTATCCAGCTCTGGCGGCTCCTGCTCTTGGATTGGCCCATGGTTGGTAAGAGGTGGCCAGCGTTTTCCGCATTGCGTTCGTTTCGTTTGGATCGGAGTGAGGAGGAGGAAAATACACTGAGAGAAAGAGAGAGAGAAAACAGCGTTGGAGATTTTGTGAAGGTTGACCAAGTTGTAAAAACGCAGTTTGTTAAAAATTGGATTTGATGTTGAAATATATTTCGTTTGAATTAAAAAACAAATCGAATACATTTGTTCATGTTTTCTTTAAATCACAAGGTTATTTATTTTCATTTTTTTTAAATTTATTTTTCTTTGATAACTAGAACTTAAAGAATGCAGCTGAAATTTTTATTCTAGTAAAAGTTTTTTAAGAAGTTCCCATGAACCTGCATCCTAAGTTTGGTTTCGATTTTTCGGTCGATATCTTCCACATTTTTAAGATGTCACCTCTTAAAAAAATGGCCCAAAAGCAGAACTTTGAAGACCATTACATGTTCTTTATACAACATACAATATAGTAATTAATTAATTAATGAGAAAAAAATATCAGGAGAAAAACATAATTGAAGTAAAAGATTATTTTATTGTTTATACAGTGTTGCTTTGTCTTATTGCTTTATTGACTTGCTGAGTGTTTGAAATTATCGTTAAGTTTTGGGTACTGCGAAGTAAATGACTCGATTGTAAACTCTCACATGTTGCACGCTCGCCTTGGCTTCACTTGATTTGACTTAGCATTCCCGGCGTATTCCCGGATCTCTACCAGCCATGTCCGTAGCCATAGCCCAGTCCATATCCTAATCCCAGACCCAGACCGTGTCCATAGAGTCCATGTCCGTATCCTCCGAGATATCCATGCCCCAATCCATAGCCATAGCCACCGAGGTAGCTCTTGCCGATGATCGTCTTCGAGATGATGGGTGCATGGTAGCCCAATCCCAGACCGATTCCTCCAAAGTGTCCGCCGTAGTGGCCGTATCCTCCGTAGTGACCGATTCCCAGGCCCAATCCCAGGCCATATCCACCGTATCCGTGTCCTATTCCGATTCCAATGCTGGGCGCAGGAGCAGGTGCGGGAGCAGGAGCAGGAGCTGGTTCTGGAACTGGTTCCGGAGCAGGAGCGGCCAGGATGCAGGTCGTCAGGCAGAGAATGGTTCCAAGAATCAGCTAGAAATTATGATTTTTAATATTTATATTATGTTGTTATTATTCATATTATTTTATGAAAATTTGTTTGTTTTTTTTGTGTTAAGTATCCTCAATTTATTTCAAATTTGTAGGATATTTTCACTTATAGATGATTAGTATAACTTTAATATCCTGCAACTGTTCACTATTTTATAAAATGTGAAGAAACTTAAATGGTTTACTATACAAAATACCAGTTAAGTAAGAAATTTTAAGTAATATCCACTTGAAGGGAGTATTTATCCATTGGATATCCTTTTTATTACTCACTCCTTTATTCATCTTGCTTGTGGTTATTTTCCGACTGCTGCTGGAGAGGCTGAACCAATTGTATTACTGCAGTTAATCGCAAGCCAGCCTTTTTATACCAACGCCCAGTGCAGCGGATTGCATCCGCACATGGACATCGGTGATCTAATGAACAGTGCAACAAATTAAATCTAATTCACTCGGTTGCAAGTTGCCCAAGCCAGCGACGTGCCACAAAACCATCCTTAGCTGCTGTAAATAAAAACGAATTCCAACACCTGTTTTTCGCCTTTTGGGCCCCATTGTATAATCTGCAATCGAGTTTGGCATTTACCAGTCCAGTTTCAGTTTTTCAGTTCGGCCTGTGGGCAGTTTTAATCTTGTGGGTGGCCTTTTCCGTCTATTCATTCATGTGACTTCGATCAAGTCACATGATTCCACTGAGAACTGCTGTTTTTGTCTTGGGGTCAATGGGCCTTGGTTGTTTGGGGAAGAGCAAAAAATATAAAACAAGTTTTCTGAGAGCTAGATTAGGTCAAAAATTACCATTAACTATTTATAAAAAGAATTAAATAAATTAAATACGAAAAACGTACAATATATTCCTCATTTTAATAAGGAGAACGTAAATCTTATTCAAGTTTATGGTATTATTTTTATGACCCTTTAAGTTTCAGCTAATTCAATCGACACCCATTGCCACTTAAACTGAATCTGGTTTTGGATGTTGCTAGTTGGCTGTTAATCTTAAACCACCTTCTTTATAGGGTATGCCCTACTATATAGCTAAAACATCGATTATAACAGCTTAAGCATAAAGAGCACACACCACTGCCGTAAAAAGTCGAACTAATCAATTCTCAACACCTCCAAAGGCAACATAAAATACTGCGAAAAACACAAGATTGGGCAATGATTATATTTAAAATGCGACAATAAAAACGGGGAAACAAAGGCAAATCCGAAGACGAGCGACCAACTAGCTCACAACCCAAAAAAACAAACAAAAACAGAGAGAAATGTAAGACAACAAAACCGACGATGTGCCATAATTAAGTGCACAAAAGAGTCACTGACTCTTTGACAATTTTCGGCGTTGACGCTTTAAACTTGAACTTGAAAACGGGTTTTATTTTTCCATCGAAGAAGAGAAGGGGACAAAAGGCCAAGTGGAGTGGTGGAGTGGAGTGCTCCCATGCGATGGATGTTGCAACAGGTTCCCCTGTTGGCGAAGGAAATGCAGTTGGGAATCTCGGGGGATTGTCAACCGGTTCCTAACTGTTCAAAAGAGGAATGAAAATCCGGCGATGAAGACGAGCCTATAAATTGATTGGCATTCGCTGGAACTCAGTTTAGTTCAAGTGCAGTTCAAGCCAGAATATCACCAGAGAATGCTCAAGGTAAACGTGGCTTAATTATAGATCCCTTAACCATTCTTATCTTAAATCTTTCCCTCAGCTCTTCGTGTTTTTCGCCTTAATAAGTGGTGGCCTGGCTGCCCATGTTATCTACCACCGCCCTGTGATCTACCATCACCCTCTGCCAGTGGCCGCCACACCCCAGGAACTGGATCAGCATCCTGGGTACGCCATTGTGGCACCTCTCACCAAGATTGCCCACGTCACCTACGATTCGGTGCCCATTTCGCACACGCCCTACGAACACGTTCCGCTCTTCCAGCGAATTGGTCATGTCAAAATCAAGACTATTTAGCAGGATGAATTTTTAAAGTATAATATATAAAAATATAAAACCTATGAAACCTATGAAATATATTAAATAAAGAAATTGTATGATATATAACTCTTTATTTTATTTTAAAGTTGAAATGGGGAAGTACTGATCAAGTGTTTATTAGACATTACTATTCTTAATATTAATTTCAATATAATTAAAGCACCATATTATGTACTAAAATGTTACTGAGTCTTATCAAAACTAGTTTCTTGTTTTTAATACTTCCCATTTGACAAATTTGTAGACCTATTAATAACCTATAAATACCGCTAGTTGTCGTCGAAGCATTTATCATTTGATGTATGACTTTAGGCGGTATAATCCAAGGTAACTATGATAGGAAATATCACAGATATCAATAAAAAGTCTTTAAATAAATTGATTAATGAATAGTTTATTCGCCAAGCATTGCTGCTCTCTAGGGATGAAGATTTGGGCTAAGTTCTACGAGCTAATAGGACGGATGGTGGTGATCTGGGCGATCCTCTTGAGAATCCTTAGAAGAAGTACGGGGCGGGGGGCGAACTTGGGAGCGACGGCCAGAGGCGCTGGAGCCGCCAGGGGAGCAGCTAGAGGAGCGCCGAAGGGAGCGAATCCAAACTTGGCGGGAGCGGCGAATGCCAGAGGCGCCGGAGCAGGAGCGAATCCCAGAGGAGCGGCGAATCCAACCTTGGCGGGAGCAGCAAAGGCCACGGGAGCAGGAGCAGCCACTGGCAGAGGAGCAGGAGCAGCAAAGGCAACTGGAGCCGGAGCAGAGGCAGCTACGGGAACGGGAAGGGGAGCGGAAACTGGAGCAGCGAAGGCCACTGGCGCGGGAGCAGGAGCCACTGGGAAGGCTACGGCGTGGTTGATGCGGTGCGCATTGTAGCTGGAGGCATAGGGAGCCACCACACCAGCAGTTGCCACAGGAGCAGCCACTGGAGCAGCCAGAGGAGCAGCCAGAGGAGCAGCAAGAGGAGCAGCCAGAGGAGCAGCCAGAGGAGCAGCCAAAGGAGCAGCCAGAGGAGCAGCAAATGGAGTTCCCAGAGGAGCTGCGAATGGAGTTCCCAGAGGAGCAGCCAGTGGAGCAGGAGCGTGGAAGGGAAGCAGACCAGCCTGGGCGGAAGCCACGCAAAGAGCAACGAGCTGGAAATAAATTAAATAAATTAAATTAATTAGAAATAAATAAATTAAATTAACTAAATCCTTTCAAAGAACCACCGAAAATCCTTTCAAACTCACCACAATCTTGGCGAACATCTTGATTGGTTTTTTTGGGGATTGGGGTTAGCTAGGTGTGATTAGCTGGAAGGCAGACTGAACTGTGATGTCCAATTGTCCACCGGGCGACGTTTTTATAATTCTGTAGTCCAACGATAATCCATGGACAAGCATACGAAAACACCTTGGAAGACTTTCTACATTTGGGCCTGATGAAGGGCGTTTGCTGGATTGCTGGATTGGTGGATCGTTGGATTGGTGGATCGTTGGATTGTTGGATCGATGTACTTAATAATCAATCGATGGCCTCTTACGTCGATCGCCCCCGAAAACTTTCATAATTGCACGCAGTTTTTCGACCATAACCTAGGTTAATACTTGTATATTGGGCAAGATTTCGTTTTTTTTTTTTTGTTCGCTTTATGACAGTTCGGGTTTTGCTTTGTTTTTTTTTTTTTGGGTTTTTTTGTGGGTGGTGCGGCGAAATGAGCTGCAATTATTTACCCAAAATACGTGTTACCCTCCCACCACTTGGCTAAATCATTTAATTGAATTACCACTTTTTTTTCGTACAACAGCTTGTGGTTTTTTTTGTTTTTGTATTGCAACAATTGTCGCGTGTTTGGGCCGGGTTTTGTGTGTGGAATTTCTGATTTGATTTCTGGTTGCGTGCAGTTGGAAATTCACTAGCAACATTTCTGTATGTGTGTGTGTATTACCAATTTTGCGTGAGTGTATGTAAGTGTTAGCCAAATAACTAAGGCCCCATTTGGCGGCATTACGACGCGACTGGCTCGTAATGAGAGTCTGAATCAGATATCAGTTATGTTTCTTTTGGCTAATTTTGGTCTGGCTACGATCTTATCATCCGTGGTTACATTCTTTTCGGTTTTCTATTTTTGGTATTCATTGGTAAGAAGGTTTCTGTAAAACTTCCAGACAGTATTATACATTAAAGTTCATATAATTTGTAGAAATTAGTTGATGGATTTTACCTCTAATACCAAATCCTCCTAATATAAAATATGAAAGGTTTTTATAATTATAAAGATTTTTATTGTTCTAATTGAAAAATTTGATAAACTTTTTCAATAAAATGGTGGATGAATTAAATTCATTGGCAATGCTCTTAAATAACGCAAAGGTTTTATTTTAAAATTCGTTTTATTTTATTTAAAATTATTCGATAATTTATGCTTGTTTTTGCATTGGTTATAATTTACTAGCTGACTGTAATGACTCTTTGGTGAGGTTCCCATCATCCTTAAGTGACTTAATCTCGTCCTAGAACAACGAGTGGTGATGGTGGTGGGCCAACTTCAGTGGCAGGGCTTTCAGGTGGGCGTGTGGTGCAGCCAGGAGTTTGGGGAAGGCGTAACCGATGGACACGCGGTGGGTGGTGGTCTTGGGTCCGGGAATTGCTCGGTAGGTGGGCGCAAAAGGCACCGCCTCCAAAATGGGTGGCAGCACTTGGTGGGTAACGGTGGGCAGGTGGAACTCCGGCAGAAGTGGTGCAGCAGCTGGCAGGAAGGTGGATGCGGGCAAAAGTGGTGCAGGAGCGGGTAGAAGTGGTGCAGGAGCGGGTAGAAGTGGTGCAGGAGCGGGAAGAAGTGCTTGAGGAGCGGGTAAAAGTGGTGCAGGAGCAGGTAAAAGTGGTGCAGGAGCGGGCAACAGAGGAGCAGGAGCATATACAGGAGCCGGTGGTGCTGGTGCATAAACTGGTGGTGCAGGACCATACACCGGTGGTGGAGGAGCAAACGCCGGTGGAGGAGCCACCGCAGGAAGCAAAGGAGCAGGTGGAATCACTGACTCCTGCACCGCATAATCCAAGTGGTGCGGCAAAGCGTGCAGGGATTCCAAGTGGTTCAGATGATGACCATCGAAGTGGTTCACATGATGAGGATCAAAGTGGTTGAAGTGGTGGTTGAAGAGCTGCGAAGGCTTGGCTTCACCACCCACCAGAAGGAAAGCCAAGGCAAAAGACTAAAAAAGTAGGATGATTAGATACACTTTAATATTAATCACTAGTAATCCTTGGATCCTCACCCATGTTAGTTGCCACATCTTTCTTGGGGAATTTATTTTAATTTTCTTTGGGGAAGTAGCTTATCGATCGGTGTGCTCGACCTGTTGGTTTGATTGTTAATGCCTCCCCATTGTCAAGATCCATTATTATTTATACTGGTCTGTCATTCAATAGACTTGCACTTGCATTTCTTCACTTTCGTCGCCGAGTTGGCCCACTCAGCCTATTAGGTTGTTGGCCCGCTTGAGGTGAGGTAAACTAGTCGGCTTTAGTTGGCCAGCAGTTCGTGACTGCGACTGCCTTTGATCGAGGGGCCAATAACTTCTTAGGCGATTCGAAAGCACGGCCCTCGATTATATAATACGTATTATATGGGGCCAAACCAAGCCCACTGACAGTTTTCCATAAGTGGAATATGATTATGATAACCCATAAATATTGCTTTGACCATAAACAACAATCGATATTGCGCTTGAGGTGGCAACACAGTCACAACAAATTTCGTTTACATGCTGACTAACTTCAGTTTTATAGTAGGTTGCCATTAAATCAACTTTGTCTCCACCATCGAAACTTGTATATATTTAAATAAATTGATTTATGTTATTAAGGAGATTATGTTTCTTAAGTACAAAATTGGTAAATATGCGAATCATTTAAAGATATCATGGTTTGTATCTACATATGTTATTCTTACAGTATTGAATAACAAAGTTTCTCAGAAGAATTGTAAAAAACCAGCTCTAAAATAATTTAGACCAAAGGATATATTATCTACCTGGTAAAATCTTGGCAGTCTTACTGCTTAATTTATAAGCTTAGCAAACCCTAAGTAAATAATATTATTTATTTATTTATTACTAGAATTTAAATCATTAAACAAAGATACTGTGCCATCAAAACTTTGGGAGCCGCAGTCTAGAAACTTCATATATAATCTGCATCTGCATATTTATTCTCAAATTTCTAGCTCTTTTAGTTTCCGAGATTTCGTCGTTCATAAGTTGGACATACAGTCATGTATAATATAATATATTATATATAAGATTAAATATACTTTATGTTAACCAAGTGATTTCTTTGATCTATTACATTCTTTTCCACAAATACAGTATACCCTTTTATCCTAGAAGAATCGGGTATAAACATAGAAGTTAGTTAATTGTTTGTTCGTTATTTATTCTTCAAGTTGTTTTACAAAAATTGTCTAAAATTTGGCTTGTTGACCGATTAGTCCTTAGACCACCACTGGAGCTGGGGCAGCGGCGGCGAGGGGAGCGGCGTAGGGGGATGCCAGGTAGGGAGCGGCGTAGGGCGAGGCGTAGGGGTAGGCGGAGTATGCAGCGGCGTAGGGAGCAGCATAAGAAGCAGCCAGAGGAGCACCCAGAGGAGCAGCCAGAGGAGCAGCCAGAGGAGCAGCCAGAGGAGCAGCCAGAGGAGCAGCCACTGGAGCAGCTAGAGGAGCGGAGTAGGCAGCCGCCAGAGGAGCAGCGGCGTACTTGGCCACCACGGCGGGAGCAGCTGGGATTCCGGACACATAGCGGCTGGAGTAGGGGGCGGTGAACTCGAAGGGGGCGGTGGTGTAGGAGGACAGGGTGCCGTCGTAGTTGTTGCGCACATCCACCTGGCTGCTGCCACCGGCGGCGTACAGAGGAGCATTGGCATAGGCCAGAGGAGCGGCCAAAGGAGCCGCCAGAGGAGCAGCCAGTGGGGCAACCACTCCTGGTTTGGCCGCAGAGCAGGCAACGAGGGCAGCGAGAACCAACTTTAAAATAAGATAAATATATCATTAGATACAACTTAATCCTCCTTGTTTTTGGGTAGTAACTCCTTTTGTTAACTTACAAACTTGTACATTTTGCTGGGGATTGGTGGTGTCTTAAGCTGTTGAGCGATAATGTTCATTTGAAGTCGGGTAAGTAGCTTATATAGCTCGTGCCCATATCCGTGCTCTTTGGGGGACATTCTGTCTGCGCCGATTTTTGGTCGCTTCTTCTTCTTTTGCTGGCCAACCTGGTCGAGTGCCAAGCAGCATACATGATCGCCATTTGGCCAAGACGTGCTCCGCCTTCAATTGCCCAATGTATTGTCGGAAGTTGTCCAAGTTGTACTCCGAATTTTTCGCCTGCACTATAAAAATACAACATATTTTTTCTTAAATTTTTTACATAAAATCTATTTATTTATTTCTTATATATTTATTTCTTGAATTTGTTACTTAAAAACTATTTATTTATTTTTAACTCCTCAACTGTTTAAGTCCCTTAAAATTGTTTATTTCGTTACGAAAATTCTTTATTTTGTAAAAAACTAACCATTTTAATATGTATAGGATATTAGTCTTAAGAAATTATTTTAAGTTGAATACAAAACATTCATAAAAATAATTTTGATTGATCAGTAGAACAACAGAACATGCTATAAATTTTTTACGATCTCAGTTAACTTTAGAAACTTCTCATCAGCCATTAGGAAATGCCTCTTATAGGTACTAAAAATGATATAACATATCTAAAGTTTAAAAAACCCAAACTTTCTAAAAACCTGTTTTCTTTGCTCCAAAGTGGTCATTAAAAAGAAATTATCATAAAATTATTCTTTTTTTTTTAAGAAGCTACACTTTTATTTGTACATAGTGAAATATATATATTTTTTTTTAGTGCAATGATCCACATTTGTATGCAGCCGAAGACTCCCTCGATGGTTGGGAAGTCTCGGCGTAATTTGCAGTCTGTTTGGGCCATCAATGTGCGCCGCCTTGTATTGAATTGGACGCAATCTAAGCCAAATTGGCTATAAAAATCGTCGCTCCCCCTCTAGGCCACGATTCCGCCCCACTAAATGTCTCATTAGTTCACTTTTTAATGGCTCGCAGAGTCGCCAATAAAAGGCGGTCGTAAAATGCCCCTTCATCCTTGCCGCCGGAGCTTCATTTGTTTGTTCGCGATGACCTGACCTTGACGCCATCTGGCCACAGGATAAGATGAGATGTGGCTGCCTCAACCACCGACTGACTGGCTCAATCACACCGAGGCGGCTTAATTGGCCCACGAGGTGAGGGGCCGAGCGATCGAGTGGTCGAAACCGGCTCGCCGACTTAATGAGCCATCGCAGATCTCTCGGTCACGTGCTGGCCTGGTCAGCAGCATCGGCGTCATCTGATGGCTCGTTTCTGCTGGATTTGCGATTTGCACGGTTGTGCTCTTCACCACTCGGGTATTTGTCCTTCATAAAAGGTTTTACAATGTAACTGGCTTTTATAGATGTTCCACAAAAGGAAATACTCTAAAACTAATTTATTAAAGAGTTTGATTTTTTTTTTAATATGAAATTGTAGGTCTTTGTATTAAATTTACTTTAGTTTACTATCTTCGCTCAAAAAAAAAAAAGCGAAAACCCCTTATTTAAAATTGATTATATAAGTGGTACAACATTTTTTAGTTTAATTGCAAAAAGTCGATTTTAAAAGAGCATTTGAAATATTAATGGCAGTTGAGGATTTATATTCATTTTTTTTAGGTTGACAATCAAAAAACAATTACTTATATGACCAATAAAGTTTTTACTTCACTGAATAAGATGTGACATCCAACCGTTTTTATCATCTTTTGTTACACCAAATCAATATTATTAATAATTTCTTTAATTTTGGGTCTTAAATGTTCTACTTTTTATTAATCTTAAGCTGTTATTAAGTCTGATGGGACTTTAATCCTTGGTATCTTATTTATCGGCATTTCTTAAAATTTAATTTAAAAGTAATGTGGATAGAGCATCTGGGTATTCGTTACTCCTTCTCTACTGCTTCTGGAATCCGATCCGATGATGACGAAGATCTCAAGGTTGTCGCGATGACGAGTAGAGAGGGCTATATACATACATATATATAGTACGATGCCTGGCGATCGAGTTGCCCCACGCATGTAACTGTACACCTTGTATTCTGTATCCGCATTGCCGCCACTTCTGATCGGGGTGATCCGGTGATCCGATCTTGGCAGCCACCACAGGTGGTACAGTCCAACTCGCCTCTCAAGACTCAAGTTTCTGGACCGAAATTCTCGACCGATGATGCGCCAATTTTCCACTGAGTCAAGCACGGAAATACAACTTGAGCCATCAGCCATCTTCACCATCAACTTCTTGTCTTCGGCACTTGAATTCACAGCTGTGAAATCCACTCACTTCCTAGTTAACCTTTTTAATTAGATTGCAAGCTGATTTAGAGCCGCTTCAGAAGCTTTATCCCTCTTAAGAATTATTCGACTGTCGCCAGTACCGTTTGTATTTAATGGATTTTCGAAAGCCAAATTTATGCAGACCACATTCTAATTCCTGTTTTTGTTTTTGCGGGAAAGCAGGTTCTATCCCCCCTAAAAAAAATTATATATATAAATATGTATAGATCCAGATCCCAGTTCCGTTCCCAGATTTGATTCTGATCAATGACACTTGACTTTAATTGGCTTTCATAAATTTACGTCAAAACTTAGTCGCCCGATTTGTTTTTTTTTTTTATTTTTAACAAACATTTCCAATGCCAAGTTTAAGGTCTCATTATGAAGAGCGTCCGATGGAGATCTCTTGGCCCGATTCGTGTGTATGTAAATGGCTGAACATTAACCCATCGGAGGAGAGTGAAAGGTGTAAATGGAGACCTCTTTTCGGCGGTGTCTGCGCGTCAGCCTTCGAAATATTATGCAAATGCAGTCTCCATCGATGGCAATGAGACCCACAAAAAATGGCCAATAAAACACTAAGACACTCGGATCGAAAGACTAAGCTTAGATGGCAAGTTTATTATCGAGGTGTGTATATTCGCTAAGAGCAGAAGTCATCGCAGTTTGATGATCAGTCGGGATGGCTCTGGCTCGCTTAATTATTTGTTATTAATCTAGAAGGAGTTGGGCTTGGGATCGGAGGACTAACGCCTCTGAATCTGCGGTGTGCCGTAGGAAGTGAGACCTGTAGTCCGTGGCACACTGGCATAGGGAGCTCCAGCCTGCAGCGGCAGTTGCGCCACATTGAGGGGCGTGATGCCAAAGGGAACGGGGAGTTTCAGGTTCAAGGAATTGGCATCCGCATTGGATATGAGGGATCTTCCTGCGGAGGATCCTGCTGGAATCGCTGGCCTGGCCACCTGTTGGGTTTGCACTGCCGAGGGAGCCACCTGAAGTGGCGCAGATGGTGCTCCAAATACGTAACCCTGACTGGTCAAGGCCTGGGTGAAGGCAGCCTGCTCCAAGGCGGGTTCAGCAAATTGGCGAGCCACTTGGGGATATTGCTGGGATTGTTGATATTGGGTTCTCTGTCCTCGCTGAAGAACTGGTCGACTGGGAGCGGGATAGTGGTAATAGGCCAGCTGGGAACTGGGCTTGATGGAGTATTCCAGATGGGAGACATCGGCCAAAGCAGAGCTCATTAATTGCAGCATTACAATCCACATAATGGTTAACTGAAAGTTCAGTGAGATTAATCCTTTGTAATTCTTTACACTACACAAAAACACTCACATTCGCCATTTCACAAAACACTTTTCCCAGTTCTTGTTCTAAATGCTATATATATATTCTCTTAAACCGCCGATCTGGTAGCCGATGTTCGTCGTCGCAGCTTTGGCAGCTGATTAAAATTTGTGAGCCAGCCGAAGATGCTTTTTATATGCGTATGGAGGAGCTGCGATCGGTTCTCAGACCTTTTTTTTAAGCCTCTCTCTCATAAACTCATCAACTCACCTTTTCGGGTCTTCTTCCTCTGGCTCTTTGTGAATGCTTTGGGCCAACAACAATACTAACACAACTTGACTGCAGGCCAAGACGAAGCTTTTTTGGCATTTTTTCTGTTGCCTTTGTTTATTTACTTTGTCTGTTTGTTGTGGCTTAACAAAGCTGTTGCCGGGGCAGTTTTGTCTATTGATAATATTGATACTCGGCTGCCTTGCATATAAATCAATGTTGGTCATTTTTATTGGCATCCAAGCTATGCAACTACACAAATTAGCAGTGGCTTAGTTGGCCAACTGAAAAAAGGAAGGAAAAGATACTACCTATTGGCAAATCCCCCGTAACTCCGCCACTGTTCTTGACTTTGCTGCATACCTCAGGCATGTCGACAGCATTTGAGCTTATTAAACACAAATCGAATCGAATCGAGCGTCATGTGACAGGAGCCAGAAATGCCGCCCAAACATAAAAGCCATTAGCCACTGGCCAAAACGGAGGACTTTGTCGGAGCGGTGCGAGATTTGCATGCTAAAGACCCGATTGTCCGATTGTTGTCCATATCTCGTATCTCGCCGTTTGATTGCCGCTTTTTCTATGTGGGTTTCTCGTCAAAGACTGACCTCAGACGGTGGGACCTAATCAAAATCTATGCGCATCTAATTTAAAATTACACTGAACCAAATGTGAGTTAACTTTGTGTTGTAAATAAGTTGTTTTAAAATAGGTTTAAACATTAAGGTAACGTGTTCTATTTTATTTTTCAGTTTAGTTTTGTTTTAATGATAGAATTATATAAATTATAAGAATATATGAATTTTTTTATAATTTATAACATGTATTTTCTTTTATAAATAATTTCTAAAAAGTGTTCCAACTTAAAGAATTTTTAATTAAATGTTTTATAAAAAAAACTGTGATTATTGGACTGTTAGAATATTCTTATAATAAGATTAATTATTTCTAAGTAACTCATTATATTTACTTTATGTTTCTTAATTACTTTATTTGTTAAATTAACATTTTTTTCTAACTTTTGGATATGACACCTATTTAAATATTCACCCGTTAAATGCGGAAGTATTTTCTTAAAATCTATATTTGTAGTGTAATCAAGTTGTCTATCTTTCAAGTCAAAAGCTCTTTAAAGTTTAAACTGTTGACCCAATTGACTGAGAGCTCCGTTCTCACCCCCTATGTCCCTCTCTCTCTCCTTCTCTCCCTCTCTTTCTATTGAGTTAGGTCAGTTGGCCAGAAGTTAATAGGAGTTAATAGCCGCAGATCAGGCAGTATTTCTCTGGGCAATCTCAGTGTCTTGCCTCGCCTTCGACCAAAATTGGCGTAGCCAAAAATTACTCGGAACCATGAAAACATCTGAATTATTTATGGGCTTTGATATAAGCATAATTTAATCGCAACGCGGCGCGTTCTTCGCATAAATTCACGAGTCGCGTATAATACGAAGCATAACAACATTATTTAGATTTAATTAATTGCTAATCTGAGGAAATTATCATTCATAGTTGTGCATAATGAGGCGAGGGGCCCAACTGGTTGTTTTTTTTCTCGAGTCACCAACCCTGAGCGTTGAATGTGGGGGGAGGTGCTCCGTAGACGGCAGCTGGAGAATGATGAGGTGGTGGTGGCCCAAAGTGGAGTTTAAATCTTCCGAAGGAGGGCGGTGCTGCAAACTGGTAACCGCTGGGCGGGGCTGCGAATTTGGTTATGAACTGAGGTGGCGGTGGTGCGGCTGCAAAGTGAACTGGAGGTGGTGCGGCTGAAAAGTGAACTGGAGGTGGTGCTGCCGAAAATTGAACTGGAGGTGGTGCGGCATAATGAACTGGTGGTGCGGCATAATGAACTGACGGTGGTGGTGCTGCATATCCCGTGTAAGTAGTAGTTGTAGTGGTTACTGGAGCTCCCAATGAAACCTTAATAACTGGTTGTGGTGCAGCATAAGAAGTTGCATATTTATAAATCGTCTGAGGAGCATGATTATAATGTTCTGAGGATTCGTAGCTAAACGACTGATGAGCATTGTAAACCGCGGGAACAGTCACAGTATCCGAAACGGGAACAGCTACCGGAGTGGGAACACCAACCGGAGTGGGAACAGCAACCGGATGGGGAACAGCTACTGGTGATGGAACCGGAACTGGCACTGGAACCGGAACTCCCACAGGAACTCCCACTGCTGATGGTCCATGAAGGAAACTCCCAATCACTGGAGAACCCAGACACATCAGAACACTCAATAAAGCGCACTAAATATAAGAAAATATCATTAAATATATTTCTTCAAAAACACTTTTCAATCACTTGCTTTTATCATCTTTTTCCGTAATACTTTCTTCCGTTTTCGATTTCCGTATTAAGTCACTTCTCCTCGACACTTTCACGCGTAATGAATCGATTTTGGCTGACCATTGCAGACTTATATACCACAATCCGAATTGCGTCGCTTACATTATGCTGATTTCGGGGGAGGGGAAAAGGGGGGTCTGTAAACTAGAGAAGGCGAAAAGTAAAACTCCATTAAGGGATCTGCGCACGACGTGCAATCGACAAGCAAATCGTGCGGCAAATGCATGCGACAAGTTTTGCAATGCCCCATCCTCAAGGGAAATTCAAGGGAGGCAACGAATCGGAGGTATTGGTCAAAACTCCAAATGGGTTAATTAAAGAGAGTGCATACCACAGATTTTTGCAAGCATTTTGGAGCAGTGTTAGGTCATGACCCCGATTTAATTTTACTTTTTGAATATTTTTATAGGCAATTTTTTAAATGATGATTAATTAAATTTTGATTATGAACATATAAATGGTTTTAATTTATTTTGACATTTTAATTAGCCATTAAACACAGATATGATTCGAACTTCGGCTAGACATCTAATGATTTGTGTGGCACTGAACTCAAAATCGCTATAAAAAATAGATTTGTTTAACAGTAAATAATTTTGTTTAAATTAACCCATAGATCATATGACTTATAATTTATATGACACTGAAATCTAAATATAGAACAAATCAAAATTAAAAGAAATTATATAAATATATAGGAATTGCGTAACATTCATGTTTAAAAAAGAATTGAAGGATATCTTGCTTTACTTGGATTATCTTAAGATACCATATAAAAATCCTGAGTTCAAGCCACTCCATTTAAGAAGCCATTAGCATGTGCACTTCATTTGGCCAAATCCACGGATCCCATTTATGAATGCACGCGCTGCACTGCCACAACTTTTACTGCCGCCGCCGCCAGCTGGAAAACAAAAACAAAAGCAGAGATAAATACATCCAAGTTGCGGCGGCAGCAAGAAAACCCATTGCGATCACGTTCCAGGCACCTTTTTATGCCTTATGACTCTGATTGATGGCCGTTGCCGAAATATAAATGCCAAAATATCACACGCCAGTTAAAAGTCGATTTATTACCGCCGCCAACAAAGCCAGGTTCGAAGCTCTCAATTAGTCGAGGCTCTTGAGAAGCCCGAAAGTTGGCTGCGCATTTGGCAGCGTATTCAAGCCGCCCGAAAGTGGGCAAACGCGTGTTGGAGGTACTGCTCCCATAAAATCAGGCTGAATCTGTCGTAAACAGCCGAAATTCCCGCACGGGTGGCCAATTAAATTCGGCTGCCAAATGCGCGACACGCGCTCATCGAAAATTGTCAACGGAAAAACAAGGGAAACGCGGGTGCGGGAAAGCCGACGAAATTACCATAACAAAGTGGCTAAATCAGAAATCGATATGTTCACCTTCGCTGAACCGAAAAGCGGGCACTAAAAGCGGGAATTTCCCCGAAGATTTTCCTCTGCCATTGTGGAGTGGAGCACACGCCCAGCTCTCAGATACTTGAGTGGTTGCTTCGTGATTTCCACAAATTTTCCACCCAATTTTCCACCCCATTTTCGCCCCCATTTTCCACAGATTTTCCACAGCCAGTGGCAACAGGTGCTCTCGAGTTGGAGCCGCATTGTAATGTAATGCGTGCTAAATCGCTGCACGTGTTGCCAGCTTTTCCCACTCGGAAAAACTTTGCTGTACACCTTTTGAAGTTTTCAGGTGATTTGATTCACTCAATTGATTGAGCATGCTGTTTGTATTTATGGGGTGAAAAATATGCTACAAATATTATACAAATGGTTGATTTACTCCCAGGAAATTTAAAGAAGGGCGTGTATTATATAATGCGATTATATTGTTTGAGTGATTGCACTTCCTTGTATAAAAAAGAGTAATAAAACAATGTTTATGTTTTGGTGTAGGATATTCCAATTTCAATTTATTTCCGATATATAAATGTGAATATTGAAATGCATTTATTTAAATTACATAGATCTTTCTTTGATAGTCGAAAACTTAGCTTCAGAAGTATGCAAATGATCTTAGATTAATTTATATTAACATGCATTTCTCAGGATAAGTCTGCCACTTTTAATAAGTATATTTTAATGTCAATTATTTTTCTGTTAATTATACAATTCCAAATCCCTTCTTTCATAATTGTTCAATATTTTCTTCTTTTGAATATAATTATAGACACAGCTTATTCTTTATGCAATGCATAATCCTTTTGCCACATTACTCATACGCAATAAAGGCAGTCGTTGAACCCAAATGCAAGGACACTCGAGTGCACTACAGAATTTAATTATCGGTTGGAAAATCCTCTTAAAACAACAACGAAATAATTACGAGCAGTTGCTGATTGTGGGTGGCAGTTGCTCTCTTCAAGTCAATGTCCTGGTCAAGGACATTCGAAAACGTGTGCATTTCCCAGTACGTGCAGTTCCTGCGGTCATGGATCAGATTTCCCGGGCAAGTGCTTGGCACTTGAAAATTAATTTTCCCTCGTGCGGTGTCCTTTGCCCGGATTCTGGTTTCAATGAAGGCGCTCTAATTGCAGCGCCTGAGGATGAAAAGACGGGCAAAGGTTGTTGCCCTGGCTGGAATCACTGGCTTGTTAATAATTCAGAGTGTGGAGCAAAAGCAAAGCGAAATGCAAAACCAATTCCGCTTGAATAATTCCATTTGGCTTAGCATACTCTCGGGGTAGCCGGGAAAACTCAGCGGAAAAGCCAGAATTCGGCGTGGGACTTCCACTCAAACTGAAGAGCGGCGGATAAACAACAGGTGTGTTGCATTCGCGAGGTTGTGGGAATCAACTGAGAGCTGCAACTGTGCCATGAGAGCACCTGCCACAAAACGCATCCACTTAGTGTCAAGCGACGTTCTCGAATGAATATTCAATGGTTTGCAAAATGTAGGAAGCTGACAAAAATATTATCTATATGCCCACCTTTGTCTGCGAATCTCAGAAGGTCGTTGTCAAATTATCGCTTGAGTAGCTAACGGTAATGCTGACTTTATAATCCGACAAATACGACATGGTTTATGAGCAGGGAGACATAATTTATTCCGTACTGAACTGAGACAAATTAAACTTATTGCTGGGCACAATTGAGTTGTATGGTTGTCAAGGTCGAAATGCCGCCAACAATGGCTTATTGTTATGTTATGTTCGCTATGAATTACATTTAGCAACCCCGCCCATCAACACAAGATTTTCACTTAATAACATTTATTAGCTAAAATATTAAATTGATTTCCAGTTTGCCGACAGGCAAGCACGACTTTTCAATTTTTGCTTAAATAATGGTTGCTTTTTTTGTAAGCCAGGATCAACTGAACAGTTAAAAAAATAATTAAGTGGCTCAATTCACTTTTCAGCGGCTCTTGATGTGCTCCCATTTTTCACTTGCGAAACTGGGCAAAAAGCATTTAGCGGCGACAGCTGGCCGGGCATTAATAAAAAGATATTTCAACGCACTTTTCACTCGGCCCCCCTTTTTTTCCTGGTCAACCTGTTGAAAAGGCGCACGCGTTTGTCGCTTGAGTCTTTCGTTTTTGTGAGATGAAGAGGGGGAAGGCGGGAAGGGGAGAAGAGGGAAAGAGGAAGAGGAGGAGAGAGGCTGGCCAAGGCGTTGCAATAAAAAACAATTTTTGTTTGGAATTTTGTTTTTTCCTTCAAAAATTTCAAAACACTCGACGGGAGTCGAAATGAATCGAGCGAGTTGCTCAAGTAAAATTAATTTAAAGTGCAATTGAATGCTGAATGGGAATTGGAAGTTGGCGCGAAATAATAGTTGGTTGTTGGAAAATCGAATAAGCGATTGGGTGTCAGATGTTTGTGATGCCAAGACTAGCAATTCGATTTGGATTACTCATAAGTACAAATAGAGCTCACACTTAGAAACCCTATATTATAATTTGAATATTATTTATATTTTTATGATTATACAAAATTATTCCTAAGGGTTTTGTTTCTTTACTCTTTAATTCAAACATAGAATCATGAAACATATTGAAATTATTTACGAATATAATTTTCCTCAAGTTTTGGTTATATTCAAGTGTAATTAGAATTTTTATGGGTTATTTCGAAATAATTGTGTTTTAGGAAATAATTTATCTAATCCATATTTTTACTTTATAGAATACTTAAAGAACTCCTTAAGAGCTCCACTGAATAAAAAATCACATTTATATTCGTTTTTAGAGTCATTTATCGTTTATTTACAGAAAGTGTCGAATCCACCGGTGCATTTTTGGGTTGCACCATTAAAACAAAATCAACGAAACTTGATCCTTCCTTCCGCCAATCTCTCGTTCTCGCTCTCGCCGCCTCCCGTTAGTCGTCCTTAGTTCTCTAGCTGTCTCTGTCTCTAAGTGGGGTTCCTTCTTCGGGGGTTTGAGGGGTTTTTGTACACAATTTGGGGATTGACCCGATAATGTCTGCCTCTGACTACGAAATGCAAAATTCAACACTTTGTCGGCAGCAAAATGCGAATTATCCGCTGGAATAGTTCACTTCAGGGGGTCGTCAACGGGGGGCTGGTCACCAATATATACGATATATACGATATTGGATCCTTAGTGCAGGTAGGCACCATGTCCGTAGCCGGCGTATCCCAGTCCGTATCCACCAATGCCTCCATAGGATCCGTGGTAGGTGGAAGTGGAGTGCAGGGCAGGAACGGCATGGACCAGAGGAGCAGCATGAACCAGAGGAGCAGCATGGACCACCGGGTAGGCCTTGGTGGCCACCTTGTAGGTGTTGGCATACGAAGTGGCCACCGGATGGGCCACAATGGGAGCGGCGTAGCTCTTGATGATCGGAGCATGCGAAATCACGGCGGGAGCAGCATAAGCTGGAGCCAAGGCGGCACCGTAACCCAATCCATAGCCATGGCCATAAGGCGAGATCACTCCGGCATTGGCCACCACGCACAGGGCAGAGATGAGGGCAATCTACCAAAAAAAAAAAATAATATATAATATATATTATCTCACTTCTATTTTGTGGAATATCCTTGTAATCCTTACCAGTTTGAACATTTTGCTGGTTTTGGTTTAGCTTTGACTTCTTGACTGAAGAGCTGAGTGTGTTATGCTTAGACGTCTCAAGTTGCCCGGTTATTTATACCCGCAACATGAGAAATATTCTGACAAATCTTGGCCCAAAAGAGCTGAGCGGAGAGGGAGCGCAAAAAAAAAGACACGCCCCTTTTTCAGCAACCGAGAGCCGAAGCTTTGTGCATTTGCCGACCAACAAGATCGCGAAAGAGATCAGTCACGCTGCGACTTTGGCTCGGACCCACCGGCAATTGGAGCCACCGAATCCCAGATTTCCATGGAAAGCCTCTATGGGCATTTAATTCAATTTGTATATTTCTTGTCAGCTATTGTTGGCTTCCATTTGGGGTGGCGGTTTTTCTCTAACGGAAACTCTGTTACTGCCATTCATTTTGAAGTGGAAGTGAACAATTGTTTTTCTAGCGGTTTCCAGTTGGGAAAATTCTACTGCTAAATCTGGTTTTGTGTTTTATGGTTTTTCAATTCATTTGAGATTTAAATTGGCAATTATTATACTTGTAAAAGTCTACAATAACAAAATAATTGAATTAAATCTGTTTATACTGTCTTATAAATTTAAGTATCTTGTAAGTTGACTTTTATGTATCATTATTTTTACATTTTATATTCCTACCAGTTTATTTTTCCTCTAAAGAAAAGCCTATAAGCCCATTAGGCATATCTGTTACCCGATTGCTGATCTGTAAATCCTTTCTAAAAGCAAACACGCACTTGATTATCAATCAGCTGACTGACTGACTGACAGCTCATTACAGATATGGAGATCCGTAGGTGTGGAAAATGCTGTTGCTCACATGCAAATGATCAATCGGAGCTAACTCTATATACACGCACCAAATAAACCCAAGGGGTCCATGAAAAATTAACCACTTTAATAACTGACAAACACAGAGTGGAGACTGTGGTGCAGTTGGTCAGTCGGCAGCTGGTTCGCCGATATTTTGCATGCATTAATTCCCAACTGATTTGTTATCGCACACATGGCGTATGCGTAACTTGGGTGGAGGGAGCGAAATCAATTGGAAACAGTGGTAAATCATATTTACCGCGATTGGAACGGCCTGCCAGATTTCCTAATAGCCATGCTTAATTCTTAGGCAGCTCGGAAATCATATCACAAGATCAGCGTCAGAATAAGAGGCGTGAAAAGAATTGCAAAATGCTTTTTTTCGGGCCTTGAATCGGTGTTTTGTATCGAAGACTCGTATCGAAATCAAAAGTTCTCCCAGGGCGAACAAAGCCCGGCTTAAAGTTTATGACTCATAAATCAATAAACAATTACGATGGCGACAATTCTTTGGCTTTGACCCTCGGCAACGCCGGCTGATTGGACCCGAAGTGGACAATCTGCATATCAACGGGGTTTAAAGCAAGTCAATCTAGAAACTTAGTCGAACCCTTCACCAAAGCCAACACCTCGTGATTTGGACCCGCGGCGTTATGCAAATGCTAAACCAAATTGTCGCATAAATCTAAATCGAAGGCGGCTTGATTGACACCAAACAGGATGCCAAATTGCGTGGCTATCGATTGATTCGTGGCCCAAACCAAAATCAAAATCAAAACCAAAACAGCCACCCACTCGATGGTTGGGCTTGGGTTTTTGTGGCTCTGGTTTTGACTGCAGCTGACCACCTAGTTGCAGTGGCCTGTAATTGCATTTTAATGGCCTCCCAATCGCATTCTGTATGTGTGTCTGCCATTGGGCAACATCCATCCATCCATCGAGTCGCGCAAGCGACGCCCAAAATACTTTGATTGCCAACAAATCATTCAAAAGTCCATATTAAATGCCGTCAATTTTCCAACTCAACTCCCGACTCAACTCGAAATTTTTTCCTTTCGTGATTTATGTGATTTCACTGGGCGAAATAATCGGACTGAACCCGAAATTTGTCTGGCGAATTCTGGCTGTCGAAATTTCACAATTCGGGAGGTTCGCAAATCGCCATCGGACTAACTTGGCTTAGTTTTTTGATTTGATTAGGCCAACATGTGACCGCAAAAGTAATTATTTAATTCGTTACAGTTTTACATAATTGTCGGTTGTTGGGTGGATGGCAATTTGCATAGCTCTGACTCCCATCCATGCGGATCGTTGGCTGTGACTCGAGTGTGGCCAATTAAGTATTAAGTATACCACATGTTGGACGCCCCACTCGGTCAAGGTCGTGCTTACCCCAGCCTTTGTCACAATGTCGTGCATATTACACTGTGTACGGCGAAAACCATGACAATTACGAGTTTTATAATGATTAACGACAAGAGAGAAACAGCGACAACTGCCAATGTGCGAAACTGTAACAATGGCCGGCAAGAAATCTAATTTGCAAGTAACAAATTACCCTGGAAATCTGTTGGAAATAAAATAAAACTATAAAATATGTGACTTTGATTAGCTCAAGGGTTTTTATTTCTGAAAAGTAATGTCAATGTAATAATAAAAATTGCAAAAATTAAGAAATAAGGTTGAGAGCAAAATTCCATTCCAACAGTTTCAAATCCCTTTTTTATTTTCTACGAAAGGTTACAGAAATGCTTCCACAGTTTGTTATTGCAGAAGTTGACTCCCTTAAACATTTTCTTCTTCGATTTGTTCGAGTTTATGGTTTAATGAGTCCGAAATACCATTCCGTGATTATGTTTTTAGGGTAGCAATCAACGCTTTGTTTTTCCACCTACCATAAAGCAAATGTCAGGCGGGCACCGTTGTGAAAAGCTCTAGAAACACACTCGCAAAACGGAGACCAGAGTTTTCATTAATGGAATTAAAGTGAGCTAAGGTGGATTAACCCCAACCACCCCCCTTTTCCGCCTTTCCTCCCTTCCTTTGGCTACTGCATAATGCCAGAGCTGTTTTACCTTCAGCTAAAACCCGAGGTTGGGCCAACAATTATCATTTGGCAAAGTTGGTTTCATTTTGCTTTGAAGTTCTTTTTGTACAGGGACATTGCGCAATGTGGCTCTCGGCACGTAGAGTATTTTGTTTTTGCACCGAATTTGTTTGGTTTTGATCAACCTGCTGCATGCTAAAACTATTTTAGTCACAGATCATTTGACAGCTTCACTGACTGTTCGTTCGGTTCGCTCGCTGGCTGTCAAATGCAAATAAACAAAAATCTGCTTCATAATTAAGTAGTTAAATCGGAGCTGAGTGTCTCCAAATTGAGTTGCAACAATAATAACAAACGAAAATAGGAACAACAACAACATGTTGGACAAGTCACGCCCCTTTTGCCGGTCGTAAATTAAAGTTGTGTGTCGCCAAATTGTATGCAAATCGCTTGACTCCCAGTTGCAAAGATTTATGCGAGGGGCTGTCCAAATAATTCGTTGCTCGATTAGTGCTTTTTAATTGAATTTAGTTCTCGTGTGGGTGCTCACTCCCCTTTTCCACACGTTTTTTTGTTTACCCATTGTGGGATTCCAGTTTCCAGATTCTAATGCATCTAATTTGACTTTCACTTTTGCCACCGATAATTGCCAACCGATCTGAGATTGTTCTAGAGCAATTCGGTGACTTGTGTGCTTACTCACCCTGAACTTGGCGCTGAAATAAAATTACTGGGCGAGATTTAAGCATGATTGCACACCTGTGAGGGCAGTATTTGTATCTTAGTTAGAGAAGGAAAATCAATCAATTAATTTGGAATTAAAATTGTTGAACAAATACCCTGCTTGTTAACCATCTGATATTTCTTTTTCCCTCTTTTGCTCTGCACTTAAAATATTATAAATCTTAGTTAGAGATTTAAATATAATTGACCATCTCTAGGTCGCGCTCTATGAACTGCTGGCCATGATCAAGATCGCTGTGCCTCAAATTTCTCACAAAACAAAAGCAAAAACTTAGCTGAGAACACCATAAGCGATAAAAAGTCAATTAGACTTAATGATAGCCGCAGCTAAACATTAAATTCATGTACGTAAATTACATAGAAAAAACGAAAAAAGCTACAAGAAAACAACACCAAAACGAATTCGATTCGAGAACAACAGCAAAAATACAACTCTGATCCAATCAACTAAACTCGAATTCGAGTACTCTGTGTGTTTGTAATCGAGGAAGTAGAGTTTGGCAAGCTGCAACCGGCAAAAAGTTGCTTGTGCGTCGTCGGGTTTTGTATAATTCAGTCATTAAATTTAATAAGACAATGCAGATCACACGCCCCACAAAAAAGTCAAAAAGGTGGTGCAGGAACTGGCCAAACGAGCATTTCCCAAACGTTTAGACCTGCAGGCGGATGTGGTTATTACAGATCTAATTACATGGCGTATGAGCGATTTTTAATGCTGTTTCGGCCTGGCCAAAACGAAGTCGCACCGATAAGGTGACGATAAGGCCAGCCAAAGAGTCTTACTACTTTGTAGCCATAATTACAACAAGAAGTCAAAGACTTGGCTTTGGTTACTGCGGCTAATTAAGTTGCATGTTTCATGTGCTGACAACTTCAAAGATACAGATACAAATGGTAACTCGAGTTGGGTTCAAGCCAGTCCCAGTGGACGCAGTCAACTTCTATTAGCCAGACTATTGAAAATGCTTGTCCATTTGTCAATGCTTCAACTACTGGGAGATTGTTTATGGAATTGCGTTAGAAAAGTGGATTAGCCGAGGCTGAAATTCTTCGTGGAAATATTTATTTCCTTTTATGATTACCCCACAAGACCTAAACAACCTAAAGACATTAAATAAATTGATTGAAATATTTACGGGTATTTTGGCTAGACTTAATTGATTGTAGGAAATACCACATAATTTTGGTTGAGGCTAAAAAAAATTCATTCAAAAATGTGGTTAATTATCTTATTAAAGGCTTTCTTGGGTTAAGAGCTAAGTTAAAGCTACTGAAAGCTGATATAAGCTTAGCTTTAAGTTTTAGTTTTTATATCCAGCTTAAAAGTATACAATAACTTTTTAAAAAATATATAAAAGTTGATATTAGGTATACGCTATTAAATTGGTCGAAAAGTAACAAGACAGCATGTAGCTTTGTTAACTTATTTATTTCTTACTTGGCCATGTTGCTTTTTTATTTGTGCAGCTAGAAATATTACACCCGGCGGTAAGTGCAAGTCAAAGACTTATGCCAACCACTGCTAAACAGTTCAGCGATTTACACTTTTGAACCGGCTAGACCAAAGTGAAGCGAATCCAATAACAATGGCATTCTGCAGCGGACTGGCCAACAATAAGACCAACTTGGCCAATGATTAAATCGTTTCGGGGCCTGTCAGCGTCTTGTTATATTTCTCGCTTCTGAACAAGCTCATTGTGGGTTTCTTCGGGTTTTTTTATTTCCACTTCTGTTTTTCTTCTTAATTAAATTAGAGCCAAGGTCGTATCAAATGGGCTGGGAATCTTGGTGCGTACATGGTTAATTAAAATCAAAGCTAGTAGGAAAATAGGCCATATACGACATATGGTGTTTGGTTTTTGTTGGCGGCACCCAAAAATAGCAGGGAAAACTTAGCCAGGCCGAAAAGAGTTTCGGCTGTAGTTTATGCTAATGGCTGGAATGCTGTCCCACATCTGTGGGTTATTCAAGTAGAAGAAATGAACAGGAATTGGCTTCCCAAAAGTGGATTTTCTGGGTGTGGGTGCCAACAGCAGGTATGTTTCACTTGTGGGTGGCTGGTTTATTTGGCCATTTCGCTTTCGGTTTTTCAGACCTCGCCTCGGTCCAAGCCGCTCGCTCAGTTACGCCCAAATGGGTCACTAATGAGCCATCTGGGCCTGGGAATTTCGTTGAGGAAAAACGCAGAAAAACACAAGAGCAAAAAAAAGACAGATTCGAGATGATGGCTCGATTGTTTGTGCCAATTCTAACGTAAAGAAGCCAATTCCCTTGGCCGTTGGTTGTATAAAACCCGAGTGACTTCTTCAACTGCCAAACATTGTTGCAGAGTTCACCCAGCGAAGATGTTCAAAGTTGTAAGTTGCTTTTAAAACTTTAAAGAAAGGAGTTTCCTTATAATATATATTTTATAAATTTTAGATTTTTGTATTGTGCGGAGTGTTGGCTGCCTTGATTCAGGCTCGTCCCAGCTACTTGCCAAGTTATGAGCACGTGGAATATGCTCCCAGTGTGGTGGGTTATGAGAGTTATGCTTTGCCAGCAGCTGTTTCCCATCAGAGCTCCACGGTGGTGCACGAGAAGCGTCCCTACTGGCGACCCATTGTGGATCACACTCCGATCCTGAAGACAGCCTATGCTCCTGCCACCTCCATCTCGTATGCTCCACTGGGATATGCTGGAAGTAGTGCCGGATGGTATGAGCCCGGAGTCTGGGGAGGAGCCAGCTATCCCAGCATCTACCTGAAGTAGGGAAGTCCACAAGGGAATATCTCTCAAGAAAAATCTCATGTCGCATATGTGCTACGGAGCACTTTTAAAATCTTTCAAAATTATAATTTCACCGAATGTGCACAAAATAAAACACCAAGTCAAGTTAAAACCTAAAAAATGTGTTTTTCCAATGGGATTGTTTTCATAATAGACCACGACCAAGATCCTTGTTTGAGACACATTTTAGCAGTGGAATACATTTTGGTAATAATTATATTGAGATGCTCATAACTTTAAAAAACAAAGGTTAATCTCATGGTTGACTAAAAAAATAACAAAAAAAAGGTATTTTTTTATTAAAGGTATTCCGTTTGATCAATAAGTAAAAACAATTTTAAATTGTTCATAAACCATCCCTTCCAATCCATCCGCCATCGAACGTTTCTTTTAAAAAACATTGGCTACAGTTGTCAGGCTTATTAAGTTCGAAAAAAATGGTTCTAAAAATGAAAGTCTAAATATTATGCAAAATAATAAAAAAGGAAGCTATAAACCTTAAGAGCTAGCAATAAAATTTAAATATAATAGCTTCATTAAACTGTTTTTTTTTCTTCTACTGTTGAAATAAATGAAAAATAATTTGTATAGCTTATTAAAATAAGCTTGTAAATTCTCACACAAAAAGACACTGTTTATGTTTTGTATTCACACTAAGTTTATTTTCTTCGTTTTGGGTTTGCGCAGGCAAACTAGTAAACAAGGCACAGTTCAAAATCTTTCGTTCTTCTCCAACTCAAGGCAACTTTACCAGGCGCTGGCGGCGTAGGTGAGGGGGCGTGGTGCAGCAGGGGGGCGGGGGCGGCGGCGTAGGTGAGGGGGGGCGTGGTAGGCGAGAGGGGAGGAGTAGGCCACAGGGGCGGAGTACGCAACGGGGGCGGAGTAAGCCAAGGGAGCGGAGTAGGCGACGGGAGCCACGGTCTTGACAATCGGAGCGGCGGCGATGACGGGAGCGGAGTGAACAGCGGTGGTCTTCACCACGGGCGCAACCACATCCTCAACCACCGGGGTGGAGTGCACCTGGGTGAGGCTCTGGTGGCTCACGGCAGTGGGCACACTCTTGACCACAGCTCCAACCTTGGCCAAAACGGGCTCCTGGACGATGGTCGTGGCAGCAGGAGCACTGTAAACCAGAGGAGCAGCAGCCAGATGGCCTGGCTTGGCAGCAGCCACGGCCAAAAGAGCAGCGAGAACGAACTGGAAAAAGGGAAAACCCAGTCACCAAGTTAGTAATCCGTTCCAGGTGAATATCCTTTAAGTCAGATCCTTACCAATTTGAACATTTTGGTTGGGTGCGGGATTCTTCGACTTGTGTCGCTGGAAAGGGAGACAAACTTCGAGTGTGTTGAGTTGAGGGACTGTCAACGTCTTTTATACTTGAACTTCACTTTCGCAGCTCCCACACACACATACTTACACACACACACACTCACGCACTTTGCCGGCTTTTGTCCATTGAGGCGGATACAAAAAGCCATAAGTCGAACGTGCCTGAACGGATTCTTTGCAGCCGTGTTGAGAGTCTTGGCCATAAACCAGATTATTATTCGTGGCCAATTTCTGTTCGGCTTGCTTGCTTCCCTTTTCCCCTTCTCCCGCTCATTACTTCACTTATTTTCGGCCTCGCACTTGTTTTGCCAAACCCACTCTTGGTTTCATTTCACAATTCGCTCAACTCGCACTGCGGTCTCATTAGTTGCACGTACTCACCTGAACTTCGATTTCCGGCGGGCAGGAGGGAGAACCAAGGGTCCCAGATTACTTCTAATTGCGAGCCAATCGAAACCCCTTCCGACTCAAGTCAAGGTTAGTTATCCAGCGACAGAATAGCACTTTCGAGGAACTTTTACTAGAATTCCAGTAGTTTATAGTGCACAAAAGCTGTAATAAACAAAGCAATTCAACAACAAACTTTATTACAAAATATGTAGATAGAATAGATACTCTCTATATAATGATGCTGCTTCAGATGCCACTAAAAGAAGGTTCTATTTAAGCTGTTAAGAATGCATAAAAAATCAATAAAATCTTGCTAAATTCATTACTTTTTAAATTACATGTATTTACTTACAGTTTAAAGAAAAAATATTTAATTGCAATTTTTCTATCTAATTATGTTTGGTCATTACAATTCTTTTTTCGAATCCTTTGCCAGAAATTTAATAAAATTGCATACGTTCAACAATATCAAACTTCAAACTTATCTTTAAAGTTAGTAAGAAAATCTTTTACCAATGAATATTTTCTTCCAGGAAACCTTTTGCCTGTGTTTACTTTTCGGTGTAACAAAATAATTATGAGTGCACCTGTGCATCAAGAACACATGTACCTAGAACCGAAGAAATTTTTCTATAAAAGCAGAGAGCTGCAATCATGAAACAATTATTGCATTCGAGCCTCTATTGCAAGCACACCAAATGGATTTTCTTTCGAAAGCGGTAAGAATAAATTTGAAACCCTTTGGTAAATCTTTAATTCCTGTCCAGATATTCCTCTTCCTGTTCGTATATCTTCACCTAACCAGCGGATATGTTCGTGATCGTCACGAGATTACCAGACGAGATGTAAACCTTACCGTTGTGGATGAGAAGTTAGGCGGAGCATTAAGTGCCATTTTCGGACCGATTGCGGATTTAGCTGACAACGCCGATTTCGAAATACCCGTAATATCACACTTTCGTACCAAAAAAAATTAATAATTAGAATGCTTTGCCTCTAAAATGTGTAAGTAAGAACAAGTATAACTTTAAAATTAGTGATTAAAGAATTTAAAGAAAGTTTAACACAAATGCAAGTTCAATTCGACTGCCATTGTAACAAAATGTCTATCAGCAAGTTCACTGGCCTAGAATGTCAGTTATTTCCGAACCAGCGGGATGCCAATGGTGGCACCCATCTAAATTAAATCCCGACATATGTCCAATGTTTACCCAAAGCACAGGTGCAGCAGGAAGTGAACGAACACGTGGCGGAGGCCAATGAACTAGGACACATTCAGAATGAAAAACCAGTTTAGACCCCGCCCAGCAGAGAAAAATCAAATGACAGCACAATTCACGTCAAAAATGTCTAGATTTTAAATTATTTTGCTGAAAACAGTCACAGTTGTACACTCAGAAAAGGGAAATGTTAATGAAGATACCATAACTTTATAATTATAAATAAATGTAATATAAAAAACAAAAAATAAGAATTATTTTACTTTCTTAATTAAGTTAACCTTTTCTTTTGAGGAGTAGCAACCATATTAATTGTATTAAATATAGGTTTTCTTTAATATTTTTTTTCCTTTTTTTTTCAAAACCATCTGTTTATAAACTCCAGAGTTTGTAAACTAACCCAAGATTAATGACCTGAATTGGAAAGCAAACACCTTGCACGACTTCAAAGCAAAACATTTATTTATTTAAATTCGTATCACATAACCGTCCAGCGAAGCACCTGAATCCTGGTCACCTGGCGGCGGTTGTAGGAGAGGGAGTCGAAGTGGGTAACGGAATAGAGAGGTGGCTCTACCACACACCAGTGGCGGTGTAGGTCAGCGGCGAGGAGGCGGCCACCTGGGCGTAGGAAGTGGCCAGAACGGGAGCAGCTGCGGCATACGAGGTGTGCACCACTGGGGCAGGAGCGGCGTAGCTGGTGTGGACAACTGGAGCAGCGGAGTAGGAGGTGTGCACCACGGGAGCGGCCGCGGCATAGCTGACCACCGGAGTGGACTTCACCACCGGAGCGACGATGTCCTCCACCACATGGGCAGAGCTGTGCACCACCGACTGGCTCTGGTGGCTCACGGAAGTGGGTACACTCTTCACCACGGCTCCAACCTTGGCGAGAACTGGCTCCTGGACGATGGTGGTGGCAGCTGGAGCGGCATAGACCAGCGGGGAGGACTCCAACAGGTGACCGGGACGGGCGACGGCTACGGCGAGCAGAGCAGACAATACCACCAACTTGAACATTTTGGAAATGGGTTTTGGTCTGTATTGACTGGATTGGACTGCGAGTGATCGGTTTGAGTTTCTTGCGAGAACTGTTGCTGTTTGCCGCCCTGCAGTTATCTTTTTATACAGCAGCCACTTGGCTTTGACCTTCCGGAACACAAAAGTGCGTCACAATTCGGGCCAAAATTAAAACCATATCAGATTCTGGCCGACGATCAATAAGCAATTAGCGTCGGTGGACGGCTGAGCGGAGACAAAAGAGCTATGAGTTTGAGTACACAGAAAATTGGGATAGGAAAATGTGAGCACAGATCAAAAATATTGTTTATATTAAAAAAAAAATTGTTTAGGTCTTGTTTGTAAGGATTGTAATGACAATCTACAATCTACAAGTATTTACTATTTACATTTTACTTAAATTATTTGACCTTATAGCAAATTATTTTTGTTTTAATTTCCCTTATCGTTTTTTTTAAACTGTATTCCAATTTTTTTTTTCATGCAATCGAAATGAAAGTAATAGATAATTTGTCATTAAAATTTATTATAAAATATTAATTAATTTATATTATTTATTATTGAATTAATTATAATATATTTCAATTTATATTACAGATTGGAGTTGGGTTTTTAGGGTGGGATGCTTTGTAATATAATAGTTATTTCTACACATTATAAAATTGTATCATTACGATCTTAATACATAATCAATTATGATTAGCAGATGTCTTTGTAAAATTAAATATTCCCTCCCAGTAGCCTAAGGTTTAAATAAATAAAAATCAATAAACAATCAATGATACAGTATCGGCAATATTTTTTCTGTGTAAAAATGAATCGATTCCCAAAGCCATTAGGCCCTCGACTGCCATTAGAGACTGTGATTCCTCGGCAACTGCATTACTTGCACTTTGAGGGCGTGAGTCAGGGTCAACTTGCAGTGCGTGAGCTTTTAGGTTTTGGGTTTTGTATTCGTAGGTCTGTGATTTTGGGTTTTCGGACTGACCAATTGCAGGTCTCATGTTTTATTGTCCCAGCGAGGGCAGATTTATACAACTCATTTGGCTTTGAGTGCGCTCTGCTCTGCTCTGCTCGTAAACGTTTTAATTAAACCACTCTTTTTCAATTTTGCAGCTGCGTCGGGGCGACGATGGGCAATATCTTTCAAACATAAGTATATAAGGCGGCAATTTCGGTGGTCAAATTATCAGTCAACTTTGTTCGCTTCAGCAGCACAACACAGACCAAGAAACAAAAATCCTTAAACATGTTCAAATTGGTAAGTTAGCTCAAGATAGTTACAAATAATTTGATCTTATATTTATTCCTTTTTTTGTAATTTTTAGGTGGTGTTGTCTGCTCTCTTCGCCGTAGCTTTCGCTCGTCCCGGCCATCTCTATGAGTCCCCTCTGGTTTATGCCGCTCCTGCTACCACGACCATCGTCCAGGAGCCAGTTCTGGCCAAGGTTGGAGCCGTGGTGAACAGCATCCCCACTTCCGTGAGCCACCAGAGCCAGTCGGTGGTGCACAGCTCTGCCCACGTGGTGGAGGACATCGTGGCCCCCGTGGTAAAGTCCACTCCGGTGGTCAGCTATGCCGCTGCCGCTCCCGTGGTGCACACCTCCTACGCTGCTGCCCCGGTGGTGCAAACCACCTACGCCGCTGCCGCCCCGGTGGTCCACACCTCCTATGCTGCCGCTTCTCCCGTCGTCTACAACTCCAGCTGGTAATCGGGAGTAATGGATTACTGGGGGCTCATCCGAGCGATCTGGACGGTTAGAAAATAGCGATTCCTTTTGTACATAAACGAGTTTAATTGCGAGTAAAATGTGATTGTTAAAAAAAGTTATTTGATTTTATGATTTTTTGGGAAATGTTCTGGAAAAAATGGACAAGATAGGATTCATAATCTCCTACAAAACTGAAAGGAAGGTTTTTTAATTCGAAAAAAATTAAAGTTTATTTATAAAGAAACTTTCTATGACTTCAAAAGTTATTGTTCGATGGTTACATTCGTATGAATCGGTATCCTTGTATGAGAAATTTCAACGAAGTTGGCTTCATGTAAACTAACTACCAACGATTTAAAAAAAAAAAATTTTTATGGACTTTTTAAATTTTTTAAAAGTTTTTCTCACGATTCTTTGGCAGTTTCAAAATAACAACATGTTACTTTGTCGATTATCTGAAAACAAACATTTTTAATGATTTTACTCCAAAAATTTATTTATTTTAATATTTTAAAGGGTTTGGTATAACATGGTCGAATTGCAAAATAAAAAGAAAAATCCCTTCTTGGCCCTACAAATATTTTCTAATTATTTTTAAAACCTTATGACGATTGACAGCGGTAATTCAGATAAAAGTGAACTTAAAAGGGGATTACTATGACTTGTCGCATTTTACATTTTTGTCATTTTGAAACTCGGTTCAAATTATTTTCCACAGAATTGGTATACAAGGATTATATTGAGCATAAAACATGGATCAGTCGAAATGTAAAAAAATAAAAACAAGTTTAATTAATTCAGATTAATAGTGAATACGTTTTATTTAAAAGGGTTTACTATGTCTTCTCGCCTTCTTGTCAGTTTGAAAATTAGTTGAAAGTGTTTCCCAATCAGTGGATATATAATACAAGGATTATGTTGAGCATGAAACATGGATTTATTTACATCAGTCGAAATGTGAAAGAAAAAAAACAAAACAGCAGGGTGAAGAGAGTAAGTTCGGAATCTGGTTGAGGGTAAGCCACAGCTGCTGGCCCACGCAATTCCTTCCAGGACCTTCGGCTACCTCCGTCCGTTTACCAACCATGTCCGGCCCAACCGTGTCCAGCCCAACCATTTCCTGCCCACGGAGACGAGAGGAGGGTCGTGTGGAGAGCGGGAGCCGCATAGGTTTTGATGATGGGAGCGGCGTAGGTCTTCAGCACAGGAGCCACAATTGGCTGGATAATGTGGGCCGAACTGTGAACCTGGCTGATGCTCTGATGGGAAACCGCACTGGGAACCGTCTTGATGATGGCGCCCACCTTGGCCAGAGCCGGCTCATGGATTATGGCCGGGGCAGCATAGCTGTGGAGCAGCGGACCAGCCTCCAAGTAACCAGGACGAGCAGCCACAATGGCGAGCAGAGCGAAAAACACCACCTTTTTGTAGGAAATAATATGAAATTAGAATCCTGAAATTTACTAAATAAACTAGATACCCTACTTACCAACTTGTACATTTTGCTAATCCTTGCGATCCTTTTGAGCTAGCTATTGGCAGAACTACTGAACTGTGGGTCTGTGTTGACGCCTCGCCGAACTGTGTTGCCAGCTTCCAATTTGCAGCAGCTTTTATAGTGGCAAAATCCGAGCAGAGCCGCAATGTGCAACCGCCGAATCTTAAAATGCAGAAAATACAATAATAATAATTTTGTTGCTTTTTTCCTCCTTCAAGCATCGTTAAGAAAAGCTGAAAACTAACGCCAACGGCAACAGAGCAAACAGCAAACACGAATAAAGGCGGAGAATCGAGCGGCAGAGCTGCCAAAGTTTGCATGTGCAGCAGCTGATTTTGCTTTGTCTTCGGCCAAAAAAAAACCCCTTCCCCCGCCTTTTGGCCAACTCCCCGAAACTCAGAAATGGCCAACTGACCGAGTGGCCACTGCCCAACTCAGACTTCGTACCCCATTAGGTTGCAGAAATAGAAAAAGAAACCAGTCAAAATCAAATGTCTGTTTGGGTGGATGGCGCTCGCGGACGTTAGGCAGTTGGGCAGTTGGCCAGTTGGCCAGTGACCACCACTTGCAACACTTCAGGCCAAGACAAGCATGGCAAAAAAAATGTGTTTCGCACTTGTCATTTTCCTCCTCGAAGTTGACCGTGAAATTTTCCCCGTGGCTGCAACACGCACAACAGCAACATCAGGTAAACTCGCAGTAAACCCGCCCAAAGTAGCCCAAGTTCAATGTAAACGCACTTGCGTGTATCTGTCATGGCCGAAACATAACTGGCTCTAATGTGCGGGGATAAGGGGAACTGGTGGTATCTCCGGTTGTTGCGTCTGCGGGAGAAGGCCAATGGAGGCGGCGGCAGCGGAGTGGCAATAGCAATCGTCACCGAGTTGGGAAAGGAATGTGCGCAAACTCGCTGCCCAATTTGCTTGCCCATCACGTCGGTTTTAGCGAACGCGCAGCGAAATGAAAATGAATTTCTTCATATTTTTACCAAGTGCTTGGTTGTTTGTTTACTTCTTTTCGCTTTCTGTTGACGGATGAGTAAGGCAAAATTATTGCAAGGAATTTGCTAGATGGTATCTATCTCAAAAGTTCAAGGAATTCTAAAGGTAGCTCATGAAGTAAATTGTGTGTAATCAGTTTGCTTATTAATGCAAATGTGGTTCACATCGAAATGTGTTAAAAATCTACAAATACTTTTTTAATTGTCTTAGTAAATTTGGTAAAAGATAAAAATGTTTTGTATTTGTATTAATTTTTAAACCACTAAAAAGTTTAACTTTGTAATGCTACATAGAAATACGAAAAAACTTTAAATTAATATTATATTTCTTCGGTATAAGTATGAAAAATGTTTCCTGGCAAATCAAATTGATCCCAAGAAATCGATCTTTCTGTTTTTGTATCTGTTATTTCAGTTAGCAACTCCAGCACTCCCTTTCTTTCTCCACCCCTTTTTGCGTTCGTATTTTTCAGGTTATGCTAATCTCGGCTTGCAATTGTCTGGCATAACAATGGCCAGCTCGACGGGCCGGCGATAAAGCACCAGAAGGCACCACCAAGCCAACCGCTTTGGCACTCTGGCAGCCACATCCCACATAGAATCGCACTCGGGACTGGTCTGGAGTTCCGCTTTGTGTAATAAGCAAACATCGATTGCGATTGCGCAGGCGCACAGATCGTACATACACGTATTGTAAGCAGGGGTGGGTAAAAAGGGGGTTCATTAACAGTAAATAAATTATGAAACACTTTTTGAGGTTGCTAGCTTAAAAATAAACTCTACCTATTAAACATTCATTACCCCCTTAAAATCTTTTTCCCCTACACCCCTGCTTTTTAGAAACAAACACAACTGTACTTTTAATAGTGTTCGGTTTGTGTTGTATTTGCCGCCGTTATGGTTATTTGTCAGCAATTTTTAGCATGATTAATGAATGGGTCGATCTGGCGACATAACTCCCCATAACCCCCTCTCCTTCCGCTTTTGTTAGCCGAAATTCTTGAGTGACTTTTAATAGATTTCAGTCTATTTCCATTTCGGTTGAGTTCCTTGGCAATATCCGGGCTGTGTTCGGTTTTACCAACGAGCTCCAAGCGCCAACAACATCTGTGGTACATATCTCTCATGGGATCTCGACTTACTATACTATGTACTGCTCTGGGGGTAATGTACGCCTTATGGCCAGCAGGCAAGTGACAGTTCTGCCGCCGTTTCTCGTTTCTTTTTCTGTTTCTGCCAGTGCATTGCATAACAAGCGATACAAGAGCAATAGGAGCACTAACCACATTAAGAAATTGCCTGGCAATTATCATGCAGGGAACCAGTTCCCCGGGCAAACTCCGTTTCGATCGGGTCTTATCGCCGCCGTTTAGCACCAAACTCAATTTCGCTTTTAATTAGAGACATTTCAGCTGATCTCAGACTAAGCGTAATGACTAACAATTAAACCGTGCTTAGAGATCAATTACTTCGGGGGTAAAGAAACACTTGTTGACAGTCTTATAAACGTCATTACTTTTCTGGCTTGTTCTTTGGTTAATTACCTCTGTCTTCTCGGAGTTTCCGAGTCATTCATTAATAACTTCTGATTTGCCACTATTGTTATTACTATATGGTTAATTGGCCGCGAAGGTCGATACAGATCTGACGGAAGAAAATATGATGTGATATAAATCGTTTATAGAAATAATAATTCAGGAAGTGGTTATTGGAAGTCAATTGGAAAAACAATCAAGCCAATTGGAAGCAAAGATAAATAGGTAAAAGTTAAAAGCGTTTTTTATTTAAAATAATTTTAGTCACTTTGTTATAGAAATTCCTAATTTATTTTTCTTAAAATTCCTTAAATGGGACAACCTTTATTATACAAATAATAGAATACCATATATGTCGCGTAGAGTAAATTTTGTAATATTTTGGTTTTGTAAGCCATTTTTTTTATAATGATTTGCATAAATATTATAAACAAACTTTATCTAAAATTTGGTTTAATAGAGGACACAATTACATCTCTAACTTTGATTTTTAATTGGTGGTTTCTTTATGATCATAAATCACATATCTGAGACGCTTTTAATTATATTTAGATTTTTTTATTAAGCTAACTCGTTATGCATATAATAAAAATGTCAATTGTGATATTTATTAGACGAGAATAAAAAGTGAGCCATGGTTTTTCAGCTAAACTAGTCAACCTACTTTTCAACCACCTACTAACGTAATTCAAAACTGAGCGCATTAACTTGTCCATAAACTTTAAGTACAAAGGCATTCCGCTAACGGCCCAGACACCTCGCAATACTCAAAATTAGTTGACCATTATGTTACGTGAAATTGAATATTTTTTGTGGGCTAGAAAAGTGCATTGCTTTTGTTGTTATAGTTGCTAGCCAAGCCCGATCTGTCGGATCTGAGGTGTAGTTGCCAAACACTCCCGGGCCGCAAAATGATCCGACCTGTCCCGTTGGCACAGTTCACTCAGGTGTCAGAGTCAGAGCAACGGACACTCAGAAATCTCATTCAGATATAGTCGGATATATAGTTGGGGCTTTGGCTCCAGCCAGAAGGAGCATTACGCAAATGGCAATCGGTGAGAAATGTGCTGCAGCTGCGGCAAGTGGAGCGGCTGAGTCTGAATATAAAATTCATTTTCTTGGCCCCCCAGAGTAATTACGCTCCACTTCGACTTGGACTAACTTGCTGCTGCTTTGGGGTGCCTGCTGCTGCCACTCTGGCGGATACTCAACGAGTGAATGAACGAATGAACAACAGGTGGCTGGCGACCAATTGGCCAGTGGCCACTCGCTAAGGTCAGATGTGTCCATCAATTGGCGGCGGCGGCATTCTCGGCACAGAATTGGTAGTGCTGCGTCAGCGGATGCCTGACTTGGTTCCACAATTCAATTTAATTGCAATAACATTGAAAATAGCTTTGAGATTCCAAAGCAAAGATTGTGCGGCCCGTGGCTCCCACTAACCCAGTGAACTGAATCGAGGATTTTGGGTGGAGTGCACCAGACGATTGCAACAGAGAGTCGTTGGCTGCAACCCGTTTGTGCCGCAGATGCAACAATTTCCTGGTCGCGATAAGCCAACCAATTGAATTCAGTTTGGGCTCCACTTTTTTTTGGGGAGTGCTGACCAGGGGACCCCAGCGAATTGTTGTGTAAATATTTACTCCGCTAAATGCAAATCATGATTAATTTACCAGACCTAAAGCCACTATATTCCCCCGCTCTCCGCTCGGCTGACATTTGAGCACTTGCCGTCCGTGTTGCCTGTCAAAATACCAAACGACATTCTAATGAGCTCGTGCTCTCGGCTCAAGTGTTCTAGTTTGCCATCAAGCTGAATCTGCAGCCGTTCGTGAACTTTTCCAGCGGATGAGATGACAGAGCGCCAATGGAAGCCTTAAATATCACAATCGATGGCAGAAGCCATGCTACCAACTGCAGTAAAAACGATAGTATTGAAGAGGAGCCAATAATGATCAACTTTTAATACGGTTAATAAACTAGGAGCTTCAGCAGAATGTTTACATTTTATTATAGTTAAATATAGGTATTAAAAACTGCTCGTGTTTAAAGTTTAGTCTTACATACTACAATATTATTTTTGAAAGCTTTTAAAAAATTTCGCATTTATTTAATGATGATCGTTTTCCGAAAAAATATTTTTTTTATATTATACAAAAATTTATTTGCTTGACTTTGATGTTTAACCATAACATTTTAAAGCTTTTAAAAATGTTAATTTAAAAAAAAATTAGTTCTTATTTTAAAGCTATTATTTCGATTTGAACTGTTAATAAAAACAGCTATGCCTACATCTCGATTCTCACACACTCGGCAAAAAGCTAGTTTTTTCCTGGCAAATTCTCAGACTCAGATCTATGTTATCTTAGACATAGACGTAGTCAACTAATTTCCACGACATAAAAAAAAACTGCAACAATTAAATTGGCAAGTGTGAATTTCCGCTGACCAAGAAACGAAAACAGGGGAGCCAAAACCAAAAAAAAAAGAAATAAAAATGCGACGCTGTAAAACCAACAGCATTTCGCGGGCCAAAACTGCGAGTAGTCAAGGTCGCAGCGGGCAAATGTAACACTGGCATAAATTATGCTACTTACAATACATAAAAACAATTGCCACTACAGAGACAATTTGCAACTGCTCTTGGTCTAACGGTACGAGCGAATCGCAATAAAGTTGCAGCAGCAACATCGCCGGCAGAAGCAGCAACAATTACAATTACCACCGCCAATTGCCGACGATTGCAGACGAGCATCGAGAACGAGCATCTGAACGGCGACAATCACTGAGATATTATAGTATATATAGTATTATACCAGCTAGAAAAAAATCAGGTACAACCTTAAGATAAGCTCTCTGAATGAACACATGAGCAGTTACTCTTCAATTAATTAAGGCACATCAGCGATGGGAAAAATCCGAGAAAGAGGTTAAAACAAGTTAACAAAAGCTGAAAACATAAGCAGATACTCTTTTAATAACTAGGGTACATTTGCTATTGAAAAAAAAAAAAAATTAACAAAATAAGTTCATATGTCCATTAAATTTTTAAAAATAAAATAGGAACCTGTTTAACAACAAGTTCAGTTTATTTAAATAAGAACTAACCGATTATATAGTTATAAAATAATCATATCCTAGTTTATTGCTGTAAAACAAAATAATACAATATATTATTTGTAAACGTATTAAACCGAGCTATCTTTAGTTTAAAAAAATGTTTACAATACCGAATATAATCAACAAATTACAAAACCATCGGAAATTCGTTTTTTGAATTACAAGATTCCATTGCAAAAAAAACCTTGGGCCATATGCAGCAATTTGTGATTTTAGTACTCTAGGCTCTGTTTCTTTCTAGGATCATAATGGGACTTACGTTAGAGCATCCCCATGGCAACGTGGAACGCCTCGTGTGGCACCTCATTGAACCCAACCGTGGCAGAGTTCAGCGCTTCGGATTGGAGGGGGTCGATGAATGCAGTGTCTCAGACACGAAGCGATTGCTGCGGGTAAACAATGCGCCGCTTGACAAAACTCTGTGCGAAAAAGGCAGACAACTGCAAAAACAACAATTGAAATGAAAACGAAACGAAACGAAACGAGGTGCAATTACAACGGCAAAGGCTGCAGACTGCAGACTGCGGATGCAAACCCAAAGTTCCACAACATTGAAGCCTCTCAGCAGCAACGGATATGGCGATGGAGAGCATCTGCATCTCCATCTGCAACTGCAGCGGAATCCGAGGCTGCAGCTGTTGTTGGTGGTGGCTAGGTGGCAAGTGAATAAAAGCCACCTCCACTCCATCGAGTGGCATCAGTTGCAAGCAGCTAACCACCTAAGAGCCACCACCACCACCAAGGATTAAGCCACCCACAACACAATGAAGCTGGTAAGGATTACGAGGATTTAACGCCAACCAAGAACCCGCTCAAGGATATTCTATGAACCCGCAGATACTGTCGCTACTGTCCATCTGCTCCTTGGCGGCAGCTCGTCCTGGCTTCCTGCACGGCCACCACCACCACTACCCGGAGATTCCCTACTATCCGCACCACCACCATGTGGAGCCACTGCACTACCACCTGCCCGCAGCCGTCTCCCACCAGAGCTCCACGGTGGTGCACAGTGTGCCGCACCACATCATCAAGCCGGTGCTGCTGCCGACGGTGGTGAAGACGGTGGTGCACCCACCCATCATCAAGGCCTATCATCCTGCCCCGATCATCAAGGCCTACCACCCGTTCGATCCCTTCCATCTGCACCACCACCATCACGACTTCCACGATTACCACCTGCACTAATCGACGATTGCCGCTGACTGAGGATCGATATTGATAACTGACTACCGATAGCGATAACGATGACGGGAATATTGCAACCTTTGTATGCTGTGTATGTTTGCGTGTGTCGATTGTTAATACCTAAAGTCCAAAACGAAGTTTCGCTGTAAGCTGCTAAATATGCTAATCCATCTATAATACTGTACATAAAGGATACAATATCTAGATACATTTTGTTTTAAATTGGGTTAAAGGAGAACTTAAGAGGCGTGAATTTTCCTCGGTTTATTAACAGAAAGCTTAGCTTAATTAACTTATCAAAGTGGGTACCATAATTTTACTAAAAAAATTTAAGAGAAGCACAGCAGAACTCAATTTATTTAGTAGCCAATAGAACTGAATAAAAATGTATTTATACATTTAATTGCATAATTATGGTACGACTATTGGTAATTAATCTTCTTATCTTCAAGTGCGAAATTGATACCGAAAGTGACGTCAAACGAGATGGGATGTGTCTGCCGCGAAACCGCACGAAAAGCGCTTCCGCCACATCGAGGAGGTGGCATAATTAGCCGGCATCGTAATTAACCGAAAAACCATTCGATACAATCGAAGGGAGATGGCACATTTCCCATGGTGACAACACACGTTGCCGCTACATGTGGCAACCAAATGCTTTTTCTGTGTTATGCAAATCAGTGCATAAGCAGATGATGAATGTCTATGCAAGCGGGACGAAAAGCGGTCGGTAGATATTGGCCAAGAGAGGTGATAAATAGTTGCTATTGCCACTGCACTACAACCATTGCTGCTAGCCATTTTCCATTGTGATTGCACAGTGAACAGGGTCTGAAAACACAGCCAGAAGGGTTCCGTATCTATTTCAAGTTCAAGTCTACTTTGCTTTTGCAATTGGCTCGTCGTTTTGCATAAGCCAATGCAAATTGGTCCAGTTTTATACCCACACGATACGAGTATATTCGCATTCGGAATTAGCTTAATCGGCAAACATTGCCATAAAACCAGTCAAATGCGGTACTCAAACATTTAATGAGACATAAACATCAATTAGATATTGCCCATTTGCAATATATAAATAATCCGAGGGGTTGGGCAAATACATGGGAGTAGTTTAGGGGGTTTTATAGTTTTTCGGTACCCCTCTGTTTACTCAAAAAACAAACACTTCCTTGTTTGGTGCATTAAAATCAAATCAAAACCAAAATCAATCAGCAACTACCAAAGCGCTAACCCTGAAAACTTTTGCACTTTTTGTTTTGGCCTGTCTTTTCATCGACCAAATTAGCCGCAAATCGGTTATTGTTTAAGCCAACATTTCGGAGTGGTTCGCTGACCGGCAAACGAGGCAAATAAATAAAATAGTAAGTAAATAGATTCGGCAAGGTAACTGCGGCTTTTGTATTATTTTAGAGACACGTGATTCGGTAGCTCATTAAAGGTAAACAAACGAGCCAATAGCCAAAGGGAAAATGATTTTTAGGCTGAGATTAAAAGGTGGGGTTATATTTTTAATAGAAATCGATACGATTGGTAGTTAGCAGTTATTTAAAAATGCTAGATAATATTTAACTTAATTTCTTTAAAGAATATTATTATATATAATTATTTCAAGTTGAATATAAGTATTATTTTAACTGAAGTTTCATATAATAATTCTGGAAAATTATCCTATAATCTTTTCTGAACATTCGAAATCAATTTGCTTGCCAAAAAAACACGTCCTTCCCCAGAAAGTTCTTCTGATATGCAAATATATTTCCTGATTGTTTCCGAATGACGGCATTGTAATAACTCACTGCCCCCGACAACGATCATAAACTGTGTCTGATGTGCTGGTGTCGCCGTATTGCACAAGACAAAATCGGTTTAAAGAGACAATCTCTGTCGATTGGCCGAGCCCCGGGGCAAGTTGGCTGAGGCTAACCAACTCGGCTACCAACTGCCCGCTGGCGTTGTTGGCCAGTCACATTAATCAACGTTTCGCCAAGTTGGGAACTTAATTTATGCAAGCCAAAAGTGCAAAGAGCAAGCCCCTTTTCCCCGTCGGCTAAGCCGCTTCAGTTGATTCTTTTCCTGGGCTCACATTACATAGAATATTTTCCCCCTGACATGATTCTATTTATTTGTCTGCTTAATTGTGCGACGCATGCAACAGTGTCAAGTATACGCCGCATAGCCCCAAGTGAGATTTCGGGAGGGAATCGAGGGATTGAGGGGTTGAGGGGTTGAGTCCACTTAGAACATGTCTCGCATTGCATAAATCATAAGGCGGCGAAATCGAATCGAATCAGATCGCTTTGAAGTGGCCAGTCAACTGAGGTAGAACCTGTGCGAATGCACTGGGCAAAAAGCATTTAAATTCGTAAAAGGGAATAAATTATGACCAAGTAAACCATATAAATAATTTTGAATTACAGAACATTCCATTAATCTTATTCTTTTGTGGTTTTTAGTGAACTTAAAGCTTATCTTGAACTTAAGTAAATAATTCTGTGATTCTTAAACAACTGAGATATTAACTTTGGGTAAGCAAGAAAGAGATGTATTATTAAAATTCTAGAAGGAACAAAATGTTAATCATACTTACTAAGCAGACTAAATCAATGATATATCATTTCAGTTTAGAATATTACTTTGTATGATAATTTGTTACTGTGTGGCCGGTGTAAGACGAGAACCTGCCCCCGGAAGGGTTTGCATTCGGCTCGTTTCTGTTTGGTTCTATGTGGCTTAACTTGGCCTTAAGGCTGGAAATGTGGAAAATGTGTTTGTTGCCGGGCCAAATGAGTGCAGAGTGCAGAGGCGTGTTGGCGACCCATTTAGAGAGCGTCGACTGCACTGCACTACCGATTAATCTGTATAAATAGGCAAGTCCGGAGTGCAGTTCTATGTCAAATCGTTGCAAACCATCGACAAAACAAAATGTTCAAGCTGGTGAGTGACTCGAAACAAACAGGCAAACAAAAAGGATTTTAATTTAATTAATTCCTTTGCCTTTTCCCAGTGCGTCTTCGTTGCTCTCCTCAGCCTGGCTGCTGCTGCCCCAGCTCCTGCTCCCGTGCCTGCTCCTGCCCCAGGATTGATTGGCCCCGGACTGGTTGCCCCCGGAATCTGGGGACCCACCGTCGTTGGAGCGCCCCTTGTGGCTCCCGGCGTTGTGAGCGTTGTGCCTGGTGCCATTTCGCATGCCGCCATCACCCAGGTGCATCCTTCTCCGCTGCTGGTCAAGAGCGTCCACGGCTTGGGCCCAGTTGTGATTGGTTAAGAGCCGCCGGAGATCCTGCCACCCATGTATATCTCACCCACACGCCAGCCATTCAGCTCCTGTTCAACCCAAGCATTTTCCCGCGGAATCACTTCGATCACGCATCCCGTGCCCTGTTTATAGAAGGAAAGAAAGCAAGTCCAGCAATGAGAACAAAAAATCACAAAAAAATGTTTAGACACTAAAATACATTCCAAGCAATAAATTACCTACCATACTTGTTATAGTGAGCGAAAATGATATTGGTTTTTTCATTTAAATTGGTTTCTAGCTCTGCCCAAAAGTAGGCATGAAAGTTTTTTAAGCTACTGAAGGTAAGTATAAGACTTTTATAAGAAACAGGCAAGTCACAGAAATTTCTTACTAAAAAAATTACCAAAATTATCAATTTCAATTGCTCTCATAGAACTACATTAACTTATACTTATTCTAAAATAAATATTTTTAAATACAAAAAAGTTTTATCAAGTTCAAAAACTCTACGAATTTTCTGTTTAATGAAGCGTATTATTTATATTTGTTAGAATACATATATTAAATTGGTCCAGTACTAAACGAATAATTATGAAAACATTAAAAAACAGTAACACATAATTATTTACTAAAAAACAATGTTTTTTAATATCTTTAAATTCAAAAATTGAAACACAATTTTTTAACTTGTTATGGGGAAACGAAAAACATTTATTTAAACGAAAAATCGGTAATACTGTATCACATTTGAGTTCTTAGTGGTGCAGGGAGTAGGCCAGAGGAGCGGAGTGCACCACCGACTTGACGAGGGGAGCGGAGTGGACCAGGGGCACGGAGTGCACCACCGGCACGGAGTGAACCACTGGGGCGGCGTGGACAACGGGAACGGAGTGGACCAGTGGGGCAGCGTGGACAGCCACGGCGGGTTGGGTGTAGGTGGTGGTCTTCACAATGGGGGCAACCACGGGCTGCACCACCGCCTTGCTGTGCACCTGGGTGATGCTCTGGTGGGAAACAGCGGAGGGAGCAGAGTGCACCACCGATCCAACCTTAGCCAGGACGGGCTCGTGCACCACATGGTGGGTCTCGATGAGTCCGGCGCTGGCGGTGGCAACCAGGAGAGCGATGACAGCAACCTGAATTAGAACAATATGAACTTAAAGATCTTCCTCTAAATTCAAGATCCTCTTTACTTACGAATTTGAACATCTTGATTGGGGTTTTGGTTGGTTGTTTTTGGGGTGAACTCAGAGCGATGACTGATGCTGTTGGAACCTGGAGACGAGGCTTTTATAGCGAGTAGCCAACGCAGGCTAAGGGCTCAAACAGCCGGAGACTTCGGCTGCCGAAGTTGTCCACCTTGAGGCGCTTTTGATAAGGCACGAATTAACTTCAAACTTCGGGCTCCAACGATCTGAGCTTTTAGCCATCGGCAGCTGCAACAGCGAGAAATCATAATGAGCCGACTTCGACTCGAATTTGGCTTTCGATCTGATCAAAGTGGTGGGGTCATGCAGGGGCGTAATGAAGGTCAGCGGTGGGGCTTTGAGCATCGCATTCGTGGTTCTATATAAGTTGGGTTCGCGGTTCCCAAACATCATCAGTTACTCAACGAATCTTCCCAAGCAAACAAGCAGCTCCCGCTCAAAAAACCAATTAACAAAATGTTCAAATTCGTAAGTTACTCAGGGAATATTATCCTTTGGAGCTGGAATAACCAAAGGTTTTACTTTATAGATTGCTGTCATCGCTCTCCTGGTTGCCACCGCCAGCGCTGGACTCATCGAGACCCACCATGTGGTGCACGAACCCGTCCTGGCCAAGGTTGGTTCGGTGGTGCACTCTGCTCCCTCCGCTGTTTCCCACCAGAGCATCACCCAGGTGCACAGCAAGGCGGTGGTGCAGCCCGTGGTTGCCCCCATTGTGAAGACCACCACCTACACCCAACCCGCCGTGGCTGTCCATGCTGCCCCACTCGTCCACTCCGTTCCCGTTGTCCACGCCGCTCCAGTGGTTCACTCCGTGCCGGTGGTGCACTCCGCTCCGGTGGTGCACTCCGTGCCCCTGGTCCACTCCGCTCCCCTTGTCAAGTCGGTGGTGCACTCCGCTCCTCTGGCCTACTCCCTGCACCACTAAAGCAAATGATTTGTTTGATTGTTAACCAATTGTATGAAAACTAAATAAAATTCACAAAAGTATTATTGATCCCTAAAAACCAAGGAATATTTATTATTGAAAGGGGGAAATTCGGTGCAAAATATTTAAAAAATATTTAAACATATTACTATTAAAACCAAAAAAATAAAATAAAAATAAAATGAAATACTTAATTAGAAATAGATGGAAGTTTTCATAACTAAACCCATGTTTTAATAGGTTTTTATTTGTTTAGAACATCAGTTAACAGTACTTTATTAACATTAACAATTTAAATTTGAACTGCCTGAGAAAATTGGTTGTAGAAAAATTGCACAAATACTAATACAAATTTATTTTTAAATAAACAATGTAATTTAAATATGAGTAATATTTTATGCAATGCCAATAACTGTAATCTGCCAAGCGCAAACCTTATATATATTTTGGTCTTTAAATTTCAAAGTTCTCTGCCCAACAAAACTCTTATTCATTTTTTAAATGATAAATAATTTAAAACAATTTATTCAAACAATAACAAAAGCAACAATAATGCATGGCTAATGCCCCAACATAAAAGGTTTGCCGTTGTAGCAAAGTTCAGGCCGAGGAGACATCCAGTAGGCTGAGGTTAATGTGGGCAGATCCCTTGTCAAACTTCGATTTTGAAACCAGAGTTGGTGGCCAGAACAGTCGGAAACTTGGCTCACAGCAGGAAATGTCAGATTATGATGTATTATATTGATTTGGCAGGCCTGAACAAAAGCAAGGGCAACGATAACCAATGAGTAGAGCAGCTGCAAATTGATTTAAAATGTTATTTATTAATGAAAATAATAATAATAAATTAATGAGGTAGATAGTCACCATTCTGTTCATATTGAGGCAGTTGAAATTGGATCTAGTCTTAGTTTGAATTCGACTCTGCGGAACTCCAGTAAGAACTCATGACCCACTGAGGCCTAGGCATCGTTTATATAGCCAAATTGTCAATTGATTTGGCAAAATGACAAATGACACGCTCAATTTAACGAAGGTCTTACAAACAGTTTTGGGTTTTTCAGATCACTGATCCCTAAAATATAACAATTTAACCTAAAGTGAAATCTACTTCAAATCAAGAGAGACATAACAAAATTCTAAACTTTGTTTACGAATATCTAAACAAAAGAAATACAATCAAAAAATAATATTTAATAACTATTCCCTTTTTGCATCTTAATTCACAAAAATGTATCCGTTTAAGTCAAAAACCTTTTTAGTAAAATTGTAATAAAAATGTTAATTAGTTAAATGAGGGTAAATAACCTTTTTATCTGGATTGTACATAATTAATAATACTGTGAAATTGATAATAATCGTCAAAAAAAATATATGTATTTCGGTTGTAACGATTGCATTAATTTATGTGTTCATTTAGCCTAAAGCGGTGGGATGTAGTAAATTAATAAATTAAGTCAACCCTTGCTTAAGTTTAGTAACTTGTGTCCCAACACACATTATATAGCTTGTAGTGGTAATAAAAAAATATTTACCAATAAATCAAAACAACAACTCGTTTATCCCTTCCTGCGATGACTGATTGAATTGTACGAACCACGACCATAAAAAATAATCGGCACTCCATAAAATTACAGCGACCGCAAATTAGGATTTACGAGAGCGGAGACCGAACCCCGAAATCGAGATATGTGCATAATTTTCTGGGTATTCATTTTCCACATTACCACCGCCAGATGTTTATCTTAAGTACGTGTAACTGTCGCTCGATCCAAAGTCGACGAGCCCCAGAAAAATCCAAAAAAAAAAAAAAAAAAGACAATGACACAGACGGCAAAAGACAACAACTTGCAGCTTGAAATTGTGGGTTAAGTGCGCGTGGGGCTTGTCCGGCGGATAACCTTGACATAGGGACCGAGGGACCGAGGGACCGATTCCAAGTCCGAATCTGAATCTGGGGTCTTTATCTGTCACTCGAGCGGCACTTAACAGCTGCTGCAGTCGGTAGCCAGGTCTTTACCGCCTGGCCATGAATCACTTGAGAAGCCGCAGCCATCAACTGGACGCCTCGATGTTGCAATCGGATTCGAATTCGGATTCAGACTCGGACTTGGACTCCAGCTTCAATTTGAATGCAGGCGTACGCATATAATTTATTGCGCTTTTGTTTGTGCCCCGTTTAATGAAGGGCAAATTCGAGGGGATTCGAGGGGTTCTGATGTGGTTCAAGTTCGGGAAACTGCTGCTGGTCAATTATTCTGCATTGGTTTCCTAGTAATTTTATTTAATTAAACATGTAAGCATCCTTTAACTAGTTTAAATCCTTCAATTGGTATCTAAAATTGATTTCGCATTTGGCTTAAATAATTTCATAGTACATTTCCATTTCTTGCTCTTTGAACTTCTTAATATAGAACACAAAATTGATTGGTCATTTCTTCTCAATTTATTTATAACCACCTCAAGAAGTATTCCACGAAATAAGGTTATTTATAGAACGACTTTTAAGCTTTTCAGAGCTTAACTTCTATTTAAAGCAGATTTTTTCTTCTCAGAATAACTAATCAAAGAGATTTTAAGCCAAACTAGGCTTAAATCTAAAATTTGCCACCAGCCTTTAAAAATGTCATAATTGTATTGCTAAAATTAGTCCTTCTTTCTGGGAATTGCATGACTGTGCCTTTGAAAAGGTCACGTTATTCTTAGCCCAAGTGGTTAGTTCATTACCCAGGAAAGGTAACATACTACACACACCTCCTTCCATCTTTTGTAACCTTTGATTATCTGCACATCTCCTGTCAATGTGACTCATGTTATATGAGCAACGCTCATCAGATTGCCATCGATGGTATTTGCACTTCCACATATTGGCGCACTCATTCATTAGCGTTATGTGGTAAAAGGTCACATAACGAGCACAGGGAGATGCATCCCCAGGAACCCACTTGAGATACATCCTTGCGGGAGGGTGGAGAATGTATTCCCAAGATGTGGATGCAACTCAATTACGCCGGGATCAAGTGATTGTGAAGGACGATGTGGTGTCCCCGGGGCGAAGTGCAAGGATAACCCACGCACTCAGCTCGAATGTTTCAGTCGAGACTGCCTCATTTGCGTAAGCGACCGCATCTAAGGCCAATTACTTGGCCCATTGTCGATTGATTGGCCTGGCTTGTTTCTTTATCCCGACTCGACTCGACTCGACTCGACTTCCTCCTCAAAGTCACCCACACACAACCACAGAAAAAGCCGCTGGAACCTAGGTCAGTTAACGAACTGCGTCTTTGATAAGCGCTTAGAAGTCGGAGGAGAGCCAGCTACAAAACAAAACCCGAATAATTGTTTTATTCGAAACCCAAACCGGTTCGGGGCTCAAGTTCAGCCAAGTACTTAGAGACAAGCAATTGGGCTTTGGACCAAACTAGGCAACTATAAAAGCCCGCCGTTTGGCCGGTCATCATCAACAGTTGCAATCGATTCAGCAATCAAAGCAAACCCCCAAAAACCAAACCTCAAAAAATGTTCAAATTCGTGAGTTACCAAGGATATTTTTTATAGAAGTGTCCTTTAATTGGATATTCCTTCTGCAGGTTGCCTTCTTTGCTTGCCTGGCTGTGGCTGCCGCTGCTCCTGGTCTGATTGCCGAGACCCACTCGATTGTCCAGCCAGCGATTCTGGCCAAGACCGCCTACGTGGACACCAGCGCCTCCTCGGCCATCACCCACCAGAGCAACGTGAACCTGGTCCGCAAGGTGCCAGTGGTCTACTCCGCCCCGGTGGTCCATGCTGCCCCAGTGGTTCATGCCGCCCCGGTGGTGCATGCCGCCCCGGTGGTTCATGCCGCTCCTCTGGTCAAGACTGTGATCCCAGCCGCTCCCCTCATCAAGACCGTGGTGCCAGCTGCTCCTGTGGTCCACACTGTGGTCCCAGCTGCTCCTCTGGTCAAGACCGTCATCCCAGCTGCCCCACTGGTCCACTCCGTGCCTTTGGTCCACAGTGCCCCAGTTGTCTACTCCGCCTACCACAAGTAAATCGATTGAGAGCGTGTTGACTTGGTTATGATACAATTGTTATACGAAAAAAATAAATGAGAACAAAAATGTATAAAAATTAACTACTGTTTTTTATTCCTTTTTTCGAAAATTATATCGTTTGGTTTTAGAGACTGTCGCTCGAAAGGACTCCTTAAAAAAAATTTATTTTATAAAATACCTGAACTTATAAGTTTATACTTAACGTGCTATTAGGTTTGTTTAAAAAAGTTATTTTTTTATACAATTTTTTAAATGATAGTAAGCTAATAAGTAATATAATAAAATATTTTTGTCGAATTATAAATTTTTAGTCATGTTTAATGTTATTATTATTATTATTATTATTGTTATAAAAACCTCAATTTATCTGTTTCTAAATGGCCAATGTGAACTTTCTAAAAAGTAAATTAAAAACTTTTAACTAACTATCTTTCTTTGTAAAGAATTTCCTGGAATAGTGCACTGCTCAATCTTTATTACTTATTTAAGATTATAAATATACACATTCGGATTTTCAAGCAAGATGTGTGAAAAATAATAAAAATGTTAATTGACCTGCATAATTTATTTTCGTCGACGCCTCCGGCTTCATTGCGGTTTTGTTATTTCTTCTTTTTTTTTTTGAATATTTGCACTGAGCTACCGATTCGAGCACGCCGATAAATACTAATGAATATCATTCAAATAAAAGTCATTCAAATTGATTATTTAGATGCTAATTGGATTGGATCAAATCGATCAGCTATTCAAAGTTGACTTTTGCCAAAAACTGGTCCTTTTCAAGCCCCTTAAATCTGTAAATTTTACCATTTACCATTTATATTAAAAACAATTCGATTTATTCAAAGAGGCAACCATAACAATCTGTTTCAACAATTTTTTAGTGGTGGTAGACATGGGCCAGTGGGGCAGCGGCGACGACAGTCTTCACCACCGGAACGGGAGCAACCACCGGGGTGATGAAGGTCTTCTGGTGGTGCACCTGGGTGTGGCTCTGGTGGGAGACGGCATGGGGCAGGGCCTTCACCACGGGAACGGCGGCAACATGGTGGACAGCGGGAGCCACATAGGTCTGGTGGTGCACCACCGGCACGGTCTTCACAACGGGCACCACTGGGGCAACATGCTTGACCACTGGAACAACGGGAGCCACATGCTTCACAACGGGAACCACTGGAGCATAAGTCTTGACCACAGGAACAGCGGGAACCACAGTCTTGACCACCGGCACCACCGGAGCCACAGTCTTGATGACGGGAACAGCGGGAACCACATGCTTGACCACCGGAGTGAGCACCGCCTGGTTGTGGAACTGGGTGAAGCTCTGGTGGGAAGTGGCCACCGGAGCACTGTGCACCACAGCACCCACCTTGGCCACAACGGGAGCCACCGCCACGTGGTGCTCCTCAATGAATCCAGGAGCAGCAGCGGCAATGGTGGCCAGAGCACAGATGGCAATCTGCAGTTAAATAATAATTAGATCCTATAATTGATCCTTATATCCTTTAAAAAAATACTCACGAAGCGGAACATGTTGAGTTGGTTGGGTGGTGGTTTTGGTGGTTTGTGTGGTGCTGTAAAGTCGACGAGTGACTGTTGCTGATTTGAAGCTGGGTCTACGGCTTTATATGGCCAAAAAAATTTGCCAGCCAACCAGCCGAAATGTCCTTCAACGCAAACAACTAACGAGCAATTGGCAAAAAAAACTCGTTTGATTTACATTGAACTTGAACCTAAGCGGCAGGCAAAACATCTGCGAACCCCAATCAATTGTCGTTAGGCCCAACAATAACCCAAAGATTAATACGAGGCACTTATTGTTAGTTCAGGTTCAGAGCCCAAGCGAAGGCCTTCGTCGATTCGCGATGAAATGCAATTTATTCCAAACACAGTGAGACAAACCGAACGAGTTGTTATAAAAGACACATTTCGAGGGCCCCGCGGATCCAGTTCGAATTTGAATCCCAATGAAAGCTTAGATGCGACATCGCTGGTTGAGAAACGAGTGTCCTGGTGGGTGGGGGAAAATGGATCAGATTTGAGATCGGAAACACGTTGAATTTGGTAGAAAAAGAACTTGGTTTTGTTGTGGAACTAAGTCAGGTGCTGCACAAGGTTCTCGTCATCCGACCCAAAACTGTAGGGCAGATACTCGAGTGGCGGCATCCGCAGAAAGGGACCCACTCGGTAGGTTCGCGATGAGGAATTACCGATCATCCGGTTCTCCGTGTCCTCGTCCTGGGTGCTCATCGATGAGTTCAGGCGCTGGCTGAACGGACTCACGAACTCGAAGCCCACGCCCAGGCTGGCCATCGCCGGGTGTCTGAACTGGGCGCGCCACGCCTGGTTGCAGTTCTCGTTGAACTCCAGCGAGGACTCGTCGGCCTCCTCCTCCAAAAAGTGCAGGTGGTGCATCATCATCGCCGCTCTGGGCACCGGCATCTGGCGACGATTGCTGTCCGACATGATTGCTGCTGTTGTTTCCTTCAACTTATCGTTTATAGTTGTGTTTATTGGAATGGATCTTTGAGGGTTATGTCGCAGCCTACTGGGTGGAAAAATATTACAAGTTTGCAACTACTTTTGATTCAAAATTTGACAACTTTATTATGTGGGTTGACGTAAATTCGAAATGGAAAATATTTTAGATTTATAAAAACCAAAAAAAAATATTTATACGGGTAACTTTTTTATATCCAAATTATGTGCATAATGTTACATACTGAATTGATGACTTCAAATGTATTTAAACTAGTTTAAAATATTCAAAAAAAATGTTTTCTTTTTGTAATTTTGTTAAAATGTTGCACATGAATTTTAACATATTAAAATAGCCCTCTGAGACTTGGAATTTTTTCAGGAGAAAGACATTTTCAGGAAATTTGAAACAAAATACTGTATATACGCAGCCTTTATTTTCACATTTAACTAGCTTAAACTACGGCACTCCATGGCCTAACTATTAGGCACATAAACCGGACTCAGATTGAGTTGCTCGTATCCAGTACCGTCCTCCTGCGTGGCTTTTGTGTGGAAGGTTCGATTGAGGTTGGTGGGTTCCACGTAGCCCAATGCCCTTCCCATGGGCGCGATGACGAAGCGGGTTTGAGCCTGCGAGGATCCTTGATAGGAGACCACCGAAGGTGCAGAGTCAATCAGGAGACGAGGCGCCTCCGTTGCCGGCTTGGCCAGAACCAAAGCCACGGAGATTACAACCAAAAGCATCTGAAAGTTGAAAGTATAGATTTAATAGAGAGATTATATGGTGTACAGAGTAGGTCGACTTCTTATAAGAAAAAAAAAAAGAAATAAATTAAAATAAAGTTATTTATATTGAAACATCTCATCAAGTTTTATTTCTTATTCAGACTGTTTACGTTTCGCTCAATGGGCTTGTTTACCGGCAAAAAAAAGTGAGAGCATTAATATAAATTAACACATATATGTATAACCAGTTCGTTCTTACAACTCTCAAAAACTATCGAAAAATCAAATGAGAACTTGGTGTGTATTTAGAGAGGTTTTTAGTTACCGAAACTGAATCAGATAATTATATACCTACGTGGCTTAATTTCCTGTTTTAAAACTATCACTTTTATTCAATTTTTAAACTTTGTTTGTGAACTACTTCTATAACACGATTTATAGAATATGGTTTTGTAGATACTCTCCACTTCTAGGATATTTATGCTTCCTTGTATTCCCTGAAATCGACCCACCCTTTTGGAGATTGACCATCCCACTCACCAGATGCCGCATGGTAACGATCAAAGCCTAATTTGGTGATTATGGAGACGGCAAGCCACTGAGAACACCGCCGTCGAACTGCGATTGCGGTGGGCGGATCGAATTGAAGATTGGAGCTGGAGGTTCCCCTTTCAAGAAACAAACACAAAGCGGAGCGAGTGGCAAAGTCAAACTGAAGTGCTGTGTGAATTGCTGTGCCATGAAATCACGGTGGAGCAGTTGCTGGCTAAAACCAGGGGCGTACGTGGAGCATGCCGAGGGATTGAACTTATAGATACACCCCCACTCACTCAGCCCATGGAATAATGCTCGATCTGCGATCGAAGCGTTGGAAACACGCGCGCAGTCGCGGTTATCTTGCAATTGTGGGAGTGTCTCAACTTGGACGCAGCTTTACGTAAAGAAATAAACCGAAAAAAAAAAACTAAAATCAAATATAAATAAATACCGAACGCCGCAAATATTGTAGTAATAGCACCGCAACAACAAAGCCTACAACATGCGACCGCGTCTGCGCAACTCGCTGAAGGTTGATCCACTCCACTTCTCACTTCGCACCTCCACCCCTCGCCCACCGCACCACCAACCACTGTGGTTGGCTTGTTTGCTCTGTCTGCTACAATACCCAAGCGGGGTATTTGCCTATGATTAGAAGTTAGCTTTTCACCAAAAACTATTATATAAAATGTTTACGAAAAAAAATTGTATTTTTGTGAAATTTGATAAAAAGTACATACAGTACACATTTTAGAACTTAAAAGGCAGAAAACAAATTTTTACAAAAAATTTAAATACCTTAATGATCTTACCAAATATTAATATTAAAACTATTAGGACATAAATATAAATCCAGTACTAAAAATACATTCATTGATAAGAAAAAATGCTAATTTTAATTCTATTTACCTAGTTGCAGTGTTAACTTAATAATATTTTCCGAATTCAGATTTTAAAAATTATGTGGACAATTATTATTTTTTTTTTTTTTACTATTAATAAGTGTCAACATTTTTATTAGAATTAGAGCAATGACTTGGGTAAACCATCAGTATATAATTTATATATTATATATTTTCCGGCATGGAATTCTTATAAATAGTGTATTTAAAGCTGCGGGGTAAATATTTACTTACCACTTGAGGTTTCAATAGTTAAAGTTGCCATCGTGGCTTCGCACAATCGCCGGCAATCCGGCGATGTTGAGTCAACCAGTCAGTCGGCCATATGATTCGGCGATTAGCCGGAGGCGCGTACGTACCAAATAATGGAAGCTCTATTGCTCTAAGTGCACGCAGCTCATGAGAGGCTGTCGGATCGGAGTACTTTTTGATTAATTAATTAGCTGCATACAAAATGGCCCATAAATCTTGCTGCGACAAGACAGGGCGACCCCTTGGTCAAGGAGTCCTCTTGGCCACGTCCACCACCGCCGGCTATAAGTGGCAGCTATAAATGGCAGCGGCAGATGTCTAACGGTAATTAGTTGACCACTCAAGTGACCATCATGCACATCACAGTGAGTAATCTCCTCCTCAAAAGCGAGTGTTGAGTTCTTCCTGACTTTACAGGTTGTTTTCCTCTCAGGTTGTTTTCCTCGTATTCACCTGGGCTTTTGGCCACAGTCACGCAGCAACGACAATCCTCCATGCCAACGGTCAGTTGGCCAGTGCGATTTCCCACCAGAGTTTCACCAGGTTGTCCTCGGCAGAGCCACTAATCCTCCAGCCCCAAAAGCAAACCCATCAGCTTGTTGTTCCCTCGGCGAGGATTATCAATCAACACAGAGCAGAGGAGCAGCAGGTCAAGAGATTTTTCCAGGAGGAGCAGGTGGAGCAGATACCGCTCATTTCCAGCCAGACACCCGCCCACCTCACCTATGCCGCCCATCCGGTGGTGCACCAGATGCTGCCCAGGATTAAGCCTGTGCGGAACATAAGCTACGACTCCCTGGTGCCAGGACCTCGCAGCCTGGCCACTAATCACAACCTTTCACCAGTTTAGAATGCGGATTAGGAAGGAAAAAAGCAACCAGTCGTGTTATGTCATATATAATAATATGATCTAATAAAATAATAGCTTGTTAAATAGTGTAATGTTAAGACCACTTCATTAAAACCAATCGCAACTGCAGACAGGAAATGGAATCTTCATATAGAACGCAATCAAACACTTTTGTTATATACAGAAAATGTCAACATGCATTGTTAGTTTTAAAGCCTACTAAACTATACCAGTATTATAAATCCTAATTAATGTATAATATAATATATACTTTAAGATTCTCTAAAACCCTATAGCTCATAATGTCCTACATTTTTTCCCTTAACAAACTATTCGTTTTTATATTTTACACTCACCCACACACACAAATGTAGACACCCAATTTTCTCTTGTCAAAATTTTGTATAAGCAAATTCCGTTTATAGTTAATAAACTTTTAATTCTAATTGACTTTTATAAAAAAAACGCAACCAAAGGACTCTCAAAAATCGAGGAAAAGGAATGAATGCCCGGCTGATGCTAAGGCAGCTCCCCAGCCATTTAATCTTTCGCATCCTGCACTATTCCTTGATTTCCCACCAACTAAGGGACGAACTGGGATTCAGTGCAGGATCCTTAAGGTTGAAGAGATGTGGTAACAAGGCTCTGGAGTGGCAGCCCTTTGCCTTTTGGCTGACCAACTTGTTGGTAAACTACTCGGGCGATATTCTGGGAAATCTGCTTTTGGGGAGTCTTCCACTGGAACCACTCTGCAATACCGCGGATATTATACTCAGCTCCTTTATCTGGTGAGATATTATGGGTTTTGGAACATATAATTAAATATATAATAAAATGTTTATATATATTAGTATTAATTCATTTAAACTTTTAACTAATTTATCAATAAACTAAAACTTGTATCCAAGTAGGTACTGCATATTTTATTGTCCCTTTGAACTGGGAAACGTCTTAGCCGGCACAATGGCCTTCCGCATCCTGGCCACCGCAACGTCGACAATCAGCCAGGTTCAGCTCATCGACAAGGGAGTTCACTTGGCAGGACAGGTGTACGGAAATGCTCCGGTTCCCATGTTGGTGGTGGGCACTGTAATGGGCAGTGGAGCAGAGATTCTGAAGCCGGTGGCGAGTATTTTAATCAATAGATGTCAGAACAATCAGATGGCGTACATTAAGCTAAGCAAGTAAGTTAAAATGACAACACTATTTCATATTCAAAAAACAGAAAAATGGCCTTTTCCAAAAACGGAACATTTCCTAAAATTGTTTTCATTTTTCATAATGAAAATATATAAAATTAATAGAAAAGGTATAGCTTCCTTTCTTTTTGTTTAGTTATTTTTTAGCAAAACTTTTTGTTTTAATTTTCTGTTTTCTTACCATAGCACCTCAAAGCTGGCGCTGTTCATTTCGCTCCTCTTCATGCTGGAGATCTACCAGAGTCCCCTGATTCTGGGCCTCAACCGCCACCAACTGATAATCCACACTTTAGTGTTGACCACAGCCCTTAAGTTCCTGTCATTGACCTATCGAACGAACCATTTTGTTTGGCTTTTGGAGCGCCAAATGCAGTACATCTTATTTGGCGGCCTCTCGAGGGATTTGGGCAAATTCTTCGAACGCCTACCGAATCCAGAAACCCGGCGAACGTGGGCGTTTTCGGAATTCGATTGAAGCTCTCGTGGGGATTGCGCAACCGTACCCCCATCCCCATCCCTTCCAGATTCGAGGGGGTGGTGATGGGGGGGCGGTCTAAGCGGCTTATATTACCGCCCGTCCAGCCAAGCGATTGGAGAGCTGCAACAGATGTCCCGCTTGATCGGGTTACGTATGCTAATCAGCTTAGAAGCTTCCGCGAGTGGACAGAGGAGGTGCCGGGTTACGGCTACGGCCACGGGTTAGTGGATGGATATGGATGCTCCAGAGTGCTCGTCCAGCTGTACCGTGAAATTACTGGTTGAGAATAAAGTACTACATTCAAATGAAAACTAATAAGCTGAGCATTCTATTAATTAAATTTAAGGTTATGCATGACTAAGCAATTAGAAGTAAAAAGAAGGATACTACAATATAGGTTAATATGTTAAACACAACAGTTGAAAGCATCCGTTAAAAGTGTCATTAAAAATATATTTATATATTACATTTTTATACGTAAGTGCAGAATTTTACTTTATCAAATTTTCAATAAAATAGTTACCTCCGACATACCTTTTTTATACCATAGTACATAGACTCTAGTTCCGACCGATCAAAATGTCAGCCTGTCGAAAAGCTTGTCCCCGTAAAACCAATAAAATAAATGTGAATCCGGCCAAGAAAAATCCATCGGCCATTATATCGATCCTCTGTCCGGATAAAGAGAAACCAAAGACAGAGAAAATGCCTAAGAAGGAAACGAAGCCGGTTTTTTTATTAAGTAATTATAAGTAAAAAGAAGGGTACTTTATTATAGGTGAATATGTTAGACACAACAGTTGAAAGGACGCGCTAAAAGTTTATTTATATATTTTCCATTTTTACACGTAAGTGCAGAACTTTACTTTATCAAACTTTTAATAAGATAGTTGCCTCTGACTGCCCTTTATTTTTAACATTCATTCAAAATATTCATATTCAGACTTATCAAAATGCCAACCAGTCGAAAAGCTAGTCCCCGCAAAACCAAGAAATCAAATGTGAGTCCGGCCAAGAAAAATCCATCGGCCATAATATCGATCCTTTGTCCGGACAAAGAGAAGCCAAAGACAGAGAAGAAGCCTAAGAAGGAAAGGAAGCCAGAGGATCCAGAGCTCAAGGATTGTCCCCGAACGAAGGGCTACAAGTCTGAGGCGGATAAGAGGACCTATCTCGAACAGGAAGTGATTCCCATTCTGATGGAGGGTATGTTGGGATTGGCCCGCGAAATGCCAAAGGATCCCATCAATTATCTGGAGAAGTTCTGGCTTTACAATAAACACAAGTGCGACATCGAGCTGCCTAAGAATATTCTCTAATATATGTTAAAATGTAACCCAATCAAATTTCAAATCAAGAGCTGATTAAATGTTTCTGGTTCGGTGTTTAGCTTAGCCAATGATGCATTTTATTGGGCAGCGAGGCGGGAAGAGATTTTGTTTGAATTAAAGGGCTATAAAAGCTGATCTTCTGATTACAAACTGCATCATTCATTCGTCAGTTTGCGGATTCAAAGGAAGTCTAGAGAAATGTCTCGATTGGTGAGTCTCCTCTTCGAGATAAATTTAAACTTTTTAAATAATTTATATTTATGAATGTGTTACAGTCCCTTCCCGTCTTGGCCATTGTGCTAGTTTTGGCTGGAGCTTCGCAGGCGGCCAGCTTGGAGTGGCCCTCGAATCTGGTGGCCCTCAGTACTTCCAAAACCTCGCAGTTGATTCCCATTGCCAGCGAGGATTCGGTTGAGTTGGCCGAAAGCAGTTCGGGATCGGTAGTCTCATCGGGCAGCCAACCGGAGGAGCAATCCGAGGAGGAGGAGGAGCCGGTGGCCCAATCCTCCAGTGGCACTGTGGATGCCATCGATGCCCGTTTGGTTTCCTCTGCAATTCCCGTCTCCGTTCCACTTCCTCTGATCCTGGCTGCCCGAAATGGACTCCGCACCGTGCTGACCATCCAGGAGCCAACTGTGGCCAAGGTGGGTGAGGTGGTGCAGCACGTGCCCACCGCCATTTCGCATCAGAGCCAGACGGTGGTGCACGACCACCGTCGGCTGGTCACACCCATTGTGGCTCCGGCGGTGCGCACCACCCAAGTGGTTCGCCAGCAGCCACCGCTTGTGTGGACCGTCGCCTCCGATCCTCGAGTGGTCCTCATCCGCAACTAAGGATTCAAGCCAAAGATCAAGAAGATGAACTCGCCAAATCTATGATACTTCTACTCTTAATTCCCTTTCTGGATCTGATCGCCCACAAAACTCTTTCTCTTCTCTGTCTTCTTTCTTCTGCCATTTTCTGTAGAATTCTTTTGTAGTGTACTCTTAATAAAGTTTTCGCAAATGCATTTCAAAAGGCTTTTAATACTGAGATATTACTAAAAACACTTTTATGAACTTACAGAATTAAATAATAAATTTATTGAAATTGTCTCCTTAATTTTTTTCCATTGCTTGGTATCGTCTTGAAGTTTATTCCTTGACCCATCTTATGTAAAATGATTGTCCTGCATTTTGCGTATTATGAACCCATTGCGTTTTCACTTGTCTGGCATGGATTCGTTGTGGGGCGTTGTCGGTGCGACAGGAAATCAATAAAATAAACACTGAGACCGGCCCACGACCACAATAAATATGCCACATCCGCCCCCTCCTGTTTCCACTGAGACTGAGACCGAGACTCTCCGATTGTGTGCAATCAAGATCTCTGGAGGATTAGGCAGTCACAGGGTCTGGGTTAACGCCCAAGCTCTACTCATGTTCAAGGGCTGGGACCACTCATTTAGAATGTTTGGTCCATTCTCCAATCTTCAGTTTTTTGCTGGACTATAAAAGCGGAGGATTGGCTGCCCAGCGAACAACAGTCAAGTGAAGTGCACTGAACCAAGAAGATGTCACAAAAATTGGTGAGTGAAAAATAAGAGTTTCTATACAAGTAATATTTTAATAAATTATTTCTATAGAACTTATGTTTTCCTCTCCTTTTTTGCCTCTTGGCAATTGGACAAGCTGAGCTGCATATTTACCACCCACTGATGACCCTGCACCACCAACCAACTCTGACCGAAGTGGGTAATCTGGTGGATTCTGTGCCCTCAGCGGTTTCCCATCAGAGCTCCACCATCGTTCATCGTCGTGTTCCCAGGATTACACCAATTTTAGCTCCTACTTATAGGACCACATATCTGCACTATCCATCCTGGAATTATCCGCTCTTCAATGGAGCCAACACCCTTTACCGAAAGTAAACCTTTGCACGGCAGGAGTCCCTGAATTGGATTTAATATAAATAATTGGATTATTACAATTTCGATTTAAACAATAAACATAAAATTCAAAAAACCCTAAAAGAAAATTTGTTTTGAATATGAATTGGGGGGGATTGTGTGGGTATTCCCAACTGGATTCAAGGGAGACGACTGCCAATTAGATTTCGCGCAACGCTGCACTTCTGATTGAGTGTTGGGTAGCAGATATGGTTCAACTGACGTCACCAGATGAGCAAATAAACGCACGAAACAAGCAGTGCTATGGTATCCTGTTTTTCGAGATGTTGACAGGGTGTATTGGATTTCCATAAGCAGGGCAGAAAGCTTTGGCTGAATAATGTTTTAAATGTTCCATAAATAGTAATTATTTTAATTGAAAGATTTAAAAACTCTTTGCAGCTTATTTTAATTAAACAAAAAATATATTTATAATAAATTTTTAGACCATATTATTGACTTTTGATTTTATTCAAATATCATCAAATTTTTTAATGAAACATTACTATTTTCCTTAAACTGTTAAAGCATACATACTCTATTTCAAGCTACTTTATTTTGAATTATATTTGTGCAAAAATGATTGACGTGTCGTACGCAAATGTTTAGGCATTATTTCCACAGCTTTGGAGGCTGTTGTTCTCTCCATTCGATTACCAGAATTTTCCATGGAAATGACCCCGGGTCAGTAGCCGAAAACCCAGCTCTGTTCCCCGAAGAGATGGATTGTTTGAGGACTTTCACCCAGTGTGTGAAATTATCCTGGCTTCGTCTCCCATCGAAGGACAACAAATGGAAGCCCTATGATGTATCATTCACTCTCCTTTAGGCACTGAGATAATGGAGTTTTCAGTGAGACAATGGCCTAACGAAAACCCTGAACCTCGGAGAAGGCCAAAGGTTAACTCCCGGCGGAGGAGGCTGTAAAACCCACAGGTTGCGCAACCGCCAAAAGGGTTTATTGATGCCAATTAGCCGTGTGAACAGCCCGCTGGGCGAAATGACGCAGAAGGCTTAAAGGAGGTAAGTAATACCCTGTCGTACGGCATACAGTGTAGCTCAGCATTATCCGATTACACAAGCATCCGGATGTATAGCTCCGGCCTTAAGGTTAAAGCATCAAGGTGGGCAGAACGATTTATCGGGTGAATTGTCTTTTCCGAGCACTCAATACCTGTCACTTGCAGGCAAACCAGCCAACCCAATGATGCAATTCGAAAGAGGCGCAGTTTCCTCGGCTGCACCGCTCGATATCATCATCATCATCATTATCATTATCGTCAGTATCTGAATCGTCATCAGTGCTTTTGTTTCGCAGTGCAGCGTAGCAGCCTTTTGGGCTCACACCACTTAAAGCCAAAAGACCTCCCAAAAGACCCCTCCAATAAATCGGACAATGAAAGCCCCATTAGGTCTCCCCACCGCCAAGTCGGGTTAACATCTCCCCGGGTTCCTTTGCCTTGATTGGGGTTATATGGATTGGTCATCTCTCAATTGGCACAGTGGGTGATTTGGGTGCTCGACTGCTGTGTAATCGGTTTGTTTGTCTATCACAAACGCCAGCTGAATGCATCGTTATGCTGTCATCTCGGCAGCGACTCATCGCACTAAAAGGACCTGCCATCCTGGGGGGCATCCGCTGAAAATTTAATAACTTAAATCCCGAAAGCGACTAATGAAATTCCGTCTGCTCGAATCAAAAGGCCAGCCACTTAGCCTAAGTACCCCTAGCTACAGAAATCAAGATTTCCGAGAACCCAGCCCCGAAACATATTAAATATTTGATGTAACCCAGAAGTTTCGGCTTAAAGCGCAATTATTGGCCAACTTTTTGGATAAGGCTTTCACTCGCAGCCGAAATTTTGGGGCAGGGGAGAACGGAAGTTTTGTGGCACAAAGCACTCCGCAACTTTCCGGTGTGGCAAGCAGGGGTTTTTCAAATTAAATCACAAAATGCTCACCGCTCGTAGGTAAATTTGTTTGAGCCGAGATGAAGACAATAAGCCGTGTTAAATGAGCCAAGCGGTAAAAGAGCAGTGAAAGGGCAGCAACAACAGCATTTGATGCGGGTGAAATAATTCGGGACTGTTATGTAATAATCAGTAGACGTAGAAAAAGGGGCAGCAACAGCTGTCTGTTGGCGACATGACTCACTCGACCCTTAAAGCCAATAGCCATTCATCCGAATGCATAGCACACAATGTGGGTGAACGACCTTGACGGTTTTGGCCAACTATGATGATTACAATAATCCAACAATAAACTTAAACATACGCATCGATTTTATTACAGGCCATTTCGCAAAACACAACACGAAGCGAAGATGAAAACAAAAGCGAAAAACTTGTTTAAATTCCAGGCACACCAGCCAGTTGAAGAAAAGCAAATCGAAGCAACCGCAAATCGACTCCGAATGTGAATCATAAGCCCGGCTCACTGCACCGCACTCGAATGCATTGTTATGCAACGCCCCGAAGCAAATCCAGCCAAGCGATGCTGGCCACAAACTCGACTGGGGTTTCCCCAAGGCCCAAAAGCCGTTTAAGCCGGCAAGCAATCAAGAATTGAATAGGCCAACAACGCGAGACCGAAAACTTCAGTTCGGTTTTCTTGGGCTTTTCCAGCGAATTTTTGGGCAAATCCATGGCACAATTGCAGAGGCTGTTAAAAGGCGAAATGCAATTGTAAACACTTAAAAAAATGTATATATTCTTCACCATTTATTATTAACCATATTGAACCATTTTGAATTAAACCAAATAACAAGGAAATGCCAAATAAGATTAATAATATTAAAGAAAAATAATAGAAAAGCACCCGGGGTAAACTATATTGTTCTTAATAATTAAAACATAATGATGGGAATGTATTTAAAAAAAAAAATAGCAGCTTAGGATACAAACAAATTCCATATTTCCATAGTTATTAAAGTATGGTATTATAATAATAAAAAAAACAATTTTGAAATATATAGAAAAATACAAACACCGTCTTCTGAATTGTTCTTGTGATTTATTTTCAGCAATAACAAAAATGTCCAGTAATCAATTGGTTTTATATGCCCCTAAAGATAAAGCTCTAAATCCATACCCAACCCATAATGGTTGGCTTAAAGAGATTGCCAAATTGTTTTTGGCCAAATGGTGCGTGTGGGTGGGAGACCTCAACTTGTTGAGCAATTGACACAAATCTAAGTCGGGGAGTCGTTAGTCCGACCTTGGTCCACTGCCAATACATATTGTTTTGCCTTTTGGACTTGAACTGGTACAAGCTGCGTGTGAGAGAGAGGAAGGGAGAAAGGTATATCGAGAAAGAGAAAGAGAGAGTGCCTTAGTCAGAGGAAGCGAACAAAGTGGAGCAAACACGATTCCCACACAAATCTGTTTGGGCAAACAATTAACAAGTTGTCCATAATTAACACAAGAAATGTTGTAATAGTCCGCCAAAGAAATGAGCAAAAAAGTTGGAGAGCACCATAAATAGAAATGAATACATATCAAATCGCGAGTGAAGTTCCAATAACGAGCCCCTGAACCTGTAACCCCATCGGATTACAAACTCTCCAGCTGGCATTAGTTGTCACCGACGAGGTCCAAGTTCAAGTTCAGTTCATCAGCCACTGGGATTTACCAATCGCTAAGTTTACTCTAACTGCCGAAATTGCTTTTATCAGGAAAATCATTTCAAGCCGCAGATAGCGGAAATTATGTATACTCTACTCTATTAATAAAAAAATCTTTGAGTTATAATGAAGACATCAGGCAAAAAATTGGTTACAAAAATTTTATTGTAAAGACAAGAAATCGTTTATTAATTCTTTATTATTCTTTGCTTGCAGAGAAGAGTATTTAAAATTATTCTTAGTTTTATATACTTTTTCCTAAGCATTCAAAAATAATTGTTTTTAATATTTTAAACTTATTTAAAAAGATGGTAAACAATATTTGAAGGCAGTTTCTAAAAAAGAGTTTGTGCTGATTAATTTTTCTTACGAATATTAACTCCTGTAATAATTACAAATTTTCTTTTGCTTTAGCATGTTATCAAATAATTACTTTATCCATATGCCCAAATACAGGGTAATAGAAACTATCATTAACGGAATTAAAAATCGATGCAAATCAGGTTCGACGCACCTCCTTCAAACAATGCTCGAAAAGCCCAAAGTGCTCTATTGGGTGAGTCATAAAAAACCCGATGGTCAAAAACTACGCCACACGCTGATTGATAAAACTCCACGAATTAATCACGAGCAAATTGCCGAGAGGTGTTTGCCAAACAACCCCTCCGGGTAACACCAACAACTCCGGCAAATCAATGTGATTAGCATAATTTTCGAAGATCTGGTCATTATCAACTTTCTTGGAATGTTTAACATAAAACGCCACTTAAGTGCGGCTAGATAAACGACTCCGGCTCATCGAACCAAGGTCAGTAACACAAGTCGAAGCCACTGGAGCCACTGAATCACAATGAGAGCCACTCGAACAGACCTGACCACACACAACACCGACTTAATAATGATCGGGATTTAAGGTAGTGGCACGCGAACGTGATCATCGTGAATAAGTTGGGGGGAATGTCTCTAATTTTTATGAACTTCGGGTAATTCCGCAAAGCACTTTTGATTCACAGCGAGCTGCCATAGGTTTTGAAAACTAAGCAAAACGACAACGAAACGAATGACCGACTGATGACGTTTGCAGTGACCATGGGTTAAAAACCAGATGATTTTTGAAGTGAACTGCAACCGAAAAGAGAGGTAGATATATTCATATACTGAAAAAGAGATGGGGAAAGATGAATGTATGCCAAAAGATCCGGTTTGAGGCAATGCCCATTTTTACCCCTTTTTCACGATGTGTTTTTATTATTCGGTTGCTCCTCTCTGACCCAATTCATAATTGCAGAATTGCATAATCCCTGTTGCTCAAGCAACGCCTTTCCGGGAAGCTTAATTTGGTTATTCAAAATTTGGTCAAAGCCCCCCCACTTGAAAATCATAAAAACACCAAAAGACCAATTTGGATGTTTCACATGGATACTAATTTTTGAGAAAGGTAGATTTTTTAATGGTTAATTGTGATAGTTTAGGGTTTTAGTAACGATAGTGAAGCTACCTAAGTGATATTTCCGCCTAATTCCTCGTTTAGTGACCTCCAGTAGTTTAGCAGAATTGGGGATTTGAGTAAAAACCCAGACGGAAAACGATTGCCCACAAAAATCAACACCAACAGTGAGAAAGAGAAGTTGCCAAACATTGTCGCCGTTGCCGCTTTTGTGTCTTTTGTTTTGGGCTCCCGATTCGCAAACTAAGGCGGTCTGCAGGAGAAAAAGAGATAGAGGTTACCAGAAAGAGACAGCGCAAAGTTGGAGCTTGACGTCGACGCTGCGCATGCGCAGCTTTTGTATAAAATGTGCGCGGCCAACGAAAGCGAAATCAGTGAACGATCTGCAGACCAACGAGAAGCACAATCGGTGCAGAAAGTGAGTGAAGTGAAAGGATAACAGATAAATTGCATAAGGATTATCGAAGAGAAACAACAGTGATAATTACCCAATTGGATTATTTATATTGACATAAAAAAGGTGAGTGAAGTGTGGAAAATTATAAAAATTAATTGCCAACGTGAACTTAAGTGAACTGAATGCAAAGCTAATTAATAGTGAGACTCCAGCAGATAAAATTATTGATATTGTACACATGTCTATAAATAAAACTCTTGAACAAAAGGCCCCCCGTTATTAAGCCAATCGAAAAAGGCAAAACTTTCTCTGCGAATACAAAGGAAAAACCTAAAAATTTCCCAAACCCCACCGATCAGCATTTAGCATCGCATTTACGAGCATTTCACGCCAAAGAAAATCCAAGCAAAAGAGTTGCCGGTAATTTGCAATGCAACGCTGCGCACAACTTCCGCCCAAAAAGAGCAGGGATTAAAGAGCTCCACAGCTCGCAGCTTGAGCATTCATTTACATAACTCGAAATTTCAATTTGCTTGCACTCCAAAAGATGAAGTAGTAGATTAATTTGGTAAACATATTACTCAAAAAACGATTAGACTTCCGCCTGAAAGTAATATTATTTTATGAAACAAAAAATTTTAAATAATACCATTTCTCAGAAGGATATCTTCAAATTGATATAAATATAAATTCTTTATTTTTTATCGAGTTCATTTGCTATAAAAACAGTATTCGTATCTTATTGCTTTTAAGAAAAATAAGAAAAAAAACTACAGATAAAGAATAGCACAGGAAACAACTCCTGTTTCACTTAGTTCTCCAATTTGCAATTTTGTGGACCCAATTTTTTCGAAGTGTAGCCGATCTTTTACAAATCCGCCCTCGCGCTGAACCGGTGACATAACTGCAATGGAAACGTCCATAAAAAAAGGCTGAAAAGAAAAGTGAATTTTACAAAATAAAAAAGATACACGAAGCGGAAAGCGGCTGTCAGGGCGAGAGATCAACTTGAGCGATGGTCGCCAGTCGGATTGCAGTCGTAGGCTTGCTAAATCTGTAGTAAAATTACCTCATAAATTACAGGGAGCTGCTGCCCCCGAGCAACCTCCTCCTCTGTCTCGCATTTCGAGCAAAAGTAACGTACAAAATCAAGCAATTAAGTGCGACGGTCTGCGACCTCCAACGAAAGTAAAAGTCTTATACGGAGGGTCTGAGTCACGGTGAAGATTTCGTGATGTTAACCGGTTTCGGCTCCAAATTCGGTTTCGTTACGGATTGGTTAAGCCAAAGATGGCAGAAGGGATAGGTGGATCGGTGGAGAAATGTAAACTGGCACAATGACTTGGGGTAATGGTGTCAAGCTTGGCAGTTATGTCACAACCAATCATGACTAAATCGCTTCATTTATTTTCCACTCGCAGTAAAAGGCGAACAAATCATCAAATTTTATAGTTTGTCAACAGATAAAACCAATTTGGTGAAACAATGATCTTGAATCATTCGATAAATAAATTATTTAAAATGTAACCAATTAAATGAAAATTGCTTATTAAGATAAATAAATTTATTTAATGAAAAAACAAATTTCTAAATACGATAAATCAACTTCTATAAAAGGTTCATTAAATTTGCAAAGATAGATTTAAATAGAGAAAATCTTCTCTTAAGTAAAAAAAAACTTTTATAAAACGATCTATTTTTTCTTCCTTTTCAGATCTTCACAATGAGAATAAGAGCTAGCCTTCTGGCAGTTGTACTGCTGGCCACCGCCTCCTTGGCCGAGGAATCCAGCTGGGGCAATGAGTGGGCGCCCATGGAGGACTCTATGCCCAGTCGCCGATCTGTGGACACAAAGCCCGCCGACCAAGCCGACATCCAGGGACGTTACCTGGTCCACGAGTCCACCCAGAGCAACAGCACCACCCAGATCGACGAGGTTATTGAGCAGCTGATCAACTCCCGTCGGGAGGGTCGCAATCTTGGGGAATACGATGCCGTTTATGCCGATGGAAACATCGATCAGGCTTTGCAGCAGGGAAACGATCTGCAGGCACGCAATCTCATCCGCGATAAGCTCTGTGGTTTGGGACTGATGAGCTGCGATGTGGAGGAGAAGCGTCCCTTCTACTCGACGATTTACGCCCAGGGTCCTCCTCCACCATCCGGTTTCAGTGGTGGTCCTTATGGTCCCGCCAAGCCCATGCCTCCACCCAGCTACTTCAGTGGTCGTCCACCAATGGGTGGTCCTCCCGGATCCTTCGGACCTCCACCAAGCTCCCTCAACTCCTTTGGACCTCCGCCCAGCTCTGTGAACTCCTTCGGACCTCCCAGGAAGGTTGGCTACGAGGGACCCTACAAGCCAATGTCCGGACCTTACAGGCCAAGTGGACCCGGAGGCTACCTGGACCATCCTCCTCCATCTGCCATTGATGGATCCTCAGATGGCATTACCTACACGAAGCCACCACCCGGAGCTCTGATCTACGACAGCAAGCCACCTGGTCCCGTCTACACCGGAAATCCCGGACCCGTTTTCACTGGTGCCTCCAATGGAGTTCCCCCTTACAACTTTGAGAATCCCGAGGGTGGTATCCAGGGTGCCAGCTCTGCTCCCAATGGCTTCTACTCCCAGCAGTCTTCCGCTTCCTCCTCTTCGGCTACTTCCTCCAGCACCAAAGTGGTAGTGGGAGCTCCCCTCGATGCCCTCCAGCAGCATGTGCACCATCATTACCACCATGTCGATGGAGCTGAGGGCGCCAAGATTCCCAGTGTGCCGATTCCCATCGGAGCTGGCCAGACCATCAACACGGACTTCAGTGCCCTGGCCCAATCCTCGGCCACCTACACTCCCTCGATTCAGACCTCTTCCGGATCCGGTTACTCCCAGTCGAATGCCTTCAATGCTGGATTCAATGGCGCCTCCCAGGGTGGCCTCCTCTCACAGAACGGCTTCGGTCTCTCCCAGAAACCCACTGGTGATCTGTATAAGCCCAACTCCGGAGATCTGTACAAACCAAACTCTGGCTTGGGAAGCTTTGGCGGCAGCAGCTCTGGTGGATTCAGCGGATCGCCCAGCTCCAGCTATCACAGCCAGAACCCCGACTACTACAAGAAGGAACTGCAGGGAGGAGCCTCCAACCAGTACAATGGAATCTCGGGCGGTTACCAGGGACAGGGAGGTTACCAGGGAGGCTACGACACTTCGCGCCAGCAGATCGTCGACTGCCAGTGCGTGCCCATCAACCAGTGCCCCGCAGCCGATCGCATCGGACGCAAGGAAGACCTTATCCTGCCCATTGATCCCCGCAACCTGGGCAAGGACATCGAGGCTCTGAGTGAGGATGCTCCCGCCGCCAATGCCACCACTCCCGCTGAGGGAAAGAAGGCCGAGGAAAAGTCTGACAAGGATGACAAGAAACGCACCCGTCGCCAGGCTGATGCCGACCAGAAGGACGAGGAAGCCAGCGATCTGTCGCTCGATGCTCAAGGGGTAAGTCCACTAAACTCTTTGCAGAAGACCCTAGTTCTAGTTTAGGTAGTAGCCCGACTAATGCCAAATCACACATGGTTCACACGGACCACTAATCGAGTTCTAGCAAAGCTCCTCCCCCGCCACAAACACACACATCCAATCAACCAATAAATCAATCAATCGACCAACAAACCTATCAACCAATCAATCTGACAACTGCACCCATCGTTCAACGCTCCAAGCTCAACTAAAATTCCAGAGTGCAAATCGGTTCCGATTAGATCAGTCACTAATCCCAGAACTAAAACAGCTAACCAAGCACGACCTTTGTGATCGCACGCCTGCTACCTGCAACATGCAACATGCATCCGAAAACCGGAAAATGGAACTCCACCTGTAGCGTTCTTATGTTTTCCCATCCCCCTCCCAAAAAAAAAAAAAAAAACTAGAGACAGTCGCCGCTTGGAGCATCTCCATTGGCGTTGCCCGCCCTTCAGGCCATCGAGCTGATCCAACGGAAAGTGCTGCCCACTTATGGAGTTAGCTTTGGACTTCCCTATCCTGCCGGTGCAGGATACGGGGGATACCCCTCAAATGTCCTGGGAGATCATGTGCCCGGTCAGAATCCTTATTTTGGTTCCGTAGGACCAAATGGCCTCAATCTCGGCCTGGTGAATGTGAATCCCTTGGTATCGCTGCAGGTGGCCAAAACGGATTATGGCGAGAAGGTGGTGAAGCCACTGGTCAATCTCCATGTCACCCCGAATGCGAATATCATCCAGAAAGTGGGAGATTTCTTCAAGCGGAAACCCACGGAAACGTACAGCACCCACTATCATCACCATGATCATTACAGTGGCTACGAGCACCACGATTTCGATCACCATGATCACCATGGACACCACGACCACCACGACTCGTATCCCCATTACTATGGAGGATCCGGACCTGGTCCCCATTTCAGTGTTGAAATGATTCCGAGCACTCCGATCTTCGAGTTCCACAGTGGCCCATCTGTACCCACTCAGTACCATCATCACCACGAATCTTCTCCGTATGAGAGCTCCTTCAACTCGATATATCCTGGATCTGGTCCCGATTTCGGTGGCTTTGGCGAGTATTCCCAACATGTGGAGAGGAGTGCCAATGTGAGCAGCGGTGAATCCGTCTGGCCATCGAACTCCAGTCGTCGAGGCAAGCAGTTAACCCTGGGACCGCTCTACAACATTCCCACTCCAGCTCCTGGTCAGGCGGCTGGCAGTGATCGGATCACTTTCCCCCGGGATCGCAGGCGCAGGAGCGTCGAGGATGGTGTGTGGGCGGGAGCAGCTCCTGAGGAGCAGGTAACCATGTGTTGATCAAGCATTAGAGGTCCTCGAACAATGACATAAAAAAAATAGTTATTTAGAAGTATGTTAATTTTTTAGGAATAAAGTTCTTATTGAAAATATTGACACAAGATATAAGGGATTCCAAATTTAAATTATTAAATCCTATAGACAATTTTCTCGAAATTATTGATTTTTAAATTGGAAAAATTCAAAACTTAATCTAATACATTAAAAAGTAAAATCTTTTTATACTTAATTTGATACTTGATTTCTTTTGTTTAGGAAGAGATAATGACTTTTTGATTAGGTATTACCCAATCCTCTAACATTTATCTAATTGTTACCTTCTTTCTTGATAATTTTCAGCGCGCTTACTATGGCAACCGACCCGTGGAGAAGACCTGCCGCATCAACGAGGTCTGCTGCCGTCGTCCCCTTCGTCCCCAGGCTCCTCCCCAGCAATTCGGTCGTTGTGGAGTGAGGAATGCCGCCGGAATCACCGGTCGCATCAAGAATCCCGTGTACGTTGACGGAGACAGTGAGTTCGGCGAGTACCCCTGGCATGTGGCCATCCTGAAGAAGGACCCCAAGGAGTCGATCTACGCCTGCGGTGGCACCCTCATCGATGCCCAGCACATCATCTCCGCTGCCCATTGCATTAAATCGTAAGTTTTATACTCTTAAACTAATTTTCCATCAGTGGATTAACCTGATTACTTTTCCTATCCAGTCAAAATGGCTTCGATCTTCGTGTGCGTCTGGGCGAATGGGATGTCAACCACGATGTGGAGTTCTTCCCCTACATTGAACGCGATGTGGTCTCCGTGCACATCCATCCCGACTACTACGCTGGCACTTTGGACAACGATCTGGCTGTGTTGAAACTGGATCAGCCCGTGGACTTCACCAAGAATCCGCACATCAGCCCCGCCTGTCTGCCCGATAAGTACTCTGACTTCACTGGCGCCCGTTGCTGGACCACCGGATGGGGCAAGGATGCCTTCGGCGAGCACGGAAAGTACCAGAACATCCTGAAGGAGGTGGACGTGCCAATCCTGTCCCACCAGCAGTGCGAGTCCCAGCTGAGGAACACCCGACTGGGATACAGCTACAAACTGAATCCAGGATTCGTGTGCGCCGGTGGAGAGGAGGGCAAGGATGCCTGCAAGGGTGATGGTGGTGGTCCTTTGGTCTGCGACCGCAATGGTGCCATGCACGTGGTGGGAGTGGTGTCCTGGGGCATTGGATGCGGTCAGGTTAATGTGCCCGGAGTCTACGTGAAGGTTTCTGCGTACTTGCCCTGGATCCAGCAGATCACCCACAACTATCAATGATTAACGGAGCAGCACGAGGATGAAAAGGAGGAGGTGACTGCCTATCATGCGAACACCGATGGATCCATACTGGAGGACACCTCCTCCTCCGACGAGTTCGTTTTCCACTTCTGACCGAAGCCATCATCCAAAACATTTGCCACTCTCGAACCGCTTCGATTGTGGCATTCGTCATCGTATTTATCAGCGTCGTCACTCTAATTTATTACGAATGTCTCTTCGATTACCTGTTATGTTTGTTGTTATACATATTATGCGCCCACAGTCGCCCCTTCACTTCACTTTAGTTCACTCCCCCACTTGGTGCCCCACTCATTAGCGGCCCACAATTGTTACTTAATTGAAGACGCACAGCCGTCGCGTCACACTTGTTGATATTAATTGTAACTTGTATCTGTACATCTGAGTTCCGATTTTGTCTTGTAAAATAGTGTTTGTCATAATTAATTTATTTATATATTTGTAATAAATTTATAATTATGTATTTAAATAAAAAATAATTTATACAAGAAAGTTAAAAACAATTTTATTTATTGGTGGAATGGAAATGGTTTTTGAAGGGCTTCTTGGAACTCCTTGTTTAAAAGGTTTAAGTACCTAAATATTATATTAATATTTAAAAAAAATATCTATCTTCTAGAAGTTTGAAAGAAATCTGGGAGTGAGATTGTATTTCAATTAATGGGAGCAGTTTTTGTACAAAAGAATTTGATTTGCTTAAGAACAGATTCGTCTCTTGATTAGCACAGATTAGATAAAAATAAACAGAAAAATTTGTCTTAAGTTAAAGGCTTATATTTAAACATTGGAATATAAAACGGTTTTTATACTTTTCTTATTTTACCTTTTCTTCCGGATGTTTAAACACATTTTCGCAACTTAGCTGTTTTTTTGACATCCGCGCTCCTTTTAATGATCTTAACTTCAACAGCGTATTTCCATATTTATACAATTTTCCAATTAAAACTATATTCAAATTTTGATTGAAAAACTTTTTTCAGACTTTCCCTGTACGTAAATTGGCAAATAGCTAGCTGGTAATCTTCCTAAAAGCGTAATCCCCGAAATGGCTTTCCCTGCATCGTTGCACTGGAGAGCCCCCAAGAGCGCCTCTTAAAGTTCAGTTACAAACTAGTGCAGCACATAAAATGCAAATTAAATTTAAGACATTAACAAACCGGAGGCTTAGGCACTTTGGTCAAAATAAGCGTGCCAGCGAAGCATTAAAAGACGCCACCGAATCTTGGACACAATAGCGGGCTTCCTCGATGAAATGGAAAAAAATGGGTGTTAAGGTGCAATGTGTGTGGACCGAACTCCATATAGTGGGCAGAGTTATTCAAATAGCTTGGAGTATGAAAATCATAACATGCCCATGATCAGTTAAACTTAAAAACCGCAACAGACTTTCCGCAACTTAAAAAACTTTATGCTCGGCTGGCGGCTCTGAGAGTCTTATAAATTGGGCACCTTCAACGAAATGGAAGTTCAATGTAGTTTGAGCAGCGATAGCGAGATGTACGGCAAAGGATTACGTTGTTTTCTCGGTCATTTGATTATGGGTAAGCCGGGATATACCCTTGAAGAAAAGAAATATAAAAAGTGATTCAGTTGTGTGAAACTTTTTGAATATGTTTAAAAAGGAAGGATTATTTGTGGATCAATTTGCAAAAACCACTTACAAAAACTGTTTAAATACTTTAGTTCCAATGTAACACAAAAAATATAAATATAAAAAAAAAACAAATTCACTTCACAAAATTCACTTCATGAATGTGAAAAAAATGACAAAAAAAAAAACCAAACCAAACCATTTTTCATTTTTTTTTAAATTAAAATGTTTTTAAAGCAGGCAAGAATTTATGTTTGAACTATCTACTTTTTTAGTCCTTCTTTTGGCCCAAGTGATGGGACGCCTTCACAAAAGGAATGGCTATCACTACAGGCCACAGCAACCGCCTCCAATCCACCAGGGTGGATATTTCGAGCCCCATCTTCCGGCAGTCGAACCTCCAGAGCCGGAGAAGCCACAAATTCAACACAGCCCAAAGAGCTACTACAGTCAATCCGGAGGCGGATCTTCATCATCTAGCAAGGGATCCGGTGGTTACAGCATTGGCAGTGGCCTGCGCTCCATCGCCCAGGGATCTGCGGATCAGGCTCATAGTGCAGTGACCAATCAACATGCGGCTGCCAAGCAGGCGGCTTACATAGCCCAGAATACTTTGGCTCAAGCCGCTTCCCAGGCGGCAGCCACAGCTCAAGCTGCTCTGGTGGGCAAGCAAGTGGTTCTCCAGGAATTGGAACAGCAGGCAGCCGAAGCTCAGAGATCCCTCTCCCGGGAACTGGAGCAACTGAAGGCGGCCAAGATCTCTGCCAGATTGGCCCAACAAACAGCGCAGGCGGCCCATCACCACATCTCTGTGCTAACCGCAGCTGTAAATAATGCCAAATCCGTGGCCGATCAGGCGGAGCAAACTGCCACGGAGGTGAACAACCAACTGGCCTCGCAATCCCAGATGGTGGGTCAGGCCAAGAACCGATTGGAGCAGGTGGAGGAGCAGTTGCACCAGGCACGCGTGGACTATGCCGCCACCAAGGAATCCGCACTGAAGGCGGCCAATTCTGCAGCCGCTGCTCAGGTGAATGCCTCCAAGGCGGCGCAGCATGCCACGATTGAACTCCACGAGAGCACCAATCCCTCGGGCCACGGACACGATGGTCACGAGTTGAGCGGAGAGGAAGAGTCCTATGATGAGCACTTGGAGCCCAGTGGACTCGGCCACACGGCTGGTGGAGAAGTACTAAGCGAACATGTTCGTACTCCTTATCAGTAAGGGATTATCTATTCTGTATTAAAAGTAATTAATACAAAAACAACACTGTACTACGCTTAGTTTAAAAGCCTATTTATGTTAATAAAATAAATGCATTCAAGTCAGACCTACGTGGCTGTGATGTCAGCGTATTAAAATGCACCTTTAAACGCACAAAATGTTTTTTATTATTATTTTTTTCTGCTACCGAGAAATAGGCTTGGTAATATTTTGTCTTTCATTTTTCTAAGTTTTTCCTTGTCTCAGTTTCAAATTACTTATTTGGCGCGCAGCATTGCCAACATTAAATATGTTTTGTCGTAACACCCCCTGTTAACTTCTAACAGCGCTGTCACCTACGCCGGCCCAGCTGGTCGACCTTCCCGGTGAATGGCAAACTCACTGTTTTTTAACTATCCGATTAATTTTTTGTTAAAACTAGTTAAATAACCCGCTAAAATGGCTCAAAAGGTGATCAAATACTTCGGTCGCACCACAGACTTCCGTGGCAATACGCTGTGGGAGCTGGTTTCGGAGCTTCCCAACTGGGGAGTGGGTCGCCTGCTCATACGTAACATGTTCCAGCGATATCCGGAGCCCTGCTACATGCGGATTTTGAAGGTGCAGGCCGTTGACGAACAGCCGGGTGAAATCCGCAAGGTGCGGGTCACGGTGGAGAAAACCTGGCGAGGAGTTACCCAACCGAAGCCTGTTGAGATCTACAGCACCAGCTACAAGGCGGACTACGAACTGGTGCCCCAGGATCAGGAAGCCAAATACCTAAACAACAACAAAAAGGTCGAACCAGTGGTGCTACCCACCAAAATTGATCTGCCACCTCTGCTCCGGGAATTTGTGACGGAGGAAACGGGCAACCCGAATCCCCAAATGAAGGTGCACTACAAACTAACCCACAACAAACTGGCCAGATTAGCCAAGGATGGTGAGAAACCCTCTGTTAGCTTTGGAGTGGGTCTGGGTCAACCCAAACCCGTAAGCACTAAGCTCTACGAAGGATTGTTATAAGCCTGCGACATTGTTAAAATATTAAATACATATATTATACATTTAAACTTAAGCACATACAATTTGTACACTATCTATACATGGGTTAGACTCTGGAATGGAATACATTGTAAAAGAAGACTGGCATTACTTTCCGTTGGCCTCCAGACAGCGCAACTTCCTCGTGAGATTGTCCACTTCGAGTCCCAACACATCAAGATTCTCCTTCAACGTGATATTCTTCAGCAGCGTGTCCTCCAGCACTGTTTGCAGCTTCTTGTTGATCTCCAGGGAGAGTTCCAGAGACATGGCCTTGTTCTCGCCGCCCGACTTCGTAGATCCGCCATAAATGGCCGCCATGATCCCGTTCCCGTATTTGACCAGCTCGCTCTTGTTCTGATCGCTTCGTGAGGTTGTTAACGCGCCGGCAGTCTGATCCCTAAGCATGTAGTGCTGCACCACCTTGGATTTCTTTTGCACCTCCGCCACCAGAGCGGCCGTGTGGTTCTCCAGGAACTCGATGCGTTCGGTTTGGCGGGCAGTGGCTTGCTGCAGGCGCAGAATCCGCTCCACAAGGACTTTTTTGGACGGCACCGCTTGGAGTTCTTGCTGTGGTGGAGCTTGTTGGACAGTGGTCGCACTACTGGCTACGGTTTCCGATTCGGAAGATTCGCTGGCTCTCCGACTGCCACTGTGCATGCTACCATGGCTACTGGAGCGACTGTGACTACGATGCTGGGGGGTCTCCGTTGGGTAGCCATTGATCGCCTGCTGGCAATTGCTGCAGTAGCTGATAGGGGACTTAGTTTCCGCGATCCCCCTTTTGTACTTGTTGAGCTCTCGGTGGAGCTCTTTTAGTACGGTTGCATGCTTGTGCTGGGTGGCCTCAAAGTCCCCCCGGACATCCTCCAACTTTTGCTTGGTCAGCTCGTATAACTTGGTCTTCTCTGATAAATGCTTGGCCAAAAGCAAGCGCTCTTCCGTTTTCTCCGATGCCTCCGAACTTAGCTGCTGCTCCAGTTGATTGTACTTGGAGTCGTAAGTGAGCTTCTCCTGCTTAAGCAACTTGTTTTCAGCATCTAGCCCTTGCGCCTGAAAACAAATAAATATCAATTAAATTATGAGATCCTTTTAACCATTAGGTTATATCTAATATCCACACTTAAGAAGCCCACTTAGAATCGTTAGTTATTCTTGGCCTCGGTGGCGCAGTTGGCAGCGCGTAAGTCTCATAATCTTAAGGTCGTGAGTTCGAGCCTCACCCGGGGCATGTATACTTTTTTTATAAATATATTTTTTATGGTTTTATTTTTACTCACCTTGGCCTCAGCAAGACAAATGTCGTTCTGCAACCGAACAATTAGCTCACTCATTTCCTTGTTGATTGTTAACAGCTCTTGTTTCTTGACTTTTAGTTGTTCGAGATCCAATTCGTTTTCCTGAGCCAATTGTTCCAGTTTTTGAACTCGCTTTTGTTCCTCTGCCAGTTTTTCTTCGTTTCTGTATAGGGTAAAAATTAACCTTTATATTAAGAAATTTTTATTAAATCGTAATACAAATCTTACATGGTGTTCTGGGTACGCAGAAGCTGAAGTTCTTCAAGTTGTCCCCTCAATTTGGCGGAGTTTAGCAGCTCGTCACTGTAGGATGCCTCCACAGAATTTTGCAGTTCTCTCAAGCGATTAAATTCCTCGGTTAGCTGATTATGCTGTAATACAGAACAACAACCAATGTTTGAAACATTAAAATTTAATATTTATAACATTAACTAACCTCTGTGGTTATCTCTTGGAGCTGTTGCTGCAGTTCCCTGTTGGATTCGCTTAGTTTTTGCTGCTCCTTGGTGACTTTATCCAAAGCCTCAGTCTTGCTAGTGATTTCGTGTTTCAAGAGTATTGTGTTGGCTTCAAATTCCATTCTTAATTTTTCTATTTAATGGTAGAAAGAGAACACATATTCATATATGTAGGTACCCATAAAAAGACCAACCCACCATTTGCCTTTTCCTCAAGCTTATTGGGCGCGTTCTTTTCTTCTTCGAGTTTTCGTTCTACCACCTACAATAGAAATATAATCCAATTTGAGTAAGTTACAGTATTTAGTAAGTATCTACTTACCGCCTTCGCCTCTGTTTCGATGTTTAGTTTGTTTATATGATACTTGAGCTTGGACTCCAAATGGCCCATTTCAGTTTTGTACTTTTCGCACTCCCTCTGATACTTTCTGACTTCGTTGCACTGATAAGAACCAGATAATATGTTTAGATAAGAGGTTATTCATACCCAATTAAACTTCTATAACTCAAGTCTTTGCCTTGGCTGCCTTGTATATTTTAAACCAACCTTTTCATCGATGATATACGTCATGCGGGACTTTTCTTCGTTGACAGCCTGGAATCTAGTGGATACGTTCTTGATCTCCTTTTTGGCCTCGGCCAGTTGCTTCTCTACGACCTCTTTTTCCTTCTTGGCGTCGATAAGTAGCTTCTCCTTCATGGCGAACTTGATGACAGTGGCTTCCTTCTCCTTGTTGGCCATGTCCATTTCCTTGCGACAAGCCTGCTTCTCTTTACCTAGGATTGCGTTTTCCCTCTGAATGAGTGTGATCATGTTATCTTTTTGCATGTTGGAGGTTCGCAGTTGATCCATTTGCAGCTCAAAGTTTCGACGCTGTTCTTCCAATTGCGCCATACAGTGGACATGGGACAAAATGTCGTTTGGCGGCGGTTTCGAAGGCGTCTGGTGCAGTTCCTCCTCGTTTTCCTGCCCCTGCAAATCCTTGAATCGCACACTGAGTACCTCATGTTCCACTGGCACCTGCTCTAGGACTGCTGCTTTAAGATCCTGCTCTATTTTAGCCTCATCCTGGTGTTCTAGCTTGCCTTCTGGAGTCTCAATTTTCTCAGCGCTTTCTTCCAGCTGCTGTTCAATAAAATTCGCTTTCAGTTCCACGTCTTCAGTTGATTTCTCTTCGAAATGGTTTAAATCCTGGCCCGAGTCCCCGTTTTCCACTTTGGCCGGACTCTCCACCTCAGCCGGCTTCGTTGCCTGCGCTGATTCCATAGCGGATTTTAGTTATTTTATCATTTATTCAAATTTTTCAAGAAAATTCGCGTACTTTTGCTATACAACAAAAGTTTGATATTTGCCAACCAGCTGATTATTTACAAGAGTTGGCAGCCCAGAAACTGCATTACTACCATTCCAAACAGCTGCGGTATTGCGTTTTCTTTTTTTCAATAAACAGTCACACTGGCTTTTGTTTACATTGGAATTGTTTTAAAGTAAAACGATTTTAAAGATGGTTTGCGCTTTAGGAATCGAAGGTAGTGCCAATAAAATTGGTGTAGGCATTATTAAAGATGGTGAAGTTCTGGCAAATGTACGAAGAACCTATATCACCCCACCAGGAGAAGGTATTTCGATATCCAAAGCTACCGGCTTTTTTAAAGATTTCAATAAGATAATGTATTCAACAGGTTTCCTGCCCAAGGAAACGGCCAAGCATCACAGGGAAGCCATTCTGGGCTTGGTAAAAGCCAGCCTAAAGGAGGCAAAACTGGAACACTCAGATCTTGATGTCATTTGCTACACAAAAGGTCCAGGAATGGCTCCTCCTCTGCTGGTTGGCGCAATTGTGGCACGCACGTTGTCCCTCTTGTGGGAGATTCCACTCCTAGGTGTGAACCACTGTATAGGGCACATCGAAATGGGTCGCTTGATAACCGGTGCCCAGAATCCCATAGTTCTCTATGTAAGCGGTGGCAATACACAGGTGATTGCCTACTCCAATAAGAGATATCGCATCTTTGGTGAGACAATAGATATTGCCGTGGGCAATTGCTTGGATCGCTTTGCCCGCATCATAAAGCTATCCAACGATCCCAGTCCGGGATACAATATCGAGCAGCTGGCGAAGCAGAGCAGTCGGTATATTAAATTGCCTTATGTGGTAAAAGGAATGGACGTGAGCTTCTCGGGAATCCTATCCTACATCGAGGATTTGGCTGAACCGGGCAGAAGGCAAAATAAGCGGAAGAAGCAGCAAGAAGAGGAAGTCAAAGATTATAGCGCAGCGGATCTTTGTTACTCCCTGCAGGAGACCATCTTCGCCATGCTGGTGGAGATCACAGAACGCGCCATGGCCCACTGTGGATCCAATGAGGTGGGTGTATAACTTTGTCTTACTTAAAAACAACAGCTAACATTTTTCCTTTTTAGGTTCTAATAGTTGGAGGCGTGGGCTGCAATGAACGACTCCAAGATATGATGCGTATTATGTGCGAGGAACGTGGTGGCAAATTGTTCGCCACCGATGAACGTTACTGCATTGACAACGGGCTGATGATTGCCCATGCCGGCGCAGATATGTTCCGTTCCGGCACGAGAATGCCCTTTGAGGAGGCCTTCGTTACCCAAAGGTTTCGCACCGACGAAGTGCTGGTCACCTGGAGAGATGATTGATCACAAAAGGACAAATAAGTGTGCTTTGTTTGTTTATTAAATAACTAACTTCCATAATTTGTATATATGCTTATAGTGTGAGTGTTAGGAATATGGATGAGTAAATCCTGTTTAAAGGGCCTGCTCCTTGCCCGTCCATTGGGGCTTAATGTCCAACGGGAACACTCGCTTGCCCTCGATGACATAGACAGCTCCGTTCTTATCCTTTTCCAGGACATTCAGAATACAACGAGAGACATCAGCCGCACTCTGTTTGTTCAACCTGTCCAGAATCCTGTACGTCTCGTCACTGGTCTCCGGGAAGATGATCTTCTCCGTGAAGTTGGTGAACATGTCGGTCATCGTAGCTCCAGGGCAGACAGTCACAAACTTGATACCCGAGCGCTGATAGTACTTTTCATTCTGATAGATAGATAAATTCAAATCAGAAAGAAGGAAAAAATAAATCTATAATTGTTTTTTACCGCCAAACAACGAGTAAAGTTGATAATGCCTGCCTTTGTTGCTCCGTAAACAGGAATGATGAACATCGGATCCAAACCCACCACCGAGCTCATGTTGACCACAATGCCACCTTTACCGCCGTTATCCTTACCCATATAAGGCAAAGCACTTAGCGTCGAGTTGATGATGCCACCCAGATTCACCAGCAGAGTCCTCTGAACATCCTTGTCGTTAAAGATTCCAGCCACGTTGACCACGATATCGATGTTGCCAAAGGTCTTGGCTATCTCCTCGTAGGTGGCCTCCACACCTTTTTTGTTGGCCACATCCATCTTGACTATCATTACGCTCTGCGTGGGATGAGCGGCTCGTAGCTTGACAAATTCCTCCAGGTTGTCCTGCAGATCAATGATGGCCACCTTCTGGGAGATAAAAGTTATGGAAATGACTGTACATGCAGATGATTAATTCACCCACCGCTGCTCCTGCAGCCAGGAGCTGCTTGGAAACTTGCAGACCAATGCCACCAGCTCCACCGGTCACCACTGCATTCTTGCCGCGAAAGGACATCTTGATCTGGCTGGTGTGCTTTGTAGTCGATTGTATTCCTTGCGGTTTCATCAAGCTTCGAGCTCCTCAGTTGCACTTCTGATTTGAAACGGCACTGATCGCCGCTTTTATAGCTATTTTCCAGGGGTTATATGATATATCTTTGAGTGACTTTGGTTCGGCTGCAATCAATAGCTAGTTTTCCACCTGCTCTGGGTTAGGATTATGCAAACTCGCGCTGCCATATCGATTTCCATCGTCTGCTGGTCGCTCTAGCGTTCAGTCCGCTCTGATTTTTTCGATGTCAGCTTTGCATCGGTGATAAATATATTATAGAGATAAAGCAATGATCCCTTAATAAGAATCTTTCAATGGCATCTCCTCTACAATCAATGGGATTTAAGCAAGAGTTCCTATATAATCTTTTTAAGAAAGAAGTATTAGATTTTCGTATTAAATATATAAAATATTATAACAATTTCAATACCCATAGAAATAACATTATTTTTTTTAAGTTTTATTTATTCAAGCAAAACTCTTATGGGAACATAACATATCTATGTATGTTTGTCGTATATCTTTGGTTTTCATATATGATAATTAAATTTTCTTTCACAAATTTCAATATTAAAAGTTTATCTCGTATCTTAAGACTAGCAAACATGGAGTCGAATACCATGAGAGATATATAAATTTGATTGGGTTTGCTTTTGAACTTTTTTGGGCCGCTTCAGAGTTTTACGTATCGAAGGTAAACACAAAAAACCATAATAACAGAACTCAAAAATCGTAATCAAAATATATCAATTTTTATTTGTAAGCACTTAAATTATCACAAACTTAGATTATGTACACAAAGATAAATAACTGCAGCTACCAATCGAAATGGGAGGCATTAACTAAGGAAACACAAGAGTTAGAAAGACAGTTGTAAGAGAGGGAGGGCGGTTGCAAGTGATGGAATCCCCGTTTAGTGGGCGGCATCGTAGGTGTCCTTGTGCTGGTAGCCACTCACATATCCGGATCCATCGACCAAGTTCCGTCTGCCGGCGATACCCTTTCCCTTTCCGGAGGCATCGAAGCGCTCCTTGTGGGAGCCGGTGTACTTGCTGGTATCCGTCAACCGATCCACGGCAGCTGCAGCCTTTCCAGCCTGAAAAATCAATATGGAAAATTTAGTTAAACCATCAAATTACTAAAATAATAAAACTTACCGAAACGGAAACAACTCCTGGAGCCCCGCAGCCGGCCAACTTCTGCTTGATCTCCGACAGCTCCACCTTTTTCGTCTTGGCGAGATCATCCAGAAATTTGTTGTAGTCGCTGAGTGAGATCTTCATGGCCTTGAACTTCTTGAAGTGGATGCCCGTATCCGTGGTGGTGATCTTCTTGTCGATGACCTTGGCCTGCTTCATCCACTTGTCACTCTGCGAGAGCGTGATCAGCTTGCCGTCGGACTTGGAGTCCCCGAACTTGGAGAAGGCCTTGAACTGATCCGCAAAGCTAACCTTGGGCTCATCCTCCAAAGCCAATTGGCCCAACTCGGCAGCTGGAACCTCGGGAGTTGGAGCTGGAGAGGGACTTCCATTTGCTGCTGCCTCAGACATGGTGGATCTGCAAAATAATTGGGATTAAAATTATTGCTCTTTTTACTTTTTTCAAAGTAAGAAATAAGTAAGTTGAAACCATTTAATTTATAAGAAGGAACCCTTGAATATTTTTTGTTCTTCAAAGACAAACGGATTTATTGATTATTGTTGAAGACTTATATATTTTTTGGATGGAACGAGGTTCTATAAAAGTTTATATTATGCATTGCATGATAGGTCAGTTTTCCATTTTCCACTTCGTTGTGGGCTCTGCTATCACGCAAGTTTTCCCTTTCTGCGTAATCCGAATGGTAAACCACCTACGCAGTTTCTCACCTGTGGGCCACAACGCTGACCAACATTATTGCGGTGGGTCTTGACTGCTTTCATCAACCTACAAGCTCCTATTCCCAATCGTATCTTTACGAGAAGCTTATCGTACCCTTGTTTCCCTATCTCTATGATATCACAGTTAATACTGGACAATAACAAAGCTATACCCACCCAAAGCTCTCTCAGATGTTTTTTGAGAGGTGAAAAATTAGAGGCAAATTGGGAGAGATTCAATAATGAAATGGCGTCATCTGTTTGGGTCCCCCGTCTCCTAGCGAAACCAATTATCGTCTTTTTGCCAATTCCAAATAAACAGAAATAAATAGTCAACAAGTTTGCCTAACCTAGGTTTCTCTAAGCGGGTCAGAACTTAGCGGTAGCTTGTGAGATCTATTATGATTAGTCTTTAACATACAGTTAGCATAAGCTAAGATTAGTCAAGCCCGCATAACCTCAGGGTTAACTCATCATCAACAAAAACCACATTAATTAGATGCGTTACAATGTTGAAACATTACAAAAAAAAACAAGTTTTATTTTTGGGTTTTTTTGAAGTGCAAAAAAGTATATGTTTACATTAAATCTGGTACTATATATTTACTTTAATATTCCCCACCCATACATCCTTTAATTTGTCGTCCATCGAACGTGGCATAAAATTGGATGATAATTTAGTTTTAAAATCGCTTGTAGCATAAATTGTCGTCGTGTTTACAGGCTACCCAACACGAAGTCGGAGAGGTATCGTTCCATAAACAGTAAATAAAACGTGAGCATTTATTGGCGGGGCCATTAATTACGCACCACTTAAGGTTGGACATTTAAGCCCCAGGAGAGTTGGAAGCTGTTTGGAAACCATTTAAGACGGCGATAAGATGGGGCTGCAACCAGTTTCGAGTCCTCTATCCGTGAGATACGAGGCTGTGGCTTGTGCCTGGACAGATGTTAACAAAATCGAACGGGGAAGGGGGTATTTATGCACCCAATCGCCATGACCTTGATGCAGCCCGTCGAGCGTGTCAAATGTTTTACCACCACCCCCAAGTCCCGTTTGCAATTCAAATAGAACGACGAGTGAATCGAGTCACTGCTTATGTCATCGACTCATTACGCCGACATTTGATTACGCGTACTTTGGGATCAGTTTAAATAGCACTGGGGTGAGGCAATTTCATAGAGCATATTTCCCAGATAATCCAACGAAATCATCCATTCAATCCGACTCGGTTAATTGAGAGCATTGCATGCATCGTGCGTCCCTCTGTCATTAATCATCTTATTGGTCTTCAGTCTGGGGTTATTGAACTTGAACTCCGCTCAAGACGAAACAAATTACCGAACCCGTCCCCGGAGAAGACTAATGAAACCCTCTACTCCGCCCTTACTTGTAATTGGAAGCCATAAATACTGGGAAACAAGAAAAGTTGACAAACTACACCACAAAAGAAGTTGGAATATGCAAGAAGAGCTTTAAGATCACTACAAACTGAAGCACAGCGACGAAGGAATGCTCTGATATATGTTTTATTATAACGAAATTTCCGATAGTTTAATCTAAAAATATTTGGAAAAATAAAAACACATATGAAAACAAACGATGTAAGATGTAATCTCATAATTATTAAATTAGTAAATTTGAATAATCGAATTTCGAGCTAATAATTTAAATCTATGAACCTATAATGCAATGCTTAATACAACCGGAAGACTAATCTTCGATATGTCAAAATAATTATGGCACAGGATGTGCTCTTCTGTTTTGGATACTATATGTTATAATACAACATTGTACACATTTTTTTTAAAATCCCTGACAATTCAAAGTCATTATGCCCCTCGTGAACATGACCGCAGAAGTCTGACAGTCTGATGGGGAGCGTGGATAGTCTAAATCAGAAATAATCCGCTTTTGCTGTCAGACCATAAATAATTTGTATCTTCTCATTTTGCCATCTCTGTTTTGGTTTATTCTCTGTATTTCTGATCTGGGGAACAAGTTCTCATTCAGCTCCAGTCGAGCATTGCAAATTCGTATCCAACATTTTAATTAGTTTTTTAACCAAAAAGGTAAAAGTTAATTGGGAATATTTATGGCAGAAATTTGAATAGAAATATGAATGGGTTATAGATAGCCATATGAAGAACATAATTAACTTCCTGGATAGAAGGGAGATCGGACGTACATTATTATTAACCCAACCTACCTCAAGTGAGTCGCCGGAGAACAAATGAATAAAGGGAAATTTGGGTCATCTGGTTGTATATTTATTTATAAATCAAACGGCTGGGGGAGAAAGATGAAATACTGCACCAGATATGTGTATACATGGGTATATAAACATTCTGAAATATTAGCGCCTCGGACTGAATGCATAAATTAAACTATTTTTGCGGAGGGGCGAAACAGGAAGTATAGGAGATTCAGATACGACACGCAACGCAATAGAGAAATCATTGACTTAGGGGCCTAATGCTCTGGACATAATATATGTATGAAATTAATGGCTACATCACCAAGAGCCCAGATGACATCACTGGGAGCTGGGAAACGCGCAAGCGCCAATTTGGAGAAGGGGTTTTTGGGGGTTTGGGGCTGGAATTTGAGACTGATGATTCAAATGCACGCATATATACACACGGAAGCGCGGAAAGTGCCTTTAAAACAAGACCTCCCAACGGAAATCGAAAACAATGATGCTCCCAGGAACAATGGAAAAAGGGTACGCGATTGGCGGTAACTGGGTCATAATCTGCTCTTGAAAATATAAGCTCTTTTCCCTTTAAAACTAAAACCTTGGACTATTTGGAGCCTGTGTGCAGGTTCAGAATATATCAACATCTTTAAGGATAAACAAAAATATCTTTCTGTTTGTTTTTTTTACAACTTACATTTACTTTAAAAACTCTTGAGTAGTTTCAAAAAAATGTTTTGGTATTCCTTGATTATTTTCCAACTACTTTAAGGCAAACGCGCGAATGCTGGCGATGTCGAAACACAACTGTTTGGACAAATGCGCAGCCACTGGCTAGCAAAGGCCCAAGCGGCGTATGAGTGATATTTTTGTTTTGAGTGAGCTTTCGTTGAGTGGAATTAGAAACGGAAAGGCAAGAAAATCCTGTACTACATTTATTCAAACGAAAGACAGCCAAAACAAATTGTGAGAAAATAGACATAAATTCCTAACTTTCTGAATGAGATAAAGAAAGAGATTGGATTTTTATACACACTTATACTGACCCCCAAAATTTTTTCCAAGCGATGACTTCATTTCGCAAAATTTTATACACCGAAACTAACAGCGAAAGCCACACGACGAAGCCATTTATCAAACAAAAAAACACAAAACGAGACCCAAGAACAACTCAGAATAACAAAAGTGACGTTAGGCCCCAAAGTCTTATCAGCCCAACAAGTTTCACTCAAACATTGGTTTGTTGTGAGTGAAATTCTAAGGGGAAAAAGCTTAAAGCTGTCGAAGAATCTATATAGTAGAAGAGGGGGACTGGGCTATATAGTCTGAGCTAGTAAAACAGCCAATTTGTATGTGTCCGCAGACAAAACAGAAAACGATGCGTGAAATTTTTGACAAAAACACGCACAACAAGTGCCAGACAATTGGAATAATGAGGGGGGTTTTATGGAATGGGTTACTTCAAAGTGTTTTGGGGGTGTAACTAGGGCTATACTAACCAGTGATCTCATACTCAGTTATTCAAATGAGTTTTACTTTTCTAGTTTTTCAAGCGATTAACGTTGGTTGGATGCCCTATATGGTAAATGGGTTTTTTGAACTTTTCTATTTCGGGCAATCAGGAATAAGTAAAAGTCAAAAGGAAATCGTACGGAAATTGCTTCGCACACAATAAAATGATTAAAGACAATCTAATACAACAAACCCCGGCCCAAAACCCAAAACAAACCTTAAAAAGAAAAAAAACCTTTGACATTGATTTATGGGAACTGACTGTCAGAATTATTTGGTTAGTTTCGTGGCCAACGAGCAACTCGATGAAGTCATAGCTTTGGCCAAAAACCGAAAAGAAAGACTAACTTGGCACTTGGAGTGGATACCCTGAGGAGACTATTAATTAAGGTTCAAATTTATTCATAAAACAACAATAAATGTGTAAAATTACACAAATTACTAATCTTGAGCTATGTTATAATATTATATAATTTAAGAAGCAATATAACTAAACCACAACTGAATTAAACCAATAACTTGATAAAACAGATTCTTTTCAATTCAAATTTGAAAGCCAATAAAAAAAAAAACATTCTTTTCGCATTAAAATAATTTTGCTTTGAAGAGATCGTTTAATATTTTAGCTCACAGATGAAAAATTAAACTCGATACTAATTCGCATCTTACGACTTTAATCCCTAATAAAAATTACACAGCAAAGTATAAAAAAATCAGCAATATATTTTACACCCCACTCATTTTAATTCAAAGATGTAAAAACAAATACCAGCAAGGTCCAATAAATACGAACTTGAGGCCTTGCCACCTGGCCTATCTTTAGTACCACTCTAATTAGCCTCGAAGTGAGAGGCATGCCAAAGACCAGGTGATGGTTCGCAAATCAGCGAACAGCCCACGCCTTGGGAACCAAGGAACACCACCAGGTAAACCAGATCAGATGGCCAATCCAACTGCAATCCCAGCCAAGAACTAACGAGATCATTAAGGCTGGCAGGAGTGGCGAGAATTGGGCTTTGATTGAAACTAAGTGCCAACGGGGCTAACATTAAAACGCACTTATCAGCCGGGTCCGTCAAGGCCAATGTGGTTCTTGCAGCTGCTCCTCCTCCTAATCGGGAGCGAAGTTTAAGCACCAGAGATCCGCGGCATCCGATAAAGCAGCGGCTAAAAATAAAAACCCAGCGAAGGAGGAGCAGGAGACACCAATGCAGCTGCAGATGCATCAAGGGTGTATCAAAAACTCATTTTTGAGGGGGTTTAATACAGATAACTTTAGCCTTACAATCTTGCAATCAAATATATAATATTAATACATTTAATATTTACGAAAATGTAAGTGTATCAATTTTCCAACATTTTATATAATTTAAATCTGCAATAAATAAATAGTAGTTACAATCTTGATTACAATCTAGATTCAATAATTCTAAAATGTGTTTTTAATTGTTTCCTGGACCCGATTAAAAATGATCTCATTATTTAATAAAGTAAAGAAATCCCAAGCTTTCTAGAAACAAGATTAAATATTAAAATGCAGAACTCCTTAAAACCCCTTTTGGACTCCACCTCTGAATCGCATGACTGCAGTGTCCAAGTTGTGGCCAAATGTGGCCCTTGGCCTTCACTCACCTTGAGATGCCGTTGTTGTCGTCGTCGTCGTCGGTTGTTGCCACAGTTGTTGTCGCGGCCCCGTTGCACTGTGTTCGGACACAAAAAGGAGGCTGAGATGCCACAATGCAGCGGCAGCAACAACAATTGCATATCAATTACACGCTGGGCTGGATGCGGTCTTTGGCCTTGATGGTACTCCCATCCAAGGCCCTCGAATCGGTTGCAGTTGCAGATGCAGATGGCAGGCACCGATTGCTCCCCCAGCGAATGCCGGCGGAGGAGCTGTCTCTGCCTCCCCCATTTGAGTGCACTCCAGCCTTGGCCACAATTAAACCAAATTGACACCGCCTTCAGCAGGAGGTGAGCACAAAACACCAAAAGGGGGAGTGAGAGGCGGGCCTGCAACGTCCGTTAACGACACAAGTGGACAAGACAACGCGATCGCCTCGTTTGCATTGAAGTGCATCTGATGGATACATCTGAAGAAAAATGAAGGAGAATTTACAGATAATACTTCTTAAACTATGGAGAAATATGTTGTTTTAATATTTATTTTTAATTTGCTTATCAACTGTACATCATGTTTAAATTTTATATAAATAAGCATATACTCATTCTTAAAATATTTTATTAAAAAGAAAAAAGTAAAAATTCAAATTGACAATTTGTAGCTATTTTGGCGTATGATGATTTTGTCTAAAAATAAAAGGAAAGCAAATAAATCTAATTATACTGTATCACATATCAACACATACATACTTCTATATTTTTTTATACCCTTGCAGAGCAAAAGGGTATTATAATTTCAGTCAGAAGTTTGCAACGCAGTGAAGGAGACACCTCAGACCCCATAAAGTATATATATTCTTGATCAGCATCACGAGCAGAATCGAAATATGTATGTACGTCTGTCCGTCTGTCCGTCTGTCCGTCTGTCCGTCTGTCCGTCTGTCCGTTTCCGCGCAAACTAGTCTCTCAGTTTTAAAGCTATCTCGCTGAAACTTTCCCAAAAGTTGTGTAGTTGTTGCACGCAGTATATAAGTCGGAACGGGCCGGATCGGCCGACTATATCGGATAGCTCCAATACAAGAGAATGAAATAAAAAATTCTTACTCTATTGTTTTTCATCAGATCGACTTGAATTCTTCAAGATGGCGTTTTCTAACTGTTATTGAATTTCGGATTAAATTTGATCAAAATCGGATAACTCTATCATATAGCTGCCATAGGAGGGATCGAAAATTATATATAGAATTAATGGAAAAAAATTGATAACATCGTTGTTTTTCATCAGACAAGTATGATTTTTGGAATATAGAGTGTTTTTACGACTCTTGAATTACGAGTTAAATTTGATCAAAATCGGACAACTATATCGTATAGCTCCCATATGATCTATAGTCAAAAATATGGAAAATGAATAGAAATATCGTCTTAGCTTCGATGTTGTCTAGCCTTTATGCGTTTTGTTCGACATATTTGATGACTGCAAGGGTATATAAGCTTCGGCTTGCCGAAGCTAGCTTACTTTCTTGTTTTAAACTAAAAAATATATATAAATATAATATATATTTAATTTATTGCTTTAAATTGTTACAGTTTAATTACAAATTCATTCTATTAGACAAATGTTAAAGAACATTCTTGTGTCAATAATTTTTTTGAGTGTGTAAGAATAGTAAAATCAGCAGGGACAGCAGGATCTGATTGGCAAGAACCTCATCCAGAACGAGACCTAGAACTCGCACAAGAACCCGCTGGGTATAAAAGGAAGTAGGCTCAAGCTGGGCACCAACAGTTACCAGTGAACTTACAACCAAGCCTCACCTGCAGGAATCCTCAACCATCAAACCATGAAGTATCCACTTCTGTTATTGGGCAGCCTCAGTTTGGCCCACGGACTGGCCTTGTACTATCCGTATGTGTACACCGCCGAGGGATCAGCGGTTTTCACGCCCACCCAGCGGCAGTACATCGCCCAAGATCAGTTGGGTCAGTACTCGTATGGCTATGCGGAACCGCTGTCCAGCAAGCAGGAGACCCGCACCATCGACGGAATCACCAGGGGAACCTACAGCTACCGGGATGCAGCGGGAAAACTCCAGACCGTCGACTATGTGGCCGATAACGAGGGTTTCCATGTGGCAGCCACCAATCTGCCAAAGGCCGTAGTTCCACAGGAGTCGCTTGGCATCGGTCCGCGGAGCCTGGTGGAACATCCCGTGGAGCATCCCGTTGTGGTGCAACATCCTGTCAACCCGCATCCTGTGGTCAAGCATCCCGCTGAAGTTAATCACCCGACTCTAGTGGAAACAGGTAGAAGTGTTCAGCCAGAGGTTCATCCCCGTGTGGAGCATCCTGTGGAGCATCACTCCGTTTCCGGATCACCTGTTGGCCACTCCCAGTTGCCCCATCCCGTCAGCGATACTGTAGAAGTGGCTGCTGCCAAATCTCTGCACCTGAAACGCGTCGAGGATGAAGCGGTGCGCAACCAGGTGGTAGCTAAGGTGGTGACCAAGGTTCCAGTTCCAGTGGCCCGCAGCCACCACGTTGTGGTTCCAGCTCCCGTCTACGGGTACACAGTTCCCCGGTACTACTCCCCTGGTTTCTACTACTGAAGGAGAGCTGAAGTAGTCTTCGCACGATTTGGTTCATCATTGCAAAGTTTCGAATTTAAAATAAAAATTGTCAATCAGTCGGAAGAATGTTTTTTTTTTGGGTTTCTACTGCTGAGTTGGAAAATAGTTTCCATTATAATTTTTCTAAATATTCGATGTGAATATTTGATTATTTATTTATGAATACAAATAGGAAACCATCTATAGATCATTGATCCCTCAATGTTACTCTCAAGATTTGTCGTTCTTCATTGCCTTCCATTTACCTAAAACTATTTCTTCTTTATTAAACTTTCCCTTTCATTCGAATTTAGTCTTTATTATCACAATGTATGTACAATGTATTAAATTCAGTTAAATTAAACATCAGTTTTAAGGCCAGAATGAGGAAATTGGGTGGATAATTATTATTATGTTGGATTTACCGCGGCAAAGGAATCCGGTTGTACTGAACCCTTTGACAGCTTAACCCCAGGACCGGAACCCGCTCACTCGGACCCTGGCCTACCTCAACCTTTTGGCCCCAGTCCAACCCATCACATACCGCAAACAGCATAAACTCCTCATAAATGTAAGGCGAATTTTGATTTCAATTAAATTTAATAGCAGCATAAACAACCGCAAAGGCAACAACCGAAATAACTGAAACTGGAAAAAGGTAGCCGGCATGTCCTATGGCCCAACCCGGTTCCTTGACCCCTCATCGGCAATCCCAGTCTTACACTGAGAGAAAAGCAGTTAAAAAATATAATATACACATCAACATTTTTTCATAACTTTATATGTAAACATTTAGTTCATAATTCATAAACTGGTCATAATTTGTACAATTATAAAGGTCAATTTTAATTTGAAAATTTAAATATTTTTTTAAAGGAAAATATGTATGTCTAATCTTTATATAATATAAAGATATATATATTTTATATAATATAAAATATATAATAATTTTGATATTTAAATGTATTTTTTTTTTTTAAGGAAAATATATCTAATCTTTTTGTAATTAAAAAAAATTGCAATTGAAGATTATTGAAGACCTAGAAAATTTAATATTTTGTCAAGTCGGTTATTATTTTTCTCAGTGCAGGCAAAGACCCACTGAAATGAGCCTGATTAAGTTCTTGCTTTGTGGCATTGCGGAACGTTGTTGGTTGTCTCCGAACATGTCCACTATCCGATCCAATGCGATGCAATGCGATGCGATACGATATGAGTGCGGCTGCCCCAGTCGCAGATGAAAACAAATTGCGGCTTTTGTGCTCAAATTTATGCTGAACTTGTTGAAATCGAAATCGACAAAATATTTATGTACGAAAATGCGAGGAAGCAGAGGAAGAGGAAGAGGAAAAAGGAAAAAGGAACAATAATCCAGGCTGGTGGAATATGAAAGTAAAACCCAACCGGACGACCTTCCTGAGAACGCACGAAATTGTGCATTTATTTTTTGTGGCAGGAAGCGCCGCCTATAAAAAGCAGAATACCCAACCGAATCCAGCACAGAGTTCTCTAGAGCGAGTACTAGTCCACCACACTAGCAGCGCCTTAAAAAGATTCCCCAAAAAACCGAAACCTATATAAAACCAAGCTTAAGAAGATGCAGTTCCTCGATCTTTGCCTTATTTTCAGTGCCATCGTTTTGGCTGCCGGCTCACCGATCTTGGAGTATGGAGTTCCTCCACAGACTTCAGATACTATTAGTCAGTATCACACCCAGGATGAGCATGGTCAGTACTCCTATGGCTACATGGCACCCCTCTACTCCAAGCACGAAACCCGCACCGTGGATGGAGTGATCCGGGGAACCTTCTCCTACGTTGATGCCCATGGCGAAACCCAGACGGTGGACTATGTGGCCGATGCCGAGGGTTTCCATGTGACCTCCACTCTGCCCAATCAGCACGCCAATCAGGAGACTCCGGAGGTGGCCGCCCTGCGTGCCCAGCATCTGGAAGCCCACAACCAGGCCAAGTTGAGGTTGGCAGGGGATTCCTCCGTTGGTCCACAACCCGTTCAGGATACTCCCGAGGTGGCTGCCGCCAAAGTTGCATTCTTCAAGCGTTTCGAAGCCGAGAAGCTGCGCAATCAATTGCTGGCCGATAAGAAGGTCGTGGTGATTGCTCCTCCATCGCCAATCGCCGTGCGTTCCCAACCCGTGTATGTCTATCAGCCCACCACAGGATTCGTCTACAACTACCACACCAAGAGCCAGGCTAAAGTTCCCTCCAGGAACTACCTGCCAGTGGCCTAATCACTTGAATACCATTCCCCACAAAATTCTGTTAATTGTTGAGCAATAAATGATGCAAATTGGAAATTAAAAATTCAAGCTGAGTTGTATTTTGTTTTATGTTACTGCATCTGAAGTTTATTGATTTATTAAGTTAAGGTAATTCGAAGTATGTATTTTATTTCCCTCAGTGACATTTGTAAAGTTATCAAAATGTAAAGTTTACTTAATTATTAATCTTAAAATATCCTAAACACGTTTAGAAAGTCTTTATTTAACAAAATTGATCAGCAACATTTTCAAATTATTTATATTAAAAAAAAACACATTTTAATAAATACATATTCAGTAAAACAGCAGAGACCGTCAAATGTCCAGCAGTAGACTTAATTGTGTCAAGATGTTGAATTTAAGCAGGTTAAAAATTCATCGTGCACATTATCAAATCATAGATATCCTTAAAACAATATAAAATACAAAAAAAACAACTTTAAATAAATACGAGTCATAAAAACAGGGAAGATCGTCAAATGTCCATCAGTAGTCTTAATTGTGTCAAGATGTCGAATATAATGTAGTTCATCTTACTGCAAACTTGCTTTCAAACTAAAACCAGAAATAGAAAATAAAAGAGATTTTGAATTTGGCACAAAGGTGCTCTGTCTTGCATTTATTCTTAGGAAACACATCATAGTTATACCTCAATCTTTTTCACGATCATAAGCCGGCCTATATCCATCCCCAGATCCGTTCTTTTAAGCCATCAATTGCGTTTGCTCACCAATAAACTGCGACTGAGGGCAACTGGTCGCAGGGTTCTCAGTTCCGTGGGCGTGGTAACACTGTACTTGGTAGTGGGCGAAACCAGAGTGTAGTAGGCCCCGATCGGCACACGCAGATCACTGTTGTCCAAACGATCCTCGAGCAGTTTCTCGGCACTGGCCAAGTCGCCGAGCTTCAGATAGCTGCTGGAACTGAGATCGGCCAGGGAGTAAACGGTGCGCAGGCGCAGATCTTCGGCGTTGCGATCGGCGGAAATCGATAGTTGTCGATCAATCTGGCGATCATTCTGCCGATTGTTGCTCGACTCTTGGTTACGGGATTGATCCAGACGCAGATTTTGTCGCTGATCTTGACGGGTTTGGTCATCTTGTCTCAGATCTTGTCGTCGATCTTCACGCTGATCTTGTAGACGATCTTCTCGCTGTTCTTGCCGACGATCTTCTCGTTGATCTTGTCGTCGATCGTCTCGTTGATCTAGTCGTCGATCTTCTCGTTGATCTTGTCGTCGATCGTCTCGTTGATCCTGTCTTTCTTCTTGCCTCAAATCTTGTCTAAGATCTTGTCTCAGATCCTGTCTCAGTTCCTGCCGCAGATTCTGTTCCAGACGCTGTTCTTGCCTCAAATCCTGTCTCAGTTCCTGTCTCAGCTCCTGCCTCTGATCCTGTCGGATTTCCTGGTCCTGTCGTTGCTCCTGCTCCTCCCTGCTCCTCTGCAGATTGCTGGCTCGCTGACGATCAGCCAACATGGCTGCAAGCTCAAGTCGAACTCTTTCTAGAATGGCCGCATCTTCATCGCTGAGACTCTGTTCCTCCGATTGCTGATCCTGATTGTTGTTCCTGCCCTGTTCCTGCTGTCTTCTGTCGCCTTCTTCCCGCAAACTAGCTTGCAAAGCCTTCTCCCGCGCATCTCGCAGAGCATTCAGGTGCGAGAGACGAGCCTGCTGCACTTCCTCCGTATCGGTGACGGGCAACGGAGCCTTTCCCTCGTCCACGGGAGCTTGGGGTTGGTTACTTGCCTCCGCCTTGAAGCCCTGAAGACCATTGGCCTCGTATCGAACCGTTTGGAGTTTGCCATCGGCATCCACGTAGGAATAGAAGCCACGGGAGGAGCCATCTCGGGAGGAGTACTCGGCACGGGCGGCGTTGTCATCACTGTAGCCGTAGGAGTAGAAGGCCCTCGAAGTATCCTGCTCCTGGTAGCCACCACTTGGTCTTTGGGGCAACCCCGCCGCTGTGGTTAGGGCCAAAAGGCCTGTGAGAATCGTCCAAGTGAAGCAGTGCATCCTATTCTTCTGATTGCTCTTGTGGAACTGATGCTGCAACTGCTCTTCGGTGGGTGTTATATACCACCTGCGGGTAACTCGAGGCGCCATCCAAACACCAACCACCCACTAGTTCACCCGCCCAGTCTGCACAATGACCTCGAAATCCGCAAGTCGCAAGTCGATCCGCGGCAATCCGATTGGTGTCGATTGCTTTTTGGGCCTCTGGTTCGCTACCGCACGGATGTTGCAATAGTGAACTTAATATTGAGACACGGATCCATTCATTGCGTAATTGGGCGGCACTTCCATCCAAGATCTGTGTCTCCACGGATGTGGCAACCGCAACCTGGATTCGGGCGGAAAGCCAATGGGGGAAGTCTATTTGTTCGCATTTATGGGATAAACATCCATATTCGATTACCCGATGCGTCTGGCACACGCTTCGCTGTCTGGCACAGATATGCGATCTGTATAAACAATTGGGACTTTTAATATATTATATGTTAGATATAGGAGTTCTTTTTGTATAACTTCATACTTATCATCAAAAAATTAAGAAGAAGAGGACTATGTGCATAATTAAAAGATATTGTTCTTTTTATTTTTCGGCTTAACCCAATAAGAACCAACTTATCTTTTTATGGGTTATTTACAAAACATTTAATATAATTTTTTTTTCTTCCGATTGTGGTGACCTTCAGAAAAGCATAAAATAATAAATTCACATATAATATTTGAGCCTTAGCACTTAATATATTGTAATTCCTACAAGACATACAAAGTGTCTGAAGCATCTTAAAACCCATCTTCTATAATTTTTATCTTTGACCGACTAAGGCGAAGAGTTTGCCTATATTTTTAATTGTGCTAAAATTGGAAAAAGCTTCATAAACTTTTTGTTTAGAATAATTTAAATTATCATAGATATTGACTGCCAATAAACCAAGGTTGTAAAAAGAATTCCCTTTAAATATAAAATATTACGACTTACACATTTTTAACTTGTTTGTTTCTTTACAAACCTTTAACTCGTGTCATTCATATTAATATATGCAGCTAACTTATTTGTTAATATCATTATCATTAATTAGCATAACTTATATCACATAAAGTTAAAAAAAAATACGAAAATATACTAAAAAATAAAAAAAAAACTATCAACAAAATTTGCATTATTACAAAATCTGTGTTTGAATTTACTTTTATTTAAATGAGCCTTTATCTAATTAGTTAGGATTAGTAGTGTCATCACTAGTTAAGCTTATGCAGTTTCAAATAAACAAATGTTATTTACTTCTGAGAGAAAAACAGTAAAAAGCTCCGTTAGAGCTTAGAACGGAGAGCAATAACGGCAGAGTGTTTATCACCATTTTCAGATCTTTTGGACAGGGGGTCGAACTTTGGATCAGTTAGCCCATTGCCGCCGACAGAATTGCACGGAATTTAGCAGAGCAAATAAGTTTATACAGTACGACATGGATTTAACCGGCAAAAATGTGGTTTACCTTGGCGGATTTGGCGGCATAGGCCAGAAATGTGTGCAAGAACTACTCCAGCGGCCAATTAAGGTCGGTTTACCATTAGAATATAAACAAAATAAACTCTAATTAATTTATTTACTAGGCTCTGGCAATTTTTGATTTGGCTAAGAATGCTGATTTGTTGGCTGAGTGGAAAGGCAAACATCCCAACACGGATATATTCTACCAGAAAGTGGATATCACCAAGAAGTCGGATATAGATGCGGCATATAAGGCAACTGCCGAGAGATTTGGTCACTTCGATGTGGTGGTCAATGGCAGCGGTCTAATGAACGATCGTCTGGTCGAACTGAGCATTCAAATTAATCTGGTGAGGGAACTTTAATTAGTTAACTTTAGCACATCTTTAAACATACATTTTTCTTTACTTAAGCTGGGAGTTATCAACAGTACTTTAACCGCTTTGGAGTACATGGACAAGGCTAAAGGCGGTAAGGGTGGACTCATTTTGAATATATCATCGGTAGCTGGCCTACAGCCTACTGCAATTATGGCCATTTACTCGGCGGCCAAGACGGGTGTCACTACTTTTACAAGGGCTCTGGCTGTAAGTATTAAAGAACTATCTATAAAGTTATGTTGTAAAACTAGTATAACAAATATTTTTTTTACAAATTTAATTAATATATTAATTATACTTTCAGAATCCCTTTTTCTTTGCACATTCCGGCGTTGGCTTTGTTACCATTTGTCCGGGATTCACTGACACTGGACTTTTGGAGGACATTGGCAGCAAGACGACATTTACCTACGAAACTCCCATGCTGGCCATGTTCAACAAGGTGAAACGACAGAAGGCGGAGGATTGCGCTAGAAATTTGGTCCTGGCCATAGAGACGGCCAAAAATGGAGATGTTCTTATGATCGAGGATGGTAAGACCCAAGAGATAGATATGCCGGTCATGTGGAAACCCACTTTTGTAGAATAATATCTCGTTGTTATTGATATAATGAAAACCCATAAATATGTACACATGTTATCTCTTTCAATTGGTTGGTGATTTATAAATAAATGTTGATTAAGTTAATTGAGTTTTTTCTATACTAAGCAAATCCCACATTAACCGCAAGAACAAATCAGATTGCCAAGCAATCAGAACGAACCATATCAAATTAAGTTGAAGAATTCGATTAAATTTCTTTTATTTAAATTTCAGGCATACACACACAAAATTGGTTTAGTTTTATCTTTCATATGGTTTTTTTTGTTTTTCTTTTCATGTCTAACATTTACAATGAATTTTGAAGATAAATATACATATTCAGCACATCCAAGAACATAAACTATCGATTAACATTCCACAAAACTAGAATAGATGTCTTGTTTCGGTAATTCGAAGATGTGGATACCCTAGAAAAGGATTTTGAATTATCTTGAGTAATCTGCAAGACCTCAAAAACAAAACAAAAACTTTGTGATAAAAGCTTTTTGTAGATTAGTTATCTGGAAAAGCAGAAATTGTTATAAAATATTATGGTCACTATCTGGAGTTCCCAATTTGCCAGCTGCCAGCAGCGTTAAAATGGGAATGAAAACATTGTTTATACCGACAATGTATTTCTTGTTCATCAAAAACATATGTAGACCCAAGATAATTTGGGGGATCGGTTTGAGTAGAAGGGGAAGGTATAGATTTTCTGTAGAATGCATGTAAAATACAATCTCTGCTTACATAGTTCTATGATACAATATACGCCTCTCCGATTTATCCTTCCAGTTGTGTGTAGCGTGTATTTAGATACATTATTATACTCGTATATAGTTAGTTTCAATTAGCATTTAATATAAAGACATTTGTTCGTTCCCATTGAACTGGGATTAGTTTCGCATGTTAACTGTAAATTTCACATCATCACAATTCAAGGATCTTCAACTTATAAATAACACCAAAAACAGCAACGATTCGTTACAGAGTCGGGGACCTTTGACCTTTTGAGGGAGCAAAACTCCGTTGAGCCTGAGCTTTGGGGATTAACGGTTAAAATTGAGAGTATTATATTGTCCTCACCATTACACGTTTAATGCTCTGAAAGAGAGTCACCTGGCTATCTACTTATTCGATTGCAGTGCAGTTTTATCGAGGATGTTGGTTTGGGTGGTTCGACAAGCGGTCTCCTGGCAGGTATTAGTAATAGACTTATTGGATCTGAGCTACTGCAAAATCGTCTGTATCTACACGACCTTGGTCGTTTAACATCACTAACCCTAAGTTGAGGAACAGAAGCGCCTATTTATCATACCATATTTTACGTTTATCTTATTAAGTTATGCGGATTGTCTGTAACTAGTTGTGTTAACTATAGGATCTCGTATTGTATTCCATTAATTTTCCTATCTGGTGGTTGCTGTTGGTGTTCTTAGTTCCTTATTCTTGCTGGTGGTTAATTTTAAGTTTCTCGGTTGCATTCTTCTTCGCTCTCAACGCTTTGATATGTTTCGCACACTATCTTTAATCTCGAACTTAAAACAATGGTAGGAATAAAACCGAAACAACTAAAAGTTTTGTGAAAATTTATTGGTAAATAAAATAAATAATTTTTTTTTTTTGCTTGCTTTTTTCCACTTTGATTAACAGAACTCGAAATTTGCTTAGGGTAGAAACATTGAGTGATAATACCAAAAATACATTTAATTAACATATGTATAAATATATATATGCATTAAATAAGTGTGTGTAAATAGAAAATGTCTGTGTGTTTGTGTGAATTGCTCGGCACGATCTGTATAAAAAAGAGCCTCGGTCAGTTTTGAAGTTTTGGAGTTTGGGGGGGATTTTGGCGGGTTGCTGGACTGATTGTAAATTATAAAGTTACAAAACTCAACTCAACAAATACGTTATTATTATGAACTGAACCCATTGGGTTTAAGCTAAAAAAAACTTCACCACAGCCAAAGGTCGGCCGGAGAACGCTAAATCTGGATCTGTTTCTATATCGGGATCTGATCGGAAACTTAAGTACGCAGTTATACGTGTCTCCGTCCAACCTTCTTCTATATTTTCACATTTTACAGGAGACAAATAGATTGGAGAAATCCTTATTACCTCCTTGTTTCGCTTCTATACATTGAATGCTTTAGTTTCTGAGTTATAGGAAAATACATTTAAATGTATGTTTTTTGTTTTGTTATAAAATTGCTTCGATCAATTTTAACTAGCTCACAACTGAACACATATTCCCCGGGTTGGGGGAATATATTTTTACATTGATCTACTACACACACGGCATCGAAACTCGTTAACAATAAATATATTTGTAAAGATTTATATGTTATATTCTTCTATGATCAAGCGCAGTTATATATATAGTAAGGTTCCTGATTTCATCGCTTAACAAATACAAGTTACAAAATCTTTCATTTCTGCTTCAAATCAAAATGATGTACAAAGTCTTGAAAGCAAATCGCGGGCTCAACTGACATTAATATATAATATTAATAATAGAGCGCACAAATTGGTTAGTTTCTAGATATAAATATAAATTTATATTTGCATAGAGTTTAGGTATGTGTAAATGTTCTCAAAGCCCTGACTGACATTTAACTTTTTCATTTAGTCACTTTTTGCTGTACTTTACTTTTCTCACAGTTTACAAAAAGGGAGAAGGGACGTGATTTTAATTTATTTTCAATAAATTTAATAATATATAGTACAATAGTTAACAACATCGCACAATAGCGTTATTAAAATTTCTTTAAGAAATATAAACATTCATTTCACACACATACAAATGATCGTTCGTGTCCTGTGCCTCAGTGTGTATGCGTGTTAGTGTATGTGTGTGATTGTGTGTTTGAGAGCGAAAGGATTTTCAGGTCCTTCCTTCAGCCCTACTCATTTTTGTATATATAAAAATAGCGTTTTGAAATATAGATATTAATTAAAAAAAATATATATGTTTATATCTATGTTTACAGCGTTACACAATCAATCAAAATTTGATCACAAATAATCAGGGGGGGGATGACAAAAACACACTATTTTGGATAAGAAATTGGGTTTCACTTAGATCTGGAAGTCTTGTGATCATGATTCAGTTAATTAGTGCACAGTTTCTATTTCTTCTGAGAGAATTGCTTTAAAATCTTTGCAGCTATACAAATCCGGATGTTGCCTGATCTCAACAAGCGTTTGCATACTTCATCTTCAGACCACCATTATAGGGATTCCTTGTTTTTTGTTAACCAGATCTACGAGTCTGAGCTGAAATCTAGGCTAGACACAAAGTCTTACGATCTAAGTTGAGTTTGTTTTTGTTTGCTTTTTGTTTTTCATTTGCTAGACACAATCCCCGAATTTGAAACATAACACGAACATGGTTAAACACATTTTCACAAAAATTTGAACAATGAACTAATTAGACAATTATTTAATAGATTCTAATAGACGGTACCCAACCCAGTTGATGTTTTGTTTTGGCTGCGATCCAATAACGGATCGTTCGGATCAGTTTTTAACTACAATTACATTTGAAATTCTACCAAAGTTTGAACTGTGCGGTACAAACCTCTAACGATGTGTAAAATGATTGCATTATACATATTTCTCATTCCCGCCCATTCCATCTATATAAACACCTATATAGAAATATCCTGTGGCTAAGTGAGCCGATGGTTGAACCAGCTTCTAGTCCACCTTGATCCCACTGTCATCGGGATCGACAATGTCCACCAGGTTCTTCTCCAGCTGCAGCATCATCCCACTGTCGATGCCGCCCTCGAAGCTGTCCTCCGACATCAGTTGCGGTTTCCTGCCCCAAATTGGCTGCTGCTGCTGTTGTTAAAAAGATATAAGAAACAGAAAGTTTAAAACAATAATAGTTAATAAACACCCCGAAAAGAATTTGTTTATCTATACAATTTCAGGGTGCGCTTGTCACTCCGATTGTAAACCGAAAAGATAGCATAAACAAATTCGATGCGTAATGTTGGCGCAATAAAAACACACACCTCACTCACCTTATTGGCATTGAAGTTATCGTTCCTGTCGCTCTTGTAGCCCCCATAACCCAGATCACTGTCGTTCTCCAGCCAGTTGTTCCAGTTGCTGCTCGTGCTGCTCTTGGGACAAATTGGTCCGTACCGACTTAACATGGAGGAGCCGGTGGGCACCTCGAATGTGGACGCGTCGTCATCCAATATGGAATCCGAACGCACAAAGTTCGCCGACTCTTTACCCGTGTTATTCCAGAACAGCAGCGATGAGCTATGATTGTTATTGTTGTTATGGGAGTTGTGGGAGTTGCTATTGTTGTTGTTGTTGTTGTTGGATCGCCGGAACAGAGGCAGTGCATCCACATCCACGGCATCCACGGGGGCTCTGTCCAGCTCTAAGTTAACACTATTCGGCGGTTTCTTTTCATAAAATGAGGTATCAGCTGTTGCGGCTAAAATCGACAACGGTCGACTGGGACTCGGCTTGCTGGACGGTGGCTGCTGCTGTGGGGGATGCTGTGGAGGAAGCTGTTGTGGCTGCTGTTGCTGCTGCTGCTGTTGAGCCAGGTAGGCATGGTCCCAGGGATTGCCCAGATGAAAGACATCCCCACCACTGCCACCGCCGGGCAGCATGTAGCCCTTGTGCAGGTTGCTGTTCACATTGAAGTTCGGTGGGTTGGCATTGCGTTGTGGTGGCGCTCCCGGATTCGTTTGGTAGTCCCTGGGCGCGGGATTTCTTGGCTGGCCAACGCCGTAGCCGCTAAATCGAGGATCGTAGCGACCGGGTACTATGAGTCGGGCAATGGGACTGTGGTGCGATGGGTGGAGCAACGGCGGTGGCGGCTGCTGCGGTGGCAATCCACCGCCTGGCGACAGACCCAAACTGGGCTCCAGATAACCACGCGGTGAACCCATAAAGTGCATGGGCGACATGGGTAGCATGGGCGGCACACCCAATGCCGGTCCATCCGGTTCTCCCAGCGGCTTCTTGATGGCTCCGCCCACCATGGCCGGTGGTCCTTGCAGCGCCAGTGGTGTCTTCATATGTTTGCCGCGATTTCGTGCCCGATAGCGCTCCACCTCCTCCTGGGAGTGGGCAAAGGTACAGCTGGCACCTCTGGGGCACACCCTGCGCACATTTAAATCCCTGCACAGGCTGATCTTGTACTTGGGATTGCTGTTGGCCGTTCCACCACTGCCGCCGCCACTGATGCCGTCCTGCGCCTTTCTCACGCCATGATGCTGCAGGAAGTTCACTAGTCCCACAACCGAGTGACGCACTGCATCCAGGGCTTCGGCCAAGTCCGGCCAGGGAGCCACCTCCGCACACGGATCGATGTTGGCCAGGTACTTGAGGTGATGATGCAGGCTGGCCAGTTTGGCCGGATCACTAGTCCGCTGCAGAGCGATGACCAGCTCCTGGACCGACTGGGCAAACGAGCTGGGCGTCTGCAGCTTGTCGATGATGCTCTGCATGTGGCTCTTGTGCATCACGTCGCCGTACAGCAAGGAAGACCATTGTTCTGGGGCGATTCGCAGCCCCGCCTCGGTGGCTATCTGAACGATTTGGGCATCGTGCTCGCGTCTCAGGGCGTCATAGGTGCGAAACTCCTCCTTGAGCTGCATCAGCGATGAGTCCGCTTCACGCTTCGATACCTTAAAGCAGCTGGCGCGGTAGAGCAGCTGGACAACATGACCGATACTCGTTTTGGAGGCCTGCGGAAACTGCGGTTCCAATCGTTGCACCACAAACATGACGAGCACTTTCCGCGAGAGGGCGGATCCCTCTTCCAGGGCCAGGAGCACCAGCTTGAGCACCTCCTCCTGCATGGCAGGTCCCAAAAACTGGCATCCTCTCGTCCGCACGGCCGCCCAAAGATTTGAGCTCAGCTGCTGCGGATTCTGGTGCTGCAGAATCAGCTCGGTGACTGTGCGTTCGCCCAGGGACCGGGCTGCCCGGAGTGCCCTCACTCGACCCTCCTCCTCCATCAGCTGGCAGTTGACCAGGGTAACCAGTTTTCGTTGCATGGGTCGTGTTAGGAGGTTGCCGTTTCCGTTCAGGTTGAGGAAGGACTTCAGGTGCAAGGCCAGCTCCTCGATGCACCGCTGTCCCAATTGGTAGCACTTGAGGTGCTCCGGTTCCAGTTTCTGGACGCTGGGCGGTGGTGGTCCCAGCTCCAGGAGCTCCGAATCCTTGACCAGCTGGAGCAGAGCATGGTTAATGGGCAGATTGTCGATCTCGCTGACAATCACGGTCTGCAAAAGGTGTAAAGGAATAGTTAGCACGTACAAATGAGTTATATTATTATTCGAAGGACTTACCTGATCGAAAGGACACTGCCGGTTGTACAAAGTCGTCAGGCATAGCTTGCAGATGGTGTGCCCGCAGCCCAGACTGACCGGGCATCGCTGGCTTGCCGCGAATTCATTGCAGCAGATGGGACAGTTCAGAAAATCTGTCCATGAGGGAGCCTGAATCGGCATGCTGTGAATGGAAACCATACAAAATTAATCAACAGGAAAAGTAAACCCATCACGAGACATACAATTATTTAAACAAGAGCTGGTTTATATAACTGTTAGGTTATATTTGGACTTAACTTAGTCATATTAAATCATATTTGAAAGAACTTTTTAAATAATATGCAGAGGCGCCCCATTTCCGGTATTTACGATATAATCGTATATCGTTTTTTTTTTTTTGCGCCCTTTATGGGATTGTTCCTGAGTTTCTTATCGGGTTTTGACTAAGCTTTAAGAATAAGGTTTTAAAAGATTATATTTATTTATACGTTTGTTGAACAAATCAACCAAATATATATTTTTTTTTAATATATAATGATGATTAAAAATGCATATGAGTGGCAATAACTTAGTTTACCTACGATCTGTAAAGGGCAAAAGTTTGTAGTCAAAAGCGATCATAATCTCTTAGTCAAACTATTTAGTTATAGTGGATTCTCTTCTCATTTTTATGTTTTATGTTTTTTTCTTTTGTGAAGTACTTTAAACAAACTTTTTTTATAGAAAGTGAGATTTAATTGCATCAAGTGATTTTAACTACGACACAGTGAGATTCGACCCTTAACGGAAGCTCTCGACTACAAGATGTAGCTTAATTGAAATAATTAAATTTAAAGCTTAGACGGGCGCCGCTCATATAAATTGAACTTAAACGTTCTTGTTTGTTTTCCTTAAAAATAAATAAACCTTAAATAATTATTTATTGTAAAATGAAGTATTGTGTGTTACGATCCATTTATGGACCAAAAACTTATGGTACTATCGAAGTGATGTAAAGACACAAGGGACGTGATTCAAGATAGAGTTATTTTCCATTTACATCGATCAAAAAGTGGCACAGTAAAAAAAGTTTCGCTTTCGTCTTTTTCTTCTTCTTCTGGCAATACCCCCAACGTCAGCTGTCTCTTACACACACGCACGTCGTATTCTTGGTATTGGTGTGCGGGGGCATTTGTACACGCATGCAAGTATATCTGTATGTATATATATATACCCAAGTTGCACTTCCTGGAGATATTTTTTTGGGCTTTGCGTATTGGGAGGATCGTTTATGTTCCTTTGGAGCTCCTCAGAGAGCAATTCACACACACAGGCACACGACTAATCCAAATTTTAATGGGGACCACAAACGTAACTCGCTTTCAACGTCATCAGCCATCCGCTTTCTTTTAAGACGCGAACAAAGGGAATTTTGAGGAGAATCCTATGCCATTAGAGTTTTCTGGACCTCCCACCAACACGAACGACATTGTCAATCCTTTGGGCAGTCCTTCGAACCCAATTATTCCCCAGGAAAAACACTCAACTCCACAAAACTCTCCCAGCGTATTTTTTCGTTACGTTTCACTTTTCACTCTGGTCAAAAAAATTCGCTACAAATTCGCTCAAAGGCCGATTTATGCACTGGCGCTACACTGACTCACCTTCAAAATGCACATATTATTGCATTAAAGGTACGAAAAGATGTTTTTTAATTTTCATTGGACTTTTTTGTAAAAAATTGGGAAGTTGCAATCAGTATAACCGCAGGTGACCAGCGGCGAAATACTGAATTTGGCTGCCTGAAAATGGCTGATGTGGATTTGAACTGCTTGCGAAAAGGTGTTACCATATTAGCTCAGCTGACTGCAATTGACAGTTATAAAAATCGATCTGTATTTAAACGATCTTATCAAGTTATTATTTTAAAGATCTTTAGAATGTAGCACACTTAATTTTTCATTATTTGCTCACGCTTAACTAACGGTTTTAGTTACCTTTAAAATATTCGGTTTAGCATACTATGAAACACCAATTATTGTTCTAATAATATATGGAGCAATTCATTAGTACTATCAACAAAAGCTGTGATGCAATCGATCTGATTAAGTTTCTACTAATTAATTACAGCACAGCAACTGCCCTCGCATGCATTTAAACAAGCAAAACACACTAATTCATTTAATATATTATTTTATTCAGTTTACTTCCTTGTTTTCTGTACATTATTCTCAATGTACATAATATTTCTAGGCACTTGCAGTCGAGTAACGATTAAATCAAATTCATCTTCATAAAATGTCCCCGAGTTTATAAAACTCTTTAACAATAATCTATTTCTTAGGAGTTGCGCCATAAGTAGAAGCCTTGCTGATCTTCGAGGCATTAACAGCATATTCCATCAGGCCATAGACTGAAAATGAGTAGGAAAAATAAAATGATTCTGCTTAAGACTGTCTTTTATCAACTTACATCCTCCCAAGATTGATAAAACTGTGATGAAACCGATCCAGTTGCCCGCAGCCAAGGAGGTTACCAAATAGTTCAAAATGCACAGCACAGACACAGAGGCCCAGCCCAAGAAGTTGAGCAGAGTGCTTAAACGCGGCTTGTAGATCTTCTCGGGAACCTCCTTCACGCCAGAGTTCTTGAAGAAGCTACCGGTTTCGTGGAAACTGTCGATGATCTTGTCCTTTTCGGCAAAGAAGTCTTGCATCCAGGCGGCAGCCTCCTTTTCACCATCGGGAACCTTGTCCAAAGCCACTCGACGGATGTACATGTACGGCTCCACCGGCTCGCCGTTCAACTGGGACAGCATTGTAGGCCTTGGCTATACAAATATACAGAATGGATTATTAAATATTTCGACGGACTTTATGCTGTTCTTCTCTGTAAATTGGCAATCTCATGCCATTTCTCACCTCAGCATTCTTTTTGAAGGCCAGATTGATGTCGTAGATGGCAGGACAAATGCCGCGCATGGTGGGCAGACTGGTGGTGAATCCCTTGGTGCGTGGAATTAAATGGTGCTTAAGAGCGGGAAGACCTCGTTCCTGGGCGAACTTAACGGACAGCTCGTGCTTGGCCGCAGTATAGCGGGTACCCTCAGCATTTAGGAGCAACCAAACTGGATCCGGATAGGAAAACACCTCCGTCAACTGTGTCTTGATCACCACCTTGTCCTTCTCGAAGTTGCGATCCAGGAAGATGAACTCGGCCATCCACCAGACCCATCCCATGACGGGAACGTAGCGGAGCATTTTCTTGGCGTACGCCTTGGTTCCTCCCAGAATTCCCAGCTTGTCGGTGATCATCCAGGCGGTCAGCCAGTCAATCTCGTAGGTGTGGTTCATGAGCAGTAATCCATGCTCCTTGCCAAAGAACTTCTTCTCATCCTCGGGATCGATGTAGACCCTCAGTTTGCTACCAGCATACCATTCCGCCACACAGACCAGGACTAAAATTGAAAAAATCCATAAGAAATATGTATAGTGCAAACAATATTTTTTTAGTTTTGAAAATAACTGCACAATATGTTTAAGTTCTACGTTTATTACTTTGTATTTTTTATATTCTCTAATATGTGGTTTATATGTATTATTTCGAAATATTTGTATAGAACCATGAAAATAAAATATAAAAAAAAATTACATATAAATAATAATTATGGAAATTTACCAAGAAACTTAGCTGACACAGCATACAAACATACATACATATATTTTCATATGATTATGTGTATAACTGTATAAAGATTAGTTTTACTTACTGCAATAGAAAGAGTAATTTAGATAGTACATAAGACTCCGGGAAAGTTTCTTGTCAAAAGGTTTGACCAGCAGGATCAGCAAAAACTGGCCAATATTTACGAAAAAGCCGCATGTGAAGAACGTCACGGCGATCAGCAGTCGCCCCAAACCCCTAAGGTGCGACATCCTAGGCTAAAAATAAAAGCATTTCAATAAAATCAAACAATTAAGGCCAACTTTACGTAACATATGTACATAGATCGAAATTCTTGTTATGCATTGTAGTTAATAAATATGTCCAGCGCGCGATATCGACTTAATTATGGCCCACTCAAACTTTGCTCCCAATGTGTCATGAAAAATAAACTGCTTAAATTATAGTCCCGTAAACGCACACATGCTAAAAACATTGTATTGATACGGTAAGCACTCTTTTACGTGAGCAAAAAAAACTTAAGACTGTATTCTTTATCTTTGATTTTTTGGTTGCCATTGATAAAAGTCCATGTATATTTGTTGAATAATTAATAAATAACATACTTGTAGTACAACATTTCTTTATTGTGCAATTCGCCATTAAATCAGGAGAATGCTTGAAGTACCCGTTTGACAACAATTTACTCGTTAAAAAAATTTAGTCACCATGTGATTTAGAAAATTGGATCCCCAATATTAAATTAAAAGAATGACAACTTTTTACCACCGCAAGTCAGATAAGACCGAAATACAATTTTCTTTAAGTTTACATTTCCGATATTACACTGTTTTCTGCACACCAGTACAATACCACTCACCTATCTTTGCTGAGTCTTAACAAATTAGAGACCAGGAAGTAGCAACTTGTTCTACCAACCTGTAGATTTTGACTGAATGAAATTAACTTCTACGGGCGTCCGGGCCCCTAGAGATATGGATCTCCGTCGATAGTACACCCCAGAAGCCTTTAACTAACACTATTAATCACCTATTATCAGTCAATAGGAAACCAGGAGACTGCTTATCTCCCAATAAATGCGTTTTTATGCTGCGCGTGTGTTCGTGTTATATATAGCCAAGGGCAAGCAGTCGATCTAACGGAACGTGCGCCGCTTCTGATTATTACAACTGATAAAGAAGTGAAAGAGTTTAACACGGTGACAAAACAAACTTTTTTTTACATGTACAAACATACTTATCCCGGTGAAGCTTATAGTAAAACGACTTCTTTATTGCTCTTTGTCTCTGGTGTCGGTATAGCCTATTTTGTTACAGGATTAAGAATATTAATAAAAACTTTGTTTTTGTTTACAATCTTACCGAGCTCCAGCTTTTAAAATAATTTATTTTAAATTATTATTTCTACGGTTTTAATACAAGAGAAAGGTTTCTCCGAATTTATTATGTTGGTATTTTGAGTTAAGGTCACTCTTGCGGTGCACTGCTTGCTCACCCACACTCATCAGCTGTTGGGCTCTCTTATCAGTCAACTGCTTGTCTTATCAGAAACAACAAACATTTCAAGTTCTATTTAATTTAATTATTGCAATGCTCGCCAAATTACAATTGATGAAACAATTAAATTTCCACTTAGGTGTACAACTACCAACTACGTACGCAAATTTATGACTCCAGTGTGCGGGAGTTACCTCGTAACCATAAACTTAGACAAAAAACATGCACTTCTGTTCAAAAAACACTTTTAAATCGTCCGGGTAGGAATCGCGAATTGATCCATTTAGCAGAGAGATTTGTGAGAGGACTGCCATTTTTTTTATACAAAGTCACTTGTAGATAATTGAGTTCGTCAGCAATCAGAACTAAATGCGAAATCGAAAGTTATTTTGTGCTCGCCTTGCCGGATCCAGCTCCATAACTGGATCCCTTGCTAATCTGCGTCTTGTTGATGCCCTGGCCCATCAGCCAGTAAACTGAAAGTCAGATAAATTAATTAGATAACTGCTCGGCATTGATTAATAAGGTTTACGAAAGAAATCCACATACGAAGACTACTTGGTGATAGTTTTCTAGATTTTTCTAGTGTGATGTCTAGCGTAAATTGAACCCCAATACTTACAAAGTCCGAGCACGGAAAGAGCCGTGATGAAGGCGGTCCAGTTGGCCGCCAGCAGAGAAGATACCAAGTAGTAGAAAATGCAGGATAACGAGAATACCGCCCAACAAGCGAAATTCACCAGGGAACAAAGTCGCGGTTTGTTCACGTAGGCTGGCACTTCCTTCACTCCGGAAGTCTTGAAGAAGCTGCCCGTCTCCAGGAAACTGTCGATGATCTTGTCCTTCTCCACATACAGATTCTGCAGCCAGGCAGCGGCCTCCTTTTCATCCTCGGGCACCTGTTCCAAGGGAATACGCCTCATCAGCATGTGGGGCTCGACGCCCTTTCCATGAAGCAGGCTCAACATGGTGGCAGGAGTCTAAAAGATTAAGAAAACAAAATTAATTCGGGTTTATAACCTTGAAATGACCGTATTAACTTTAAAAGTTTTAACGACGCTTATATTACTCCACCTTAACCCATTTTGCAAGTATAATTTAAAGCCGTAATAAACAGGAAAGAAAAAGAAAAGTTATTCCCCTAGGAAATTATCGTTTTCGTGTTTAAGAGTTAGCAACATGACACAAGTTAGTGATACTATGTGCAATATGAACTCACTTAACCTTCAACGGTTAATCTCATTCAAATTGATCGGTGCCATTTAGAGTACCAATCTTAAGAATACATGACAGGATTATTTAACAGTAAGATAATCTGATTAAAACAGCAGATTAGATTAGATTAAACATTATGGAAATGGCTGATAAAGGTAATCGAAAATAAATATATAAAAGCTGCATTAATCTAACAATGATAATAAGAGCTATATATACCGAAATACTTCTTCAAAGTACGTGACTTCAGGAAATCTTTTGCTTAAAGCTGTATATATCTATATGCTTACCTTTTCTGTGGGCCTGTACGCTAGATTGATGTCGTAGATGACGGGACACAGACCACGAATGGGAGCCAAACTGGCGGTGAATCCCTTGGTGCGCGGGATCAAATGGTGCTTCAGCACCGTCATGCCCCCTCTCCTGGGCAAACTTGACGGAGGCCTCGTGCTTGGCGGGAGTGAAACGAGTGCCCTCCGCATTGAGCAAAAGCCAGGTGGGATCGGGATAGGAGTAGACCACCTTAAGCTGCTCGGTGATGATGGTCTTGTCCTGATCGAAGTTGCGGTTAAGGAAGACGAACTCGGCGAGCCACCAGCACCATCCCATGATGGGCACATAGCGAATGGGCTTCTTGGCATACGCCTTGCAATTGCCAAGGACGCCCAGCTTTTCGCAGATCATCCAGCCGTTGAGCCAGTCGATCTCGTACTTGTGGTTCATGAGCAGGAGCACATGCTCCTTGCCGGCGTGCTTTTCAAAGTCGTCCTTATCCATGTAGACGGTCATCTTGCAGCCGGCATACCAGTCGGACACGAAGATAAGTTCTAGAGGATAAGAGGATGCATTAAGGAAATTTCGAATCCAATTTGATAAAGATATACTTACGAGAGTAGAGCGAGTAGCAGGCATAGTACATCAACTTGCGGAAGAGCTGCGCGTTTATGGGCTTGATGATCACGTGCATCAGCAACTGGATAAAGTTGATGCATAGCCCACTCGTGAAGAAGGTGAGCGCGATGCACAGGTGGATCAGTCTCAATTGTTTCAGCTTCTCCAACGACACCATTTTGATCTGCAATTAGGCAAATGCTTAACCAATAAAACGGCTGCCTTTACGTAATCAAAACTTTAATTGTAGGTTGTTCCCCCGGTAGTGGTCGGTCGTAAACGTTTGCGGGTCTTTATGGTCTCGCGGATAAAACACCCCGTTTATGGCCGTTAAACAAAGTTCCCGCACTCACTCGAACTGAGGGTTTCTGTGGGCCAAAGGTGCGCGGCTAAGTTAAAAGAAAGCGTGCAAGGCGGCAAGGCAACCACTTGCACCACCAGCTGGCAATGGACTGGGGCAACCACCGGACCGCAGAGATATTCGCCAGATATCGGCCGTGCTTTAGCTTTTGCTAAAGCCGCTGCCCGAGCAGGAATCTAATCTGACTTGGCCAATCGATGACTGCTTCATTGGAAATAGCCGCTGTGGACAAAGTTCGTTCTTTTCGAGGTGTTGTCATTATAGGGCACATCGAAGATAATGCTAAGTGTGAGCTCGAGAATAATTTTTACAACTAACACTTTCAGTGTTCCTAAGAGGGTACAAAAGTGAGCAATTCGTTTGGGAAGGGAATGCAACTATTTAAGTGTTACTTTTTGTCTGTTAAATAACCTAGCAACTTATGAACTTCAAAGGCCAATACTTAAAAGCATCTAAATGTTTTTAAATGTTTTTAATTTTTCAAGAATTATCTAAGTAAATCAATCCACTATTATGTAAGCTTTTATATCGTTAAATATTAGGTTATATTTGTATTGATAATTTAAAACAATGTACAACAAAAATGTGGTAAACTTTTAAAAATATCATTTTGACCGAAACCATCAAATAAATTTAAATATATAAAAAATAGTTTAGAAAGTAAAATATGACACGTACTATCGTAACTGCATATATTAACTTAAATTATGGAAAAAGCACGTTGGGTGATGATCAGGCTAGAAGGCATTTAAGTCATTAAATTTACATATGTATTTATAAAATAGTAATAATATTGGACTTTTATTCTGTCTGTATATAAATTTCATACTGCTCAGAGCTAAACTTAAAGATATTCCGCTCAACAGAATTGATTGGTTTTTTTATGCATTCAATTGGTGACCCTTGCCGTTAATTTTTGAACTCCTGCATTGAATTAGTTCACTTCTTCGATCGTCTACTATATATTAAGAACAACAAAAGAGTTCTTGCGCACACAAGAATAAGTATGTATATATATATATATACTCAGCTGGTCCACGTGTGCGAGTGTGTGTGCGAGAGAGGCGTGGGGTGGCGTGACGTGGTTGGATTTTACGGTTATCACTCACTACAGCGACTCACGATCAGCGATCTCATCACCACCCACAATTATCAAAAACAAAGTCCACCCGAAGGGCTATCAATCCGCAGCTGCGCCGCTCTTATCGGTTATTCCCTGGTTTACAAACATATACACACACACACGTACATATAGCTATGACTTCTGCCCTTTGTTTACAAATGTCACTGGTCAGAAATCCGTTGAAAAACACTCGACACTAATTTATATCAATCACTGGACATTGTCGTGCCCGCCATTTACCTTTTTGGCAATGTTTTTGTGCGAATTTTTGATTTGTTTTCTTTTGTAGTCCTAAAGGTAAGACCGTTCCCGTGCAACTGCGTTAGCACCGGTGACCAATCGAAAATTCGGTATTTTCTTATTGTGGTATTCTTCTCTTTTGGTAGTTTGCAACAGAGTTGTCATACATTCTTTTGCATGGCTTTGTATAGTTTAATAATTTTTTTATTTTATAAAATTATTTGTATAATTAATTTTCTTTTTACTTCCATTAATCAGATTCGTAAAGATGGATTGATCAACTTTTTTTGTTGACCTAGCACATTACCGAGTTACATTTTTGTAACCTATGTATGTACTTCTGCAAAGGACATGGAAAACTCAATTGTATACAATTATATAATGGCCATAATCGGAAAACTTGTTAAACTTTTTTGGCATTAGGGGTTCTTAAATTAGAGGGGGTTTGAAACCCCAAGTACAAACCCCCCGCCACCACCCTGCGGACGCAGCATTTTAATAACCAAGAAATAAACAAAATTTCTTTCCTTTAAGAACATCAAAATTTAATATAGTTGGAAAACGGTATTTTAAGTAAGTATATTTTAAAAAGACTTGTGAAGCTTAGCAACACTGGTGGTTCGCGCCCTAGCTTAATGCCTGTCAAAAAATTTTTGCCAATTTAACGCAAAATTCTTTTCCAGACAATTGGAAGTTGGTTTTCGCTGTAAGTATTTGGTTAAGAACTGGGAAAATCTCAAGTGTATGTTTTTGGGCTCCTGGAGCCAGGTATTGAGTGGTTTTCGGTAGCGACGGAAAGCAGCGAAGGAGCCGGTAAGAAAAATCTACCGGCAGACGCTTTTTTTGTTGGTCGAAAATTGCAGACGTGAGCGCGTGAGTTTTTTTGGGGGTTAATAATGACCCGATGTACATACATAACTGAGCCTCGTCCACTTTGCAGCCGCGATGTCCAACGTGGAGATCTACGACTCGTCCAATTCCCAGTTAAGCAGCGACGAATATAGTCACGGGGAGGAGGAGTACGACGCCCTGATGGACGAGGCAGTCAGTAAGGAGCGCCCCCAAAAGACCAAATCAAAGGAATCCAAAACCGTGAAGCCGGGAAACGGATCTGCAGATCCCGCAATGTCGTCAGACAAGGAAGATAAACCGAAAACCAAGATCAAGCCGCCTTCCACGCGATCGGAAACTCATCGCCGGATTCGGCAACTGCGTTCAAAACGGATCGAGTCGCCCTGTCTTTACTTTAAACGTCGCAGCATAAAGTGGTACGAATTACTTTCCTTTGAAAAACCTTTCAAACTTTTAAATCTGTCATTAAATATCAGGCTGCGAATTAATAAAGCTGGTTACGATACCTATCTTGAGGGTCTGGCGGACGTGCTGCCAAATCGAGATAAAGCCGCACTCGTGGCCCGCTTTAAAGCCCTTTGGCAAACCATCTACGCGCCCAGGAGCCCAAGTCGTAGTCTTAGCCGCAGTCGTAGTCGCAGCCCAAGCCGAAGTCGCAGTCGTAGTCGCAGCCCTAGTCGCAGCTATTCCGTAAGCCGCAGTGCCAGCCATTCACCGGAACTCATTTGTCTGGACGATACGGAGAACGAGGAATCTCCGGAGAAACCCGAGATGGAGCGGCCTGAAAAACTTACGCCCTTAAAGGAGAATAAACCAAGGGCTGTAATTGCACTGCAACTCGATTACGAGCTGCCCGAAAATCTAAAAGCCACATTGCCGGTGAACACAGAGAACGGAGCTTCTAACCTCGACGAGTTCTTGGTGAAGAACAACGATCCCCAGCAGGCGTGCTTTGGGTTCGACACACTCTCCGCTTGCATGGAGCTGGAGCAGGCGCTAAGCGATCGTACGCTGGTTCAGCAGGAGGAGCCGCAGGTGGCCGAGTCCCTGGTGATGGATGCCAGTCTTAAGAGACGCCGCTCGGTCACACCGCCAACAGAAACCAACGAAAAGCGTTCTGATCCCGATCCCGAGCCAGTAGAGAATCTAGATGAGGACGATGATACCATTGAGTTTATGCCCGTGCAAGAACAAAAGAAATTAGCTGCTCAGCCGCCGCCATTAAATCTCCAAATGCCTAGCACTCCAGTTGCTAATCTGGTGCAGAGCCAGCCTGGTTTTAGGCTCAGCACACCGTATTCCCTGTCTACTGCGGCTGGCGAGAAGACCGACAATTTGGCGAGCATCTCCTACAGTTTGAATACTCCCACACCGCCCGTCACTCCCATGGAGATATCCTATCCCAACGAGCAGCTGCCAAATAACACAAAAGTCGCCATGCAGAACTTTCCGGCTCAACAGGCGGCTTCACCCCAAGTGGCTGCGGCATATGCGTCTCCATTTCCGGGCGCGTCTCCCGCACAGAGAGCAACTCCCGTTATGGCGGCTTCACCAAGCACAGTTCCCCTCCAGCGGGCTCCTCCACAGCAGATGCCGCCACCAAGATCTGCGTCACCACAGCAGCTAGCTGCACCACATCAAATGGCTGTGCCTGCTAGAACTACACAGCATGTTGCACCACCACATCAGATGGCTCCGCCAAGATCAACTTCTGCACAGATATTAGCACCACCACATCAGATGCTGCCACCAAGATCAACGTCCTTGCAGGGATTAGCTTCACCGCACCAGATGCCGCCACCCAGGCCATCAATTCCACAAGAGCTTGCTGTGGGAAATCAGCTCGCTTCATCCAGATCATCTACTCTACAGGAACTAAACCTAGCAAATCAAATGGCTCCACCCAGATCCACTCCTACACAGGAACCAGTCCAAGCTAATCAGATAGCTCCGCCAAGATCAATTTCTCCACAGCAGATGGCTTTCAAAAGAGAAGCTTCGCCACAGCAGCTGCCACCAGCAAGAATCACTCCACCACAATTGCCGCCTCAAGTGCATCCCCACATGCCACCAGCTATGCCAGCCAGCTTTGTGGTGCCCCAGCAGCCGCAACCACGTCGCTCGGAAACGGTGTCCACCCAGACGCAAGTGTCCCAGCCCCAGTCGCAATCACCGCCGCCGCCCACTTCGTCGACATCCCGCCAAAAGCCAACCATTGATCTCAACAACAGTGACGCCAACTTCCACTATCGTATTAAGGGAATCTACGAGGATTTCGACCCCATCTTGACGGATAAAGTGAATTCGGTGCATCCAGAAACGAGTGCGTTCCGCGAGGAGCGCGAGCGCTTGGACGCTGATCTGAAGACCCTCGACAATCTGATTGCCCAGAAGGAGGACGAGTTCAATCGACTGCTGCACCTGCGGTGCGTGAAAGTGGAGCTGCGTGCCAGGATGGAGCGCAAGGAGCGCATGTCGTTCATTAAGAACCTGCTGCCGGATCTGCTAAGCAAGAGCTGCAGCAACACCGAGCTGGTTGAGATGCAAAAGTTGTTGGAGGAGGAACAGGAGGCTCCCATTGCCTCCAAATATGGACTCTCTGCGGTGGAGAAAGTACTGAATCACGCCGAGCTTAACCAGAACAACATCCGTTTGCTGCGCGGGTGAGTTTAAATGAATTATTATTAATTATTAGATAATAGTTTCTCGTTTGCAGAGTCATGGGTTTGAAGGAACAAGCTCCTCCTGTAGATCTTCGCCACTTCGAGGAGGAGAAACTTATGTTTAGAAGGAACTCCTTGCCTGCCCGTCATCTTCCAATGCGCAATGCGCGGGACATGGATGATGAGCTTCAGCCAGACTTCGACTCGGAGATGCCTCCGCTAGCCAAGCGGCCCAAATTTAACCACCCGCATGACAGGTTGTTAACCCACCTCATCTTAACTAAGAAAACCAAAAAAATTTTCGTGCCTAAAGAATGCTATTCAAATAGAAAATCAAGTTTCTATTGTCAAAAATCGGAACATTTTTCTTTTTTTTTACAATTGAAAAAGGAAATGATGTAAATGATTATTATTATATTATTGTAAAATATATATATTTTTTATACATTAAATTCTGTGTACCAATTTCAGATACTACCAGGAGATGACTAACTCCACGCCAAACTTGACCGCCCTTTACTCCCTTCCCTTGAAAAAGTTGTTGGCCTCCGAAAAGCCAACCAGCTACAGCAACGTCTCTCTGGACAATCACTTCGAGAACGAATCGCATCTCAGGCCGCTGTTCAACAGCAGTCCCATGGTCTCCAGGAGTCAGTTAGCCAGCAAAAAAGTATAAAATAAATCCAAATATTTTGTATCCTTTCAGGCATTAACCTCTGTTTCATTTAAGCAGCATCGCGAAACACATTCCAGCTACCGCAATGAAGAAGATGTGGTCGAGCGTAAGCCCAAGAAAGACAAGACCAAGTCGCGTTCCCAAAAGAGCAATAATTCCCAGCGAGATGGAGGCACCACAATCAACGGCAAGGAGGACAGACGGTGCCATCAATGCAAGCGACGTGAAGCCACCTACTTGTGCTCCAGTTGCCAAACTCAATGGTACTGCAGTCGTGAATGCCAGGTGAGCTAATGGATTTAAAAGAAATTTAATATCCATAGAGAAATAATACCCATAAAATTATTATGGAATAATGTTGAAGATCACCGAATGCTCAAATATTGTTTCTTAATGTTTTAAACCATATTCTTATTATAATACTAAAATAAAACTTCTGTTTCTTGTTTATCTAGCTGCTTGCCTGGGACACACATTATCAAACTTGCGGCATCTAGGTTGATCGCCCTTAGGATATCAGCATTACTATGTCTAAACTATAACTATACCTATAGATTACCGTATTGCATATGCCCAAAATCCATTTACTACTCAACGTGTAAGTTATTTATGGATACAGGACATCGACGGACAATTAAAAGTGGATACAGGACATCGACGGACAATTTCAAATTGCGTTTCATTCAATTAATTTTTTGTACTTGTACTCAATCACCGCTCATCCTATAAATAAATCAAATACTACAAGATTACTCTTAACAACTAATTAAAAAATTGAAAGGAATTAAAGTTTATTTAGACATCAAATATTTGAAATTACATATTCATTTAAAAAACAACAATTTTTGAAACTAGACAATTTGCAATAAACATTTTTATTTCATTAAGTAAATTTGATATTCTCAAACATTTTTAAATTTAAACAAAAGCATGTACATTAATCGAAATGGAATTTTATTTTGCTGGCCTGCATTTCATTTAAGTTCCTTAGCTTGTTAAATTTGGTTCTTTTTTAATTTAAAAAGATTTAATTTGCATTTTGTTATATTTATAACCCAAAATGCATTAGAATATAAAGATATTTATTTTCTGTTCCTTCACAAACAAATTCATGCAGTTGGTAAAATAAACAGTGCGTATAAAAATATAAAATGATGATTTAAACTATTTTTTGGTGGTTGACTATTTCAGAAATAAAAAAAATATTTTATTTTTATTAATTAATAAATGGTTTTATAAGGTGTTATTCATAGTATTAGAAAATGGGCGCTTGAATTTTTTCTTTGATTTTAAATTATTATTATGGTAACTTGATTACTTAAAGTTTATTTTATAAACACAATATTAAAAGGAATTCGACTGAACTACTTAAGTAAATGGGAACTGTTTAAGGAATTTCGTCTAGACATCTTTGGGTTTTAATAAACAATTCATTTACTTCGCCTGCGCACCTGGCACATCAGCTTGATGTCATTGATATGCAACCGGAGTGGCTGCCTCCTGGACCAGGGACCACGTTTCAATTTCCGGATGCGCAGCTGTCGGCTGCAGTGCAGCCTAAACTTCAGATTCGGATTCCACACGGCATCGGCTGAAGCGGAGGGAGTGACGCATTTATAGGCATATTGCCACCATAATCGAACACTCTGCTTGGTGCTATGCTGAAATCGGGATTGTCAGTGGGTTGATTTTAGCGGGTTTTATTCCGTGAGGGGGCTGTAAATATTATTGGACCCTAAACGATGTCTCGCGGGGAATAACACTCACCATATAGACGGGCAGAACGTAGAACCGCCTGCACTCGCGTCGAATGAAATTGAAGGCAATGGGGCGGCGGTATGTCGTTGATACCTTTGTAAGGTGCGAACGGATCGCACTGGCGCTCGTCGATCGCTGCAGACGCTGGAGCTGCAAAATATATAAAAATAATATTTCAGTGGCTCGCTAGCGCACGTAATTAGTTTTCCAAACAATTGAGCACATTTTGAGAACACAATTAATATGCGCAAAATGTTTGCGAAGAATTCGCGCCGAATTTGGCTTGCAAATGATTCGAATCGAGCCGCGTTTCAGTTGAGTTAGGTTTGAGTTATGGCCGATAAGTTTGTATTTAATTTAGACACCTGGCTCACGCCAACAATGCGTACTATGAAAACCAAATTTGGAGGGTTTATTTATACTTTAGTAGTATTTAGATGTTGGTTTTTCAATTCAAGTGCTGTAAACGTATTGACTCTATCAATAATAGATTCTCTTCCACAAAATATATAAAGCTTCTTTGTTATTAACTGATTTTGTTCTTTTCATTTCTCACAAAAAAATATTCAATATTATTTGTTTACTTGAAAAAGTGAACAAAAAACAAATCATGCTGTTATAAAAATGTTTATTAGGATATCACGATTGAATATTTATAAAGACCATAAACCAACAATGTATTGGCTTTTTTTTTTTTTTTAAATTACACACGAAATAAATATTTATTTTGTGGGAGTGTATCAAGTCTTATCTGAATCTTTGAGTTTGCTAAAACCTTATCATTTAAATTTAACAAACAGTTTTGAATGAAATAATAATATATCGACATTATCTATATGATTAATCACCTTTCCAACAACTTAGCGTTATCTAAAGGTCGGAAAACTCCACAGCAACGCTGGTATATATAGTTGGGGGAGTGGGGATCACTTGGGTTGGGTTGGGCTATTGGATCGGGTGATGGGGATGGTGGGTGGTTGGGGCGTCCCTGAACCTGCTTATCAAAGCGGCAACGCAAAGCAGTTCGCCGTTGTTCTCAACATAACAACTATAAAAATTACAGTTGCAAGGCGGCGTGAATTGTTTTCGCAGTGAGCAAAAGCGACAGGCAGGCGAAGTCAACCAACTCGAAGTTGATAGCAATTAAATCCGCTTATCAGTTTAGAGACGCGATTTAAATTAGCACCCCAATGGAAAAACCCCCCCCCCATCCCCCTCTCCTTTTCCCAGACTCTCCCGGCTTCTTTGTGATTTGTCCTCGGCGATGACTACACGCCGACAAGTTTTTGCTATTATTAAACAGTTTTACAAGCCGCTAACGCTCAGAAATTGTTGCTAATTAGTTGAACCGCGCACGCCGGCGCAGCAGACCTTAAAAGCGACGACCCATCGATGGGGCCAAAGGGGGACAAAGGGGCAGTGGAGGGTTAAGCGGCAGCGGTAACCACCAAAGCAGTGCTAGCTCTAATAAAGGTGTGCACTGGTATGAGTAACTGTGCACCGTTAGAAATTACTGCTTCAATTGATATTAAATAGTTATAGAAAAATGTAAACAATTAAGATTGGAAGGTCATCCCTTATTTTCAAAAAATTTAAATTCTTGCTCTTTAATATTTTACTAGATTAAGAATTCTTTTAATGACTATTTGCTAAAGGAATTAATTGATTAATGGATTCGGTACACATTTTTTCTGCTAGTGTACGTGTCAAGATTGGAGGCAATCGAGCTGAATTAGATGCTGCTGGGGTCGATTGAGTGCAGATCAAGCGATGAGCAATCGAGTGCAGGGTGCAGCGTGAGCCGCACAATTAGATTCTTCGAAAAAATCTGAAATTATGAAAGGACCTTGAATGCAATTGCTCTCTGGAACAATTTGCATGTGAATAATGTCGAAAAGTCGCATTTTTCCGCTGTCAATCAGTGCGTATGTGCAATGTCAAAAAAGAGCTAAATGTGCTATTTGACTGGCTGTCAATAAAGAGTCAGTTATGTTATCCTCGCGTGCACTTTCTCTATATATTTCTTTATTATTCTCGCCATTTGCCCTCTTGCAATTAACAGCAGCGAATGAAAAAACAAACAAACAAACAAATCTAACGATTCGTTTAAAGCGATTTGTGCGCGCTCTTTTATGAATTTCGCGTTGTTGTGTTCGATGTTGTATTAGGGGTATGTGCGTGCTACGGGGTTTTTTTTTTTTTTCTTTTTGGGGCCCGTGTCCGTTGGGTTGGCACTATCTCTATCTCTATCTCTATCTGGCCGGGTATATCTAAGCGCGATCGGTGCCTATGATTCAGCACCGGGCACACAGCACAACAACAGTAAACAAATATCAACAAAAGGGGTTAGGGCGACGACTATCAGACACCCATTATGGAATCATTTCAAATGAAAACATAAAAGAAGCAGTGCAAAGGAACAGATAAAGCTAACAGCTAAAGCAAAATACTCAAATACTTTAATTAATTCATTTAAAAAGGTTCCATATTTACTTCAACTACGTTAACGAATAATTTCGATAAATAAAAAAAGTGTAATATATAACTATACAAAAGTTTTCAATAATATACCTATACCATATTAGGACTAATTAGGTACATCCCTAAAATGTATGATACGAAAAAAATGTTCCTTTTTGAGGGTCATAATAAAGTTTGGCAAACTCTTTACTTTCTTTACTTTTTTAGCTCGAAGATAAACTTAACACAGCTTAAGTTCTTTTGTGTTAAGTATACCTTATACTATAACAAGATAATTAGTCCGACTTTAAAAAGATGAATATTATATATAAAGATAATTTGTCAGTTTCCTTTACAAGGATCTCTTCTACCAAGGACTTTTCCGCTATTTTGTGAACTTTAATTTTTATATTTTTTTCTAAAACATTTCCTTATTATTATCATGGAGTTGTCAAACTGATAATTTTCGTATTCTTTTTTTAATAACTCCCAAGGACATTGATGAATGGAAGTTTAGTTTCATACCACCTGGAAAAGCGTAGCACACCCGTAGTACTCCATAGGTACCGGGTATACCAACTCCCACCACAATGAATGGCGGGCGCTGTGTTCCGTTCTGTTTTATTCTGCCAGTTGATTTCTGTTCGGGTTCGGATCAGTCGGTTCGACCACGGTTCGTGTCGATTTCGAATTCGCAACCCCAAACCCCAACCAAACCCATCGCAGAGGGTCTTGCAAGTAAAATTCATGTTAATGAATGTTAATTTATACATTTGTAAGAATCTAAAATCTGTTTTTCCATACACAACAATTATTGGCGCGGCAGTTTGCTGGCGGCGATTTCGAATTTGGAAGCAGTCGCGCCCGAAACGTCGTCGCGATCGCAACGAGCGGTAACGGTAAAGCTAAAGCAGAAAACCTAACGGAAAGGGTTTCAAAAAAAGGGGATACTAATCGCCAAAATGGATCCCGAGTTTGTAAATAAATACAATCAGGTCCTCAGCCGACTGAAGCTCGTGGAGAACTTCGATGGCAGTGATCCTGGCAAGTTGCCGCAGTTCCTGCACAAAATCGAGGCCCTAATGCCGGCCATAAATAGTTTCGATGATTACTATAAAGCCCAACTAATAGGACACATCAAGAATAAGTGCACGGATCGCGCGAGAGAAGCTGTTTTCACCCGACAAATGAGTGCTCCGGTGGGCAATGCCAATGGAACTGGCAATGGTCACCTCCTGAAAGCCGAATCCTGGTTGAAGCTCAAGGATCAACTGCTATACAACTACGCGGAGAGGGAATCCAGCTACTCGCTGATCCACAAGATACGCAGTGCCGTTTTGGACTCCAACATCGAGCTGTACTACCAAAAGATGGCCAAACTGAAGCACAGACTGATCAACAGGAAGTTAACCCACAACGATACACTCTATAGTCTCGAGGATATTGAGAGGATAACGCTGCAGGTTTTCAGGGATCACCTGCCAGAGCCCACGCACTCGATGATCCTGCGGCGCAATCCGAAGAGCATGGAGGAGGCCTATCGCTACATTGTGGAGGTGCAACAGCAGTTCTACACACAGAGTGGATCGCTGGCCAGCGATCAACAGGCGGCCACTTTCAGTACGAGCCACAAACAGCAATCCTATGGAGTGGGAATGGGTGGAGTGGGAGTGAGCACTGTTGGCTTAGGCGTTGGAATGGGAGCTGTGGGTCTGGGACTCTCCTCCTATGCTCGCCAGATGTCCGACAAGGGTCAGCAGAACAACTCGAAGAGCTACTACAACCAGTCGGCTCCTCCAGTGGGAGCAGGGAAAAACCATCCGATGTTCAAGAGCATCGGCAATCCCACCTTCAAGTCCAGCTTCAGTTACAATGGCTCCAGCAGCAACTCGGGCATGGGATCCATGGGCTACTCGAGTGGCAAGAAGGCGGACATCAAGGCGAACTATCAGCAGCAGAAGAGCCAGAACTACAGCTCGAAAAGCTCATCGGCGAGTGCTTGGAAGAAGTAGCAATAGATACACGATCGAACTACGGATCCACGATCTACGGTTCCAATGAGATAAGCAGACCGAGCATGACCTAATCCCTTGGAGCCTGTGACTAATCCAAGGCAAAGTGCTTGCCACCTCATGCTAATTACCCTTAAAACCTCACCCCCTAATGATGGTGATGATGTGGCTGCAGATAATAGGATGTGAATATAGATTAATGTAATGTGAGCAATACTGAGCCGATGTGATGTGCTTTTCCAGATAAACATAAAAGATATATCACTCAAATTAACTATGATAATGGTGTGAATATTTAAATAAACAAATAATACAAATGTTAATATTAATAACAATGCAACAATTCCGCGAATGATAATGTATAAAATGGCACATGCAAATAATACAAACGATGTGAATATAGATGAAGATAATACAAATAATAGAAAGTAAAGGCATTCGTATAATAGAAAGTGTGCAGCTGTTAATAGTAATGAGTAACACAATAATTAAAATAAATAAAAAAGTGATTTGAAAAGAGAGATAGTGTTTAAATATATTGTTATTAAATAAATTACAATTATTTGAATAAGAATCCTTTTTAATCAGTAACTAAAAGTATATGGCATAATAGTATTTAAAATCGATGAAGAGTTCATTGAAATGATCTTGTCGATATACGAGATAATGAAGCCGATCAAATTGAATGCATGATGAACAATAATGATGACATCGATCGCGTGTCTATCGATGATGATCGATCCGCAGACAGTATGGACATGTTAATTATTAGCTCATAAGACCCGAGTGTACATAGCCCCACACACCTCAACCTCAGGCCGAGTAGTCACATTACCCCCTATATCTCCCACGAATCGCCCATTTTTAACAACAATCGCCCACCTTCAAATTCGTTTTTGTTAACAATAAAGTGTAAAGTCTAACAGCCTTTTTGTATGTGTTTGATAATCAGGGGTTTGCGAGTTTAATTTTGGCCAACTTTGTTTACTCACAATTTGCTGGGCACTGGATCGATTGGCTGAGTTCCTCGGATCGTAGCCCATATCCTGGGGAACTGGCTCCGATTGCGGTTCCTGCAGCTTAACAGTCTTTGGCCTGACTTTATCCTTGGTATCCTTTTCGGGCTTGCCAAAGAGTCCTCGCTGTTCCGCTCGACGAATTAGGTACTTCTCGTTGAGATGCGTCAAGGTTTTCCTTCGAACAAGGGATAAATAGCTTCCTGTAACCTGTTGCTTGATGCAATTATCCTGATTGATGCATATATCTGGCACTGTATCCTGCACAAATTCATCGATATCTGGGGTGACGATCAGATCAATGCTATCTACTCTGGGCAGCGGAGGAGCCGTTGAAGCCGGAGTTCCTGGAGCTGGAGGTTCCGGTTGGGGGGGATGGCTTATCCTTCTTCCTTGGGGAGTCCTTGGTCATTGCAGCCGCTGGAATATTCGCTGCCTCCGCTTCTGCAATCGCCTCCAATCGCTTCTGCTCCTTGTACGCATTGCGATGTTTCTCCAGAGCCAGTTTGTTGATCAGATCTAGAACATAATGCACCATATCCTCGTTTTCAGTGCCCACAATCGAGTGCGTTTGGTACAGAACAAATTGGACTTGGGGTCGCGACATCGACATGGTGAGGGTGAGCAGCTGCTCCTCGAGGATCATGGCCACCCGCTGGCGACCCTCGTCGCTGACCTCCGATTCCGTGAGCACCTCCAACATACTGAGATCTCCGCCACGCGAACAAATCAAATCGATGGGATCCGAAATGGCACTAAAGGAGTTCGGTGGAGTGGCAAAGATGCCCACAACCGTTCGAAACCGATTCGATTCCATGGGAAACGAGGTGAAGGCATCGCCAAACAGCCGGATATTATTCACTCCAATCGATTCCATATAGCGACGGTATTCCTTCAGACTTGCCCCAGCTCCATAAACATAGAAGTTGTTCACTCGGTTCACGGAGTAGAAAAGAGCTGCCAAATATGCCGTGGATCGAGGTGAACCTATATGGGTCTGCAATATATCGCCATCCAACTCAAAGTAATCCATCAGCTTGGACATGATTGCTGGGCCAAATGTAAAGTTTTTGTCCTGAGAAAGATATAAATATTTATAAACATTAAACAAATTGGTCAATTACAAATAATGTGTAAGCATTTTCATTCATTTTTCAAGTAATCATTTTATAGACGAAAAGTAAAGTTTGTAAATCATCTGCATGTCGCAGAGGTTTCATTTCATTGTTTATTTATCATACGCCGTGTTGTCCCACTGATATTGTTTTTCTAAGCAGTCTGCCTGCTCTTTTCCTAAGAAAATAACAAGCGTGTAAACGAGTTTAGTTTGTCATTTTGATAGACACCTTCAGCTACTATTAGTTGTAATAAGCCTTTTTGGAAGTAAATGTTTAGTTTTATAATTAAAGTCAATCAAAAGTAGAAAATGTTTAAAACAAATGTTAAATGTATCTTCCTATCTTTATTTTATATGGGAGCTTTATAATTAATCAATTTAACTAATTGCATTAAAAATAAATTTTAATACTTGATATTCTACTTATATTATTAAATTGTTATAACTTTGGTTATTCTCTTTACAATATCTCACCTGCATAATAAAGTAATGCTTAGTCATCAGTACGGATTTGGTAAATTCGCTGCGGTCCTTGGGTATGCAGGATATGACTAGAGGACAAATATTATCCCACTTACAGTGCTGCACCAAAAGCGGTAACTCGTCATCTGGTCCGTGGACAGTAAAGCCCATTTCTTGTAGGATCTTGTCCGCCTCTTCTTTATTACTAAAAAATAAAAGATATAATTATTTTACTAAGATTCTAGTTACATTTATTCTTCACTCACCGGACTAAAAAAGGATTAATCCATCCGGTGACCACAGGATTGGCAGCTGCGATGGCAACTTTTTCATTCTGAAGGTGAATCGGAAGCAATTGGGAAAGTTTTAGAGCTCCAACCCGAATTCTCATCCGAGAAATTGAGGCAGCCAATCGAATGCGATGTTGCCAAAGGACATCTGCTAGTTCTGTTAAGAATTTTGTTAAAAACTGGATTGCTAAGAACACATTCACTTACCTGTAACTTCGGATTCCTTGTAAAGACTCGCTTGGAGATCCTTTTCCTCGGAATTGCGACCTTTGAACTGACGATCGTAAAGTTCGAAGAGCATTAACCAAATCCGCTGTTCGTCATTTTTGTACTTTGAAAAGGATTAAAATATTTTATTTTATGATTCATTGTGATTATTATGGCTGAATAAAATTTGTGGAAATAATAAAACTTTTACCAGTTATTCAACTTTTCTCACCTCTGGATGTTGCTCAAAAAAGGAGACATCACTTAACGCGTTCGACATAACAACTTTGTCTAAAAAGGAAGATATATAAAATTCATATCACCATAAAAAACAATAAACTTTTAAGAACCCACATCGAAAGACATCATAGATCAAGGAAAATGCCAATCGCATCTCATGTTCATTTTGAAAATCCACCAAAATCGGCGGTTTTCGGAGCAACTTGGCAGCATTGGCAATAGTTGGCAAGGTCCATCGGGCTCCAGACTTCAATTTAACCTTGACCGTGGTGGAATGACAGTATTTCAATGTCCTACTGCGTCTTCCATTGGGACTAACACCTGGTGAAAATATTTTGGTGATGCGCAACGGATCGAACATAGGTTTTTCCTTCTTGTTTATGTCATGAAGGGATAGGTTTTCATCAGAGGACTCGTTCACATGTCGCTGGATCTCCAATAACATGTAGTACATCTTGTCCTGCCACTCTTCATCGCTCGGAAGATATATCTGCTTGGTCTTCTTTAGTTTTTTGCTCTGCTCTTTAAAAATGGCAGGATACACCGAAAAAATGTCCGCCAAACTCAAGAAAAATAGTTGATTTGACATGGTGGATGCTTAGAACTCGCTGAAATTTCTAAATTAACAAAAAACTTTATGATTTAAAACCTGTATTTTGTTTTCTTGTAATTAGTTTGATTAAGACTTTGGTATCGGTTAAAAGGTTGGGCCAAGGGGTTTTGTATATCTTTGGCTATAAGCCAGTTTTCATTTAGGAAAACACGAAAAAACCTCCATCTAGATACCAACATTGTAACACCTTCGTTTAATTATAAAACTCATTACCACTTCCTCAACTTGTTAATACTTAAATAGTGTTTTTTAATAGTTCACTAGAATTCAGCTCTGTCTGTTTGTTATTATCTTAGGTAAATCACACAAATATAATTTCTGAATACATTTCCTTAAACAACGGTAATAAAAAATAAAAAACATTGTAATAACTTGCGATATAATTCAGAATTAATAAGTTAGGAATTTTATGCCTGGTACAGCCTATTAAAAAATGTCAGCATGATCTAATAATTAATAGTAGTTTCAACAATTATTGAGATTCCGATACCGTGCTCTAATTTGGTACGTGTATTAATTTTCACTACATTTTAGCACGATCGGTTTGTTATAATCACAGGTAAATCACACGAAAGCCTCCCGGATAATCCAGATAAAGTGCGGATAACTCCACCGACTAACGGTAAAATGAGCAGGAGCGAATCCGAACCGAGCAGTTGCACTGAACAGCGGCAACTGGATGAACGGAACTCTGGTGGACTCTCCTTTCGATGGCGTGTCTTCATCTCCCTTTTTGCCTTCGAGCCTGAAACTCCCCGCCCCACCGTTTCCACCAACCAATTCCAATGACAATGACAACTGCTGATTTTCATTCTCAGTCTCGTTCTCTCATTTCCATTTCCATTTCGTTCGGTTCGTGCTTAACACCAATTCAATGCTGGGAGCCTCCGAATTCCAAATCGACATCGCTGCATGCTCCATGGAATTACTTATCTATCTCCTGCACACCCCTCTCGCCCTCTCCCTTCCACCCACCTGTCGCCGCATGCAATGTGCACGCCAATACCGTTGCCCTTTCACTCAAACTCCCCTTGTTGGCAGCTGGAAAAAAATATTTGCCACAAAGGACAAACGTAGCGTTACCGTTATACGCTCCTTTGGATAAGTGTGTTTGTCAGGACGATAGGTGTACACAAACGAGATCAAAATTTTAGGAGCTGGGTTAAAATATATTTCACCTAATAACCGATCTTAAAAATCAATCAATTACAAGAATACTTCTTTATAGTTTTGGAAATTGTTGTAAGGAGACACCAAAAGGGTCTATATTTTATTTTCAATTAGTAAATATTAAAAAATATATAATTAACCAAACGATTTTCTTTTGAAAGGCTGATTGTGGAATAGATTTTTAATGTTTTTGTCCGTAGAATTAATTACATTTAACAGTACTTCAAGAAGCAAAATAACGAAAGTTGCACCTTTGTTTATATTCTTGCTCACCTCCAAAAACGAATTTTAATATTATATATCTGAAACAAACAAAATGCTAACTGCTGCTTTCGTGACTACAGCTGTACCTGCGGGTTGTAGATGGATCCAAACGATATCACACTTACCTTTTATTTTTTACGGCCTCTGCACGCTTGGCGTAATAAATTCCGTTTGCCATATTCGCATGATTTGCTCTGATTGGAATACGTCTTCAATAAATTGTCAGAAATGTCGCTGACAGAAATAGAGGTTCCAAAAGGGGTGGGGGTATACCTAAAAAAAAATCCTACTCTATTCTTCGATGTGTTTGCCTTGATTAGACGGGGGCTTAGAACCCCAAAAGCCCCTGCCATTCTCCTTGATGTTTGATGGCTCCGAAGCGTTCGAATCGAACATCAAATTAAATGTTGATTAGACAACTTCCAACTTTAGTAAGGTGGAAGAATTTATTGGCCTAGGTCAAATATCGATTATCGCCCCCGTCACTGAAATATTGGGTCAGATTGAATTGAATGTCAATTTGATTGGCATATCTGGGTGCAAATATATATAAAGCTGTAAAAGTATTTACTTTTTCGTGTCTCCTCTGTGACCTTGAGCTGGGGAAGGAAGTTCACTGTTGTGCTCTTACTTCGCTGCCAATAATTGAATTGCCCAGCTTTGGTTAACTTCTTAACTGAGATCAATTATAATTGGAAAAAATCATATCAATTAAAAGTGCCCCAAACTGATTCATCTAGCCTGATTGTTGACCACGAAAACAGTGACCACACAAAATAAGTCCGTCCGGGGCTTCTCCGGGTTGCTATCGGGCGAAATATATTACCGAGGGCTACTATGACTGTTTAGATATGAATAAGCAAACTTGAATTAGAGTTATCAGGGGTGTATGTCGAAAAGATAACTTGGGTGTCATAATTAAATTTTTCTTCTGTTTCCCGTTAGCCAGCCGGTGGGCAAGTAAAGCCACCCCGGCTTAAAGTCGACCGATGCGACTTCTTTATCGGGACAGTGCGTGGAAGCCTCAATTGTAAATCAGTTGGCGCATTTGGGGGCTTTGTTTTGTTTTGTTTTTGTTTTTGTTTTTTTTTTTTATTAAGAAGCATATTTATTATATATAAGATGTATGTAATACAATAATTTTTCTTTCTGTCCGGGTTTGTTTTTCTGCTTTTTACGCTTTTATGGTTTCGGTTTCTTTTCGGTTTATCGTTTTCATTTTTGTTTTTGTTTTTCTTTATCCATTTTATATAATCATATAAAACACTGAGCTACAATACAAATATTGTGATAAAAACTTACAACATAACCTTTAATACATAAAAATACTTGCGTAGTCTACAAATCGTATCGTTATAGAGATTTTCTTCGTGGATCGATCGATCGCCCGCTCGTCTTCTCCTGCTTCTTTTCTTGACCTTCTCCTAAATTGTTTTCACTGCTTCTGTCGCGCCTCAATGGGTTCTGTATTCGTTTTCGATTTTTTTTTTTTCGTATTTCTTAGTTGTGTGAGTTTTACCCTAATAAAAGATTTCATTCATTCTCCCATCTGTGGCTGATGACTTTTTTATTTTATGAGAAGTTAAAAAAAAAAAAAAAGGAAAACAATAAACACAGAGGAATCCGTGAATGAATGAGAGGCGGCCGACTGGATAAGGGAGAAAGTGTTAGATTAGGAGAACGAGAGGGGAGAGTGATCTCCCCGCGGAGAATTCTTCCAGTTCTTCCGCTCCGTCTTCTCCTTTGATGTTTGTTGTGTTTTCTATGAGTTTGTCGTTTGTTTTTGTTGTCTGCAGCGTTTTTAATTACAGTAGAAATTATGTTTATATTTATATATATATTTGCATAATCAATATCATTAAATTAAATTGTATAAAACACAAGACAGTAGAAAAAATAATTGAGGCGTACATAATTTTGTTTCAGTGGACGTACCAAAAGAATATACATAAGTAGTTACACAAATTCGTACAAATTAAATGGTAAATTTTGTTTCGTATGGATGGCCGAGTATTTGTTTTTGGTTCGAATTGGTTTGTTTTTTGTGTATGGGGGTGAAACACCGATGGATCAACGCTCTGAACATCTCATACAATGGGGATTTTGGTTAGCAAAATCATAATACACATACAATTACAATAATATTTATAGAAATAATATATAATATAATAAAAGAACCAACATACAGTTTTTATGTTTTGTTGTTTGTTTTGTTTTGTTTTGTTTTTTACACATCTTTATGCATAATGGGCGTATATAAGGTTTATGTATATAATTATAAGTAATAAATTTTATCCGCTTTGTTTAATTATTTGCACACGAGAATCAAAATTACTATTTGCAATCATATATATATAAAAAATAAACTTAATTGCCGTCATTCCGTTATATCATTCCTATACCATTCTCATTCTCATTCCCATTGCATGTCATCCCAACTAACCATCACTAAATGTCATATCATATCCTCCTATCGTACTGGTTGCGGATCCTTTCCTTTACTTTAAGCTTAATCAATTTTGGAAGAGTAAACAATACCATCGAGTTGCAATTGTTGCTGCATATGCTATATGTGTGTGTGAGAGTGTCTGTGAGAGTGAGTGAGTGAGTGTGTGTGAATGAGTGTATTATATAGATCGCTTTTGAATGAAAACTAATGATTAATGCGTATTGTATGCTGTTCTACACCTTCCTAACTTTTCCTCCTATCTGGCTTCACTCTTTTTACTCACGTTTTGCTCACTTGTTCTTTGTTCTTTGTTTTAATCGAGTTCTTTAACTAATTTTTTATAATTTCTCCCCCGCTCTCATCGCTTTCATTCATCTTCTTAATATTTATACGTATAAACTTTTATAATTTTATACTAAATGGTTTTTACGTTTTTTTTTTTTGCGTTTTCTTGAATTTTTTGCTTTTTGTTTCTTGTTCTTGTAATACAAACGTCATCGTGTAAATATATAAAAAAAGATGTCCAAAGTTTTTACGTTACGTTATTGTATATGCTTTTTTGTTTTTCTCATTACTTAGTGGATCGTTCTCTTGCTGATGGTTTTGCCTGCTTTTGCTTTACAGTTGTCCTAGTTTTGTAAATGGGTGTTTTCTTAATGTTGTTTTTTTTTTTTTAGTTTTTCGAGTGGTTTTCTGATGTCTGAATGCTTATATATGAGAGCGCAGCGCCTAGCTATATAGGGCCTTACTATATAGTATCGTACTACATATGTATATATATATAATGTGTGTGTATGTGGGTGTTTTTGTTTCCTTCGATCATACACATATACTAGATATATGTACGCATATAACTAACGGCGAATTTACTTTGTTTCCTCCTTCTCTTTGTTCTCCTCGGTCGACTCCTTCTCGTTTGACTGGAAAAGATTAAGGACATGGGTTAATAATCACAGTTAAATTTGATAAAAGACCAAAAGGTCTTTTTCTTATGAAATTCATTTCATGCTCTTGTATAATATTTAATTATATTTTTGATTAAATCGATTTAAGTGATTTGAAGCCTCACCTTGTCCTTCTCCAACTCCTTCTCGATCTTATCGCCTTCAGTGCCCTCCTGCTCATTTGATTTCTCCTGCTCGCCACCTTCCTTGCCCTCCTTGGTCTCTGGCCTGCGATTTGACAGGAAAATAAGTTTAAAAATGGTTCCACTCAAATGATTTTAATATAGAATACTCACTCTGGCTTGGGAATGTGCGCATTGAGGTCCAGCTTCGTGCAGATCTCGTCCCAGTCGGGGAAGCACTTGTCCTTCATGCGCGAAACGTGGCCAATCAAGTTGGGGCACTTCTCGGTCATGTAGTCGCGCAGCGGATACGCAATGTCCTTGGACAGATAGTGGAGCTGCGAGAGGACCGCAAAGGCCACCACGTCCAGGGTGGTGGGCTCGTCGCCGAAGAAGAACGGCTTGCAGTCGAGCATCTCGCTGAGCACCTTCAGATCGTTCTTGCCGAACTCCTCGATCTCCTCGGCGCTGTGAACGCCGATGCCATGCGCCTTCAGCTTCTTCGTGCCCTGGAACCACTTGTTGTGTTGAATAGTTGTTTGGCCGTACAACAGTTACGGATTTGGGGTTACGGGGGATGCACAAGCATACGTTACGGATTCGGGGTTTTTGGTTTTTTTGTGGAGGTGATGTGAGTTATTTTTTTATTTTGGGGATCGGGGGCAATACGCATTACACAGTTAGATGTTCAAAACCAAAGTAGTATGCAAAAAAGAACGAAAAAGAAAAAAACCATGCAAGAGTTAGTGGTAAAATAACGATTGTTTTCCTTTCGATTTCCCGTTTGGGTTTTGGGTTTGGTTATGTGAGAACCGATCCAGATATAAACAAATCCATCCCGTTAGGGATTTATTGTTTATGCCAACGGGGGTTTTCGGGATAAACTATGTGTGGGGATGGTGGTGGTGTTTAGAGTTTAATTCTTTTTTTTTTTTACAGCTAGGTGCAATATAATACGCCACCGCTTCCTTAGTTTCAATTTTCAAGTATTGTTTATTTACACTACCCATCCATCCCCGCCTAATCCACAACGCCAGCAAACTCGTGATTCTCAACGGTTTTCAATTTCGCTTTTAAATCTAAACAAATCGCGGATGTCGTCCGTTTCAGGAACTAATGAAGGCTCAGTTGCTGGCGTTGTGGAAATTTCGAGACCGATTACTTAGAATTAAAAAAACATAAGTCTCTACTTGTCTAGCGAGCATGTTCCGTTTTTCACTTTCACTTAAATTGTGTCACAAACAAAGGTACTGTTAGAAAAATTCTATAAAAATAGTTTAAACCAATTGCTTTATGACTAGAATTACATATATGTCAAGGAGTGTATACAATGATAGGATAATATTTATGAATGCTAGTAAAAAAACCTACGTATGTAGAACAAATTACAACAATGACCAAAAGTATGCAATGTTCCAATGAGAATTCTAATCAAAATTATACAAAATTCAGAGAAAGTGAAAATCGTGGACTATGATCATGAACTCCTAAGTAGTTGAAACTATCCAGTTACCTTGCGACCAAAGGTGATCTTAAAGAAGAAGTTCAGAATCGAGTTGGGCAGCCGCAGGCCGAGGGCGTGCTGCAAGTTGACCTTGTAGCCCTTGAGCACATTGTCCGGATATTTGGCGCGCCAGTAGAAGATGATCCAGATGAGATGGTTCTCCAACATGGCAATCGTGGCGTACGACACGTTCCTCTGCTCGGCGGTGAGTCCCGAGTCCAGATTCTTTTCGTACTTGGACGACAGTTCCTTGATGATAATGGCCGAATCGGCGATCTCCTCTCCATTCAGCTCGATGAAAGGCAGTTGACCCTTCTTGGAGCGGAAACGCATCTTATGATCGACATTCTGCAAAGGGAAAGAACACGTAAATACATTTTATTTTTTTCGTTCCGTCTTCGGATGAGTAATCCAGTAAGGAATGTGTGGGAGTGGGCGATTGTTTACCCCACCCTTTATCTGCCAGCAGCATTCCGGCTTATGCAGTGAAAACAAACATTACCTTACTTGGTCATTAAATCGACATTTGTTAGTTTCCAAGAAATATATTTGTGAAGCAGAGTACCATAGAAACGGGCAGGTAAGGGATTTTGTAGGATCTTATACACATTAACATTTTTGAATCTCATCTCCTCAGATACAATTAGCAGGAAAAGTCTTAGGTATGGTAAAAGAAATTTGTGGGGTCAAAGTTTTCAACGGTTCATAAAAAGCTTAATTTTTATAACCCAATAACAGTAGTTTCTCTTGTTCAGTTACTATCTATCTTCTTCCTTTCAGACTATTTTCCTAACATACTAAAAAAGAAGAACTAATCACCATCTCAAGGATACTCATAAATTTACAATGACCATATGGAAAAAGGATGTGTATTTTTTACACCCATGACTAATGCGAAATATAGTTCACTCCCCCGCAAGAATTCCGGCCGTTAGATGGCGCTCATGACATACATCTAGCCGGCAATCGTTTGTTTGCGTGTGTATTTCTGGGCATTTCCTATGTATGCCAAGCAGATGCTGAAAAATCAACCACTACTCTAAAAGCTAGCTGTACCTCCCAGGAACCCAAAAACCCAAAACCCAGTCTCGAAAGCAGAAAAACCCACCCAAAATCCAACACCCCTATAACACACACAGCGGGAGGGAAAACGTCGTTCCAATTGCCCGCTATTCGAACATTTTGACATATTCCAATGCCTGCCCTTCCAGTGTGTACACACGTCCGCATGAAGCGTTACCGTTAGCTATGTGACAGTTATAGGCGGGTGTCCGGTTTGAACCTTTTTTCGTTTTCAGCTTGGCTGCACAAATCTACATAATAATTTCTAATTAGAAACAACGGCCATAACAAAAAACGAGCCGTTGGCATATTTTATGCTTTCGCGCCCTCTGCCAAAAAAGGGAGAGGCAGGGTGTGGTTGTCGACCAGAGAGGCAGAGAGAAAAAGGAAAAGAGAGAGCGACCAGAGAGATTTTCGCCTTCCAGCGGCAGCATCGCAACGCTCTGCAAAAAGGGTGGAGTCCGTGTTTTTGTCTTCGTCTCGCATTTTTCAATTCCAATGATCCACAAAAAACGGCAGCCTATCTGCTGCTTCTTCTTCTTTAGCTCCATCTTCTTCTGTGCCCACGCACAATGCAAATATTTCATTTTTTATTAAATCATTATGCCAATTAAGGCAATGGCTCCCCTTATTTTTTTTCTCCAGTGTAGTCAGGCGAAAAGAAGCAACAGCAATGCAATTATGCAGCCTGTGTGTGTGTGTATCCACACCCTTGCACAAACATCCCACAGAGAGCGAGAGCGGGAGAATTGCGCTGGAGCGAGTGAGCAACAACAAAGGCCGTCCACTGTGTGTTGTTTTAATGCAAATATGCGGTTTATTAATTAAAACAAAGGCAGCAACAAAAAGTAAAACAAAAAACGACAAAACCAAAAAAAAAACTCCATTTCCTCTCAAACACACACGCAAACATTCGCACATGTACAGTTGCAGCAGGAGAGATAGCAGCGTTGCCAGAATGCCTTGAAAGTGCAGGCTGGCAATATTGCAGAAATGAAATGGCGCGCCAGCATTTCCATTTGAATTTTAATCAGTTTGTGCTCGTTATATGCATATGGCAGAAAAAATGTAAATTAATTGCACAATCTACAAGCGCGACACCCAGGAATGCCAGCAATGCGGGCCACCGCCTCAAAAGCGAAACTTATGCGTTGTTGTTGTTCTCGTTGCAGTGTTTATTAATGGGCGCCGCCTTCAATGTGGTGTGAAAAAAATATGCATTTGGTTTATCATCAATAAAGAAACAACTTCTGCTCTTGTTTACACTGATGAATGTGTATACAAAGGAGAAAAAGAAAAAATGCACTCGAGCAGCGGGGGGCATAAAAATCAACTGGAGGGGGGAAAACTGGCTTAGTCAGTTGCATTTACAGTCACCCTCCCTTTTTATGATTAATGCGCTGCAACAACAAACCAGAAATGTCAAAGGTCTCCAGTTTGTTGAACTCTTTTATTTTTTGTGTTTTCGGCTGCCTTCTTATCAGTAAAATGGGAAATGGGAATAATGAAAATGGAAAGTAATTTCCAGCTGCGGGCTAACTGACGGACTGTCAATCATAATTGCCTTTACTCCATTCCACGTTCGTGGAATGCAACATATGGGGGCGATTGCTTATCGGCATCTGGAAAGGCATCAATTAACATTCCTCGCAAGAGGCTCGTTTTTCATTAACCAATGTAATTAATAAGATTAAACAGCAATTGCGTCGCCAGTTTTGTGCGGGTGACCGCACCCATTTCTCCCCCAGCCATACAAGTTTTTCCTCTACTATATAAAAATATGAAAAATATGCAAACCGCATCGCGCGCTTTAAAAGTGAAGAAACCGAAAAAAAACAAGCTAAAATGGAAGGCACCATTGGAAGTCGTTGACAGTTGTTTGTCTGCCTCCCCCTCCCACACTATTACAGCTACTTAACGGATAAGAAAAGGAAAGGAAAAAGGAGGAGAGCGCGGCGGAGGAGAGGGAGACAGCTATTTCTGAGACCATCTTAAACTGCATCAATTTTTATTAAAAGCAATTACAATCTGCTGCTGCTGTTGTACACAGAAAGAAAACATATTGGCATTCAAATGATGTATTTACTTTTCTTAATATTGGTATGTAACCAAGATTATAAGCAGAACAGAAAAACAAAGCATAGGCCATTAAACTTCTGCAAGCAAAGCTCGGGTTCAAACATTCATTTTACACACCTAAGTATCAAAATTCATATCTTTTTACACACATATTAAACTGTAATTTAAGAATCTGGCTTATATTAAAATATCAAATTTTCTTTCAGTGCAAAAAAGAAGTCGAAAGAAAAGTGAAATAAAAAACAGTGCAGCAACAAAAGACAAAGAGCAGACGGCGAGAGAGGGAGCGAGACAAAAGGAGAGAGTCGGCAAGTGCAAAATTTGAAGCACGACTTTTGCAAGTGATGGAAGGGGCTGTGGGGGATTGGAGAGAGGGGGCAGTGTGGAGCATAAAGCAGCGACGCAGCGTCGGCGCACACACAAATTTTATGTATACGCTGTACACACACACGCACACAGGACCAGGGGCTACAGGTTCACACACACATGGCGGTGGAAAAGAGAGGGCAGGCTAAATGTATCCCTTTTTCAGTTACGGGGCAGGGCAGGTCACACACACACAGATACACGGGCAGGCTTAGCACACCATGATGGCGGCGCTGGTTCTCTCTCTCTTTTCCTCTATTCCTCTCCCGCAGGAGCTGGGAAAAAATCTGTACCGCAAAAATGCTTTGAAAATCTGGAATATCTAGGAGATTTGAGATTCTGTTGGGAAATCCAGGGTATTTTTGGGTTTTCTTAAGTGATTTTTGGGTTTTAATGGGTTTCCGAAGGGTGATCCTAATATGATACTTAGATTTTCGGGGTTTTCATTCAACTCACCTCGTATTTCAGACCCACAAGACGCAGCCAGGTCTCCACCTTTAAGCAATAGGGCGATAAAGAGGGCAGCAGCGGGGTGCGGGAGAACTGGTACAGATAGATGATGTCCTTCTCGAAGTTGGTCTTGTGCACATTGAATTTCTGGGCGGGCGGGGCTTCCGATTTGGCAGCGGCTGGAGCGGCCACCGCCTCATCCTTCTTGGCCTCATCGTTGTTTTCCTGCTGTTTTCCGGTCTCGTCCTTCTTGTCCTCAGCAGACTCCTCCGCCTTCTCCACTGCGGGGGCGGCAGCTGGAGCCGCCGCAGAATCCGCTGGCGGGGCTGCCGATTTTTCCGGCTCCTCTGACTTTTCCGACGCCGCCACTGCGGGCGTTTCCTCGGCGGGTATTTGGGCCACTTCGCTTGCCATTATTTTTAATTTTTTTTCTTACTTTTCTTTTACTACTTTTGCTTTTGCTAATTGAAGTTGCGCTTTCTTTCAGCTAACAGATTTCGGCTTCGCACTTTTCCTGCCACTCGCACACATACACACACGCGGGGAGAGAGAGAGAGAAACCACCACTGCGCTTCGATTCGAACTCGGATTTAAGTTCCACGACAAAATGCAGGACCTCCTTGGCTGGATGCGATTTAAATTCGGATGGACTCAGGAGCCGTTTCGACCGCAACCGCTCTCGGGAAATTGAAATTTTCAAATGAGCTCGAGATTCGAAATGGGAGCGGACCTTAGAGCCAATGCTACCAAGTTAGCTTTTTTCACGTCAAATTTGGCTATTTAATAGCCGAATAAAAGAAACCATTCGATTGGCGGGAACCTGTTTTTCTGGCTATTTACAATCGACTAAGAGCCCTGGTATGATGGTATCGATACAAAATTAAACTTGTTTATCAACTTCAAATATAATGATATGGGAAATTATCGTTCCTATACAATGTTCATTTGAGGTCACGCAAAAGGATATAAAGCGATGATAATTATTTTTAAGTTGACAAATTGTTATACTAATAGTAACAAAATCACACAATTTTTCTAGAAACTGTTACCACCCTTAACGTATTTGTACCATCGCTAGTACGATACTTCCGAAAGGGATAAGCCCATCTCCATCACATATTTTCACAAACAAAGATTTGTTTAATTTAATAAAAACGCAATAAAGTAAGAACCACACAAAACTAATCTAGGCGAAAATGGGAGCTGTTTTGGGCCTTTGTTCGGCCGCCCAGGTACGTAAATCGATAAAATAATACTAGCCGTTTAACCGGATTATGACCATAAGAAATTTGGTTACAAATCAATAAAGGCCATATGTTTCTTGGAATTCCCCAACGTTTGTTGGAAAACCAAAGTTTAGATAATGAAATTAAATGAATTTAAATTTTAAATGGGATTTAATATATTACAATTATTAATATTTGTAGTGCGCCATGTGCTGCGGAGGCACGGCAGCCAGCATGTGCTGCTCCGCCTGTCCCAGTTGCACCAATGCCTCCTCCTCGCGCTTCATGTACGCCTTCATCCTGCTGGTCGGCACTGTCCTGGGTGCGATTGCGTTGTCGCCCGGTTTGCAGGACACCCTGAAGAAGCTGCCCTTCTGCATCAACTCCACTTCCACGTACAGCTCCAAGGCCATTGACACATTCTCGGGAGGATCTCTGCAAGTCGACTGCGAATACGCTCTGGGTTACATGGCCGTCTATCGAATATGCTTTGGCATGGCCTGCTTTTTCGCTCTCATGTCGTTGATTATGTTGGGGGTGAAGAGCTCTAGGGATCCGAGATCCCACATCCAGAACAACTTTTGGCCACTGAAATTCCTGATCTGCTTTGGTGCTGCCATTGGTGCCATCTTCATTCCGGATGGTTCTTTTGGCCCGGCCATGATGTGGGTGGGTCTAATAGGCGGTTTGGCTTTCATACTCGTTCAACTGGTCATCATTGTGGATTTCGCTCACTCGCTGGCGGAGAATTGGATAGGTGAGTCATGTTTATTCAAGAAATACAAATAATTCAACTTGCTAATTTGTTTTCTCTTTTAGAGAGCGCTGAAAACAGTCGTGGTTATTATTACGCCCTGGCGGGTGTCACACTCTTGGGTTATATCTTATCGCTGACTGGGATTACTCTGCTTTATATCTACTTTACCACTGTGAGTTTAAATAATCAAGATTATTTGCTTGTTTTGAAATGTAACCTCTGCATTTTTAGAGTACCGGCTGCGGCATCAACAAGTTCTTTATCTCTATAAATCTCATCCTATGTTTGGTGATCAGCGTTATTTCGATTTTGCCAGCTGTGCAGGAGCGTTTGCCACATTCCGGTTTATTGCAGAGCTCCTTGGTCACCTTATATACGGTTTATCTGACCTGGTCCGCAGTGGCCAACAATCCGGGTATGAAATGTAACACAAAATATGTAGAAATCGCTTATATCTCTTGTAAACCCTTTAGAAAAGGAATGCAATCCTGGAATGTTTGGCTTGATGGACGGTTTTGGAAATGCCACCACCACAATTGCACCGCCTACTCCGTCCCACAACTCCAAGGTTACCTTCGACACCACCAACATCATCGGACTGGTCGTTTGGTTGCTGTGCATCCTGTACAATTGCATCAGCTCGGCTGTGGAGGTTTCCAAGATCAGTCACGATAATAGCGAGAAGCGTGGTATGTTTTCTGTGTCCATTCCCTGTGCTCCGTCCGCATTCGCAGCCATTACCGCATTTCCACAGTTTTCCACCATTCGCATTCGATCGCCTCCTCACTTTTCATTTTCCTCGCTGTACAGAAAAAAAAAGAAACCCCAAGCTAATACTGGTTATTAACACTCGTTTGCTATTGCCGCTTTGTTTTCTTGATTTATTTTCCGACTAACCAAACTAACCCAACCCGGTTGTTCGGTACTTGAAACTGTGTGAAACAAATGGCCACCTGCCGTTCCTCTTTGCACTCTGATTAATGTAGTTTTAACAGAAGCTCTATCAGACACAGAGGCTGGCACGGATGCCAATGGAAAGCCGAGCACGGACACCGAGACCGAGGGCGTCACCTACTCCTGGTCCATGTTCCATGTGGTCTTCGTCTGCGCCTCGCTCTACGTCATGATGACTCTGACCAATTGGTACAAGTAAGTGGATAATCGAAACTTATACATTACACGAGTTTATCTTACTTCATTAATCAATTTTTCTTTTAATTTTCAGACCCAACTCGGACATAGAGCTCTTCAATGGCAACGAGGCTTCCATGTGGGTCAAGATCGTCTCCAGCTGGCTGGGTGTCTTCATCTACGGCTGGAGCCTTGCCGCCCCAATTATCCTCACCAATCGCGACTTTAGTTAAGCGGTTTTTAGTGTATTACTTGTCTAGGAATGGTGCTTAACCAAGCAAAAAGAGAATGCCAAAATGGAACGAAGAGAATTTAGTTTCTGAAACTGAAGAAGATTAATCACACATAATTTTGACTCTTGGTGTCTACTCATTGATCTTATTCTCCAATTGCAACAGTTATCAATATGTATTAAAAAATTAATCTATGAGTATAATCTATATACAAATATAATGAAACCTAACCAAATTATTGATTTTGTTCTAAGTGAAGACTTTCTTTCGGCACAGCTTCGCTTAGTCGTTCGAGGGTTACAGATGGGCCAAGGATCTCCATCATTTCCGCCACTCCAGGTCCTTCTTTTAGGCCACTTAAAGCTGCTCTCAGGGTTTTCATCATCACCGGGAATTTGATGTTTTCTTCTTTAGCAAAGTTTTTCAGCTTAACGTTGAGCTCATCTTTGTTAAATTCTTGGTGTGCTTTAAGTACTTTAAGTAGGCTAATTAATTGTTTGGTTGTCAAATCCTTTAGTTGAAAATCTGAGGGTTTTACCCACAGGAAACTCAACTTGCTGCTGGTCAAATCTTGGAGCAGTGTTAAACGCTGTGAAGACCAATAAAGGACATCCACTATGTGATTCTCAGCTAAATCCAAGTTGGAGCTAAAGTTGAATATAATTTATAACTTTGTTTCAGACAGTCATAACTTTTTACTTACTGCTGTGGGTAGGCTGTTTTTACCAGCTCTTGAACTTCATTTACCAAATTTAAACGGCTTTCTTTATCCGATAAACGTTGTGCAATCTCCAAACGATTTAGATCATCCAGAAGCTCAGGATTTAGTCGACTGGGATGAGAGTTAACGCGTTCTATATGGAACTGCTCGTAGAGTTCCTGCATAGTAAGCAATTGCTGCTTGGCATTGACCCTATGCTCGAATCCTCCGCCCGCAGAAACCACATAGTTAACTAAAGCTTGAGGAAAGAAACCCCGTTGCCGAAAATGCTGGATGCCAATGTCTCCTTGGCGTTTACTAAGCTTGGTGCCATCTGCATTCACGAGAAGCGGCAGGTGACCAAATTTAGGTGGTTGCCAGCCAAAAGCTCTGCCAGAATTGATGACTTTTAGTACATGAGAAAATGTTAATACTGTCTATTAAAACTTACTTGTAGAGCAGCAAATGCTTGGTGGTGGATATCTGCCACTCGACTCCCCGCAAGACATGTGTAATGCCCATCAGATGGTCGTCAACCACGTTGGCAAAGTGATAAGTGGGAAACTGATCGCTTTTCATAACCACAGGATCTCCCTCGGTATCGCTGACATTGTGATGCACCTTGCCGTAAATCAGATCATCGAGCGGTTCCTCGTGATCCGTCAGCTTGAATCGGATGCAGTGGGCCGTTCCCTTAGCCAGGAGTGAATCCACTTCCGTCGTTGTGAGATGTCGGCACTTGTTATCGTAGCGTGGAACTTGCCGGGTTCGCAGCGCCTCCTTACGCAACAAATCCAGACGTCGTTCGGTGCAGAAACACCTGTAGGCGGTGCCATTTTGCAAGAGTTCCTCAATGGCTTTACTGGTAATAAATTGAATATATATAAACCCATTATCTAGCTGAAGTTATCCTTCAATCACCTGTAGATATCCGTCCGCTGACTTTGTATGTAAGGTCCCAGTTGACCGCCAAAACCTGGTCCTTCGTCGATTTCTATGCCCGCCCAGAGAAGATCCTCCACCAGCCGTTCACTGGCACCCGGAACCAGTCGCGTTTGATCCGTATCCTCGATCCGGAGTAGGAATTTGCCACCCAAATGTCTGGCATACAGGAAATTGTAGAGGGCTGTGCGCAATCCGCCCAAATGCAGGTAACCCGTTGGACTGGGAGCAAAGCGGACGCGCACCTGGTTGTGGGCGTGGCGTACGAATTGCTGCAGCAGGAATCGCTGATTTATCTTCAGCATTTTTATTGAGGATATTGTATAAAACTACTTTTGCCGGTGTTTGTTTACATCAATCAGCTGATAAATAACAGTGCTGTTATTATACTGTTGATTTTACAGAGTGTTAACATTAAAGGGATTGCTTAAAAATTTTCTGATTGGAAGAAAACAACTGCTTGGATTTATGTTACCATAAATTTTTGTTAAAAGTAAATCAATTAAAGTAGTTTTTTGAGAGCTTTATTTAACAAAAATGCACTTCTTTACAAGGGGAATCAATAAATAGCAGCAATTTCTTGTTTGTGAACATTCGGCTTAGTTGTAAGTATTACACGGCTCAGGTAGGCTGGCGTTTGGATTCCTATTTAATGGAGCAGTTCGCCAGCTTGCTGGACAGCTTCTCGCCCTCGGGCGTCAGCAGGAAGTTGTCCTTCCACACGGCCAGTCCATCGCTGTTGGTCTTGAAGTCGGCGGAAAGCTTCTCCCACACCTTCTTCTTGGGGTTGAGCTGCTCGTCGGGCGTGCCACTGAATCCCTCGAAGGCAAGGCGACTGCCGGGAGTGGCATTTGCTGGCAGCACAATTGGTTCCACTACCGTGTGATCAGCACTAAAAAGAATCAAAGAAAAACATGAATAACTAATTTAGAAAGTGCCAATAAATAAAAACCCACTTGGAGGTGCACAGGACCATTCCCTCGGATAGAATGCCACGCATCTTCGATGGCTTAAGGTTGCACAGAACCGCCACCAGACGCTGTTCCAGCTCCTCCTGTGTGACAAACTTCACCAGACCACTGATGATTGTTCGGGGCTGCTCCTCCGCTAAGTCAATCTTCAGCACATAAAGTGTATCGGCATCTGGGTGACGGGCCACCTCCACTACCTTGCCCACGCGGATATCCAGGCGATGGGGCGCATCTTCATCGATTCCAGCAGCCGGAGCAGCTCCTGCCTTTACTTTAGCAGGTGGTGGGTAAGCAGCAGCACTCAGTTTCCTAAAGTAAAAGAATAAATTACTTATCCTTCTTTATATAAATTTGTTCAATATTACTTACTGCAGTTCTGGCTTCTCAAAGGCCTTGCGAATAGGATCCAGCAGACGATTGATGTACTTCTCCACGGTGGCCTTCAGATCACCCGGATGCAGTTTGTCCTCTGCGTAGTATTTCTCCAGATCCTCGTACTTCAGGAAGGTAACATCCCCACCATGTTCCGCCTCTCGGTTGACCTCGAATCCTTCGCCTTCTTTAAAAAGCGAGAACAGCACGTGCTTTACGAAGGACAGCAGACCGTTGTCGGCAATGTTTCCTGGCTCACAGAAGGCCTTCTTAAGCTTCTTCTTCACGTTGGCCGGTGAGTCCAAAAGGTCGATTTTGGAGTCTTCCTCGGATGAGGACATTTTGCCACCAGCCAAACCGGGCACTAAAAATGTATAATATTAAAAAGATAAATAATTGTAAGAGATTAATATTTATAAGTTAAACAATCAGGAAATTTCCTAACTTATAAATGATATTATCTGCAAGGTTAACGATAATGATTTAAAATTATTAAAGGTAAGACCCAAGAAGTCAATACATAAATACCCTTCCCTTTTACAAACTCTATTTGTAATCGATGACTCACCCATGGGATTCATGAAGTGGATGCGCTTCTCGTAGCCCAACTGCGGCAGGTACTTCTCCGAGAAGGTGAAAATCTTGCGCTGGTCCACGCCACCGAACTGGGCATCGACCTTGAGGTACTCCTCGTCCAAAGCCTGCAGTCCGGGATAAAGCAAACCGGAGAGAAGTGGGTACTCCACCTGCTTGACCACCTCGGCACCCGCCTTTTTAGCATCGTGCTGCGTGACCACGGAGCTGAGCTTGTAGACATCCAGGGTGTACTCCTTGGACAGTTGGTAGTCGCTACCCTTGACGAACTTCAACTTGTCCAGCGGAACGCCAATGGAACTGAGCATGGCTTTGATGACCTGCTCGTAGTACTGGGTGCGCAGCTCCAACAGAGACCACGGGGCCTTCATGTTGTCCAGATAGGCGTGCAAATCGGCAAACAGGATCGTCACCTCGCATCCTGCCTTCAGGAAATCGGCGATCTTTGACATGGGCACAAAGTAGGCGACATGTGGCTTGCCCGTCGTCGCTGTTCCCCAGTAAATCTTGAGATCTCGCTCTGCCAGGATCTTGGTCAGCTTGTCATCGCCGAGCGTTTCCTGCAGGTTGCGCGTTATCAGCGTTTTCTTCTCTGCGGGCGTTATTCCGACCATTTTTGCAGGATTTTATGAGTCTTTCGCGTGCGAATTCACGAAATTGTTGCTGGGAAGAGGAAGAGCGCAACTGCATGCGTGGTGATCAGCTGTTCGGGCATTAACAGCGCAACTTAACAGTAGTGCTGCTGCGGCAGCTGGTAAATGTGCAAATAATTTATAAAGGCTAAAATTAAATAAGGCGATAAAAAAACACAAAAAAAATTGTATTTTTGTTATTAATTATCATTATTTAAACGCACATCTATTTAATTTTATGTTTTAAGTAAATTTTGTTTTTTTTTGTTGAAAAGTAGCCAAATTTAGCAGTAAAAGAGCTAAGCAGTCATTTTCCCCAACAGTTCCTTAACATTGTCTTACTTAACATTTCTGTTATATTCAAAGTTTCAGCAGCTGGTCACACGAATTGCGAAATTGCCGCGTGCGGTTTTGTTTATAAATACAATTGGACCAATTGGCGAAATTCCTCGTTATAATCGACCAGACAACCAGAAGGATTTTTCGCCAACGAACCATTCAGGATGCCCGTGGTAGAGGGTAGCGATCTGGTGCTGTTGCAGCGACGTCGGCAACAGGTGCGCAACATCTGCATTTTGGCGCATGTGGATCACGGGAAGACCACTCTGGCGGATTCCTTGGTGGCCAGCAATGGCATCATTTCACAGCGGATGGCGGGAAAGCTGCGCTACCTGGACAATCGAGCGGATGAACAGGAGCGCGGCATCACGATGAAGAGCAGCAGCATTTCTTTGTATTACCAGGAACCAGAGGAATCCGCTGGTAATCCGGACTACCTCATCAATCTCATTGATTCACCCGGTCACGTGGACTTTTCCAGCGAAGTATCCACGGCAGTTCGTCTATGTGATGGTGCCATCGTCGTGGTAGATGTGGTCGAAGGCGTGGGTCCCCAAACTCGAGCTTGCTTAAAGCAAGTCTACGAGGAGCAACTAAAGCCCGTCTTGGTTCTCAACAAACTTGATCGTCTGATCCTAGAGAAGCAGATGGATCCACTGGATGCCTACTTCCATTTAACCCAAGTCCTCGAGCAAGTTAACGCCGTTTTGGGTAGCATTTTTGCCTCAGATATTTTGGCCAAAGAGGATATAACCAAAAAGGATAACTATGAGTCTGCCTTGGAGGAAGTGGATGACTCGGAACTATATTTTACACCCACTTCTGGTAACGTTATATTCTGCTCCGCCTATGATGGCTGGGCTTTCTCCGTTCGGGATTTCGCCGCCATGTATGCCAAGCGTTTGGAGATGAATCGCAAAGATTTGGAGCAGGTTCTCTGGGGCGACTTCTACTACAACTCGAAGAAAAAGGAAGCTTTGCCGGGAGCTCAGGAGAAGGCCAAGAAACCCATGTTTGTTCAATTCGTTTTGGAAAACATATGGAGTCTCTACGATATTATAGCCATTAGAAAGGATAAGGATAAGCTGCCTGGAATAGCTGAGAAACTGGGTCTCAAATTGGCTGCCAGAGATTTGCGTCTCACAGATCCCAAGCTGCAAATCAAGGCGGTTCTTGGACAGTGGCTACCCATCGACAGGAGTGTCTTGCACATGGTAGTGGAGCATGTTCCGCCACCTCACAAAATTAGCGAGGAGCGAGCACAAAGATTACTTTATCCTGCGAACGTGGATTTGAGTTCCCTGCCGCCGGAAACATTGAAACTCAAGGAGAGCTTCACAAGCTGCGATGCCAGTAGTTCCAATGTCATTGCATTTGTGTCCAAAATGACGCCAGTTCACATAAGCCACTTACCCCAGAATCGACCCAAGAGGCTAACAGATGAGGAGGTGCAGCAGCGCAGGGACGAAGTGCGTCGTCGCATTGAAGAACGGAAGCTGCAAACTGAACAAACGGAGCTGGAGAAGATCAGTCAGGGCGTGGAGCAGCTGAGCACCCAAGTGGAGGTATCTAAAACGGAGGAAGAACCAAAACCCGAAGAAGGCGAGTCCAACGAGTTTGTTTTCATTGCGTTCGCCAGAGTTTTTAGTGGCACTTTGAAACGCGGCATGGAGCTGTTTAATCTGTCGCCTAAGCACGATCCCCGCCAGCCGACGCATCGCAAGGAGGAGGAGGCTCCCTACGCCAGTCGTGTGACCATCGGAGATCTCTACATGTTTATGGGCGGTGAGCTGCAACTGCTCGATGAAGTGCCTGCTGGGAATATCGTGGGAATCGGTGGTCTGGAATCCCACATCGTTAAAACAGCAACTTTGAGTAGCAGCTTGGACTGCACCTCCTTCAGCGAACTGAGCATCATGGCTACTCCCATTCTCCGCGTGGCCATCGAACCCGTTCAACCGCAGGATATGCCCAAGCTGGTGAAAGGATTAAAGCTCCTCAACCAAGCAGATGCCTGTGTCCAGGTTTCTGTGGCTCCGACGGGCGAGCATGTGATCACCACTTTGGGCGAGGTCCATGTGGAGAAGTGCGTCCACGATCTGGAGCAGAGCTACGCCAAGATTAAGGTTAATGTTTCCAAGCCGATTGTCTCTTTCCGGGAAACTATTGTTCCCGCTGCCACGGTGGATATGGTTAATGAGGCGATTGTAAAGACGGCGGAGGATAAGGATGTGAGCAAGAAGATCGCCGTTCAGCAGACGCTTAATAAACTTGGTACCCTTAAGGTGCTAGCGGTGCCTCTTCCAGCAGAAGCTGTGGAGTTGCTGGAAAAGCACTCGGAGTTCTTTAAGGTATAAGTTACTTATATAAAATATTTATACATAATGTAGTAAATTATATTCCTTTACCACAGGAACTGGCTGCCATTCCTCGTAATCAAGTGCTCTCGGAGAAATGGACCACTCTGCTCGCCTCCATAAAAGTAAAACTGATAGCAGCTCTGCAGGATCTGCAATTGTTTGGTTTGAGTAACCTAACCGCCGAGGAGCTTGTGAATCGAATCTGGGCTTTGGGTCCCCGTAACTGTGGAACGAATATCCTACTCAATCTTACTGATTACGAGCAGCCCGACTTCTGGTCAAGTCACGCCAAGTCCTCCGATACGGATATTCGTTCCAAGACCGACCCGCGCAAGGATTTCAATAGTTCGCTGGTGAATGGCTTTCAATTGACTTCGGTTGCGGGTCCTTTGTGTGAAGAACCCATGCAGGGCGTTTGTTTTGCGGTGCTCGAGTGGTCAATTCAATCCGATGGAGAGGACTTGAACGCCAGGGGTCCCTTTTCCGGTATGTCGCTGCGGAAATCATGCGCCATATTATTGTTTACCTTAATTCCCCTTTGGGTTTTAGGTCAGGTTCTCACTGCCGCCAAGGAAGTTTGTCGTCAGGCGTTTCAAAATCAGCCACAACGATTGGTTACTCCAATGTACAGCTGCAATATTGTGGTCAACGCGGAAATGTTGGGTGAGTGGATTGAATTTAGATATAGAAATTAGAGTTTTAATTTAAAGTCAACCAAAACATTTAGTTAAGAGTGTCTAAAAGTCTTTTTGGGATACAAATGTTTAATTCACAAGAAAAATAATCTGAAACCCACCATAATTAAATTATTTCCCACAAATAATATTTTTAAAATAGTATTTTATTTAACTACTAGTAAATGCAGCTTATTGTCTAAACATAAATAAGCAACTAAATTTAGGTTACATAATTTCGGTGATGGTTTTTTTGTATTTTATAATCTTTTCGTTTAATTGGTTTCCGTTTTTAAGATAGTTTCCAGTTTCGCACCTAAACTATTCGTTTAAATCTTTAAATATTATTTTAAGAAATTGAGGCCTTGTTACGCTTAAATGCAAAACAAATTAATTAAACAATTATTTCGATCGGGCCCGGGCACGTGTAATTGTTTAATTAATTCGTAAATTGTTTTGTAAATAAATACATGTATAAATATATAAATTAAGAGGGGGTGGTACGCTGGTTTAGAAATGCCAAGGGAAATGCCTAAAAAAAATGTTTTTTTTTCTCTTTCTTTTAAATTAAGAAAAGCTTAGCTAATTACGTTACGTTACGTTACGGTAGAACGTTACGTGACGTGAACGTGTTGCTCTCTTTTGAAGCCCTTTTTACTTTCGATTTTTCTCCTCGTTACTTCAGTCACAGTTGTTGTTGCACAGTTTTCTTTATCGCCGGAAAAGTCGCCTTGTGCTATTGAAATTGTATCTACTAGGATTGGTTGGTTGGTATTCCCGGAATATTCCCCGGAACTTAGTCCCAAATGATGCTCTGCTGGAACTCGAGAACGCGATCCCACGGGAATTCCGGCTCGAAGTCGTCCGTTTCGGGCAGGGATCGTCGGGCGCGACTCTCGACGGCTGCCTCCTCGGCCGTGTTGATCGATTCCGCGGGAAGTGGGGCAGCTGGGGCCGCCGGTTCCGCCTCCTGTTCCGCCTGCAGCGTGGTCCTGGCCTCCTCCTCGCCCGCCGGAGTACTGCTGCCCGGCTGCTCCTCCGTTCCGGTTCCCGATCCACTCGAAATCGCCTCGATGGGCGGCAGATCGCCGCGTCGCTCGTTGTTCCTGCCGTAGTTGCTGCCGGGGAAGTTGTTGATCGAGAACTGATCCGGCCGGAAGTTGGCCGAACTGTGGCTACTGCTGGTGCTCTCCGGTCGGTTGAGGTACTGGTACGAGCTGCCTCCTCCGTTCTGGAAGCTCTGATCCTGCGGCTGGTAGTTCGAACTGATGGCCGAGCTGCCCGAGGAGCTGCCACCGCCGTAGATCGGTCTGCCGTAGCTATCCTTCTGGCCACCCAGTGTAGTTCCCACCGAGGGACGGTAGAAGGGCTTCTGCAGTTGGTACCTCTTCGGTGGCTGGTTGCTGGGCTTGCGTACTGAGTATCCGGGTTTCACGCACATCATGCCAAAGACTCGGATTCCGGGAACGCTGGCATACGTGGGTTGGTCATGGGCCATGGGTCCCTCTGAAAAATTTTGAGGATTTCAATTTAGAATGGGGTATTTACAGGAGGTATAAGAGATGAAATTAGGATATTCTTATACGAACACAATTTAATATTAAATATACAATTGGAAGATAAAATTCTTAAAGTTCTCTTTATAAAAGTTCAAAAGCATTGTTTATCTTAAATCATAAAACATTAACGAAATGCAAACCTCTTTACAAAGGCTTTTGCCCTTACGTTGTTATTTTTCACTCAAATTTAAAGATTTTAAATGGATGATCTTTATTTTTTTAGAACATAAAAACTGAAATTAATATTTAATTCAAAATGGCACTTTTAATGCCATAATTGATATTTTTGTCATTTTATTGTCATTATAAATTATTTCTAGATAACCTCTAAATTTAGAGTGTACTATTTAATAGTTTAATAACCTACCCATCTTGAAGTGATCGGGACAGCGACAGATGACCAGGTAGTGCGACTTGCCAGTTCGTGTGTTTTGGAGCGCCAGAAGGGACCAATCCTTGGGTGAGCGGCACTCGCGCATTTCGGTGGTGGCCTCGCAGGTTTTGGCCAACGTGATGGCCTAAAAGTGGAATAAAAAACCGTAGGTAGTGAACAAATAGGTGGCTTAAAAATTTATGGAAAAAAAAATCAAATATAGTCTTAAGATCTCTGCTGGAAGCTTTATTAAATTTTAAAGCCCATAATTAGTGTACTCAATTTTTTCTTACATTTGTGAACACACAAATCTTAGGTGACATCCTTAATAAAAGAAAAGAAAACGAAATTCTCCTATGCCTCTCAAATGATAATTATAAAATACACATACTACTTTTGAAGTTTGTAATATAAAAAACTCCTTTAGTATCTCATTCTAACAGACATAAAAAGACAGAAAAGTAAAACCGCTTTATGGTGGCTGTAATATTTTGTTTTAGTGCAGGCTGTCTAGACGGCAGACTCGATTTAATAGTTCGCCCATTAGCCATTCACTTTGGCCCACAGGGCAGGAAAGAAAGTTACCCCGATCCCGATTTGGATCCCGATCTCGATCATGACTCTAAATTGAAAGCTAGCATGCTAAACGCTATGGACAAGCTGTCACTTAATACGGGGCACAAAAAAAAAAAAAAAAAAAAAACTCGAAAAAAAACAGGAGCAGCCAGCGCCCAAAGCTTTGATTTGCTGAACTGCCAGACTTTTAAAGCCGGTGGGTTGGTTCGAACACTTTGTTGGCCAAATTGCTTTTAAGTTTGTCCGCTTTGCTCCGCTTACAATTGGCCAACTTGATTGTCCTTTAACTGATTTACAGCCTGGGCTACTGTTAAAGCCGAGCAGCTCGCCTCGCCGAACGTTAATTTGATTGACTCTTGCGGCGCTCGTTTGCATGTCAGCCAATTGGGGGAGAAAAAAATGTTGGAAAAATCTTTTCTTTAGTTTTTTTTTTTCTCCTATTTTTTTCCTACCGATTTGCCAGCCGCTCGCTTCATTGGCTGTGGCATTCAGGTTAATGTGGTCCGCCCGGGCGTTCCAGTTTTTCCTAGCGCCCCGCTCTTGTTTTCTGTTTTCTGTTTTCCAGCTAAACGCATTTTCATAATTTGCTGTACAGTTCCGGCAGAGCACAGAAAACAGAAAACAGATAGAAGAGCGAAGAGCGGCAAGTGTTGCATTTAACGGTGAAGTGAAGTGTAATTATGACAATGTCTGGCACTGCCCACACTCCACCGTACAGTGGAGCACTACTCTAAGCGACCGAGCGAGCACTCCACGCGACCATTAAGCCATTAGAAATGCTTTTTATTATTTAATTTATTTGAACATTTTTCCAAGCAACGCGCGCTGTTCGCCGTTCGCATTTATAACTCAATTAAACGTGAGGAGAGCAGGAGAGTTGGTTTAAAAAAAAAATCGAGGCGAAGGAGCAGATCATGGCCAGGCCATAAAGCAAATAATATTGCTAACCGCAGGCACTGCCCACAAGGTGATTTTCCCGGCTGACCTGGCCAATTTTAATGGGCCTTCAGCTGGCTGGGAGCTGGCGAGGCTGGGATCTGGGAAGCAGATCCTCCGAAGCGAAAGTCTGCTGCAGTCAGAAATCAATTTAACGATTCGGTGATCCAACAAATGAGGCTCAATTTCGATGCACTTGCGATGCGGAGATCTTCAGCTGGTCGAAATGATATACTGCCAGCACTTCCAAACATCAGACATCGTGTTCTTCATTAATACACCGGTGATTTGCGGAATTCGCAATTGATTTCATCAGGGAGTGGTTCGCCTAAGAAGCACTCATCTGCTCTAAGTATTCAAATGGTACACCATTTCGATAAGGGTGTGAAAATGGCTGGCAATGCAATCCCAACTTAATAAGAGTGGTTAATAAGTGTTTCACTTAATGTTTCTACTTGTATGTAATTCTTTCTGATTCTAACAAAAAGAATACTAAATAAAACTTAGGAATTATCAATTATTAATTCAGCTTTTGTACTCTGTTATAAAAAAGTAATTACTAGTTTAACAGTTTTCCTCTCTGCTTTCTGACAAGTTTTCCTAAATCAATAAATAATATCCATAAATTATGCTCTGCCTAAATTATAGTTTACAGATCAAAATACTTTCAAAGAAATCTATTGCTGACCAAATCAATAGCTGAAGTAATTTTATAGTTATTTCCTCAAAAATTGATCTTCCGGCAAATAAACTTCCTGAGAACTTCAATTTCAGAAAACGAAATTCGTGTCTTTCGCTGGTGATCTTTGGTATTGAACCACTGGTCTCATCTGCCATTAATTCATTTAGAAAGAGATCAAATCATATTTGTGGTCAGCTGCAAGAGGATTTTTGACTTCCCAGTGATCGAGAGAGTCGTGAGTCGAGCGAAAACCAGCAACTAACCATTGAATTGAATTGAATTAATGATCCACCGAGAGTGATCTAACAAATGATCTAGAAATGCATTCCGCCAGTTCCACTTTCGGTTCCCAAGAGATCCCACAGTCGTGGCCAAAAAGCAATTATCTAAGTAACTCGTAACTGGGGATTCCTACTCTTCATTCTGATTTCAGTCAGAAGTCAAGAAGTTAACTTACCTTCTTCTTATTATCGCCAACCAATTTTGTGGTATGCTGATCATCTTCATTCAGGCTGGCCGAGCAGGGATCACGATATCTGCAAGTGAGTGTTCAGGGATTAGATTTCGCATTCGGATTAATTAGATCCCAGCAGCCAGTGACAAGTGGGTGGGGATACCCAATCTAGCAGCTCACCTTGATGGACAGGCGCACAAAGGTTGCGTGTAGTTGAGTCTCACGTAAACCGCATTGCAAACCTGCTGAATGGCACACTCGGGCAGCAGATAAATGTGCTGATTGTGCGGATAATAATGATATTTCGTTGGTTTCGCTGTCGCCGTTTTCTGCAAAAAATAAAATAAAAAAGAAGTATAAGATTTTAGCTGCTGTTGATTGATGTGGCCAAAAGGGTTCGCCTCCCAATCTTCTATTTGGCTAGCAATTAAAACTGGCAGTGCAACCCTTTTGGCCAACTGGCAAGTGTTTGCTTCGCAGTCAAGGTGTCTTGTCGAGGCGTTAAAAAGTGTGTGTTTGTCTACTGCCATTTCAGGCGGGGATAAGGTGCGAAATTGACGCTCCCTCGGGTGCGGCATTCCCATTCCCATTCCCATTCTATTCAACTCGCCCTGTCAAAAGTTTTCTTCTGCAACAGTTCGTCTTTTCGTTTTTCACAGAAGTGTGCGAAAAACATAAAGCATTGGTTTACACATGCTTACCAGATTGGTAAGGTATTTAAAATGCTTTCTGAGGTAGTAAATAGGGTACTTAAATCAATGAATGAGTATTAAAATTATATAGTTAAAATGAATCATTTAAAGAGATAAAAAACCTAATGAATATTATAATATTTTCCTATTAATGGTTAGCGGGTAGCTAAATATTATTACATTTATAATAATTGCGGAAGATGTTTTAGAATTTAGTATTCTGCGGAATGGTTATTTAATTAAAGGGTATTGAAATTAGCCAATCTTCAAGGATGTAGACTGTTTTGCCTATATTTAAAATAAACGAGCTATAAGCTTCTCCAGTTAAAGTGTTACAAAACAGAAGTAAAACATGAGAGCCGCGGTGAAGAAGATGGACTTCTAGCAACCGTTCGAGAAGCACTTTGAGCCAAGAGGAGGCGACTCCAGTTGATTTGAGTCGCGTTGCGTTGAGTTGCCTTGGCCAAAGCAGGTTAATGGCAAACGAGACCCTCACATAATGCCACACAAAATTGCTTGGCTCGCCTTGCCTCGCGTTGCAAGTTGCAACGCGCCTTTTCCGCCGCAGAAGGGGGAACAAAGTTATTAAGAAATTGATGCAACTTCAGAGGGGATCGCATGGAGTCATGAGTATATATATATAGCATATATATAGCGTATATATTATAGTATAGTATATGTAACCCTGGGTAACCGGGTAAACTGCCAAACGCACTTTTACTTGTAATTTCCAGCCATCTCCCTTTTGTTACCCACTCACTCCATTCGAAACCATTCCATCAGCCACTTCCTTCCTGCTATCATTTCCCCACTGCCTTTTCCCCAAGTTTTTTTTCATTTCGGAAAACTTTTACCTACTGCAACAGGGGGAACACAGGATACTCTGTCCCTTCATTTCATCCGTCCCCTTTTGTTTGACTATTAAGAAGTTTTGTAGTTAAATTTTTCAGCCTTCACTTGGTTACTTTTTTTTTTTGCCGGCATTTATGACACAATTGAAGGTAGTTTTCACTTCTTTGTGCTGTGCAACTTTTCCCTTTCGGTGTTTGTTTAATTATTTAGTAATTTTCTTTCTTGTTTATCAATGCGTGAAAATTCTCGGAAGTGGAGAGAAGGTAAATGGAAACGTAGGAAGGGAATTTAATGATTTCATTTGTTATTTCGAAGAGAGAGGAACACTCGGTAGATGAAAGTAGCTAAGGGAAATTAACGCAATTATTTTAACTGCAAGAGGGCTTATAGCTTAATTTAATTTTAAAGAAGCTAAACCTTTGATTAATGTCTTTAGGGATTTCCCACACTTTAATAATTCAGCCAAACCAAATAAATTCATATTTGATTGTAGTCAAAGTATTCCATGAGATTGTTAATATGATTTGGATTTTATACTCCATTAATCATACTTCAGAATATAATAAATATTATATAAAATGTGTAAATGAAAGTACATAAATAAATTATGCACTCCAATTTAAAATGTTTCTGGCAGTATAATATTATTTTGAATGCAATGAATATATTTTTTAAATTCTGTGGTGCTACGAATATTATTTATTCATTGCCACTTTAATTAAAATTTATTGAGGCTTAGTTATCGTCTCATTTGTTTTTACTTTCCCATTGAATTTTCAATTTATTTTCCTCGAAACCGGGTCTGAGCTGCAGGCAGCTTTCCATTCGGCTGACAATTTATCGATCTAGTTTACGGCCACCTTGAACCCCATTTTCCTTTTTTTTCTTTCCAAGCGCCGCGAATTTCGCAGCTCCGAACCCAAACAATTCCCTTTCCTACTTAGCACATAATTGAACTGAAAGCATCTTTGGTTTAGGCCAAATTGCCGGGCCATGATCCGCAGCAAAAGAAAAGAAAAGAAACGGTACTTCCCATGTCAGTCATTTGCCATTCAGACATTCAGATACTCAGATACTCAGATGCTCAGATACTCAGCCACCTACTGTCAGGTTGGTCCATCCAAGTACATCCAAGTGTCCAAGTTCGTTTCGGAGTTTCGAAGTTTCGGTGCGGGGTTTTGAGCTCCTTTCTGGCGAGTGATTTACACTGACCCTGACCATTATTATTGAATTTCTGCCGCTTGTACCTTGACTTTTCCCTGGTTTTTCCTACTTTTTTTTTGGTTTTCTTCCCTATTTGGCGTCAGCTGGTTGTCGCTTCTGTCCAAATGTCCAAACTGTCGCCGCCAATGCTTTTGTTTCCACTTCGCCGTCTTGCCTGTCTCTTTCACTTTGGCTAAGTACATTTTTAAATATTTACCATGTACCATTTGGAGGCCCTAACTAGGCCCTAAGTCGAAAGAATTTTCCACGAACTGCAAATTAAAGCGTTTCGTTTCGTTTGGGGTTTGCTCGGTGTGTCCGCGTTTTCCACACAGGTTAAAGTTCAGCCAGTGGCAGTTAGCGAAAAGAGATACTCCCTCCCGTACTCTTCAGCCACCAATTTTTTTTTTTTTTTTTTTGTGTAGTACTATAGTTCCCTGCCCACCCAAGTGCCACTTGAAAATCGTGTTCTCCAATGCCAGCTTCCTGCAATTTGGACTGTGCAACTGCAAGAGTCGGAATCTCGACGCGACCTTTCACGGGTTGTGTTTCTTTTTCTGCACTTCGTGTTTGGGCTTTTTTTTTCCTTCTGTTATTTTTTTCTTGTTTTTTTTTGGAGTGCCATGAATTGCGTTTTGATTGAAAAGAAAGTGACATTTCCGTTGATTTTCCTTTAGCAGAATGGGCTCTTTAAAGTTTTCCTTTTATGCAACTCTTTCTTTCGCTTCGGTTTGGTTGCTAATTTTTTCTTTTTCTATTTGCCATATTTGGCGGAGAGGGCAAATGATGTGGAAAATTTTTCTTTCTGTTTGTTCCATAACAACATCAACCAGCGAATGGTAAGCAGCAAACAACAAACAGTAAATTGCAGGGGCAATCGCAGAAACTTGCCATGTGCAACACGACGTATGAGTGATTTGTTTGCTGATGAATGCCTGGCTTATTGACTTGTTTCGTTGGCCACTTGATTAGCCGACTGCTGATGAGCTATTGATGGGGGAAATTTTGGCTGGCTATGATTGCGAAAATTCGATTTTTGAGTGACACGACAAGTAATGAGTTTTCCAGAGCTCAATATTGGGAGAAATTCAATGAAAAAAAACTAAGAGAGATTAGATAAAAAAGCAATAAATAGTTTTTTGGTTGAAATAAAATATGGAAACCTCTATAAGAGATTTTTTACATTTTAAAGATTAAAGTAAGATTATTTTAAGTAATTGCAGCTGAAGTAATTTCAAATACTATTGAAAACATTTTTCAAACAAAATTGTGTTGTTAAAAGCATTTCCACTTAGGAGAGATATTATATTCATTTGCGAATTGGTATTTAAAAATGTTTTTTTTTTTTTTATGAAAAAAATCTCTTTATTCATACAGTAGCTCTTATGATGTTTAAACTACCGAAGATTAGTCAAAATCTCACGTTGCCTCCCCAAAATCTCACCCAAACTATCTTCAATCTTGCGATAAACAATTTTCTAAATAACAAATTGCCGCATTTTTCTTCTCCACGTCAGAGGAGAGTTGATTTTGAGTCTTGGCTTTCTGTTTTTTCCACCTAACAAGCTGAGCAAACAGGTCCTGCAGCCATCAGCACTTCTCGGATTTCAAGTCCTCCGGGCATGCGAGCTTTTCGCCCAACGTATTTGTTTTTGCATCCGTCCAAGGCGTATATATATATATCTTGTAGCCGGAGTCGCCATTTAGAGGCTTGATTTATGCCAGCAGCTCGAAATTTACTTTTAATGAGAGACAGCAGCGGTAGCAGCAGAAGAAGCCAGAAGAAGCCAAGGCAGCAGTGGAGCCAAAGTTAAACGCATGTAACTGACAGCGGCGGCAGCTTGTATCTATATATCTTGCAGAAGCGAAAACCCCGCCACTTGTTATTCAAATCAGCTCGAAAGAGATTCAGGAGCGGAGACAGAGATACAAAGACATAAAATTTCACCGCTTCGACGGAAGATAGCTACTTCTCAGGCTCACAAGACTCGAGAAAGACTCATGTCTCTTACTCTCAGATTCAATGGAAATTTGCATGGCTACAGCGGCGGCAATTAATAAATAATTTTCATTTCATTTTCATTTGGAAATTTGATTTAATTACGTGAAAGTCTTCGTGTATCTCACACCTACCACTTTCAGTGGGAAAGAACGGAAAATTAGTTGCCATTATTTAAGCATTTGCTTTTCTCGGCTTGTGTTTGTTATTTGTTATTTAATTTTATGCCACAAGTGAAAACGAAATTGTTTTTTTTTCAAGTACTTTCGTTGAAGTTCTGCGCTTGAAGTTTGTTTTTATTGTTATTTATAAAGCGTGAAGTTTCAAGTAGTTTGTCTACTCACGGATGTATCTTTCTTTTCGGACCTTTTTCTTTCATTTGACACGACAAGCTACCGAAAATCCTACACTTGCACACACACATTTCTCATTTCACTCGAGTTTTGTTGTTCCGCTGTTAACTGTAGTTTCTCATGCAAATCCCGGCACAAAGCCGTTTGTTTGTTTGTTTGTTTGTTTGCCTGTTTGTTTACCATTATTTATTTGTTTGCCCAACGCTTTTTCCGCTTTGCACCGGGCAATT